ACCTCTTCTTGTACAGGTGTAAGACGGCGATTTTTGGAGATAGCACCGCGTTGTGGAGGAATACCACGGGCGCGACGCGTAACCGTCTTTCTGGGCACATCGTATAGTTTCTCAACGCCTCGGAAGGATGTAATTTGGCCGGTCTTGTAGGCTTGAACGCCTAGAATAACTCTGCCTTCTTGAAAGATGGCTTCTTGTTGTTGTGGTGCTGCCATTGGGGTGGTTGTTGGACGACGCGTCGCGTGTTGAGTTGGGTGGGCCACTAGCTTGTGCGGGCCACTAACTTGTGGATTACGTTACAGCAAGCAGTGATGCAATAAGCAACACGACTCAAACAGCCGCTCTTATCCAACGCCAGCGAGTCGCGTCCCTACTAGCGTCGGGATTAGCCAAGCATCTCCATCGTCCATGACCGCGAACGTGGAAGCCTCGGATCTCTCAGTTCCCCATTCTTTGAGCTCCACCTTTCTGATCTGTTCCCCACAGGCAGAGCACTCCGCAATAATCCCTGATGTGGGCCCCGGGTATCGTTTTGCTGCGCTTAAATTATCGGCACATTTTTGCTGCTATTCATCATGTTTTTCGGACGCGTTTTCCGGCGCTGGTATAAGCTGGACCTTTCTGCGCCGTTAAGGGAAGGTTTCTTTGGTTCCTAAGACTACTAGTTACTATTAAGAATACTTACCACTCATGGCGGAGTTTGTATATCGAGAATTTATACTATAAGCTGATATCGTGTTTTCACTTACCTGAAAAACATCTTCACATCCTGAATCATTTCCACATGTGAATTTTGCAAGTCTCACTTGTCATCCACCATGGAGCCAGGCACCAAATCACCGCCTGTCGAGCTTGAGAACGTCGACAAAACTCATAAACATCAAAAAGATGGGGATCTCCACCATGACATTATCGATCCTAGGGCTATTGGAGGAGATTTGGCGAGTATGCCAAAAGGGTATTACTGGAGCCCTGGATTCATCGGAACCTTCGCCATGAGTCTAATATCCAACCACTTTCTCCCGTTACTCTCTCGCATGTTTATTAGCTGATTTCGTCTCTAGGCCACATGTCTCGCCCAAGTCTCTGGGTATCTAGGCTGGACCTTACCTGCGAACACGATCAGTCTTGTTAATGCAGCCCTTGGCCCTTCACCGAACTTCGTCTGGCTTGCTGTTTCTTGGACTGCTGGTTTCTCAGTCGGATTCACGCTTGTTGGAAGATTGAGCGATATCTTTGGGAGGAGGTGGTTTTATATTGCGTGTTCGATGCTGGCGCTGATTGCTAATATCATTGGGGCGGCGGCGCAGAGTGTGGACATGTTAATTGTGAGTCTCATTTCCTTTCTACCCTCTCATTGGTTTCCGGAAAATTCCCAAGGATGGGCCATGATGCGTGGATATCAACCACAAACCCTAAGCAACAAGACGTCCAAAGCTAACCTCCACAACCAGGCCACCAACACCCTTAACGGTCTTGCATCAGCCGGCCAACTCTCCTTCTTTATCGTCATCGCCGAGCTAGTCCCCAACAGCCGTCGCGGCCCCTTCAACGCCATCATCCTCGCAACTTCCACCCCCTTCGCCGTTTTTGGCCCCCCAATCGCCCGAGCCTTCTTCACAAACACAGCTCTCCAATGGCGCTGGTCCTACATCCTCGGCGTCATCGTCAACACCCTCGCCGTGGTGCTGTACTTCTTCTTCTACCACCCACCCACCTACGTGCGTATCCACTTTCCCAAACGCCTCATCCTGGCCACTAACAACCATCCCAGGAAATGCTCCACGTGGGCGGCAAAGGAAAGCCCCGCCAACTCGCCACCCTCGACTGGCTCGGCATCGCCCTCTTTGTCTCTGGCCTGACGGTCTTCCTGATCGGCCTCAACTGGGGCGGCTCCTCCTACCCCTGGAAATCAGCACACACGCTCGGCGCCCTCCTCTCCGGCTTCGCCACCCTTGTGATCTTCTGCATCTGGGAAGCATACTGCGGACTCGAGTACCCCTTGATCCCTATGAGCTTGTTCAAATCCCTGAAATACGACGTTCTTACTATATGTGCTAGTGTGGGCTGCATGGTATACTACTCTATGACCGTCATCTGGCCCACCATGGCAGGCGTCCTCTACAGCGCCGACGTCAAAGAGGTCGGCTGGCTGTCCTGCGCTGTCGGCGGCGGCCTCCTCCTCGGCCAGATCCTCGGCGGCTTCTGCCACCGCTTCTTACCTAAGATCAAGTACCAAATGATCGTCGTCTCCGCGTTCATAGCCGCGTTCGTCGCCGCGCTGGCGAGCAGCACGCAGCGCACCCGCTCGCAGACGGTTGCGTTCATGGTGCTCGGCGCGACGGCGGCAGGCTATGTGGAGAGCGTGACGCTGTCGAGCTATGCGTATTTCTTCGCAGCGGACGACATCGGCCTCGTCTCTGGGGCGGCGGGCGCGATTCGGATTGCCTGTGGGGCGGTGGCGACGAGTATGTATTCCAGCATTCTTTCCTCGAAGCTGAGCACGTATCTGCCGGAGTATGTCACGCCAGCCGCAACAGCTGCGGGGCTTCCGGCGGCGAGTTTGCCGGCGCTATTTGAGGGGACTACGGCGGGCTCGTTTGCGGGAGTGCCGGGGATTACGGAGGGGATTGAGGTGGTGGTGGGGGAGGCGGTTAAGCATGCGTACTCGGAGAGTTTTAGGATTGTGTTTCTTTGTACGCTGCCGTTTGGGGCTATTAGTCTCGTTGCGGCGTTTTTCTGTCCGAATGTGGATGAGTTTTTAGTTAGTGATGTGGCAAGGAAGTTGCATAGGGGCGGAGTGAAGACGGGCGTGGAGGGAAAGACGGATGATGGGGAGGATGCGGTGTAGAGGATGATGAATTCATGGCTGAGGAGCGCGAGAGCTGTGTAGCAATGGGATAAGAAGAAAAGGGGGGAGAAAAGGGGATGGAGGCTCCGTGAATATTAAGATAGAACTCGTTGAATAGCCGAGAAATTCTTTAATTTCAAGAGAGAAATGGATGCAGGCTATGTAGAGGCCTAGAACGCGAGATGGAGTAAGTGGGCGAATCGAGCTCGCGGCATTCTGGTAGAAGAAATTATAGTTTTGAGACTTACAGAATAGGGTGTGTAGAAGACGTCTAAACGGTACGTCCAATGATGTCTTGAAAGCAACAGAACCATCTTTCAGAAGAAGATTGCACCCTCAGCACGTGATCTAACTATCTCCCGCAGCGTGGCGTGGGGCGTTCTACCTAGCTTACCTAGTTCTCCTGCCAAGTCTCGTCCACTTCATCTCAGCTTCTCCACAACACGGTCCCATCTCTACTCTCACCTCGCAACCTGAGCTCTGTCATATCCAAAAGACTGCTCATATAGCTTAGCTATCAGTTACCGACTAGGCGAATGGAATAAGATGAGGCGGGAGGCAACCTTGTCGGCTCGTTAGAAATGCGTCCCAATCCCGAGGTCGGGCCTATGTAGATGCATCATCACAACCGAACCTTGCCATCTACACAAGGCGCCTCTCAGAAGATCATAGCTCCTTGGCGAGGGTACTTAAATGCTTGGCTGGAAGCTCACGACGCGCGCGAATTCCAGAATGAAGAGAAGGGGTCCAGACACTAGCCTTTACCATGTCGATCTCGCGCCTCGCTTTGCGCCACATATACTCGGCGGGACGAGGCCATGCCCGTGCAGAGTGCACTATCAGATCTATTCATGGCGGTGGACGCCTCGTCCCGTCTGTCTAGCTGACATGCAGGGTCTGTACGCATCTAAAACCACTTTGGTATTTCCACGCGATCTTCAGCGGCAACGCCGAGTATCTTCCTCAGCCCAGCCACGATTGTGGCAGTCCGTGTCTCCCGATTCAGTCTAGACCTGCAGTTCTAGAACCAACTGTAAATGGAAATAGACCTTTTCGTCACACTAAATGAATCCCTAAGCCGTCGTTATCTCACTGATTCGGTGGGCAGTCCATGACCAGAGTCAAGTAATGCTTGGCTGTTAACACCATGATATATACAAATAAAAGCTGTGCCAGAATGCTCAGTACGCCTTCTATCGCTCGGTCTTCATCAGTTCTCTACACTCTTTTCCGATATATTTGTTAGTTTCGACGCTATGGCGCGAACACCATACACCACAGTCGTTTCCTCTTTTGTGACTATTCTTTAACGCTTGTGAGTTCGACTCAAACTACAGCCATGAATTCACAAACTTACGGCTTATAGATTCATGGGACCGATGCCGGACCAGTAAAACGCGATCTCGCCGTCCCAGTAGTTCCGGGATGGGTGTCTCAAGGCTGCTGGATTGATAGTGTCGGATCCCGAACACTCCAAGGCGCCTATAACGCCGGCGGTACCACCTCTGCCCAGTCTTGCCTCGCCTTCTGCGAAAGTGGAGGCTATGCCTATGCCGGGATGGAGTACGGAACAGAGTGCTTCTGCTCAAACGCAGTCCTTGCCGGCACGTCTGTTCAAGACCCCGCTGACTGCAACATGGCTTGTTCTGGCGACACTTCTCAAGCCTGCGGTGGGATGAATCGATTGAGCTTGTACAAGTCCACCTCAACTTCGGGCCCAAAGGTTGCCCCTGGATCCTCTGGATATGGATATCTTGGCTGTTATACTGACTCCGTCGGTGCCCGAACGCTTACTGTTGGAATGCCTACCGAAGGCGGCGGCGATTCTCTCACAGTGGAGGTATGCTTGGCAGCATGTGCGGCTGCTAAATTCCCGTATGCAGGCGTGGAGTATTCTGGACAATGCTGTGAGTGGACAAAATGGCTCAAACAAGTGGATCACAGCTAATGATGGCGTCTCATAGATTGTGGGAGCCAGCTTTCCAATGGCGGACATGCAGCTGACGACGGAGAGGCTCAATGCAACATGCGATGCAATGGTGACAAGACAGAATTCTGCGGAGGTCCGGACAGACTCAACCTATACATCGCATCAACTTCCTCCTCTACCACCACAACTTCTGCAACGCTATCAGCGGTGCTATTGCCTATTGGATGGACTGCTAGAGGTTGCTATTTGGACGACCCCGCCGCACGTACCCTACAAACATTCATGTCAGTTCCCGGAGGTCCAGATGCAATGACCGTTGAGGCTTGTGTTGCAGGGTGTGCATCGAATGGCTTCACAGTAGCTGGGCTTGAGTATGGGCAGGAGTGTTGGTGCGATACCAAATACGAGACCTTGGCGCAACCGCTGTCTAATCCGGAGACGAATTGCTTCATGCCCTGCAAGGGTAATTCTGCCGAGACCTGTGGAGGACCAGATCGTATGAATGTCTATGCCATTGGTGATCCCCAAGGTTCATCTTCAACAACGATCTCCTCTCAAACGGCCTCGTCTACTTCCTCTGATACGATATCCACCACTCTCATGTCATCAGCCTCATCCGCAGTCACGGATTCAAGCTCATCATCGAGCTCCACTGTCTCTACTACCAGCTCCACGCCATCACCATCGTCTTCCGAATGTACAGCACCGCAATATACAGGAGCGCCGAACCTGTTGCTCAATCCAGGTTTCGAGGATTCTTCAGATGGATCACCTTGGGTGTTTACTGACGGAAGTACACCCGACATAGCAACGTCCTCCTTTTCTGTCATATCAAAGCCGGACGCTGCACACGGGTGCAAAGTTGGTCAGCTAAACATGACGAAGTCAGGCACTGGCAGTGGCACCGCATATATCAACCAACAAATCCCTATCATATCCGGTACTACCTACGACATTAGCTTCTCCTGGCGACTCGCCAACTTCTCCATGGTTGGCACCGCCGGCTCATGCCAAATAGCCTATGGTGACACCTATGTCGCTATCCAATACGTCCTCCCCGGCACCACCCCAAGCACAACCTGGCAAACCGCCACAATCTCCGCTGAGACTACTTTCTACTCCAACACCGTCTCTCTCGTGCGTCTGCAATGCACCATCGTCGGCAGCATTTCCATCGAGCTTGATGACTTGATCTACACCCCCTCTGCCCACCAAAACGTCCTCCAGAACGCCGGCTTCGACAACTCAGCTACAGACATCTCGCCTTGGTACGCGCCTACGAATCCGCCAAGCGGTGCCTCTGTATCCGTCTCCACGCAGCACTTCCAAGGCACGGGCAGCGGCCTCCTCATCAACAGCGGCACTGGGACAACCTACCTCATGCAGTCCATCAGCGGGCTCGACACGACCAAGAAATACTCCTACAACGTGCGACTGGTGCGGGTGAACGACCCGGGCGCCAACGTCGCAGGCGCGAGTTGCACTCACACCCTCAGTATACTGTGGAGCGGCGCGACGACCGCAGTGAACTACCTGAACCTCAATTCTGGTTCTTCCGTAATGACCACGTTCCCGGCTTCGCAGGGGTATTTGAATGGTGGGTCGAGTATCCCGGCGAGTAGTGGGGTGCTGTACTTTTCGTTGAGGTGTAGTGGAGGGACGGGGGGGAATAGGTACTTGTGGGTTGATAATGTGAATTTCATTTCCACCACCTGAGTAGATGATTTGAGGGCGGCGAGACTTCCGGCGGTATTTTTGGGTGGTCCTTTCCCGGTGTTTGTAAGAAGGCCATTTGTGATCACGGTTTGTGATCTATTTGTGGGTTGCTATAGTATATCAGCACTCCTTAGCGTAATGTTTCAACTTCATATCCTTTAACCAACACAGCGAATACCAGTCTATCGAATACCGTCATTTTCTTCTGCTTATAATACTCTAAAGCCCACCGAACGCACTATAGTTGTCCATCTTCGGTCTTTCTTCAATCTCCTCTATCTCTCCCTCCTCCAAGCCTTCTATACCCTCACCTAGCTTACCCGTCCCGTTCCCCATCATCGCCCTTACTACTCCCCCACAAGCCACGCCGTCACAAAGAAATGTACCACAGCCACCAGCCCCACCACTGTCGCAACAGCACACTACTCTATCCAGCTCGTCTTGTTTCGAAGCGAAACTCAACATACCAATCTTGCCACACCCCCATCGAGAAGACCAAGGACACGCTAGACGTCCCGTCCACACTTCCCACCAAAAGGTGGCTTCTGCCAGACAAACTTGGCTTCCTAACCCTACAGAACCAGATCATCCGCTGCCTCTACGTCTGGACACGCATACATAACACCTGCATTAACCTTAGCACTCTACACTTTGTCTATAACAGCACTTGGCTTAGTTGCAAGTTGCGGGAGTTTATGGCCTGCCTATCTGCCCAGCGCGTCGACACTGAGGCTAACAAGACCATGGCCGCGGAGCCAGCCGGGCTTTCCGATTGCTGAAGAGGTGACTGCGTGGGTTTGCATCCGGGATAAAGCGTGGTCGAGTTGGGATGGCTGTTGTGGTTGACCGTGGTGTTTGGAGGGTGGAGGGTTTATTGGTTGGAGATGTAAAGTAGTGGCTCCATCCCCCCGGCCCGCAGACGTCTATGCGATGCTGTCGCGGCGTCCGCGGTATCACGCGCGCGAATTGTAGCACTTCGCTATCGGCGACGAAGCGGGCAGAGATGAGGTTGTTGCGTAATCTGGCCCATCATGCGCTTCTGTAGGGTGCTGTTGAGCGCGAACATGAGCTGCAAGAGCGAGCATTGCCGAGGGGAGTGGAGAGCTAGAAGGAAAACGAGGCCGTGGGCTAGGAGGGTCAGTTGGTGGCGGCGGCGGAGAGGGCGGCGTGGGACATGGTTTGGTTCAACTAGCGATCTGAATTAATCTAGATGTTATATCGTCTGGCTGAATAGCTTCGAATTTGGAGTCAAGACTAAACGGAAGTGTACTTTGTGTGAAGGAGTTGAAAATGATCCACATATACGGAACGAAGAATCCAAATGCGGAATACAAGCACATGGCAAATGACTCCTCGTTGAGAGACGCATCCTCCGATCTCTCATATGAGCTGACACATGGGTCTCGACTTCTGTGGAGGGCCTTCCACGACATGAGCATAATGGCGCCGCGTGTGCACACTGCCCGATGTGCAGTAAAATGCCAACGCATAGGCCCCGATGAATGTGAGGAGTATAGCGGAGAGTTCGTAAACCCTACGTGGGACCGCTTCAATGCATTCGGCTTCCGGTATCTTACTGTAATCGGGTGTCCAGATCGTAGTTGCTACTGCCTAGTAGCCGGGAGTATGCGGCGTCGATGGGGATTATGGGTAGGAATACTGCAAAAGTTATAGGAGCGTGGATAATCCAAGTCTATAAGCATGCCGGGGAGATTTTCTAAGTCTTCGATTTCATTTATAGAGTCTGTAGCGCTTTCTCAGGATTCAGAAGTCCCTTTTTGGGGTCGGCAATGCGCGTCTCGGCTTTCATGGCGACGTTCTGTTCGAACAGGTATTCATGGCGAACATTAAAGTTTCTCATCCATGAGAGAAAGAAACAACTCCAAGATGGAAGAGCTACCAAAGTGGGCTTGGCTTCTCGCATCTGCGGTACATATTGACTGTCCACGTAGGGAGGTTGTAGGTAGACAAAGCTACGGGCGACCCAGTGCACCTTAGACACTTCTGGCGCGCCGTATGAGGAGCAGACCTCGGAAACAGTCCGCCGACTGCCATACTCTCTCCATGCCATTGCACTCCTACTCCACACAAGTTGTATCAGACATCCCTTCATATTAATAGCCTTCACGTTAACAGGTCAGACCTCTTTCTTGGTACGCGTTCTCAATGGCAGCCTTCCTGGAGCTTCCCCGTGAGCTGCGAGACATGATTTATTATGCCGCCCTTACCAACGAAGTCCCGCGGCCGTCCGTCTCCGATGACCGGCTGCAGATGTGGAACGTCCACGAAGTCACCACGCACTCTGGAGATAGCCAGGCAGGGGAAATTGGTAATTCATACACGCTCGAAGGAGTACCAGACACCTGCTCGACTTTCCTCCGATGCAACCACCAAATGCGCGAAGAGATGGAACACGTGATCACGAGAGCAAAGGCGCGGCGAGAGATGCCACTCAAGCTGGATTGTCTCGTCGAGGACGAGCGGAATATCTACGTAACGTGGGTCTCATTCCCCTTGGTGAGAACACACGTCGAGCGCCCACGATTCTGGAAACCGTCCACGTACACACATCTTCATCACCTCCAGGTCGACGTACGATTGACGGGAAACCGGAAGCGCAAATGGGCCTCCCCATGGATCGTCGGGAAGCCGCCAGGACGCATCGCATGGGGAATTTGTGCAGCGTTGAAACGCATCATTGAGTATGGACCGGACTTCTCCTCTGACAAAAAGTCGCCGAGGACGTTTATGGTGGACGAGTTGGTGCTCAATGTCGTCACGCCACTAGAGGCCCCCGAGCATGGCTTCCTTCCAGAGGACATGGATGCTTCACAGATCGAGGATGGTCTTGTGCACCCCAAAACAGTGCTCCGCGAACTCAACGCGGTGTGGAACTACATCTGGGCGCCTAGACACGAAGTAGCGGCAGCACACTGGCTCCTGATCGAACGCATCGGGAGGGTAAGAGTCTGCATGGACGGTGAGACGTGGAGAACGAGAGAACTACAACTTGAGCTCAAGCGAGGCCAGGACGAGAGGAGGCGGATTGCTCTGCGAGGAAGGTGAGGATACTCTGAACGGCACAACTCGACTTCGCGATGGGGATGCCGTTGTCACAGCGCTGGGTGCCGGACGCCGTGTGGGCCAGGCCCCTGCATACGGCCTAATCCGGGGTTTGATGACAGGTCGTGTCCAAAAGTGTCACTGCCTCCATCGGGATAGCGTGTGCTTACCGGCCTTCACGTTGGGTAACAGCAATTCGTGCTCTCCGATGGACACTGGATACTGCAGTTGCACTATAGTACATGCAAGTAGGCGCATATATAGACATCCAATGGTCACATGCATAAGCCCGCCCCAAACGTCTTCTGCAACAGCCGCTCCTTCCGGCAAATGTGCATCTCACATGCGTGGCCAAGGGGCCGTTTTGGCGCCCGGGGGCAATTGCGGGCCGCACCATTAGCGATGCCAAGGCTCCCGGAGCGCGATGTTTTGAAACGGAAACCCGCGACACGCCCCTTGCACCTCTGCCCCTTCACCACCCACCAGCTCGTGCCATTGGGTGACGATTCAGGGGGAGACGCCCCCAAGGCGTACAGAGGCTCACATGTGGATCCCTGCCGCGTTTCTCTGACAGGCATGCTGATGGCCACAGTCGTGACACGCACCCTTTGATCCACCATCAGAGAGTGCCTGGGGCCGAAAATCCTTCCTTCATAAGGCCATCCCACCGCGCTCCAATGGTTCTGGACTGTCCTGCTTGCCGCCCTCACTCTTTTCATTTTCCTTGAAATACTAACCCGGCTGCTCTCTCATAAGTTGTACTACTCCTTCGTTTTCACACTCAGCTGCTGGGCAGTTTACTTTTTAAAAACTCATCCCTCAGCTTTCTAATTCCCCAGAATGGTCGACAAGACTCTTAGACCCAAGCAGGTTGAAATTCAAGATGGCAGAGCCAGCACGAATAGTGCTAATCGAGGACCGCGCTCTCCAGTAACATGGCAGCAGCCACTGCGGATGCGGACGCGGAAGCAAACTGGTGGGAGCGTGGACATCGACGACTACTTCGTGAGCATCCTGGCTTCTATAAGGTCAATTGGAACGTAGGAGTAGTATAACTAACGCAGTACTAGGTTGGACCCCGCGACATAAACAAACATAGCAAATGGCCCTTCTTCATGCGAATGCATGGTTCCGTCCTCCCAAAAATGCTGCTCCCGGTCTTCATCGTCACCTTGTGGTCTACACTTATCACCTGCCTCTCCAAATTCGTCTATCCGCTCAAGGTATCGAGCCTGCTGCTCACGGTGCTGGGTTTCGTTGTCGGTATGGCTATCAGCTTCCGGACTTCCACCGCCTACGAACGATACGCTGAGGGCCGAAAGTACTGGGGTCAATTGACGTTTGTGGGACAAAATCTGGCGCGGACCATTTGGATCCACAGCAAGGAGCGTGAGGGTGATCTGGGCAAGGAGGATTTGCTCGCCAAGCTGTGAGTATACTCCTGGAACATAGACTTGGAATCCTGGAAATCCGAAGACTAATGAAGAATATAGTACTGGTCTAAATCTGATCAATGCCTTTGCCAACGCCATGAAGCACAAGCTCCGCTACGAGCCCGGCATCCAGTACGATGACATGCACGGCCTCGTCGCATACCTCGACACCTTCGCCAAAGTCGCAGAACCCCACATCGCGAAGCCAGGCAAGAAGTCCCCCTGGAAGAGCGTCGGCGAGTACCTCGGCGTGTCGTTCGCAGAATCCAATCCTCGAAAACTCATCAAGAAGAGCAAAAAGCCGCTCGGCAACCTCCCCGTCGAAATCATCACCTACCTCTCCTCCTACGTCGATGGCCTCATCGCAAACGGCAATCTCTCCGTCCCGATCTACCAAACGCAAGCCGGTATGCGCCCCCCTAAGCCAATTCGAATTCATTCCCCCACTGACTCCAACGTGCCAGTCAACTCCGTCGTCGCTCTGAACGAAGTCCTCGTCGGCACCGAACGCGTCCTGCAAACCCCACTCCCGATCGCCTACTCCATCGCCGTCTCCCAAATCACGTGGGTCTACATCATGGTGCTGCCCTTCCAGCTGTGGGACTCGCTGCGCTGGGTGACGATCCCGGGCACCGTCTTCGCGGCTTACATCATCCTCGGCATCGCCGCCATCGGCCGCGAGATCGAGAACCCCTTCGGCATGGACGTCAACGACCTGCCACTGGACGCGTACTGCGAGGAGCTCGCGGCGGATATCGATATCATCACCAGTGCGCCGAAGCCGGATAGTAAAAACTGGATCGCCAATGCGGAGAATCTGGTGCTCTTCCCGTTGAGTATTAAGGGGTATGATGAGTGGGTGCAGAGGAGTAAGGGGGAGATTAGGGAGGCGCTGATGACGAAGACGAGGGCGGATATGGCGGTGCGGAGGAGTATGCAGCAGCCAAGATTGAGCCAGAGTGACACGGAGGGTGATGAGGAGGAGAAGGACAAGAAGCACACGGTGCCTGAGAGTCACGTCTAGCCCGCGACGAATTGGCCGACGGGGCGCCTCAGGACGGGAAAATTGACTAGGGACGTTGTAAGATTTGGTGAGCGTTGTTTTTTGATTTCCTCTTGCATGGTTGCGGGAGCGTGGAAGGTGTCTGAGCAATCAGCGCAGGGATTCCTACAAAAATGGTAGTGCTTGCTAGCGAAAATAGGCCCGGAATAAAAGCCTCTGTTTGGTATACAATTCCATCGCCGCAGCCTGGTCGAGTTCCAAATACCGATATACAATATATGTATCTTACCCATATCCCTTTTAGTGCATCTAAACTCCAAATTTGCGCCATGCCATCACAAACACCCACGCACCCACCCCACTTCTCAATCCCTCGCCTGATACCTCTCCCGATACTCTTGCAACCGCCTCAAATCCTCCTCGCCCCCCAGCCCCCTCAGAAACTCCACCACATCGTCCAAACTTAGAATACTCAACACCGACACGCCATCTGTACAACATTAGCCCCCATCCCCCACAACCAAAAAACCAAAAAAGTCACTCACACTGCCTCCGCACCTCCCCAATCGCACTCCCCTCTCCATCCCCCACCCTCTCCATCCGATCAAACGCCACCACGATCCCCACCAACTCCCCGCCCTGCACCTTGATTATCTCAATCGCCTCCCGTATCGCCGTCCCCGCCGTGATCACATCATCAATAATCACAACTCGCTTCCCGGCCAGCGGCGCACCGACGATGTTGCCCCCCTCGCCGTGGTCTTTCGCTTCTTTGCGGTTGAACGAGTAACTCAGCCCCCCATAGCGCGTTTCGTCGATGTCGCAGAGCTTCAGCAGGGCGGTCGAGGCGAGCGGGATGCCTTTGTAGGCGGGGCCGAAGAGGATGTCGAAGGCGGGAGCGGCGCCCGGGGCTTGGGGGGAGAGTTCGGAGTGGTGCAGGGTGTGCGCGAAGGCATTGGAGATGGAGCGCAGCAGGTGCCCCTCGTGGAAGAGGCCGGCGTTGAAGAAGTAGGGGGATGTGCGGCCGGATTTGAGGGTGAAGGTGCCGAATTTCAGGGCGTTGGCGCTGAGGCAGGATTGGAGGAGGGCGAGTTTGTGCGGGGGGAGGGAGGAGGGGGGTTGGGTGGACATTTGGGGGTGAGGGATAGGGTTGATGGAGGAGTGGTGAGGTGTGATTGGTTTGGGATTTGTGGTGGGTGAGGGTATTGGTGTCTGAGAGGTCGATTGATGGAGTTGCGGTCTACGGGTTAAGATTAAAGAGAGTTGGAGTAGAGTAGACGAGGTTGTTGAAGACTGGAGTGAAGAAGTTGGGATGGGGCTTGGAGGGGTAGTGGGGCAGCGTGAGAAATTTGGCCGTGGGATCGCGCCATGTGCACGATTGGTCGCCCGTACTTAGGGGCTGGAACATCTCCACCCCTGAATACGGCAAACTATACTGAGTAAAACGCTTAACTAATTTACAGTATGCCGTACTGACCCTCAATTCAACAAACCATCCAACTCCCGTCTACATCACGATCATCACTGGTCTACATGTCAATTTATCGAATCTTTAATGAACCTCCGAAATACTCCGAACGGTGTCAAGCTAGCGTACACTGGCAATTGGGTACCCACCATTCACGCTGTCAAAGCTGTTCAATCACCGGATTTCTAATGAGGCTTTGGCGTACTCCAGGCAGCGTCATAATATTGTACACTCTCATCGACTCTTAAATCACGTTCTTAAGATTCTTACATCTCATCCGAATCTTTGATGAATCTCTGAAGTGCCTCAAGCAGCGTCAAAATAGCGTACACTCTCATCGACCCATACCCCACGCTCAAGATTCTTACATTACAACCGAATTTCCAATGAGCTTTGGCGTACTCCAAACAGTGTCAAGCTTGCGTACGCACACTTATATCTACGATGTCTGTCTTCTCGAGAGTACGATCCTCCTGGCATATCCGCCGTACCGGATTCACAGAGTCAACAGGCGCCACCTCCTCAACCGCGATTTCCCCTCCACCAGGGAATCTGCTGGCTTCTGCTCAGTCCGATGATGAACTCTGTCTACCCTGTCGGGTAGCTTTGTCGGGATTATGTGCCGGAATCTACCACACCAAGACTTCCCTGGGAAGCCTGTCGGACATCATAAGTCGACGCCGTTGCCCTTTTTGTGACATTCTTCTCGATGTGTTGAATTCATTCGATGAGAAAGCAACACTGGCCACTCAATGTTATATTCTTGCAGAGTCTGACAGGCATGGAGGGTTTTTCCGCGTACTACTAAGCACCGAAGAAAAAGGGACCATCCGTGTCCCCCACCCGACAGACAACTCGGGATTCTTTTTTCGCCAAGAACTCTCGACTGAGGCCATAGAGCTCTTGAATGAAGCTCTTCTGCCTTGGGCTGAAGTCCTTCCATCTACCGGACCTCAGAATTCTGGCCCTGGGCAGACTTCAACTGGGATCCTCAATCACTTTAACACAGATGCCCCCCCGAACGTCATGAGTCCTCGTCAAAGTCAGATTTCTGTTCCCCTGATTAGGGCCTGGCTAAACGACTGCGAGTCCAACCATCACAACACCTGCTCTCGGAGTGTCCTGGAGGAACGCCAGGGTCTCCCTGTAAATCTACTCCTGATAGACGTGGAATTCCAAGCCATCGTGGAGGCAAAGTCTTCAATGAGGTACGTCGCTTTAAGCTACGTATGGGGTCAGATTGATTGCTTCCAAACGACAAAATCTACACTAGAGTCTTTACAAAGCCGGCACGGGTTACTACGACAATCTTCACGTTTACCAGCCGTGATAAAGGACGCTTTGGCGTTTGTTGCCGCAATGGGCGAAAGATACCTTTGGGTTGATACGCTGTGTATTGTGCAGGATGATGCTGATCTTAAGCATCGGGACATTCATCAAATGGATGTCATATACAGCCACGCTATCTTGACTATAGTTGTTCTATCCGGGAAAGATGCCAACACAAACATACCTGGCATCCGTCCGGGATCTCGCACCGAATGGAAGTCAAAGGCTTTCGGCAATCACCAATGCATACCATCACCCTTAAGCCTACAGCGCGCGCTGGAGGTAGCACCTTTGGAGCAGCGTGCGTGGACTATGCAGGAACGAATGCTTTCTCCGCGTTGCGTATATTTCACGAATCAACAGGTCTACTTCCAGTGCCTGAACAGCGTCAAATCAGAGATCCCAAGTGCAGAAGACCAGGAGACTCTCCGTACCGCATCCCTCATCTCAAATCCCTTGGTTTTGGCACGTCTGCATCAATATGACGAAAGCTGGGGCTGGAAGTTCGACATCTACAGGGACCTTGTTCAGATATATTCTCGGCGCCAACTATCTTATTCCTCAGATATCTTGAATGCCTTTTATGGAATTATCAAAGCCTTGCAAAAATGCGGTTCCGGGAATTTCATTAGCGGCATACCAAGAAGGGCATTAGATGTGGCCCTCTTATGGGTCCCAGCAGCGCCGCTAGCGAGGCGGTCTCTGAATGGGCGTCACCTGCCTAGTTGGAGCTGGGCAGCGTGGATCGGAGCGGTTGAATGGCCCTCTAATATCCCTAGAAGTGTGGCTGTGCACTGTGTAACGACAAGGTGCACCTTGCCCTTCCCTCAACTGCCGATGGAATCTGACGACATTCTTCGCATCCGAGCGCGAAAAACTAAGGACTTTGACATCCGCCATTCCAATCTGGTACCCTCGCGGTTCGCAATTTATACTAAGAAAGGCCTACGCTGTGGTTTCGTATGTGGAAAAGATCCTCACGTTTTCGACCATCAAAATACGACAGAACTCGAATACGTGCGGCTTTCGTCTCTCTTACTGGACGACAACCAGTTGCACGTTGAGTATAACTCCATGTTCGATACCGCGCAGTACGAAATCACACCGCGTTGCCTCTTCAATGTCATGATTGTCCGCTGGGTGGACGAGGGACACAAGAATGCGGAAAGAGTAGCAATCTGCCAGATTCACAAAGATGCTTGGAAAGAATTTATTCGGGACGAAATGGGAAATGAGCGATCTTATGATTGGATCAATCTTGTCTAAGATCCCCTAACCCGGATCCAGACTTGGCTCGGAAGTCTGCACTGGTGATCGCGCTGTCTGAAGTGGCTTGAAGAGTGATCAGGGTAGTCAAAGCAACACATCTACGCCGTATCTCGATTTTCGAAAATTTGATGAAGCGCCCCAAACACTGGCAAAGAAGTGTGCACATACCAGTCATCAGACCCTGCACAGGTTGAAGGTTCGGATATGTCAGGCTAAATAGTGATGCAGGAGAGCGATACTGATTACTATTCGCTACCATGAAATTTAGCCACGTCACACCAGTTTAATTTATGCCATGTTGCTTTAATGAAGTCGAAGCATGCTTTTTATCGATAGCCTTTCTACCTAATGTTACTAGACCTTCCTACCAGACTCTTCTAAGTTCGGTACCTAGCCTCGACTGCTCTCCACCCACGACAGCCATGTAGTACGAAAAATACTCCGCAGACCTAGAGAAGGAAGGGCCTTCAAGATCCCGAGGACGTGGACACTGAACGTTTGTGGCTAGAGTGTGGCGAAGCGCTCCTCGCAATACCTGTCTACATCCCGATCATTTTCTACGACGAATTTTTCCAACCGATACGAGGCTCGGAAAGATTTCTTTTCCTCGAGATCCGCTTCCGTGATTCTGGTATCTTGAAGAACCTTATGAAGACTTGGTGCTAGTTATTTCATTTATAGTCTCCGATCATCGTTTACTTCCTGGCTCACATCAAGGTGTGCCGCACCATTTGCGAGTATGTCGTGGTTTTCCTAGCGCTATGGACGATACTGCCCCTAAGCCGATTCGTCTGTGCGGGAGCCTATGCAGGGGTAGAGGATGACTACTACAAGGAAGAGCTCCTGGCCGTATCTTTATTCTGCGGCATCGGGTTCCTGGTGCCTTACATGCGGATTTTTCTCTACACCTTCCGCTGCACTATTCATGCCGAAAAAGGGAACTCAGAGGTATGTACTCAGCCCGCTATCATTTACTTAACCTTCATCGCCATACGAGCTCCGCGCTTACTTCTCGTAGGGTGTCGGAATCTGGTTTTTGAGAGTTTGTTTCCAGGCTTGCGCACCCACCGTGACGCTGCTCGGTTTCGTTGTTTGCCTCGGAAGAACGCCGAACTTGCCGCTCTGGCTCCGTAGCTTCGTTATTCTTCTCGATGTAATATTGTTCATTTCGGCTCTGTGGGTGCATGCCTCTCAATCTTGGAAAGGGTAGGAATGCTAATCCAGGTTCTAGTCCTGAGTCCAGCCCCGGAAAGCGCCCGCACAAACTGAGGGAGGCGCTGTACGACGAGTTGAGGAGTTTTTTTTGGATGGATGGAGGAGGGTCGCGGTGAGATAAGGCTTGAGAAGTATGACTGATGAAATACTCAGCTTTGTCACCAATTTACGCAACTGTCCTTGCTGCTATTTGGGTTGATTCGAGGAAGGTTTAACAATCTGCAGGAACTATCCCTTGTGAGTGTTGTACTGTATATCTAGGTATAGTCGTCTAAGAACGAGCTCGAAGAATGCCTGGGATCATCGACTTTTATCTCACTCAGATTCTGAAACCCTAGCAATAGGGCATCTAAACAGCAGCAAGATAGTACACATAGCTCCGGGAATCCCTATTACAAAGGCTCTACCTCTCAATACCTTCACAACCCTACCAACCCCTCCCAAGCCACTCCTTACCGTCCAGTACAGTAATCATCACGTGACCACTGATTACTCCAACCATCCATCTTCACCGAGGTCAAACTCCCTAACAAGCATGCGCTAGCAACCAAATCCTGACAAAGCTTGAATTTACAAATTCAGAAAGAGCCACCAAGTCGTTCAAAGTATCCTGCGACCTACCTAAAGCAGTGCGGACAGCAGCTCGCACCCACGCTGGCGCGACTGTTCAGCAGCTGCATCAGGATGGGCCATCACCCGAAGGCGTTCAAGGAATCGATTACCGTCGTCCTCAGAAAGCCCCAGAAGCCATCCTACTCCGTGGCCAAAGCATACAGACCAATCGCGCTGCTCGACACCATTGGAAAGCTCTTGGAGCGCATCGTGGCTAAAAGGCTATCGGAGGTGGCCGAGAGGGAAGGCATGCTACCAGACAGCCAGATGGGAGCCCGACCGGGCCGATCCACGCAGACAGCTCTAGAACTCCTTACAGAACAGGTTAGGACAATCTGGAAGAACGACTCTAAGAGAGTGGCCTCAATGCTCAGCTTGGACATCTCAGGGGCCTTCGACAGGGTCTCGCACGAGAGGCTGCTGCATAACATGCGGCTAAAAGGGGTACCGGAGTGGATTGCCACGTTCACGAAGTCGTTCCTCAGGGACAGGACCACGAAGCTGTCGTTCGGGGGCTTCCTCTCTGAATTCAGGGGCGTCAAATCGGGTATACCACAGGGCTCCGCCCTGTCACCAATCCTATTCCTCTTCTTTGCCAGCACGCTCCTCCCGCTGCTGAGCCAGGGTAACAATACCACGTCGGCGTTCGGGTTCGTTGACGACACGAACATACTCACGTACAGCCAGAGCACGGAAGAAAACTGCAAGGCCCTTGAGCAGGCGCACAAGGTATGCATGGAATGGGCAGGGAAGCACGGGGTGATTTTCGCCCCGGAAAAGTACCACCTAATCCACTTTACTCGGTGCAGGAAGTTCAACCTACAAGCAACGGTTAACATCGAAAAGTTCACGGAGGGGCCTGTAAAAGAGCTGCGGGTCCTCGGTGTGCAGGTAGACTCCAGACTTAAATGGGCACCACATATTAAAACTACAAAAGCCAAAGCAGTCAATCAAATGGCGGCTCTTACGAGGCTCACGGCCTCCACATGGGGAGCCTCCTTTCAGAAGGCCAAAACGATATACTCAGCGGTAGTGCGGCCGGCCCTAACGTACGGCTGTAACGCATGGTACCCGGGGCCAGAGGGGCCCCATATGGAGAAGCTGTCAAAGAAGCAACACCAGGCCCTAGCTACGTCGCAGAACACGTGCTTGCGATACATAGCCGGAGGGTACAGATCAACCAACATTCCGGTCCTAGAGCACGAAACCAGCACGCCGCCGATAAAGTTGAAGCTGGAAGAGCTCACGGTGGCCTATGCGAACAGGACGAGGGCGGGGCCAGTGAGGAAGCTCATCAACAGCGAATGCAGCAAGATCAGGAGCCACATCCTCGACACCAAAAGGCGCACGTCGGCGAAGGCAAAAGCCGGCCCCACGAGACGCGACATTCTACACCGCCATGCTATGAAACACGCAGGCCCTGAACAAGTTGACCCGGAGCGGTCGGCAAAGGCGATAGAAAAAGAGCGCCAAGCCCTGATCTAGAAGGCATACGAAGAGAAGTGGGAAAAGCAGTGGGAGGCCTACAGGAGGTCGAGGCCGGCCCTAACGCCGGCCCTGGATACCCCGTGGAACAAGAAGCTATACAAGAGACACCACGGGCTGAGCAAGGTAGAGAGCACGATCGCAACCCTCCTCAGGACGGAGCATATAGGCCTTAATGCCTACCTTAAACGAATGCGGGTGCCGGGCCACCATACGGCGGCCTGCCCGTGCGGCCACCAGGAGCAGACAGGAAGACACGTGGTAACCCAATGCCCCCTATACAAGGAAGGGAGGGGACGGATGTATATTCGGGCGGGCACAGCCGCGTACGGCGAGCTACTCTCTACCACAAAAGGACTCCAATCAGTAGCAGGCTGGTTTCTAGCCACAGATCTCCTCCCATACCTCTCATCGGCAAGAGAGATAGCAAGAGCTTAACACGGCCGACATAGCCAACCCGTTCGATGCAACCAGCAACCAGGCTATTACGTGTGACCCCCACGTGACAAATAGAGCCCAAACGAACTACATTCAACTATAGCAGCTAGATTGGCCACTATAGTTGAATATAGCGACACCCTCTCCACTAAAGCGTCATTCCCTACCAAAGCAACCCTCTCCAGCGGAACCCACACACTATAACCCATCGGGGCCTAGCCACCTCCTCTCCCACCCACCTCCTAACATACTAACCTTCTAGAACAGCCTTGATGGGCGACACGTCGCCGCCTGTGCAATAACCTCTTGGACGACAAACCGCGCCCGCGGCGCCCCGGACCCGACCCCGAGCAACCCGGATCGACTCCGCTAAAGGACCACGAAGTGAGCAATCAGATGGCAGTGTTTGTAGCGTCCAGGCGACGTCTACTCTGAGCAGCGGACCCACACCCAGTAGAGGCGCTTTGCGCCGCCTACGTCAAAGGAGACGCGGGGTTTTCACCTGGCTTCGCGAGCTATCGCGAAGCACAGTTTTCCCTTGTACAATAGCCTAAATAGATGCCGCTGCATGGACCCGTAAGGGAGCTATAACAGCGTAAAGAATATATTATTATTATTATTATTATCCTGCGACCTACCACGCGTTAAGTTTAACTGGTGGTAAGGCTCGCCAAGCCCGCGATTCCTCCGCTTCATGATCACAATATCACGAAAATGGCCGGCCGCTAGGACTCTCGGTTCGTCCGCTCTTAGGAGTATGGGCCAATCACAACTATCCAACCGCAACTGTTTCGTCCCGGCATTCCAAAGGTGCTTCAGGAACAGCAACGCCCGTCGTGAGCATCGCTGGAAGGAGGATGGATCAAACACGATTTACCAGAGCGTACGGACGGTTTGAATGCCGAACAGGGGACGAAAGACGGTGGAGTGGGTAAATTAGGGGAGCTCATATATCCAGCTGAACGGTCTTTACGTTGGATATAAAAGCAAGATCCTTTTCCTTTCAAGTACCCCATTCGATCGTTCGAAAGTGTCTATTCTAGCTCAGTGCATCAAGTCCATACCCCTTGCTAGGTCTCAACTCCCACCTCTCAGCCACCCACCCCAGCTATGCCTACCACCTACACCACCGCCATCCTCATAACCGGCGGCACCTCCGGCCTGGGCTGGCACACCGCCCTCAACCTCGCCCACACCTCCCCGCCAACCACCCTCCTCATCCTCGCCTCCCGCAGCGCCCCGGCGGCCCCCCTCCCCTCCCCGCACACCAAATACCTCGCCCTCGACCTCTCCTCCGCCGCCGGCGTCCAGGCCTTCGTCAAAACCTGGTCCACATGCTCCTACCCTTCGATCTCCGCCCTGATCCTCAACGCGGGCCTGCAGTTCCTCGGGCCGCCCTCCTTCTCCCCGGACGGCTACGAGAACACCTTCGCCATCAACCACCTCGGCAACGCCCATCTCTACTACCGGCTGCTGGCGGGCGGCTTCCTGGCGCCCACGGCGCGCATCATCCTCGTCGGCAGCCAGACGCACTCGCCCGCCGCCAAGACCGGGCTGCCGGACGCCTACTACGCCACCGCGGAAGCACTCGCGCACCCAGGCCCGGAGAAGAAAGAGGTCGCGCAGACGGGCAACGGCCGCCAGCGCTACGGCACCTCGAAGCTGTGTAACCTTTTGTGGGCGTACGCTTTAAAGAGGAGGCTGGGCAAAGCCCCCGAGGGCCAGCGCAAGAGCGTGCTGGTGTTCAACCCGGGGCTGATGCCCGGGACGGGGCTGGCGCGCGCGGCGCCGGCGTGGCAGGTGTGGATCTGGAAGAGGGTGTTGCCGAGACTTGTGCCGTTGCTAAGGGTGGTGGTGAGTAAGGATGTTCATACGCAGGAGGAGTCTGGGCGGAATTTGGCGGGGTTGGTGGGGAAGGTGGTGGGGGAGGGAGAAGGGCTGTATTTCGAGAATAATGGGGTGGGGCTTGAGACTTCGAAGGATAGCTTGGTGGAAGCGAAGCAGGAGGATTTGTGGACGTGGACGGTAAAGGCGGTTGCGAAGGATGAGGGGGAGAGGGAGGTGTTTGAGAGGGGGTGGTAGGGGCGGGAGGGGTAGGGAGATAATTAATTGAGTTGTTTGTGGGAGATGTCGTTGTTTGGAGTGTTTTGATAGGGGTTCGGAATCCAGATAAGAAAGATGTGGATTATCTTGAATATTCTATGAGCTTGTTGGGCGTCCTCAGACGGCTGTTCCTGGGAGAGTAATATGGGCAGTAGGGTGGGAGGCGATTTATGGATCTCTGAGCCTCGCATGATAGCCTCGAATGAACTAGAGAGTTTTGTTGTAGAGTATTATTGGGATGTAGATAGATATTGCGAGTATTGCTTCACCAAAAACTGGCCACGGGGTTCGAGCAACCAGTGTCCATGTCTTTGGGGTCTATAAACCCTCTAGATCTGCAGAATCTTTCTCGGGGTACATGGCTGTTGTATGCATGCCACAAGGTATCACGTTAACGCCGATACCCCGTTCAAAACAATATTTACAGTCCTGAGAGCAGTGTTAGTTACCACAATATGCCCCTCCCAGTCCCTTCCTACTCTTCCCTCGGCCCATCCTTCTACCACATCCTGCTTCTCTCGATCTGCTTCACTGGTATCTAGTACCTCGCATGCCTGCCCCTCACCCTTACCCGTCTTGACGACAACAACCTGCCCCGCACAATCGAGCTTCAGTTCCCAGCAGAGCTCGTACGAGACGGCGATGTTGTAGGTCTTGAAGGATGAGAATAAAGGGCGCTGCTTGAACAGCTCTCCAGGCGCGCGTGCACAGAGAGTACGGTGTACGTGTATGTCAAGGAAGTTGGTTAGGTTGAGAGGGGTGTGCGTGGGGATCATGTGGTCCATCCTTTTGGACGTAAGCTCGTATTCGAGCACTTTGTGGGTTTCGCCGAAGATCGAGGGCGCGCGGACGCGGGTTGTTGACTGGAGGAAGAGGCGGAGATTTGTTAGGCGGATTTCTAGGGGTCCACTAGTGGACGTAGGGGGTGGTGTTGGTTCAACAGAGACTGCGAAAGGGAGGGGATTCGGATGGTCCAGTTGGATAATCGTTGGGTGAGTTATGTGGAAGTTGAGAGCGTGTTGGGTTCGCTTCGAGGGCTGCAAGACGCGCTCGAGAGTAGTTCGGGTGGGTGGAGGGTTGTCGGCATGTGATGGATGAAGCTTGATACTCCTGACAATGCAATTCTGCTCGGTCGGCCGCGTTTTGAAGTCTTCAGCAGGCTCGTCCGTAGACCTCGCTCTCAGGAACAGAACCTTTGTACACACCATAGATGCCTTGGGTTTCCCTTTCTCAAAGACCACAACGCGGAGGTAGTACTCAATATACCCCTCCGCTTTGACGAATCCCAGCTTTCTTTCAAAAGTCGTGTTGAAAGTCGTTGGCAGAGCGTGCTGCGTTATACCACCTTCCGTAGCCAGGTAAGCTGGAGTTGTTGATAACACAGCCAACTCATCTCCGCACTCTTGCCCTGAAGCTGGGTGATTTGGAATCTGGATCGCGAATCTCCACGCGTGCTCTCCAGACCCGCAGTCTACCTGCCCGATGTGTAGGGTTTGTTGGATATTGAAGAGTACACGACGACTGCGGTATATTGCGCATCGTGTGCCATTGCTCTTTGTTATCTTGGTTTTGGCGCGGCCGTACAGTTGGAGGCGAACGGAATGGAAGAATGTGACTTTTGTGAGATCAAGAACGACGAAGCCGGTTAGTGTGTCACCCGCCATGAAGTATGAGCGGTCTGGCCTGTCAATCTCGACTGTGAGGCCTGGTGCGCTTCTCTGTGCTGTACGAGGCATGGCTATGAGCTGAAGTGGGCGTTGTCTGACTGCCTTCAAAGAGGAATTGCTGAAGGAAAAATGAAGTGTTACTGGGATAGATTATGAGGCGACTAAACCTTTTTCTCGCGGTGTAAATGTAAAGCCTTTCACAAGACCGATGGTAGCAAGATGAAATTGCTATGAAGGGCTAGCAGTCGCTTTAAGCACTGCCAAACGATATCACTGCCCTGTCGTATTACGAACTATACCGCCGTGCCGCAATCGATCTCCCGCCCTAGCAGCGTATTCTTGGCGTTGTTGCGGCGCAGCGACAGATCTCGAGCCCTGCTTGGTCCGGTTGACCCGCTGAAACCGGGATTGTATGGACCTCTGCTGTGCCGCAATTGTCTGCAACACCAGGAGTACAGCTGTGTGGATCCTTTTCAGGCATCGATATCGAAGGAGGAGGTGGAGGAGGTGATCGGAAGGCAGGATTGGCATCGCCTCTACGGCCCAGCATCGTGGTCTAGGGGTCCCTGGGATGTGTCGGTTCCGTGGAAGTTAGTGACGGCCGTCAGCCCATGGTTGAGAGCGCTTTTGACAGCTTCAAGCATGTCAAAAGCTGTCAGTGGTGTCTTGCATGCTGGAACGGGGTCGAACTGTGGTTGAGGGAAGCTTGAGGCGCCGGGAGCCAGCGGGAATGGAAGGCCAGCGGGGAAAGTGGAGTGGCACTGGCAACTAAACCTCCACGGCCTTTCTCCTGTTGCATCACCATCAGCCATCCATTGTGGCTAAAGCAACATGCCAGCACGCTTTTCTTGTAATATTAATATGTACCTGATCCTAAACGAGCCATCCTGACAACCCTGCAGCTTGGCAATGGCCTGCAGTCGACAACAGGAGAAGCACGGAGGCGGCCTCTAGCGCTCAAGCTTCACACCTCTCCCACGTTGTACAACACCTCCCCACCATCCCCAGCAATGATTGTAAAGTGAAGGCTGCTGTTTCTCCTGCGCGCTCGACGCTCGCTCGTTCGCTTTTTCTCTTCCTCCGTCCTTCCACCTCCCTGCTTCGTCCATCAGCAACACTCCTTCACGCTGATGCTGATGCGTGCGACCTCTTCACGACATCTGTTCTACCTGTCTTTTCTGGCCTTGTAGTTCCTCAACACTTTAGCTTTACGATCCTTACAGGCATCAGTTATGGCGCTGTTTTTAGGTCCCCGCTCTCCGATGCGTCGCCGCCGCGCGAAGCTTTACGCCCTCATCGCCATCGCGTTCCTCCTCTTCATCGTCTTTCTCCATGGCCGGACTGAGATGACTGTCGGTGCCAGTCATGGGCCCAGTGATGAGCAACTGGAGGTGTACATGAATAGATACACCAATCGCAAGAAGTACGACTTGAAGCCGCGCTTCAACTGGCTCGACGCTCCCATCAAATACGAATCCGCGAACACCATTCCCCTCCCGACTGCGAACCCGTCTAAACTCCCTCGCGTCCAATTCGACTTCCCTCCCGAGACGGTCAAGGAAGCCCATATTCGGGAAGGGCGTCGCAAAGCTGTTGTAGACACTTTCCAGAAGAGCTGGAGGAGCTATCGCGAATCGGCTTGGATGAAGGACGAGTACAAACCTATCTCGAATGAAGGCAAAGACAACTGGGGCGGATGGGCTGCTACGCTCATTGATACGCTGGACACACTGTGGATAATGGGCCTAGAAGACGAGTTTCGAGAGGCAGTGGACGCCGTCGCGAAGATCGACTTCGGAAATTGTACAGAGGTCAACATCAGTGTTTTTGAGACAACTATCCGCTATCTTGGAGGCTTGATTGGTGCCTACGACCTCAGCGGTGAAGACGTCCTGCTCCAGCAAGCCATCCAAGTCGGCGAAATGCTCCTGCGAGCCTTCGACACACCAAACGGAATGCCCGTCGACCGCCTCGACATCGCAAAAGCCAAAGTAGGAGCCGGCTTCATGCCAGACGGCCACATCTGTATCGCTGGAGTTGGCTCAATGACCATGGAATTTGTCCGCCTTGCCCAGATCACAGGCAACTCAAAGTACTACCACGCAGTTGCCTGGATCACCATCATCCTCGACCACAACCAGGCCTACTCACTCATTCCCGGCCTCTTGCCCACGTGGATGGACGCCCGCCACCTCAGCTTCAACGGTTCGCGCTCGACCACCTTCGGCATCGGCGCCATGGCCGACTCCACCTTCGAGTACTTCGCGAAGACGCACGCGCTGCTCGGCGGCCTCGAGCCCGCCTACGAGAAGCTCTACCGTGAGTCCATGGACCAGATCGACAAACACCTCCTCTTCCGCCCCATGCTCCCCGGCGACCCCGACATCCTCTTCGCCGGCGACCTTCGCATGCCCTCGTATAACGACCCCGCCGAAACCATCCTGAACCCAAACATGCAGCACCTGACCTGCTTCGCCGGCGGCATGTACGCGCTCGGCGGCAAGCTCTTCAACAGCGCCCGCGACGTCGCCCTCGGCGCCAAGCTCACGGACGGCTGCGTGCACGCCTACGCCGCCACGCCCTCGGGCATCATGCCCGAGATTTTCGAAAGCGTTCCCTGCGCGTCGCGCGCGTCGTGCGCGTTTAACGAGTCCGTGTGGGGCGCGGCGGTGGTCAGGCACTACGGGGCGCAGTACGCGTTCGACGCGGAGAAGGCGGCCGCGGAGCAGCGCTTGCCGCGGGGTTTTACGGCCATCAGGGACTATACGTATAAGTTGCGCCCGGAGGCGATCGAGAGCGTGTTTGTGCTGTACCGCGTTATGGGCGACAAGAAGTACCGGGAGGCGGCGTGGGAGATGTTTGAGGCGGTTGGGGGCGCGACGGCGACGCAGTTTGGAAATGCGGCCGTGGAGGATGTGACGGTGAGGGGGGGCGAGCTGGTGGATAGTATGGAGACCTTTTGGCTCGCGGAGACGCTGAAGTACTTTTACTTGGTGTTTTCACCGGATGACTTGTTGAGTTTGGATAAGTGGGTGTTTAATACCGAGGCGCATCCGTTTAGGAGGCCGACGTAGGGGGGAGGCGGTGGGGTGTTTTTTGGAGTTTTTGGGACGGATGTGGGACCCTTTTGGGGTAGGCAGAGGAGAGGCCTCTTTGTACACGTAGTGGGCCATATAGCCTGAAATGGAATGATATCATGAACTGAACGTGTTTTGTATGGGTTTTGGGAGTGTTGGTGAGCACGTGAGACGCCCCTGGGCTATTCAGGGACGCTAGGAGAGCGATGTAAAGGTTTGGAGGGTGTAAAGTAGGTCTATGATTGTTATATAGGGGGGTTTACGATTCAGATGACCTTTCTTTAGGCTTTGGGATATGGGTAAGCACGTGAGCCACCTCGTGCCGGTGCGAGGCTGGTAGGGAGAGGATGTAAAGGGTTGAAGGTTTGATTTGGGGGGGTTGGTCGCTACGTGGTAGGAGGTGTGAATTAAGCGGCTAGGTTAGTAGTACTGGGGGTTATGATCAACTACGTGAGACACCCCTAGAGAGGTGATGGAGGGGAGGTAATTGTGCTCCTTGATACACGGATTCTCGTAGTTTGTGTCTGAGTAGGCAAATAATAGGAAATCGCGCGTTGATATAGGGATGCTGTTGGTGTCAGCGGATCTTGCTTCTGGAAGGAGCCTTACGTAGAGGTGGTATTCGAAGATGTTGGGATCCGTGTGCTGTGCAACCGGGCTGGGGGTTGAGTTTGTACGGCGATGAGGTCTAAAGCCTAATACATGAAAGCGGAATCTTGAGGTTTTGCGGGTAGTTGCCATAGCTGAAGAGCACCGATGATCTAGAATAGAGCAATGTGAAGAAAAACCTTGATTAGCACAATGATCTTGTTAGTTACAACGTGATGCAGCTACGAAAAGTAGCATTGAACCGCACTGTCCGGAACCCTTCTGGAATTGGACAAGAACGGGAAAAGCTGGGGTTCGTACCTTTGTATGATCTTTTGTAGAACAGGACTTCGGGTTAGTTCTGTACGATGGGGCTAAAACCTAACGCATGAAAGTAGCGTCGTGTGTGTTTTCGTATTGATGAAGAGCACGAATGACCTCGGGATCCGAAGGCAGAGGTTCGTGATCTGCCCACCTGGACTACTCGGGGAAGGTGTCTGTTTCCCATGCCTCCTACCTGCATGCTCGTAGAAGGCGAGAGAGTTTCGAAACTAACCTCCGCTGATCACGCCAACACCTTCCTCCCTGAAAAAACCTTCAAGACATATGTGTTTCATGGCCCGCCCGGCGAGATGCACCCCTTCACAGCATTCTCACGATGGGCCAGCTGATTCGCCAGCTCCCCACAGATGACCTACTACATCGGGCCACTTAGCCGACGCGAGACGCCGGGTCGTTTTCCATGAAACACCACACCACCCAATCGTCGCGCCAGCGAGCACACCATCGCGGCGAGAGCGGCCGAGGCGATCCGGCGCGACGCCGACGCAGGTACGGTGTGGTGCCGCGGAGGCGAGATGCAGGAGACAGGCGGCCGCGCATAGATTGAAGTGGTGCTTTTTTGAGTTGGTGGTGGATGGGGTCGGGAAACACTGAGGGCGGCTTTGTGACGGCCAGACGGGCACGGGTATAGTGGGTTTACGAGCTCTCGGGGAGGACGAGGCGGGGCACGGTCTTCGTCAAGGCTTTTGCAGTGCTGGAGCGGCCGGAGAGCTGTGGCGGTGTGGCTGTGGTGGTGTTTTTGGCACCCGCGAAGCTGACGATGCGGAATGCTCTAGGCTGGTCTTGTCTCAGCTGGCATGGAAGCCCAGCGTCCCTTGATCAGACAGATGCGACTGGCCACATTCCTGCGCAGTGGCATCATGGCATACGACCGGGTGTTTCCAGCTCCAGGCCCTCTCCTTGGCCGCACGACTCTGCTTCTCCACCGCGGCGCGAGCAGCCCGAGCACCTGCAGCAAGAGGTGCCGAAGCGCTCAGACCGGCGGGTCCTGCGAGCGAAGGTTTAAGCATCACATTTAAAGTTGGGCAAAGCAGCGTGTGCAAGGAGCGAGGGAGCAACAAGCCGTGGCCGAATCACGGCGCCCATCCCTCGCTGCGTGTGAAAGCATCTCCGGGCCGCGCGAGGTGGCATCCAACCGCAGCGTCGGCCCAGCATCTCGCTCCTCTCATCGCTGCGATGACCCTCCAACGGGCCTAGCTGTGGCGCTCGCGCAGAACGTGGGGTCGCGTCTCCCGGCTTCTGGTACCTGGCGCCCCCTCCGCCTCCTGTCAGCGACGAGCAGGTGTGTTTCGAGTCGCTGCAACCCTGAATCTCCGAAGCACGCGCTCCTCCATGATCAGTGTATGGTGTCGCTATACTGCGCGGGCCGGCGGCGGCGTGCCTCGCAGAGCACACAGGCTGCCAATTGCAACCTCGCAGCACCAACCTGAGTCGATCATCCGCGAGATCCATGCGCCAACTTCTCCCCCTCAGCCCCTCCCTGTACCTGTCTCCCAGCGCCATCCCGCCCTGCCCGTCGTCTGAATGGTTACCTCGACGGTCGAGGCGCATGACGGGCAGGTAGCTAACGGTAGCCAGGCCAGGCACACGAGCCCCGTCCGTCAAGTCAGGGGTGATCACAGCCGGAAACAGTAGGCCAACGCCGTCCTCCAAACAGCCATAGAGCTGCCTTTCAGCCGAAAGATGTATAAGAGCCTCGCCGCACCCCCTTGAGATGGCTTCTTCACTCTGGTAAGCAAGTCGCATTCAGTCACTCATTCCTTCGTTCGCTCCGCTTCGGCACCGTCACTCTTTTTGATACCCCTTGAGCATTTGATCTAAGCCATCATGCTCGTCCTATCCTTTATCTTGGCTGCTGGCAGCCTGTCCACTCTTGTTTCCGGGGCTCCGCTCCCCAAGTTTGCTCTCCAGGTTCGGAATGCGATTGATACTGTTGCGACTGCTGCACACCATCTTGTCGAAAAGCGAAGCGGCGATGTCTACCATGTCTACGGAGGCACTGGTGAAGTCTCCAACGGGTGGCCGGCACAGAGTGCTTGGGTCGCCGACTTCGAAACAATGTACGTTTATATCATCCAGGACTACTCTACTATATCCCTCCCGCATACCCTACTCGTCCATTCGTCCGTCCATATACTAATATGCCATCTAGGTTCGCCGCCCAAAACCCCATCATGTCCTCCTCCTGCACCCAATGGGGCGTCGCCAACACCTCCCCCACCGAAATCACCGCCATCCACGACGGCCTCAAGACCGTGTCCGGCGAAACCGGCATCGACGCCCGCTACCTCCTCGCCATCCTGATGCAAGAATCTAACGGCTGCGTCCGCGTCCCCACCACCAACTGGGGCGTCCGCAACCCCGGCCTCATGCAAGACCACGACGGCGCCGCGACCTGCAATGAAAACGGCGTGCAGAACCCGTGCCCCGCCAGCACCATCACCCAGATGATCCGCGACGGCGCGGCGGGCACCACTGCGGGCGACGGGCTGAAGCAAACCATCGCGGCCAGCGGCGCGAGCGACGTGTCGAAGTACTACAAAGGCGCGCGCATCTACAACTCGGGCTCCATCGACAGCTCCGGCAACCTCGGCGCGGGCGTCGCGACGCACTGCTACGTCTCGGACGTCGCGAACCGCTTGACCGGGTGGGTGTCTGCGCCGCACGGCTGCGTCGAGTCGACCATCGGCAGCATCACGGGCCAAGCTGTTAGCGGGGGGAATGATAACACTACGCCCACTACCCCTACGACGCCGACGACGCCGAAGGTTACCCCCGCTGCTACGCCTAAGGTGACGGCGACGCCTCAACCTACGACCCCGAAGCCGACGACGCCGACGACTAAGCAGGTTGGCGATAAGTCTCCTGGCGCGCAGAAGGCACCTGGCGCGAGCGCGAGCTGCAAGGGGTGGTACACGGTCTCGAACGGGAATGTGTGCACGACGCTGGAATCGAAGTTCGGGGTTAGCATGGCGAATCTGCAGGCTTGGAACACCGGCTTGAAGTCTGACTGCTCGAACTTGTGGCTCGGGTATAGCTACTGTGTTTCTGCGTAGGTGGAAGGGGACGGAAGGGGTGGTAGAGGAGGCGTGGAAGAATCTTTAAGGAGGATTGTGGAGAGGATTTCTTGTATATACTATACCATTAACTGCATTGAGGTTGCTCTGCATTCCCAAAAAAAGAAGACATCTCGCTCATCTACAATCTCCTGCCGCGAAAAGCTGGTGCTACGTGAACTGTGACTAGGAACGTTGGGGGTTTGATAGCGCTGTCAGCTGCGATCTTGTGTTTTCGGGCACCAATCTAGTACAACGCGCTTTATCTAAGACCGTATGCTTCATGTAATCCGTGCGACTATGGGGCCTAACCCCTCAGCGTCCTGTCCGTGTTGTGTAGGTGGACGGCACGTGACTACTCCGTGCTTTTACGGGTCACTGATATGCATTTTCTAGATACAATCAACGTCCCGAGGATAGTCTCAACCCTCTTTCAAAGATTATTGAGATTGAGTTCAGCGTATTCAAATGTGAGGTTCATGGATGGTGGCTGTGGTTAGGGGATAAGTGAGTGCACGTGATTTTGCAAGCGACACCTTTTTCACTGACCTACCGTCTTGGCCAACTTCACTTATGGGACATAGTTATCTATTGAACGTATAGTTCTGTGCTTGTAGAATCCCACTTTATCGTACTACCATCTGTGGTCGACGGGATGGCTGTGATTTCTAATAAATCTTGGTCTGTGCGCGATCACAATCCATTGCTCTTCATCCTTCGCTCTTTAGCCTTCATCCTCCATCCATCTTTATCTCAACGGCGTCCCTTTGAGCGCGGTAAAGCGCTATATAGTGATTCGCGTGCTTCGTGAACGTCTCTGGGTCAAGACGGCTTAGAAAGCGGCAAAGTCATCAACCAGTTTCGCCTTTTTGCTACAGGGTAGTTGCCTTCGCTCTCTGTTCATCTCAATGGTATCCAATTCGTTGTTTTTTCATCGAGTGTGCAAGTCCAATCGCTGTGCCCATACCCAAGGTATGCCCTAGGTTGCTGTCACTCCGCGCCAGGCTCTATTGCACGACGTCTTTCCTCCAACATCTGCCCTGTTATTCAATCCAGCTCTGAAGGAGGTATTTAGGGTATGTACTAGCAAGACTCACGATGTAATTGAGACGAACAAATCGGGTGATTATGTTGCACAAAAGATGTCTATTGGGTCTACAAAGTCAATCTAAAATTTCGTATCGTCATCAAGAACATTCTACTCTGCTCCATTTCTCCGCGATCTTACTACTATCAAGCACGCTTTGCCCAGCTCTCTACCAACCGTTCGTTAGCCCATAGCTCGATCTTCGGACCAATCACTCCGACTACTGTTCTTCTGGCGCCTCCTGGATTCCTTCCCGCGAGTTCGACGGACTTGGGGATGCGTCTCCGTAATCTTCGGGCAACTCGTCGTCTCACATCTCATCCATTCCGTTCTCAGATCCGTTCCTGGCGCCTACAAGACCGCTCTCAATGTCAGGATCTACCAAATCAATGTCGGCCCTACGCGTGGTATTGTTGATTCCTCCATCCAAATCTTCGTTCGTCGCCTCATCCTCGTCTGTCGCCTGATACACCGTATCTTCGTCCAATCCCTTGTGTAACTGGAATATCTTTTCCAGAAACTTCTTCCCTAGTGCTTTGAATTCTTCGCTTCCTCCTCCACACATTTCCACAAGACCATTTTCGCAGCCGTTCATCCAATCGTCGTCCACGTTGATTCCCTTTCGATCGTGTAGCGCGGTAAGGAGGTTCGGAGCGCCCTTGAAAAGTATCGCCAGCAAGAATGTTGTGTTGTGTTCCTGCAACATATGCGGGGCAAATTTGACTAGACGGTTGCAGTATTTCCTGTAATTATTGAAGACAATGTCTTCGTCTAGCAAGTTGTCCGCCACTTTTTCAGCTGAGGCATTACTCTTCCCCCGGAGCGGGTGGTCCCAAAGCTGCTGTGCAACTTCGCTGCATGTGACAACGTTCTTCTCGCTATACACGAGCGAGGAATCACTGGATTGAAACCTGGGCTTGTAGACAAGCGCTATCTCGTGGAAAGGTATGACATGACCCGCCCAATCCACAGCATGTTTCTCATTGCGCTTGATCTTCTTGTAGGCGGACGAAATTGCTCTCTGGGCTGCCAGCCAGGGTGAATTCCCTGACTGGTGTAGCTCGTGTTCCTTGACGTTATCTTGTGTAGTCTTGTCGCTCGCGAAAACATATGAGTCGTAAGTCAACTGTGGTCTCCATACTTCGTCGTGTATGCATCGCTTAAGAATCCTCCTGAGGATTCCGTCGTCCGGATTGGCCACGAACCTAGGCTCGTTGACAGGTGGAGGTCGATCGGAAGTGCGGTCGCCTTTTCCTTTGGCCCCCTTGTGGGCGACAGCTGTCTGGTGAGTTGTCTTTGCTCCACCAGACTTCCCTCGTAGATTCGCCGTTGCTGGACCTCCCTCGTTAGTCCCTTCGTCATCAGAGGGCTCTTCACGACGTTGACTCTTCGAAGCTGGAGCGCAGCTGCCGTGTGCATTGGATTTGGGCTTCTGATCCTGCTTCTGTTCCCTTAACTCAGCGATATGCTCATCTCTGGGGATGTCTCTCATATTTTCGACTACATCTGCATGACCTACCTTTGTTTTCGACAGCGTGGACACAGCTTTGCCGACAGTTGCGTTCGGCCCTCTACTGGCATCGATTCGAGCGGACCCCTCGTGTAGCCTACCTCCGCCTCCTTTGGGATGACCTCCGCGCGTTGGACCGAGGTCACTACCACGACGTATTCTAGGCTTGGCCTGGCCATCGTTCTTCTTTTGCTTCTTCGGCGGAGAATCTTCGCTTTCGGGGTCTTCTTCATCATCCTCAGCACGGCCGCGCTTAGAAGAGGTATGATTAATGGCCTTCCACCCTTGTTGAGGCATTTCTTCGCGGACCCTCTCCTTCTGATTTCTCGTGCCCTTTGCTGCGTTCGCGACGAGTCGGGCCTCTTCAGCATCAGGCATGACTTCGTTTCCATCAGTACCATCAGCATCCGTTTCTTCGCTGCGGCCTTGACTTCGTGGGTTCGGCGCACGTCTCCCAGTTCCCGTTGACTTGTTTCCGGGTCGAGTATTGGAATTCGGCTTCCTGGCCATGTTGCTCTGCTTCCCTTGAGCGGTAGCTCCACGGCCTGCCTTTTTCTTAGGCTGCTGATTCGGCTCTTTCCCGCGGCCAGGATTTTGATCGTCCTCGTCTTCTTCATCACTGTCAGATTCGTAGTTATCCCCCCCAGGATCATTACCCGCCTCAGCTTGCTTCCTCGCCTCCTTCAACTGGTCAACGAAATTCTGCGCAAGCTCTCGATGACTTTCGAGTGACGACGGAGCATACTTCCCCCCCGCCTCAATCTTTTTGATCTTCCTTAACGTCTTTCTCATATCCTTATCCATCCTGACACCGTTTTCGTCCCAATCGTACGTATCGCTCTTATTGAACCACACTTCACCGTGTTCAGGATGATTGTATTTGGCGTGGGTTTCTCTCTTGTTGTTCCACTTCTTAAGAGCGCTGCTATCCTTGACATCCCTTGGGAGACCCCAGCTGTCGTTCCAGCGGATCAGATATTGGGTCTGATATATTGGATTACCGTTTTGGTATGTGCCGACTCTGACGGTACGCCTTGCGCGGATGTCGACAGCGTCATATTGGTCGGCTTTTGTGAGGTTGGGTCGGTGGTTCAAGAAATTTCGCAGCTCGGATGGGACGTCGTCGCTGAAGTGGGTCGGGAGAGATGGACGTGCGGTTGCGCGTGCGGCTGCAGGTGCGGCGGCGGCGTCCTCTTCTTCCTCTTCCTCCTCCACCTCCGCATTTTCATCGTCGTCGTCAGCGGGGACGGCGAGGTTTCTGCGTGTATTTCTCGTTGTGGCTTTTGCTTTGGATCTGGTGATTTTCCCCTTGCCCTTATTAGCCGCTTTTGTCGTCTTGCTGCCCGCTCCTCCTTCGTCAATCAATTCTTCTTCTCCGTCGCCCCGATTCGCCCTTCTCTCGTCGTTGTTTCGGTGGATTCTGTCAAATCGTTGCACGACCTTGCGGCGGTCATGAGTGGCCTTGCGGCGGTTATCAGCAGCCATATCGCCACCATCGCTACCTTCGAGCATATCACCAACGCCCTGCTCCACCTCGTGGGGTTCATCAGCCTCATCACCACCGTCGACTTCTCCCCCGTCCTCAGCCTCGTCTTCCGTGCGTCCACCCCGAGCTGCCGGCTGCTCGATAGCCGCTCGGCCACGAGTGTGAAGCGTCGCAATCCCCTTCTTCGTCTTCGCGCTCGACTTGTGGGCTGCTTTGCCCGCATGGGCAGCGTCGTTTCCGGCGCCCTCGTTGTCGGATTCAACTTCCGACTGATCGTCGTCTGGCACACGAGCCGGGGTGTGCGGGCTCCGGTTCCTAGCTGCACGGGTCGTCGTTATCGCCCCTTTCCTCGTGCTCGCAGCCTTGGATTTTTCAACTGCTTGAGCAGGAATCTCATCATCGTCAGATCCGCTTCCCGCCGACTCGTCGTCTGAGGCGACAGGCGGTTCGATGACTCTACCCTTCTTTGCTGTACGAGTGGTTGCAGTTCCCTTTCTCATGCTCGTCGCTTTGGCTTTGCCCGCGGTTAGTGTTTTCCTAGGAACCGGAGTTTCAGAGTCGGAAGGCGCAGCGGCCGGTCGGCTTGTTGGGCGACGACGGAGTAAATCCTTTGGCCTGTGGGGCCGTTGCGAGGATCGCCGTTGACGTGCCATGGCACTATCAGTCCGCTGTCGGATGATAGAAGGTTGACAGGTGTGGTGGGTGTTCATCTTTTTGGGGACAGTAGCTGGGGGGAGGAAGGTTTGTGGAGAGTAGGATGGGGAGCGAGGAGAGGGCGGTTTTTATGCGAAGGGGTTTGGGGGTTTTGTGGTCGTGGGCTTTGTGGGTTTTTTTCGTGAGGGTTCTAGGGCGGTTGGAGAATGGGCTGGTTAGTTTACGGCAGGGCGAGTTTGAAAGAGGTGGGGTCTTAGGTGTTCTGGATGGAGCTATTGGGGTTTCTTTGGATGGTGTTGCGGATCTTAATACTGGACGCTGGACTTACCGGCCACGGTCTATGATACTTACTACGCCTTTTACAGCGTATTCCTAGCTACTCTGGGCATCCTATCATCACCAGAGTCCAGTATCGAGACAGAATTGCATCTATCGGGGTCAAAATATTCGTTTTCCCTTCTTCTCAACCCTCTGGATCTGCGTGGTCACTAATAACCGAAACACTCAGTGACAAAGCAGGCAGAGAACCATCCACGGACTTCTCTTCTACAAACATCTCGGTGGCAGTTCTAGTAGCAAGCGCTTCCTCGCTGTGATGTCGAACGACTTGGAAGATCTCGGTGATCCCTACTGGACAACAAAGAGAAAGAGCAGCTATTGTCTCACCATGCGGAAGAACGCAGAAGTAAGCAGGTTCTATTGCCATTCGAAATCTTCGTTCCTATTCCATATCGCGGGCCTGCGTTCACTTACAGTAGCACAACGAATCACTTCCATCTCGAGCATCGAGGTCCTCTCATTCGTTCATTCATTCAAACACGCCTAGGCTACGACGCATGCACGCCAAAATCCCCAAACACGCCTCCACAAAGCCAAACATAATCTATTCGCGTTCAAACTCCCCTCCCTCCCTCCCTCCCCATCCTATCTCGCGAACGAGTTGCAGATCTGTCCCATTTCCAAGCTCCTAATTCCAGAACCCCACAGCTGGCGATCCGATATCGTCCGCTCCAAACCCCCCCATCTCCCAGTCCCGCAAACTCGGGTCTAGTGTTTGCTATCCCCCAGATAGCGATCCTGTTGTGCCGGCTCTTGGTATCGTGGAGCCTCCTGGGAGCGTGGAGACTCCTGGTAGCGTGGAGCCTCTTGATATCGTGGTGGATTAGGTTCTTCGTAGCGTGCTGGTGCGGGTGTAGGAGGAGGCGGCCTGGCGTCTCTGGCCTTCTTCTTGCCCAGGGCGTAGGCGCCGAGGGCGACGAGGCCGAGTTTGATGTAGGCCATTGTTCGATAAGAAGCTGGTAGGAGATGAGTTGTAGGAGGGGGGTTGGAGGAAGATGGCTTGCTAAAGAGAGAGTAAGACGGGGTTCGATGGAGTGGACTGAACACTCTGGGCTTGAGGTTTGAGACAAAATGGATGATGAGGCGTGTGAAACGAGGTGGTTGGCTTGGAGTTGTGTTGAGCTGGTTGTTGATGAGTGTCAGTGTAGAACGGAGGGAGTTGTGGTTTTATATTGAGAATGGGTGTCGAGAGATGCTTTTGATGCGCTCAGGGACGCGCTCAGGCGCGGGGCTGTGAGCGCTGGGCCTCGTGGTTGAGAGCCACTGTGACGGGGTTCTGTACGGCGAAAGGGTTTCGGCGTCGTCAGTGGTAGACGCGTGAAAAGAGGGCGCCGTATACACGAGATCGTGATTGGATCACCGACGGTCTGCGGTGGTTGTGGCAGTGCCGTAGGGCTGGGGCGGGGACGCGCGGGCGCTGAGCCCTCGCTTGACGGCCAATCAGGAGGGGTGGTGAACGACGTGACGATCTCGGGACGGGAGAAGTAGAGCTTGCGAGGATTGAGATAGGTAGGGCTTGCGAGTAATGATCGCTTGGATTTGTCTGCAGGATGCTACGACGACCGCATCTAGGATATACGACATAGAAAAGAGCCGTCAACTCGCTGTTCAGCTTTCTGAATTCCTCCTGAAATTGTCCGTAGTAGTGCAGATGCCCTCTCTAAATTGAAGCAGTTTTATTGGCTCTTCGTGTATCGATGCAAGTGGGTGGTCCATTATGATGCGACCTCGGGTTTGGATCTTGTGACCTCCATGGTTTGGCTGGAGTAGAGGAATCAGTCGTAATGGAGATCGTAACTGCTCCCTTCCGGTTAATGGTCTTCCAGGCACTCACTGCGGTCACAGTACAAGATCCATTGTTCTCCTTCTCCGAGTGTTCCGTAACTGGGTCATTTGTTAAGGTCGGGTTGTCCGGGCTGGTGACATGAATATCTCGAGATGATGAGATTGTATTGTCTCCGGCGACGAAGCTGGAGGGTGGCGAGGACCACGGCGTCGGCCTGGTTGGCTTGCTTGCTGTAGGGAATCCATATTTCTCATTCTCGAGGTATTTAGAAGATGGAACAGCTGGTCAGGCTGGGTGGATGCAATCGACGAGACGGCATAGTTTTCGGCGGCACGACGTACGGGTAGTCAAGATGCCGGCATCAATCACAGACCATGATCTCCGCGGCTTTGAGGCTTTTGAACCTCTCCAGCTCTGCAAGCTTCTCCTCGTCCTCGGTCGCCTGGCGTGGATGGGTCTGGAGTAAGTCGTAACCTTTCAGCTATTGTAGACACCTTCAGGCTTCCACCACCTGCTCCGCTGCGAATTATTTTCTTACCAGTCGGCAGGCTGCATCAATCAGTGTACTGCTCACTGCAGTGTAGGCTGTGTACAATCGATCGGTTTCCTTTTCAACTTCCCTCCATGTTGTATGCTCTAACTTGGAATTCGGTACTGGGAAACTCCGAACGCTCCCTCGGGCGACAAGGAGGTCCGAAGACCGCCGCGAAGGTAAACGAACGGTGTCGGTACGGGTGGGGTTTGTTGAGGCGTCCAAAATCTCGTCGTCGTTCAAAGTGAAGGAAGAGCTGGCTCCTCTGATACCGGACGGCATGTGTGGTTTTGGCTCTGAGACCAAGGGTAGCTAAGATGGATCGTCACCGTCGAAGCTTTGGAATGGGTTGGTAGCTGGGAGTTTCCACGCTGTTTGTGTCTCTTTCGGCTTTGCTGGACTGTTTGTTACTCGTTCATATAGTCTCGGGAATCTTCGAGTTTTCTATGTTTCAGTGAGAGTAATATTGTAGATTTTATAAAGGAACTTACAAGCTGTATCAACCGCGTCTAGTCTCTACTGCTGAGGCGGGAAAACAAGCGGGCTTCGTCTTCGAAGCTCGCGAGGAGGCCGCGCATGGTCGCGGACTGTACGATGTTGTAAGATGTGCTACCTAGACCGGCAAAAAGGGCGTTGCTAGGATCGCTCAGCGGAGTGATCTTCTCGAGGTGCGTAGTTTTCAGATCCACCGGAGGTGATGGAGAAGGATAAGTAGACGTTTTGATGTGGCATAGGCTTCACGAGCTAAGCCAAACCGCCGGACTATGTGGAGGATTTCGTGAGAACGAAGACGCGACACACTCCTTCCATAAGACAAGGCAGCAATTCAGTAATTTGTAAGTCTTGTAGTGGAGCGTAAACAGAGAGTTGTGTAAAAAAAAAAGGTTAGGACCTCCAGGGCTCGAACTCCTTCCCCTCACGTCGCAACAAAACACAAAAAAATTTTTGAAGCTACTCTTTGATAGAGCGTGTCATCCTTAGTGCAGGGGCCAGGCTAATCTTCTCTGTATCGCTTCAAATTGACCAAATGCCCGAAGGCGAAGTGCGTTGAATTTCTTGGAAATATATACGCTTAGACGTGGGCGGGTCAGTGCGCAGTTGTCACAACAATGGGACTACAGGCCGCGAGAACTTCGGCAAGAAGCACGCCGCCGTGGCTGGGTGTCTACTGTGCTTGGCCTTCGCGTCGTGTTCGGAGTTCTCAAGCCCATATGGCTGCCCCAAGCACGCCCACACTGACGGCAGGACACAGTTCCTAAGTTTAAATGGAGAAATTTTGACTTTTGGAGCCTTCACTAGCTCATGATGATTAACGTGCTCTGAATTTCAAAGTGACGCTCAGACTGAAGTGATTGTCCAAGTTTTAAGGCAACTCACCATGGTCGGACGACGTGAATGTGCCGCCATCGAGCACTCCCACCTCAATTCACTGGACCTAGTGTCAATTCAAGGCATAAGAACCTTCCTCTTTCTTGCACTTCCTCAACCGCTTTCATCCACCACATCCCCCAAAGACCTACCAACTCCCCAACCGTCGTCGTCGACGCCCTGGAACACTCATATCCTAATTCACCAGGACCAACTTCTCCTTGGGGTACAAAACCTCCCCAGCCTTCGTACGTCGACTACGCTTCCTTCTAAAACCCCCACGAAACACCCCACACCACGCACTTCTCACTAAATCACACTCGACAATCCACAACAAGTCCACAACCATGAGTTACTCCCAAGACTACCTCCGGTATGGACTGTGCACCACGGACGAAGACCACCGTCTCCACGGAAAGAGGTGGTGCTCCCGGCCAGCCAGAGACCGCGCAGTGATAGATGCCCGTGTCCAGGCTCACGAGAAGCAATCGAGCAAAGCTGTACCGGCCTCGTACCTGTCTGCGGCCGCTGAGAACCGGAACATCGTCATTGTCAACTCGTTCACCGTCACGGGCTTGGATAACGGCCAGAAGGACGCTATTGCCCAGGAATACAACACTGAGGAGGACGCGAACATGCTTTACGACCCCACCCCAGCTCTCCGACATACTGCAGAGCTCGAGGCCGCCGAAGCCCTCTTGTTACTTCGATACCCACCTGGACAACGAGGGGTCCCGCTCAACAAACTCCGTGAGTTCGTTATGGGAGATTCCTCGTGCCAGCAACTGACGCCCTCTACACCATTTCCAGTCTTCCAGCACCCCGGAGGCGTTCCTTTGAACATATTGGGCTCACCATTCCAACCTCCAATGGGTCACAACAGCCCAGTCTCCCCTTTCCAATTTCCAGTGGGTAACAACAACGCACAAGTTCTCCCTCGTCCTCGCCCTCGCCTTAGCCATGTCCCAACAGGCTACGAAGGACCCACGTTCCAGCAGTTCATGTCTACTACCCGTGATGCTCAACCGCCGGCAGCGCCTGGTAGAGTCTCGCCATCCCACCGCATGCCCGCCTATGAAGGCCCAACCTACCCACCACCTGTGCCCTTACCTCAGCTCGCGCTCATCACTCGGCAACCCCTTACTCTTATCAATCCGCTTACAGCGGTGCCTGCTCCTAACATTCCACCTCCGCCTGCCCCCGTGTCAACACACGCCCGTCCCTCCACCGCCACCACGCCCACCGCCCCGCTGCTGCCGCACGCCTGCCCCTCCTGCGGTAAGGCCTACGCAGAGCGGAAGAGCTTGTCCTACCACATGCACCGGGCGAAGAGCCGGTGCACGGATCCGCCGGGTTTGAGCGAGCGGGTGAAGGAAGAGCGGTTCAAGCCGTTCAAGTGTGAGGGGTGTGTGGAGCGGTATCAGCATGAGTCGCAGTTGAGGAAGCATCGGGAGGTGACGGGGTGCGGTAGAGGGAATGCGGTGGAGGGATAGGGGATAGAGGGAGGGGAGAGAGATGCTTTTTACCCGACGAGCTGAAGTGGAGCTGGATATACTGCGCTTTGTCTGAATCATCGGGTTGGTAGGCTATGATTGGTCTTGGGGAGAGCTCCAGTGTTGCATGCTCAATGTCGCTGTTTGGAGGAGCTTAGCTGAAAAGGAGCTGGCTGGTCAAGACATCGCTCTATCTGAAAGGTGGTGAGCTTACAGCATATCCTGAGGTTCGAAATCCTCTTGGGGCTACCCTAGGTGAGGGTGCATAGACTGTTAGTAAAGGTTGCAGAGTTGAATGTGGTTGATGGCTGAGAACTTAGACGAGCTTGAAATAGAAACTAAATTTGGAAGAGTGCGGATAATGATACGACTGTGGATAATGATACCATCATTTGACACTTGGAGACGTACTACGATTTCGATTGACCCAACTAGAAGGAATTAATCTTACAAAGGTAATAGCAAGCGTACTTCACACCATCCTTCTCACTTTGACCATAGCTCTCAGCATGCTTTGAAACGAAGTAGAACTTAGCCTCTTCTCCTGACTGAACCAGTTTACGTCACGAAAAGCACACAGTCCTCCCACCTTCCACTCATCCCCCACCGTCCGCACACCTCTCAGCATGCCTCTTTAACCTATCCTGCCAATCCCTCCCACAATTACTACAAGTGTACCGCTTATATCGCCCTCTCGCTCCTTCCTTCCAAGCCCCTCAGGGTCCATACACCGTGTCCGCAGATATAGGCTGTGATACCCATAGCTGCTGTCACCACCTAGCTTCTGTAGTGTCACCTTCAGGCGAGCGACTATAGTAGATACCAGTCTTCCAGGGTGCCGTTCCTCTTCACGAAGCAACCCAAGCTTTTTACTTCGACACCTCCTCTCTGTTGATGCTCCTTCATCTTGATCTCTAGATGGCGCAATAGTAACGGCCATGTCGTGCATTCAAGAAAGTTCGAGAATGCTAAGATCTTTCCGGGGCTTGTCGTCCATACTACAATATGAACCAATACTGTGGCCATTGGAGCTCCGGATGGGAACACCAGCATAACATCGCACATGCCGTTTATTGACGACATAAGATTTGTTCTTGAAGCGGTCATCCAAAGTCAAGTCATTTACGGTGAAAGATGTGACGTCGATGTTGCCGGATTCTGTAGCCTCTTGCATCATTGGCATCTTGACAGTATAATCGCAGAGCCCATTGCCCTTAGTGAATACAGCTCGACCCCGCTGTAGGTTACCTTGGGGGTCTAGGGCTGTGCCGGTCTGCAGTGACAAAGTTCGGGTGGCTTCCAATCGCGTATGCTTCGCGTCAGAGGTGGGCTGGCTGAGGCCATTGGCAAACGCCCCATACTGAGCAATGAACTTTTGTGGTCTGTCGAATCGGCTGAATGGAGTACGCCGGAGACGAGTCGGAGCGGAGATGCGTGGTTGAGGTAGCGGACGCTGGGGGAGCTGTTGGTCGGACGATGGTGTCCATGCAGAGCTTCGCTGGTGTCCACTATGGACAGAATCAGTGGTTCTGATAGTGGCGCAGTAGTTCCGATATCTCTTCGCCGTCGTCGGAGCTCTCGGAGCGTGCGGAAATGATGTTAGGTGGTGTGGGTAGTTACGGTCTCTGGGTAGAAAGTTCTGACTCGTCCGGCGGTTAAGGCGGTGATGTCCCATCTGCCAGCGGCGATCAGAGAAGGACGGTCTGGTAGAGTAGCTCAATTGTGGACCTGCTTTGTGTCACTTTAGTCGACTGTCGGAGGAGACAGCAATATGCGGTTGTTGGTCGGGGACGGGCGTTCGCGCAGTAGAGGCTGAACAGGCAGGCAATTTGGGGTCAGATATCTCTGTTTGCAAAGGTAGGGTGTGCGGAAGCTGGTATAGAGGTTGAGATAAAGCTGAGAGTGTCGGAACGAGGTATTACGAACGTTCGAACAAGTGTGATCTAGCAGATATGCAGAGAGTACGGGAAAGTAGATTTAAGTCGGGGCATTGTTGCACAGCCCGAGGAATGTGATTATGGAGGTATAGATAGGAGATTGAGGCTCCACGGAGACGCGGAGGAGTGGGTGACTGGGGAAAGCGATTCGTGCACTGACGGAGACGGAGATGACGCTGTCTTTTGAAGGTCAATGACTCTGTGCCAGACCCAATAGCGGAGTAGTCTTACTCGGCACCATGCCAGCCTTTATCTTGCGTATGGTGAAGGGCTCAGATTCGACTTTCGTCTTGCTTCTGTACATGTAGTGTGATTTTGAAATCGACAATAATGGGAATGTGTTTCCGAACGAGGTCTGTGGTCGACATGCCGGCAGATCACTCCGCTGCCGCCAGTCGAAGTCAGAGTCTCAGCACTTAAATTTAGCCGCTCAAGGTCTTTCCTGCACATGAGTCCTTGGATAGTATATCACGGAGCTCCGCATCGGCAGAGGAAGAGTCACCTTTCCAAGTACAGGTGTCAGAATACCGACGAGTTGTGTCATAATTCCGAGGGTCCAAATCGCAATCACGGAGTCACAGTGATGTCAAAACAAACGGGGTTTCCCGCATGTATTCGCAGAAGCAAACTTGGAAGAGTTTCGCCGAAATTTCCAGAGCAGCGGTCTTGTAGACAATCTCAATAACAAGCAGCACATCCATGGAAGAACTTGGAATTCTCACGAGAAAGCAGCAAACAACCCTAAACTGGCTGATTAAAAGGCACGCCGCTATCTCCATTGCTCGGAGCACCGCATTCCTCTCCATCACCACCTTTCATCTTTCCCACTCGCAAAACGAGTTTGTAGACAGTCATATCGCACGCCAACCTTGAGTTCCTCCATTCGCCAACATGGGACCTAAGCGAGTAAAAGACAAGACGCCGGCCAGAAAAGGAGTCGCAAGGAAAGTCAGCACGCGATCGGCTGATGAGAGCTCGCGATCCAATGCCACGCCAGCCGCAGAACGCCTAAAACCACTTGCACAGCAGATCGAAGAATCCGACATCCCAAAGAAGTTCAAGGAAAGCCTCAAAATGACCGCTGCAGAAAGAGACCCCAAAATGTTCCCGATCGTGGACATTATCTTACAGCAGACATACCCCGGTTTCTCAGACAGAAAATCAGATTACTTGGTTGAATGGGAAGTAGCCTGGGCATCCGAAGACAGGGTGAAGAAGAGTGTTCTCAAATACTGGAAGGACCTCAAGACTGATAAAGACGAGTTTGGCCAGCCGCGTGTCGATACGAGTATCGAGAACGTTATTATCAACAAGGACTACCTTCTCCCGATATCAGTGGGAGGCATCACGTTGCAAGAAGCTACGAAAACGGCGCTGCTGGAGATAAGAGAGGTTGAGCCTGAAGGAACGTACTCTTTCAAGCTACTTCGACAGCATTTGCGAACTATCACCACCCTTCAGGAGCAATATCGCTCGATGCTAATGGAGCACGGCCAATTAACAGATCACGAAACTCCTCGTCTTGAAGAGCTTCTGAGGTGTATCGTCACGACCTGCACGGAGAGGAGAGTATGGAATCCAGACCGCGTACAAGGACTCTATACTCTCTCTTTGCCCGATGGGGACGACAATCTCAGAGAGACTGTAGAATTTCTGGATGTCGAAAATGCGGCCCTTGAAGCTTGGAGTATTCTTGAAGGGAAGTTTCAAGAGGAACCTGAAGGTAGTGTAGAGACCTTTCTCAAAGACTACGAAGATCTACGAGTTACATATCTTCCAGACCCCACCATGGGAACTAAACCTAAGCGCGCAGCCTTGTGTTTCATAGACCTGGTTGACACGATGTGGAACAATCCGCTCCTCCGGATAATGGAAGCGGCACCAAAGCCGGGACATGACAACACACTACTTGAGGTCAAGTTTGCAAAGAGCTTGAAGGTTCTTGTGCCGGACATTGTGAATTACGCACCGCACATGCTGCATGAGAACAACGAGACACTATTGCTTGCCCGGCTTTTCTATTCAAGAGATGAGCTCGAGCAGCTCCTCCGAGAGAGACATATTCATGTGAGAGATGACTGGCTATACGAATGCGAGGGAAAGCTTCTGCTCAGCCTGCAAGATGAACATGACAGTCGGAGTCTAGAGGAATTGAGGAAGACCTTTGATGAATTGCACGAGCACATGCAGAGACTTCTGAAAAAGGAGTAAGCATCTGAGGTGGAGGATCTCGAGGAGGAGGTGCCCGAGGAGGAGGCGCCTGTAGAGAGCGAAGCGCCCGAAGTAGGGGTTAGACGGTCAAACAGAGGGAATGGTAACCCAAAGAAAGCTTGATCAATATGACTCTACGCTGTTTTGGGGTTTCCAGGCCGAACTATCAATGATGTGAGGGAGGTGCGCTTCATTTCGACCACAAGCTCTTACAACTCGTGCATGATGTAGGACCCTCAACCTGTAAATAGAATGACTAATCAACATTCATTGAAAAGAAGTCCACGTACTCCTCATGACTCGAGTGACAGCTGGTGACCTTGTCTCTTTCTCCACTGAAAAAATGCGGAGCTTTCCACGCTACACGTGACGCAACTCTGAGTGTAAATGAATAATAGAATTTGACATGCGCCACTTGCCATCATGTAGCCCTAAATACAAAAATCGAAATATACATACCCATTCGTGTCATCTCCGCTAGGATATAGCTTGAGTACGCGGAATTGACATCAAACATAGAAGTCTCATGAGGGTTAGTTACTTGTGAAATAACTGGAACATTGCGAATGAGCTTCTACAACGTTCTAAGGGGTCGTTTTCGTGGGTTGGAGAGAGGTCCAGAAGACTCATCGAAGCCAATTACAGCAAACGCTTCGTTCTGTAGGCTACTTAAAACGATCGTCTCCGCCCTTGCTCTTCTGGTATTGCAAACCACTTCATCACGGACTCGTATACTCAGCAGCCCAAAGCCGTGCACCATTTCTCTGAACAAGAAATTGTGGAAGCCTTGGGCACCTCAGCAGGAGACGAAATCAATAAGAATAACGAGTATGGCATGGCCAACGTACTAATAGAGCGAAAGAAAGCTAAGAAAGCAAAGAAAAACAACAAGCTCGAATACTATGTGGAGTGGAAGAAATGCTGGGTTGAGGAGCTCCAGCTGAAGCCTGAAGCCAAGAATGATTGGAATCAGCTAAAGCGTCAGGGTGGGGTGGAAAAGAGACATGGAGTAACCATGCATAAGGCGTGTCTACCCCCGCGGGCCGAAGGAGGAACTTCTCTAGATCCAGAGGAGCGAGAATCGTAAGAAAATGTCAAGAGCATTCATCCTGAAGGAACCTACTCCGAGAGAGCTATGTTGGAGCAGTTCAGGGCTATTACAACCTTCAGAAACTACTACAAGAGGATCCTTGTGAGCCGATCCAAGAGCCTTCTTGGGAGGATATTTCAGATGTGTCAGGAAGCTAAAGTGTGGGATCCAAAGCACGCGAAGGGCTGCTACGAATATTACGAGGACGATGGTGAACGGATGCAGCTCGATGAAGGGACGAAGAGCGTTGATCAATTGATACAAATGGCTTTGAATTCCCTCTCCGCGAATAGTTCGAGGACTTTGACGTCCATCCTTGAGAAATACGATGAAATCAAAGTCGTCTATCGACCCCCAAATGGCACTAGTCCAAGTCAGCCAATTCATCTCCGACAATTGATTAATGCGATGGTAGGACATCGACTCAGAGAGACGGCGACATCAGCCGAAGAAACGGCAGAAAAGTTTCTCGGCAATAACTTTGAGATCATGGAGTGGGAGGAACCGATGAAGAAGATGATACGTCGAGCGCCGCACATGCTACACACAAGCAACGCTACATTCCTGATCGTAAGGCTCTTCTACTCATTGGAGTATATTACCAAATGTCTCCAAGAGAGAAATATCAACTGGTATGAGAATGAGCTCAAGGGGCGCGAGCAGACACTGCTAGCAACCCTGGGGGATGAGAACGACAAGGAAGATCTGGCGGCACTGGTGGAGAGCTTTGAAGTTCTGCGTGAGTTTACGCAGGAAGTTCTGTCCGAGAAAAGAGTTTTCTACGTCAAATAGTACCGTGGGCCTACGGGCAAGTTTGGCGCATCGAAACAGCTCTGATACCCTATATTAGGGTGTTTTAGAGCTAGGTGATGCCACGGAACTTAAATGGCTACTGCCGGCACCCCTTCAGTGTTAGCAATGTTAGACTTCGGAATCAAGTAACTTTTTGTTTTGACTTGCTATGTGTGACCTTTTGAGACTAGTTGATGAGAAGGTGACGGAAAAGGCAACAGTAAAAGCCCGACTCCACCAGACAAAGACACCGTGTGAGAATTGGTCAGATTGCTTGTGTTTTGAGGCATAGTCGTGATTCCGGAAGACTCAGAAGTCATCCGATACGAACCGTTTGTTAGAAAGGGACTTCGACGAGAGGCTGGCTTGATTTGGAATATCCACGAAGCTTGGCGCGGAGAGATCCTTTCAAGCTAGCTTATGTAACCAAAGCCGTCGTCTCCGCTCCTTTGCAGTTGTTTGCCTCATACCACCTGCTGTGGATGATGAAACCCCTTGTCCAGGCTCGCCACTACATCTGCGGTCATGGCCCGAAGCAAGAACTCCCATCCAAGCGCAAGCAGAAGTCCAGCTCAAAGCCACCACTTATGACAACCCGAAAACCGGCTGCTAAGAGCATCAACAAAACGCAAAAGAACGACCGAGTGACCTAAACGAATGCACAAAGCCTCGCAGGGTGCCCCTCCGTAAGTAGACGAGACGATCATCTCAGAAGACTGCAAAGCTGGTTTGAAGATATTCACGAAGCATAGGAATCCTCTGTCACCGGAATCAAGGCTATCGTCTTGCAGTAAACCCATCGTAACGGCAACAAGGAGGATTGCGTTGTATGGCATAACGGATGGGTATCTTAGGCGGCAGTCAACAAGAACGCTTGGGAGGGATGGAAAGGCACGTGAGAGAAGGCGGGAGACTGGCTCGATCCAAGCATCGAAGGCGTGGCGATCAACAAGGCGGCAAGGCCTATCTTCCGTCAAGAATGGAGGGGTTATTACATGGCTATAACAGTACAACGGCCAAGGACAAGATTGTTTGACTACACTGGATGATGATGCAAATTGCACGTGATGATATTACAATGACTTCCACGTGCTGACAACCATGGGAGGTGGCCTAGATTGGCATTCAAAAGCGAAAAAAGATGTTCAGCTCTGTAGGGCATAAACTGCACTAGGTAGTTTGTTGTTTGTTTTCTAGGCATCTTCCACCGCGGCACGTGGTATAACCATGCATAATATCCTTTGACAGGATATCAAAGATTGGAAAGCCTAAGTTGAATGGCCGAACTCATGAGAGTTTCTAGCTAGTGAACGCTGCCTGAGGTGCCCTAGCTATGCAGAAAGGTTTGCGATATGATGTTAGAAGCTCCAGATTGTAAAATCAACGGCATGGAGTAAGAACCGTATTCCAGGATGGAGCCGCTGCGGGAGGTGCTCTAGATGCCCTTGAAGTTAGTGACAGATGGTGAACGACTGTAGACTATAAATTGAACAAGCTAGCATCACATTGACTCTCCTGCTAGAAGCCGCTGTCAGACTGCCTTTGGGATTCCCTGCGAAATTTCAAGAGGAGACGGTGAAAATTAGAGAGGTTACAAAGCTACTATATTTCCAGGTGCCTGTCGGCGTCTGAGGTGGCCTACAAAGGCGTAGATCTGCAGAATAGGATGTCAAAGATTTGAGTGTGAATTGCACGTGACGGAACAGAAGGGGGTTTCCGGGTGCATACCATTGCAGGAGGTATGTCACGTGCTGGGAAGATTTTAGGTAAATATATTAATTCAGAGGGTGAGTATCAGAAGGAACAAATCTACTACTCTTCCAGGTATTTGCCGGCGTTGGAGGTGGCCTACATACGTGTAATACCGTAGGAAATAGTGTCTAGAATCAGAGGGTGTGGTTTGCACGTGATAGAGCTCCAGGAATATTCTGGGTGCACGCAACCACGGGAGGTGGTCTAGATTGGCGTGAAGGTGCAGAGTAGGATTTAAGACATTAGATGGTGCACATCAGAATGGGTGCAATTACACTACTTCTTAGGATTTACTAACGTCAGAGGTGCCCTCACGTGCTCTTAGGTTTCCAGATGGATGTCAAAGCTTGGAGGGTGAATATGAGAAGGGGTGTGAATCCGGCTGCCGGCGTTTGGGGTGACCTACATCATCATTACACTCCGCAGCGCCAAGCAGCGAGGACAACACGATCATTCACAGTCAAGCCGAGAATGGCACCTCTCTGGGCATGCAAAGACCTCTTTACACTTCCCACAGGGTTTGCTTCTTCGAAAAACTCTCGTACCCCCCACCACCATCTACTTTGACTCACACTCTATCTCTTAGCTTGCCAGCTTGACCGGTATAACACTACGTCGGAAATCTGCGCTCATAATCACACTGCTGCTTGGTTACCACTTTGGAAGCTGGACATCACTGTCGGTAGTAGCCCCGTTGCTAGGTAGCCGGTCAGGCAAGAGTTCAACTAATTTGCAGTGCCGACCTTGGTATCGTGTCGCCAATATCCCGCCGATTGAACGCCGCCCTTGCTCCATCGATACCACTGTGAGGAGTGGCCCAGCCAGTAGAAAGTCGTTTAGTCGGGAGCATGCTCGTCGAGGCAGACAAGGAAAACCTCATAGCTGAAGATCAAGATGCTGTGGAAGCTGTCGATGACTTCTTCCGTGCGCCGTTGGAGGGCTTCGAAGATATCGTTGATCTGCCTAGACTTCGAAGGCATACCATCCTGGAGTCCTCTTCCTCCTCTTCCTCCTCCTCTTCTCTGTCTCCTCCACGATCTCCAACGTCTTCTCACACTCCTTCAAAGCGTCAAGGACCTTTCGATTCGCCAGAGGTGCTTCCAACTTCGAACCGTCAGATTCCACCCTTTGATCCGCCAACACAAGCCTCATCGTTGATTCACCAACCTACGGCATCTCTAAGCTCCAGGATTCTCCCGCCGCCCTAGGCTACCCACACACCCGGTCACTTCCATCTAGGTAACTATGTTCTTCCTACCCATACCCCAAACACCTTTCACCAAGGTCTTGAGACCACTCTTCAGCCTGTTGGTAGGTGGAACGCTTCTGGACCGCTGTTTCTAACCAAAAATATGGATGGTATAGCCTATAGATCAGGCCTAGCCACCGACGAGCAGGCTCCTCCCCCTCCCAATCCCGTAAAGAGCTCACTAACGGCAACAGTTCTGAGGCAAGGCGCAGTAGTAGTGCAACCATCTCGGACCGCCCTCCACGTCCCTACGATACCAGACACAGCGACTCCTCGCGCAGGCGCCGCTACTAGCAACAACTCTACGGAGCGACACAAACGGACCTTCACATGCTCGAATTGCGGGAAGGAGTATGGGACTAGGGAACGGCTGAAATACCATCTCCATGAGGCGAGAAACCGGTGTACAGACCCGCCCGACATGACGGAGAAGGAGAGGGATGAGCGCGACGAGCAATTCATGGTTCACAAATGTCCGAATTGTGGGAAGCGGTTTCGTAACACGGCCAACCTCAACATGCATCTGAAGACTTGCGCCAGCGCTTCGAACCCCAGTGCCTACGGGCAGACCCCGCTCGCTCCGACCACTACACTTGCGCCTGCTGGGCAACCTCCACGAGTCGGCTACCAGCCCAGGGCGACCGCAAATCTCCACACCACTCCGGAGAGGAAGAAACACAAGTGCGATAACTGTGGCGTCACCTACACCTCCTGGAGCAGGCTTCACTATCACCTTCACGAAGCTAGGGACAGATGCACGGATCCTCCGGAGATGACCGCGGAGGAGAAGGACGAGCGAGCGAAGGCGTTCTACAAACACGTTTGTCCGCGGTGTGGGAAGGGCCACCGAAACCAGGCAAATCTCAACTGGCACCTTACGCATCAAATCTGCGGCGCCGCAGCTGGCAATACTACCTCATCCCTCTTCGCCCAGCCCACACCAGCATCGGCATCAACTTCTTCTGGCACGGCGATCCAGACGACATCGAGCTTTGGACAAGCATCGCAAGCGCATCCTTCTGGGTGGATGCCGATCAATGAGGGTGAGGACAATGGGGATGCAGATGAATAGAGAAGGTTTGATAGACTTTGGAAAGTATTTTTATAGGTAGTTGGGCTACCTCAAACAGCGCTGTGGGCCCAGAAAATATCACTAACTCAACTATGTCCAATTTACGCTCTCCGATCATTAACATCTTGCCTTGCAGCTTTTCATCAATCTGGGCCACCCCTAATGCCGGCAAGCACCTAGAAATGTTGTAGATTTACATCCTTTCTGATATCCACTCTCGAATCCTTGACATCCGCCTTGAAATTTTTGAGCACGTGAGGGCACCTCCTACAGCGTCATCACCCCTCCAAAACAGCACCACCTTCCAATTTCAACATCCATATCAATCACCTTTGCACTAGTGTTCAAATTAGAAGTATGAAATCGTATCATTGACTGCATGTTTGGCCTCATTGAAGCTGGAAGGAACCCCTATCTACTATTCCCAGAACTCCTCTCGCTGCATGCTGATATGAAGCCCGTTCTAAACGGGACAACTACTAACCGGAAGAACCAGGGGGAGGGGCCACACTTCCGCCAGGAGAAGCACCAGGACCGCCATTGGTACCCGAAGCAGAAGAACCACCAACACCGCCATGTCCAAAGAAGCCACCATATCCACCCGCCGCCTGACCCAAAGATCCACCATCAGGGCCCGGAGCCTGCATCACGCTTCCGCCCAAAGATCCGCTTCCGTTGCTTCCACCACCATTTATCCACGTCGCCTGGCCACTTCCGGGAGTTGTTGAGGACGAAGCCACCGCCTTGCGGTACTGTCGGGGACGACTTGTCCTGCTCTTAGGGGTCGCCGACACCGCCTTGATCTTCTTCTGGAGCTCGTTGGCCGCCGAGTCAAAGCCCCATTTGTCCTCTTGGGTCAGCCAGCCTAGCAGATGTTTCATCAGTTCCGACTTCCTGTGGGACATGGTGGAGCCCTCCACACGGATCCCGCTCTCAGCGAAGCGTGAGCAGATTTCAGCTCGAGGGATGATTAAGAGGACGATGAGGAGCGAAATGTTGTCATTGTCCAGTAGATGGGGCGCGAAGTCGATGATTGAGCGGCCTTGGTGTTGGATCTCCTGCAGGCGATGGGGGGCCGTTGCGTGGAGGATCTCGAAGGCGGTGTCCCACGGGCGCGTCATATCTTTGCACATGTGGTTCTCCAACTGCCACGCCACGCTCTCGACCGAAATGGGGTAGATCTGGGTGCGGTCGATGGCATTTGTGGCGTCCGAGGACACAGTGCCGGGGACGTAAATGACCTCGATGTCGTCAAATGGCGCATCGCGTGCGACTGCTTTGCCCTTACCCTTTGCAGGGTCGGCGTGCGCCGTGGAGGCCTCCGCGGCAGTGTCGCGCGCGGCCTGCTCTTGAAGAGCCTCTTCGTCGGTTATAGGGCCTACGTTTGCGGCGGCGTCTAGGTCGGCTTGACGCTTCAGCTCCTCTCGGGCGCCCTTGATGGCATCAACTGGGGCCATGAAGCCAAAAGATTGGGCCAGGGCCTGGGAGCCAGGAGCCCACTCAAAGCGCGAGAGTTTACGTTCGACGTCTTGTGGTCTGATCCACTTCTGCAGCCAGGGCTGCTCGGCCATAATGTAGCATAAGACCCGTGTAAGGGCCTTCTGCTGCTTCTCGCCAGGGCTCAGAGGGGCGCCGGCGGGGTAGTAGAGCGACTCGGTGAGGGCATGAGCCTGCTTGATGATGCGGTTGCGGTCATTGTATGTGGGCTCTCTGCCGTTGGGTAGTTGCTCCAGCAGCGAGGCGAAGGCCTCCAAGAACTTGTCGTCGAACGGCACAGTTGGGTCGACTGCAGGCTGGGTTAGCGGTGTGACGCGAAACCGATGAATGTTGATGAACGTTGGACTTACCGGAAGACTGCGCGGCTTGCACGGCCTGCGGAGAGGGCGCGAGCGGGCTCAGGCTGACGTTGTTCATGATGGATGTTGATGAAGGAAGGAAGATGGAGGAAGGAAGGTGGAGGAAGGAAGGTGGAGGAAGAAAGGTGGTTGATGGAGGAAGAAAGGTGGTCGAAGAGACGAGGTTGTAAGTAGATAAAGTGAGGTAGGCGGTGAGCCGGGCAAGTCAGGTGCTGAAGCTTGTTGATGAAGCTGAAGTTGTCCAGCTGATGCAGCAGGAAGACTTGATGGAGGAAGAAGCGTAGGAAGAAAGGTCGTTAATGAAGGAAGGTTGGTGGTTGATGAAGGAAGGTTGGTGGTCGAAGAGACAGGGCTGGAAGTAGATAGAGTGAGGTAGGCGGTGAGCCGGGCAAGTCAGGCGCTGAAGCTTGTTGATGAAGCTGAAGTTGTCGAGCTGATGCAGCAGGGGGACTTGATGAAGGAAGAAGGGTGGAGGAAGGTAGGTGGTTGATGGAGGAAGAAGAGTGGTTGATGAAGGAAGGTTGGTTGTGGGAGAGACGAGGTGGAAGGAGGTAAAGTAGATGAAGAAAGGTAGGCGGTGAGCGGGGCAGGTTAGGTGCTGAGGTGGAGTAGTCAGCAACAAGTCGGCGTGGGGGGAGTGATTGGGCCGTGTGAATGACCCTGGTATTCACTATTCCGCGTCTCACGTGCTGCGGCGGAAATAATTCCAAGATGATGTACTTACCAAGTAAAAACAGACTGTGAGGTAGTTAGTAAAAGGTTCATTTATGTAATTTGATGAGAAGAGATGGTGCAGAGGCGAGATGGTGGTGCTGCGGCGAGGAAGGGTGCGTACAAGCTGTGCACGGGGCTGCCCCCAAACCAACATCCACCCCCGCTGTCTCGCCGGCGACCAGGGCCTGTGGCACGCGATGCTGCTTAATTATACTCGCGAGAGCTCTCCCGATGGGAAGTTGTGGGCTACGAGTCACTTTAAGGGTTGCGAGCTCGGAGGTGGTGCGGAGAAGTTGAGGAAAGAGCAGAAAATGACATTCACGCTCGCCTAACTTGGGCCGAGCGCCCAATCGCACCAGCCACATCGCAGCAGTGGCTTTGCGATTGCGGCGAATCAGGACTTGAGACGGAACAGGTCGCTGATTGGACGAATGCAACGACGCCTCTGAACCATCAGCAAACAGACTAGGGCACCACAGACAGTGGCAGCACTGCAGCAAAGTGTGTCAAAAAACAATGCAAGTCCACCGCACTATTCCGAGGGTTTAGTCTTTCTATTGTTTTACATCAGTCGCGGCCAGGGCCTTAGAGATCGCCACTGCTCGGGCATGACCTTTGCTCACTCAACACCACTGTAAGGCGTGCTCTAGCTAGCAGGTGCCCGGGTAGTCAAACGGTAGTCCGATTTGCAATGAATTTTCCTTTTATTATATTCGGAGCCTTGAAAACCGTATTAACGATGAATTGAGGTACTTAGGCTTCTCTTTTGCCCGCTTGACAACACTGTGAGGAGCACTCTAGTCAGCAGGTGTGCGGGTCGCCAAACGGTAATTTAATTCCCAATGCATCAACCTTCCATCGCATTCGGACTCCATAAATCCTATGAATAATGAATTGATGTACTTACGGTTCTCTCTTGCCCGCTCGACACCGGTGTAAGGAGGGCCCCCGCTGGGAAGTTTATGGCGAGTCAAGAGGTAGTCTGATTTCTAATGCATCCTTCTATTCATCGTATCCGAAGCTTGAAAACCCTATCATCCATAAATGGGTGTGCTTAAAGTTTTCCTTTGCTGTATCGACGCCACTGTGAGGAGTACCCCAGGGCAGCATGTCCTCGGCCAGTCAAACAATAGTCCAATCGCCACTGCCGCAGCCTTTACATCACGTTAAGCTCTGTAATTCGAAGTCTACAGGGGGTGCCTCTATATAACACTCCTTAGACTTCTATTTTGCTTGTTCAAGACTACTGTAAAGAGGAGCCCACCTAACCTGTCTCCACTCCGACAAAAGGTGGTCCAATGTCCACTGCCGCAGCTTTGACATTACGGCAAGCTCCGGAATTCGAATCCTCCAAGTACGCACCCCGATATAACGCTTCTTTAGCCTCCGTCCTGCACCATTGACACCATTGGAAGAGGTGGCCCGGCTAGAAGGTAGTCGTCGAGCCAAAAGGTAGCTCGACCTCTATTGTCGCAGCCTCGACAACACGTCAAGCTCTGGCATTAGAAGTATGCAGGGGCGCGCCTCGATGTAACGCTGCTTTAACTTCTGTATTGCTTTCTTGACACCGCTGTGAAAGGTGGCCCAGCTAGTAGGTAGATGTCCAGCCAAAAAGTAGCCTAATTTCCGCTGCCTCATCTCTGACATCGCATTGAGCTCTAGAATTTCAAGCCTACAGGCGCGGCCCCTGATATAACACGGCTTGAACCTCCCTCTTGCTCCCTTGACACCACCGCGAGAGGTGACCCAGCTAGAAAGTAGTCGTCCAGCCAGAAGGTAGCCCAATTCACACTGCCTCATCCTTGACATCGCATTAAGCTCGGGTTTTCAAGACATCGGACTGAGGTAAACTCAATTCCCCTACTAGGACATTAGTTTGTGTACTAATGCTGCCACTGCTTGAGGTGCCCTAAGGGGGTTTCCAAACTTCAAATACGATGCTAAGGTCGATGCAATAAAAGGTAGGTTGCCATTTGACCAGCCGACGACACTAGCGGGGCTACTCTTCACATTGGCGTCGAGCGAACAAGATTGAGCCAAAGTAGTGATATGTCTGTGTGCCTATACTTATGACTTAGTGCGTACATAAACACATAGGAAGGCTGCACGAAGAACCACCCCCAGACTAGTCATTCAGTCGCGCCTGCTTTGGGAAATTCAGCGTATTGGATCAGAATTGTGCCCGCACTGTAAGGAGCGCCTCAGCGATGAGATTGTTATTTGTTAGAGAGCATTTCTAATTTCCATGACCTCGATTGTTAAATTGTACTCGGGAAGATCCTAGGCATAGGCGTAAGAATATGATGTGTCTTTCTACACTCTTGATCTCTTTACGCCACCGTAAGAGGTGGCCTAACGGGCAAGCAGAAGGCGGTGCAAAGGGCACTCTGATTCGCATTATGTGGAGTAGAACAGCTTGTTGGAGAGGATGTAGGGTCGGCCAGGCAGATGTATCGCGACTGGGCGTTAACTTTGCGTGCTCAACACCATTGCAAGGGCAGCCCAGCTATCAGGTAGCTGGTTCACCAAAAGGAAGTTTGATATGTAGTCTACTAACCTTTACATTATGCCCGACTAGCTGTGGCGCTGGGCGGTTATAATGACCTCGAAATTGCTGGAATATTGAGGTAGGAGTGTGTGCATGTTGTGAATGAGCGATCTGTGTGAAAGAATGGAACAGTCGAGTCCGAGTCTTGTCGTAATCGTGCCTGCACTTTGCAAGCGTTGTAGTCGGCCTAAACCTTAGGGGTGGATCAGCGTGAGAAAACGGACCTCCTGGCTCTATCTCTCCCTCTGCGAGCAGAGGAAAGTTACTAGATGGCACCATGTAGAGGCGCAAGAGTTGAGTTCCCCCATCCGTCCACCGCACTATTCCTACCCAAATCATCTATGCCCATTATCATATATCAATTCGATTCGCGGCGTGGAGAGGAGAGGTATCATGCGTAGGGCTCGGCGGGGTTTCTAGCTGTCCAAGTTGAGCTTCAATTAGGCCAATTAGCATTCAACATTGCAGAAGGCCGTGATCAAATTACATATCGTAATTAGCGACCACAGCCGCGGAGCCAGTAGCGGCAGCAAGGCGAGAGCACAGACAGGTGGGCCTGTGAACTGGATGCTTCTGCAGCAAAGTGGACGGCCAGCAAGGCCCTTCCAGGCCGGGGTGTGACCAGAGGCGCTAAAGCCCAGCTACAGAGTAGAGGACGGCAGCAACTATAGCGATCATGCAGACAGTGTTCATCGTCTCGATGTCGCAATGACAGCGATGAGATAGCTTTCATAGTGTAAAGATCAATAAGACCAGCTTGCTGCATACACAGTTGACGCTCGCTCGGAGCAACCTATGCCCGCCACCGCGAAAACTTCAGATCACGACCGAGCAGCTCTATTGCCCATTACAGCAAGTCAAGAATCCATCATAAGAGGTACGTCCTCGCCCGTCGCGGCATCGTGAGCATCACCTCCTATCGCCTACTCTCCTCCCGAACCCATCTAACAACCGCGACAACTTCAACACCAGCACAACAATTTCAAAAACTCACAGAGAAACTCACGCGTCTCGTCCATTGCATCTTCAAAGCCTTTCTTCAAGCCACCCGAAAGCCTCTTCGAACCCCCTTTCCACCGCAAGGAGCCGCCCGCCTCGTCCATGAGAGGAGCTGACAGCCGTACAGACCATAAATCACACGTGTTTGACGTACTTTCCAGCTCAGCGTATAGGCAATATTCATTCCAAGGCGTGTCTAGCGAGTTGTATGACCTTGGGTTCTACAGAGATTGTCTCTAATACAACATACATGATTGAACAAATGCAACGAGGCCTCTGGACCACCGAGAAACAAATTAGGGCACAACGAACCGTGCAGGGCTGCAGCCATTTACCCCAGAACTGCTCTGAGCGCATGTGCTTTTGTTTCGGACTCTAGACATAAACATCAACTTACAAACTGTTGTACTGTATACGAACGCGATTTCAGAGCCCAGCTTTCCCACAACCCTGAAGGATCTACAGGGCTACACGAAACGGCGCCCTCTTCAAGCAGACGGCGCGCGCAGGACCTTCTGTAACGCCCTTGGCTCGCCAGAAGGCGACATCTAAGCGCGCAGAAACTGCTACAACGTCCTGGTTGGTCTCGAAGTCGATACCATCGCGCTCAGGACCTTCTACGCCCTCAAGGATCGCCAGGGTGGCGCTGCCGTAACCATTTGCGAATTTCACCCCGAGCCTGGCGTCTGACTCCCGCAACTTGAAGCCCTCGGTCGTATCGACGATTGAAAACCCGGTCATCGGTGTCAGCGACGGCCATCAAACTCCGGTCAACGAGGTCATCAAAATCAGCGACGGCAAGCCCGATAGCAACAGCGACAAGGACAGCGAAGAAGGTAACAAAGCGGGGAGGAGGAATTCAGCGAGAAAGACCTGCCGGACGCGGACGACCTCCTGAAGGACGAGGCCGCCACTGATGGCGCGGACAAGACCAAAGCCCAGGACATTGCCAGCGTTGACGACGAAGAGACTCAAATCCAGGACGAAGCTGCATCGTCAGAAGCTGGACCAGCCGTCCTACACATTGAGCCCATCGCCGGCGCCAGGACAGGAAGGGCCCGCGTCAGAAGATTGGCGGAGTCAAAGGCTCGAGCCGCTTTAGAAGTCAACGCCATGACCCAAGGCGGCAAAGCGGAAATCTTTGCATCCACAGCTAAGGACAAAGAAGATAAGACCAAGAAGAACCAGGCGAACAATTCGACCGCTGTCGTCACTGGCCTTACCGAGAAAGACACGCCCGGAAAGCTCATCAACCTGATGCTTTCCAACACAAGTAGAGTTGGTACAAGAGGCAGAACAGCAACAAAACCTTCAGCAGAGTATACAACAGCTCCGTCAGGCGAAGAATAGGCGTCATCGTCGTCAACGAGGCGCTGCAAGTGCTCGAGCGTACTGGAGGGCGTGTCCGAATTGTCGCGTCATGTTCGTCCGCTTCCATCTTGTGGAATTTTGCAGAGTTATGATTAGGGTAGGGGCTCTGCCAGTGGAACTCTGCCAGCTCTCCTAGTGCTTTGCAGTGCCTGAATAGCCTTTAGGACTCACAGCTCCAGTAGTCGTCGTATCTCACATTTGTTTCCTTGCCGTCTTTGTCGTCGCTGCTTTTGCCGTAGGGTAGCTTCGCCTCGTTAGACGGTTAACGATTCGCTTTATCCTCTATCTTAAAGCCGTGGAATTGCTGTACTTCTCATTTACCTTATCTAACAAAAGTTATATAAAATTAGACGCCGTGAAACACCGTTTCGTCTAGCTAGCCTGTTTTTATTACGCCACATTTTTTCCGCTGCAGAGCTCATATATAACATCGTACTTATTGTGTACGCCCGCATTGTATAGAGGCTCACCTGGTTGATCACATAATCCGAGAGCGGAAGCTGCTCAGCTTTGCTGAGGCAGAATTTCAGCTTCGCTGCTTTCCGGCCAGCTACGTGTCTTGACATCCGGTACTCGCGTACGAGCTGGTATTCACAGTGGTCCAGGCTATCGTTCATCTATTCTCTTGCCGTTGTTATGAGAGGGGCTTCTCAGCCAATCAACCGCTGTCCCCTGTCGTCAGATCGTCACGGTAGTACCTGACAAATTTAGTCCGATCTAAGACATGCAGAAGGAGTCGAAAGAAATGAAAGCGCAACAGACTCACAACAGGCACAACCTGGTTAACGAGCTTAGCTTACTCAACATGTTCAGCAGATGAACTACAATTGGAGTTGCAGAACAGTAGACCGGTGAGCCGATCCGGGGATGCTACCACCACCAAGAGGAAGCGGAAGACTCCGCAACCTTTGTTTATTTCAATGGTACAGACCTAGGAGAAATTTAACCCCACAAAACCCAACTTGAATGTAGCCGACTAGTTAAAAGGGAGTATAGGTTCTACTCCGTGAAACTTTAAATTACGTTGGAGCACTGATAACGTCAACCACACTGAAACGCCACTAGCTGAGTGCTACCTTGGAAGCTGTAAAACTATCAGGAATAGCCCCGTTGCCAGGTAGTCGGCTACTAAAGAGGGAGTTCAATTCTCGCTCTATTGAGCTTAACGTTGATATTCTATGTTCTGAGTTTCAGCACACGGAAATAGCAGTGCGTGAGGTCGGCGTTGCCCACTAAACACCGACAGGAAGCTCCCAGCTAGCAGGAAGCTAGCTAGTCACGAAGCAACTCAGACTACACTGCATGAAACTTAGCATCATGTCTAGATTTATGAACCTCCGCCGGAGCAACCCAACCAGTGGTAGGCAAGTATGCACTCAGGTTGAAAATTGATGTGAACTCTGCTTGTATTGTTGTGGCCGTACGGGCCGAATATATACTAATAGGAAATGGCCCACCCCCTAGGTCTATCAGCTCAGCTGAATAGAGGCCAGCTGAAAGGAACGAACCCAGCTGAGAGGACCCTGGTGTAGCTGAACAGAGGACCTCGCCACGCTGTACGTAGGTGACCGTAAACCGTATGAGTTGTTGATCCTAGGTTGTAGCTGTTACAACCCGAGCTATGCGCAGACCCATCCTCCTTCACCTCGGCCTCAACACCTGCCTCCGGAGGCAGTCCAACTTGAGCAGCTTTCGACACCACGATCTCGAAAGTACATAGGACAGCATCCGTACCCTCGAGGGTCGCCTCTTTATCATCTCCCTGTGGAGACTTCCAGGCTGGGAAAGGGAGGCTGCTGGCTATGGCCCAGGAGGAGCCACGAATATGACATCGTCTTCGAAGAGATTCACCAACTCAGCAGAGTCGTGAATGACAAACACCATAGATACCCACGGCGGGCATGGAAGAGCCTAAGGCTACACAGCAATAAGTTGGAGAGCACTCCGAGGAGGAAGGCGAGGAGAAGCCACAAGTACGCAACGCGGTAGCGGGCGCAATCTGAATTCCGTCAACCCAGAAGTGAAGGTGGATGTCGTTTAAGGGACGCCGTATATATAGACACGGCTATTTTCTTTTGACAGCCTACATATTCAGTGAATAAATCCCCGAATTGATTGAATAGACGAATCTCATGCTGTCAAGTTCCGAACATCCGAACTCGGAACATCGTTAAGGGGACAGTGAATGGGGACGTGTTCTGAGGTAAGCCCGACCTCTAGGCATATCTGCTTACCTATTAATACCTTACATATTGAGCTAATTTACCCCCAAGGTGACTGAAAAGATGGACCTCATTAGGTAGAGAATAGAGCGCAGAGTCCAAAAGGCAGTCTCTCCTATTGATCGCCTGTATCATTGGGCAGGTAAAGGGGTCGCCTCCAAATACTCATCATTATATATATGGCCAATATTACCAGCCGAGGCGCAGGGCTATACATTCAACCTATGGCACTCCAATTAAGATGCCTTCAACGCGAGTCCGTCATCGCCCTTGCCCTAAGCCGAAGGACCAATAGGATCCATCTCTCCAGAGACCGCGGATAACTAATGCCTCTTTGCTCTTTCTTCTGTGTTTCCGTATAAAGGTATTTCAGGATGTCTTGGCCCAGGAATCAGAAATATATGTGCGGCTGGAAGTAGAAGAGGGCCCCATCCATTCTACTTCAGACCAAGCCGTCCTTTCTGGTGTGAAACGCCTGTATGAACCTCCAATTTGCCCGTGTGGCCTCAAAATGTATAAGGAGATCGTCGCGTAAATTTGTTGTCTGAACCCCGGGGTTGAGCGGCGAGTAAGGAAGGGGAATACTCGAGAGGAGCCAAGTCCAATAGCTGTTCTCCGGACATTGCCGGCTATGGTTGGTCGCGTTGCTGTTCCAGATCGATGCTGGTGGTGGAGGCAGTTTCCGAATTCTTAGAAACGTCATAATTGATTCAATATTCTTGTGTCGACTGAGTCTGGCAATCCCGTCCAGGTCGGGGCGGCCTAAAGATGTCTCCGCGTTGGCTCTTCTTCCTCAAAAATTTGGAAAGCGTCCAGACCATACCACGGCGAAGCGTAGAGGCCGATTTCCTTTTCCTAGGCATGTTTGTTTCGTTCTGCGGGCATAGGTGCAGGAAATCGGGCTCTGTCACCTTTCGTGACGCCTGGAAAACACCAGTATGGTGGTTGTTAAGTACAGGGATATAGACATTTAAAGACGAGCCACACTATTAGCATGTCGGTCAGTCAAAGGCAGCTGAGATTACACTATGGTAAGGTAGACCGGTGCTGTATAGCTTGCAGCACATGACGGTGGGAAATATTCCTTCTCGTGAGCGGCGGCTCTCGCTGCTCATCTATGATCTCTTCTTCTTTTGAAAGCTTGCCTTAAGCACTACAGCGGGCTCCGACTTTTTCTTCTAAACATTACAATTGAGGCTCTTTCTCTCCCACTCCTTTCCTCCTTTGTGACGCGTGACTCTCTCCTGTGACTATCCCGCCTAGAATTTTGACTTCCCGCCTAGAAATTTGACTTCCCGCCTAGAATTCTGAATTCAAGTAGCGGTTCCCCGAGTAGTGGCAAGAGAATGCGCACAGAGCTATAGCGTGTCCCTGTACCCTCATTCTGAAGTGCAAGACTTTATTCTTTAAACTCCGGCGAGTCGACCTCAATTCCACCCCTCAATCAACTCGATCAACAACCTCGCCGCAATCAATAGCTTCACCGCACCTAATGAAGAATGCCTCTCTCTGACTGCCAGCCACCGGCGCACTCGAACACGGCGACGCGACATCACAGGGCCATGCGACAACAATGGACGGATAATACAGTTATGATGGGTGGACCAGAACACACTGAGAACACACGCCACGATCATCAAGAGCGGAGGACCAGCACACTCGAACACGGTGACGAGACAACCCTAGGCCATGTGCCAACAATGAACGGACATAATTGGTATGGTGGGTGGATCATAGGACGCTAGGCACACTCTCGACAATCATCAAGAGCGGAGGACAGGACTTTGCCTAGTTGCTGAGCGCGTGCTATTTCTAAATGAGTACATCGGTTCAACAGTGGCAGAAGAGCTGTCATAGAGTATGCAGACAAAGGGCCGTCACTCAAAGCGACATGGAATCTGCCAATGTCGAGGCTGTGAATGGGAGCAGGCACAATTTATGTAAGCCCAGAGGAGCTGAATCTCGCTGTATAGACTAGCCGTTAGTTTTGCGAGCGTAGTTTGTTTTACTTTGATCTGCACACAAACTGACGGTCACAGGATCTCCCTTCGGATAGGATATGATCGAAATGAAATTGAAGCCTGCGCCAACAGAAGTTTCCAATAGCCCCGGGACCGCATTAGCCTGTTGGGAGCTCGCAAAGACAGAGACTAGGATCGAAACCGACAGCCGGAACGACCTCAAAAGACATGGATCAACTGCAGGTATGCGAACAGCTTTCACAACCTCAGTTCGCACAACCTCAATCTGGACAGCCTCAGTATGTGCACTTCTGACAGGGGGAACATCCACGAAGCGTGGACCGCCCTCACATCCAGCTACAACGCCTTCCTCAATACCAAGGCTATGCGCGCAGAGCTGAGCCTTAGCATCGCCAAATTCACAGCGTTCATTGTTGTCCTCGGTGTAGTCAGGCTGGTTAGGGCCTGTAGCTCCTCCGCCACATCTAGAATCCCTGGGCTTGTCCCCAGCCTACAGCGTAGGCCATGCAGGCTCTATGGTGTGTATGCATAGACTCTCTCTAAATGAGGCAGCACATAGTGTCTGACGAGGAGCTAATTCACCGCATTGAAGGTTCCTTGACCCACGCCTGCACCTCCCGCGCCGCCAACACACGAGTCCTCCTCAAGTCTGACTAGATGAACGTGGAGATTGGAAGCTGACAGACTGTCTGGGAGGCTCCCTTACCGACCCCTGGCGGTCCTGCGGCGCCGCTGTTTGTAGCAACGGCACTGTGGCCGGACCCAGTCTTCGACCGGATCCATTCGAGCAGATTAAATTCACCGACAGAGTATCTCTGCATGCCTCACAGTAGAAGCTCTTGGTCAGGAGGTTAGGATGTGAGCTCTGTATAGTGTCAGCTTTTTCAAAGCGCGCCAGGGCATATCTACATGGTGCTGAGCCTACTCATAAGGGTATACAATAATTACATATTCTTTGACAGGAGCACTGGGCTCTTTCCCCACGGGGCTAGACACATCCGTATGGTAGCCAAGGATAGAGACAGGATCGTTGAGGAATAGGCTGACTTGAAGCACAGGGCCTTATCCTCTGAGTACCAGCTTATCGATCTGAGCCTCTACTGGGCGAAGACATCGGATTTTGCCACCTCCTCATGGTGTTGGCTGGGAACATCCATGTCATAATGGCCAAGACGTCAAAAGGAAGGAATGGGCTATCTTGGGGCGCCAGGCCTGGTCCTTTGATCGCCAGTTCGGCGACAACGCGATCGACCGCCGCATTAACCACCCGAGCCCAGTCGCCCAGCCAACCTCATCAACTCTTACGGAGGACTATTCGGATTCCTGAACTTTGGTCCAAAAAACAGCGACAAGACAAGATTTGGGTGGATGGGATGGAGCGGCGGCGGAGAAGGGAACAATGAGCATAACATGCAACGATCATTAGGAGAGGAAGACCAGCCTTTTTCAATTACAGCCCATGGTCATGAGCACCTACGGGGGTGTAGAACACCTTCGGGACATACATTTCTATGGATAATGCCTATACAACGGTTCACTGTAGTAGAGCTGCTGCGGAGGGTGAGGCCCCGACCTACAGTGAGAGGTCATAAGTCTGTGCAGACGAGTTTACCACTGCTTGGGATATCTTCATGGAATCTGAAAACTCCAGGTACGAAGCCAAGATTCCAGTAATGCAAATTAGATTGCCTCTTGAATAACGGGCTGCTTACTGGCTAGGCCGCTCCTCTCAGTGGTGTCAGGTGAGCAAGATTGGAGCCAAGCAGTGATGAATCCGTGTGCGCAGACTTGTGACCTAGGACTGCACTATAGATGTAGACACCAACAGTAGAACTCTCCGACAAGAATAGCTTGCAAGACAGCAATGGGCGATGTGATAATGGGATGTGCATGTTCATTGAAGCAGAGGACCGGCTTCGTCAATTTCGGCGCAAAAACGTACACATTGAGTAATGGGCTGTCTCTCACCCGATCGCCCAGGCAACCCTCTTTACCCGCCCCACTATTTCCATAAACCCTCATTCTCACTTAAACCATATATACCGTCCAATTCGTTCTGTCTCTCAGGAAAGTTTGCTGCTACGACATTGTACAACAGTGTACGAGTATTGTATACGTCTTCGGATCCTTTCCTTTTCCCTTTTTGCAGATCATATAGCCATCAAGTGGGAGGCGGAGGGGTGGGTTCGAGACGCGGGTGAGGGGGTTTATTTTTTTACATTTGGTGGTTTGAGGTAACGTAGGTGATCAGGTTATTACGTTTACCCTAGTTATTACACATATTCTGAATCCGTGCACCTGCCAAGCTTTATCTTAATATTCGGAAGCGTAATAACTAGGGTAAACGTAATAACCTGATCACCTACGTTAATCTTTATTCTTTTCGTATTCTTATGTAGGCCAAGTTCTAGTTCAAGGATATTAATTCCCACCTCTTGCGACTGCTTGGGGCATGCTGATAAGCTTTCAAAACTCTAAATACGATGTAATAGTAAATGTCGTGAAATTCAGACTACTTTTGACAAAGCTGATACCTGTTCGTTGGGGTACTGTTGACAGTGGCGTCGAGCGAGCAAGAGCGGGCCGGAGGAGTAACATATCTGTATACCCAAACGTATGGCCCAACCAGGAGTAGCGAGTCTAATTTGATTGGCTAAACGGTTCAAACTAGGTAAAGACTATGGCATCAATTTCAACAGAGTTATGATACCCTGGAGTACCACAAACAGCGGCAAGATAGTCCATAACTGAAAACGAGAACGCTAGATATGTCAGGGATACTGACAAAGACCGTAAATGACACAACATAGTCAAGTCTATTTTCTACCCGTCTCACAATGTGAGTCTACTCAGAGGTTTCGTGAGACGTATCTAAAGCAGCAGCCCGAATCAAGCTGTATGAATCATTACGTAATGGGGAGATAGAACTTAGTCCTCTGGGACTTCTCTAATGGCGCCAGAGCGTCGTAAGGCACCTGGATATGTGTAGGTTCAAGTTTGAAGGGTGCATACCTTTACATTGCAAACGTGATCGAGATGTTCCGTTAAGGCACCCCAAACACTTGCTACAGGTGTCCGAGATGGCTAAAAAGACGCTCGTTTGATTTCAAGAGCCGCAGTCTTTACATTCATCCAATATCCAGTAGACAGATTTGAGGGAAGCTGAACACTGCTACTCGATGTGCAATATAGCACTAGAAGAGGCCTAATATGGCAAGCAGGAAATAACTTATTACAAGAAGTAACAATACTTCGCGAAACTCATCTTAGCAGATTGAGTCACGTAACAAGTAGTGGCACGCAGAGGACCCGTATATGCAGTTGAAACAAGCAGATGAAATTAGACTTTTGACGGATCGGGGCCAAGAGAAGCGGCCGAAAGAGCACCAAAAGAGCCTAGAGCCCCAGCAAACAACCACGAAATCCACCCCAAACACCCCCTCTACTTGCCACTCTTCTTGGCCTTCTTCCCTTTCTTGGCCTTCTTCTTCCCTCCCTCTCCCTCCTCCTTCTTCACCCCCTCTCCCTGCTCCGCTCCCTCCCTCTGCTCCCTCTCCCGCCTCTCTCTCTCCTCTCTCTCCTTCTTCTCCGCCTCCTCCTTCCTCCACTTCGGCTCCTCAATCTTCTCCATCACCTCCCTCTCCGTCCTCTTCTGCTTCTCCCTCTCGTACCTCTCGCTCAGCTTGTCGCTCTTCGCGAGTGCGGCGCAGACTCGAGCAGCCAGCTCGGCTTTCTTGCGTTGCTCCTCAGCGCACTCCTCCTCCCACAACGCCAGGGCCTTCTTCAGCGTCGCACGCCTCTCGTTGGCCGGCCATGTCAAAAACATCATCTTCGGTATTCCGCGCAAGATGGGCAGCTCCTCGTAGACGGGAGGGCGGCGACCGCCACGCTCGCGGGCGGCTTCCTCCCACTCCAGCTGCCACTCGGACGCGGAGGTGGGACCGGGGACGGACATAACAGCACCCATTGTGGCGGTGGAGGGTGGGAGGGTTGGAGGGTGTGGTGGTGGTGCAGAGGGCGTGGAGGCAGCGGCAGTGGTGGCGCGGAAGTGGGTGATGGTGGGCGGGCGTGAGGACGAACGCTGGCACACAGGAGAGTTGTTGTAGGTTCCTTTGGACGCTTTCGTGATGATGGCGAGCTGCTGTAGCTGCGAGAGGTTGTGACGCGTCAATGAGCTTTGTTGCTGGAGAAGGAAACGAGGGGGCGCACGGGGAAGAGGCTTTATAGTTCACAGGCGAAACTTCGGCGAATCGGCAGGGTGAAGATGCACAGGATGAATGACAATAGTCTGGAATGTTTGAGCTCTCCCTGTTGAGTCGAGCGTAACCTTCACTATGTGTTGGACTTGGATGGGAGCCAAAGAGGCCCAGGTTCTGTAGATTTGAGCTGACAGTGGCAGAAAGAGACAGACGACCGAGGGCTTTTGCAAATAGTGTTTGATAGCTTTAAGCCATTTTTGTAGATCTTTAAAGCCTGTTTGTAGGATACAATGCTCGTATACCCACGAAGTGATGAACCCAACCTTGACCATGCTGCCATCCACTTATTTCTCTTTGACTCACGAGAGCAACAAGAGCATCACGGTCCCCCTATTTCCGCATGACTTTGAGTATGTTTTGAGGGCGTATACAACAATCTAGATTACCCCTAGGCTTTTTCTAGTCCTCCTAGCAGAGGCGGCACAAGTCTTAAATCTGCATTCGTATCTAGGTCGGTGTTGTTTGCGGTCTCACAGATCACCCAACCTTCCACATCTCAACACCAAGCTAAGATCTACACCCCTTCGCTCACCGTATTGTAAGAGCTCTTCTTAGTCAAATCCACTCCTGGCAGTGTCAGCGTCTCCGCAACAGACACCAGCGAATGCGCTCATGGCGACGCCAGCATCACGACTGTCTTTCGCCATAGGCCTTAGAATCTTGCACCGCAGTGGAGAAGTGCTTGCTGGGCATATCCTCTCCTCGTGGGATTTCCTTGTCAGCAAATGGACCCAGAAAAGCTCTCATCAGCAGGCCAGCCTCGCGACCAACCTCTTGGACACGGCATTCTCCACCTCTCCTCACAGAACCGAGACTCGCGCCCTCTTCGGCGTCATAATGCGAGCGTTGTTCGTGCCCATGGCCGCTCTCGCCAGCCTCATCCTCCGCGACAGAGCCCAACAAGTGCTCGCACGGCTAGGCCAGCTTCACAACCAACCTCCTCACATACAGAATACACTCTACCTTCCGCCGGACACTTCAAAGCTGCGCCATGCATAGCTCTGTGTTGTGACAGTTCCTGCTATCCAAAACCTCTCCTGGCAATCTCATCTTCCCCGCAGCAAGACCCAGCACAAACTGTCATGGCCGCGCCTGCGTCAAAGCCAACCTATTCAGATTGAGCATTGACGAACTTCGGTCTTAGATCGTCGTATCGGTTTCTCAACGTGTTCGCTGAGTGCGACATCTTCTTGGGCATTTCCGCTCTGCGACGCATCAAACTCTCTCTTCTTGAACGCAGGTCGCGACCTCCTTCATGACCTCGCGAGCACCAGCGGCCACGAGCTTCAATCTCGAATCCCTGAATCAGACGGCTAACCATGTCTACAGTGCGAGACCTCGTACCGAACATCTCCGCTCCTCGCAGTGCCAACCTCTTCTTCGCCCGCCGGCCGCGATCTCCAGGTCCGCGCCAGCACCTTCAAGACGCCCACCATCTATCGGCCTGTTTTGTAGGGCGTAATACCAACTTGTCGTTATGCGCGGTCTCTACGTAACTCCGCTCCTCGCCGCGCCAGCTTCTTCTTAGTCGCATGCTACGATCTCGCTCTTATGGTCTCTCCAGCATAATCGCCGACCTACAAAGTCTCCACATCTGCGAACTTCAATTCTGGCCTTAAAAATAGCCGCCTGTGTGTTACCCTTATTTGCAGCCCTTCGCTGACTTTTTCTCCTCCTCCCAGGACCATCTTCTCCCTAGCAGACCTCCGCGACGCCCCCGATTCTACGCGCTCCTCTCCACTAACCTCCTACCGCCACAAACCATTCTGAGTCCAATCGCACACCATAGATCCCGGATCTACTCCCTAGGCTCTGCCCGAGTTGCGCCGGCGTCTGGAGGTCGCTAGACTCACGAGGTCATTTTAAGCTTTAACTAGATTCCTTCGGTAAACACGACCCATGGTCATACGCGCTGCTAACAGCACTCTATCTCAGGTCCGGCGCTCGCGCATCTATCTCTATCACGGCCCGGAAGGCCCGCGATGGCGGCCTCTCATCGCATACATCGAGCTCGTCGCCACTTTCTACATTACAGTTAACATTAAGCGAATTGGATTTTAGGGTGCAATACAAAAGGCCGGCGGAGCGGCGTGTTATCTAGCTTACTAGAGCGTACCAGTAGCCTTTAAGGACGTGCTATAAGGCTAGCTTATACTATATAATCCCCGAGCAGGGAGCTCTTATATCTTTTCTAGAACCTGTGCTAACACTTATAAATACAGCATTTAAGCGCTAGGCTTAGAAGAATACTAGGGTAATCTACAGCTACACCCTGTTCCCTTATACTAATTACCTCCTTTTATTTCTCCTTTACCCTTTTTACCTGTTAAGCGCCTAGGGATATAGAAACGTCTCTATTTTTGTTTACTATCTATTATAAATTACCTTTAATCTTCTTACCTTATTTTGCCTTTTTTCTAAACCCTATTTCTACTCTAGGTTACTGTTTAGTTATATATATATTAATTCCTACCTCTAATATAAGAAGGGTTTATACTCCTCTCCTTATATTTAGATAAGTTATATTTTAGCACTTACCTTATAGCTAATATTTCTTCTAGGTCTTATAACCGCCGTATCCCTTTTAGGATCCTAGGGGTATTCTATTTATGCCTAACTCCCTCCCTAATTTTAAAAGGAAGAAGCAGGCGGCGCTATTTATACCTAGGTTAGTTGCATCCTATAGGTTATTTTCCGGAGCTAACGCTACTCATAGGTCTTACAAATCCCCATCCCTTTCAGGCGCCGGGGGTTATGCCATTCGAGTAGGGCATGTGTCGTGTTCCGCCTCATGATATGAGGGGGTTCCGTGTTGCTCCTCCTTTACCCCTAAGTTTATGCTAGCAGTTATATGTCGAAGCTAACACTACTATCAGGACTTACAACCATCCCATCCCTTTCGGGCGCCGGGGGGTATGCCATCCGAGTGACGCGAGTGTCGTGCACCACCCTCGCAGCGCGAGGGGAGTATATGCTGCGCTGCTTGTATGTATGTTAGTCAATGCAGCAGCAGTTAAGCGTCGTAGCTGACTATGCTTCTGGCTCTTGGACCCCCACCTTCAACTGCTTCAAGATAGAGCGACGAGACATGTAGAGTCCAAGCCACTCATGCTTACACACATAGCGATGAAATGATGGAGACGCTTCAATGAAGCCGAAAGACCGCAGGCGACTTCTGAGAAGAAGAACGAGAGAGATTTGAATGAAACCTCCAGGAAATTCTGTGAACCTCAAAACGATATTGCGAGGATTTCAGAGACGCTGCTGAAGACAGTTGACGTCAAGCCTACCGTTTCTTCCTTAGGAAACCCGAAGTAGCGACGAAGCCGAAGTATTCAGAGTCAGGAATACACGTTTGAAAGCTGTTGAAGGAAGTGCTTGAACCTGGCCAGAGACTGTCGGAACATGCTGCAACTCTGCCCACTTGACTCTAGGAATGAAACGGAGTCGAGACGGCAATTTTTTGGCACCGGGGTGACGAACGAGATGTGTCTTCAAAGCCTTTGCATGGAAGGAATCAAACCACACCAAAGCAGGGAAGCCTTGAGTGCACGGTATTGCTTTCAGGAGCCACAGTAATGAGACGATGAAATGGAGACATACTCGAGATACCGAAGCGGGATACCGAAGCCGGCAAGAAAGATCCAGGAAATACCAGAGAAGACTCTAAGGAAAATACCTGGACCGAATCAACAAGCTTTGAAATAAGCCCAGATATACTGTACAGGACATAGGAAATGGAAAAGAGCTCTTGGCGACGTCGATCACGTGCCCGCTCCATGGAAGACATTTTGACTAAAAGAATGCTAGGAAACTATGAGTACGAACCTTAACGTGAGTTCAGGATGAGAGGTCTGAAAGTCAATATAAACCTAAGGGACTGATGCCCATGAAACGAAGAAAAGAGCATCGGTGAGCCTGAGGCTAAGCGGAGAGGAGACTGCTCGAGACCAAAGCGGCTGACGCTGACGAGAAAGATGGATCATTGGTTCAGTAACCAATCCACATGAAGCAAGAACAAAGCTCATACACAAGACTACTAGATAGAGGTGGTACCAAAGCAACGGAGAGGATGAGGGGCACGACTCCCAGAAATAGATCGAGGACTTGATGCTAACGAGAATGAAACAGAGAGTAAGGCCATTTGGTACGTGGTTGGAAACGAGTCGTTCAACATCGACGAATGAAAATCGCGTATACTGAGGAGGGTCCTGAAAAAGAAAACCCATAAGGTCTATTCACCAAGGAAACTTTGGAGGCTTTCTCCCCAAGCTGAGAAACTCCGGGGAAGAGTCGGAAGACGAAATAGAGAAAAGAGTGTGAGAGATCCGAGGCGGGGCCAAACTTTTGAGAGGAATCAAACAGTTAAGGAAGATGCAGCACAATGACGTCGCAAAGTAAGAGCTTGGATCATAGACAATGTGGACAACTTGGACACCGTGGACAACTTGGACACCGTGGACAACTTGGACACCGTGGACAACTTGGACACCGTGGACAACTTGGACACCATGGACAACTTGGACACCGTGGAAGACTTGAACATCTCGAGAGACTTGAGCAACTTGAGCAACTTGAGCAACTTGAGCAACTTGAGCAACTTGAGCAACTTGAGCAACTTGAGCAACTTGAGCAACTTGAGCAACTTGAGAACTTTGGGAGACTTGAAAGACTGGGAAGACATGGACAGATTTGCAGACCTTGAATGGACGACATCAGAAGAATCCGGAGAATGGCCTCGGACGTCCTTACTTGAACGCTTTGGATGGTTGGGAATCCTACTTGGAGACTGACGTTTTCCTCTTTGGGGACCTCATCCTTGGAGCCTCAAGGACTTCCGCCAAGAGGACAATTGACCTTGAGGCAGCATTCTTGAGATCTTTTAGGCGGAGCTGTAAACATAGCTGCAGGGTTATAAGAGCCCATAACAGCGGCGTTGAGAAGTTGGGCCCGTGTATTGGACTACAGGCCTGGAAACAAGATAAAATGCCATCAAGGCATACTGCAGGGCCTCGAGGTCCGCCATTTCAAGCCAGTGTTTCCACCGGTCTGCTGACGGCTGCGCATCACGCGCATACCCTCGAGCCCTCAACTGTTGAGGAAGCCCAGAATCGCCTCGGAGAACCACGCGGGAACCAAGGATCCTAGAAGCCCAACAGAGGCCGGTGCACGAATGCTACAGTTTCGACCTGGCTGGATAGTGACTCACGCCGCAACGGGTTAAGGAGCCCGATGTGGTGATATGCGGTCCAGGCGATGAGGCGAGTCCCTTCGGAAGGTATCTGGACCCACGGTAAACATATTACCCCATACGCCCATACGGTGTATTGGTACTCGGCAATCGAAACGTTGCCTTGAGGCGCTGTACCCAGATCCTGTGGTCCGGTATACTCGATGGAGACTCCGCGGTAGGAAATCGGCATTGCCAAGGCAAGGAACAAGATGTGACGAACGAAGGATAACAAGAGGACGCTGTGAACGATGTGCTGTTAGCATACGATGTCTCAAAAGTTAGAAGAACACTTTATGATCCGAGAGTCGGACGCGATGCGCTCGACTGCGAGGCCGAGATGAGGGAATGGGAGGAGGGGCTGTGAGGAGGAGGAGGATCTTACTTGACACAAGATATCTCTCCTCGTGCCAGGCAGAGAAGCGTTCTCCATCCAGATCTTCAAGCCTGGAGCCGAAAGACGTGGTGTTGAGGAGTCGGCGAGAGGCTGTGTGATGGGTGACGCACCCCCGGCGGCCGACTCACCTAATCAGTCCGAGAGAAGAGCGAGGAGATTCAAGCCGGCGATGCAAAGGCTAGGAAGCCCTCGCTAGCTCTCATGATGAGACAGTGGATGAGGTGGTGAGATTGCCGTGCCTGCCTGCCTCGAGGCCGCAGCTGCCTCATTCGAGTCCGCGGCGAGACGGGGGCACCGCGGCCTCATATGCTTTGATCAGGCCTTGTGTCAGAGCAGCTGAGGCCGAGGCGCTGATGTGCATCGATGAGGTTGGTGATCGGTCAAGGGTGGAGTGAAAGAGAAGGATGGTGGGTGGCGAGGGGGCAGGAGAAAATGTCGTGGGCGGTTGGCGAGGCGACTCGGATGAGGGCGGCGTTGGAAGGCCGCAGCGACTCAACACTACGTTTACTAGCTGGAGAGCTAGATCACTTCACTGTTCAGAGAATGGCCATGCTCGGCCGCGTCTTCTTTGCTAGGTTCGGAGAGAGCAGTTGAGGAAGTCAGGGGCAAAAGCGGAGGCGGGAGGGAGGACAGGGCGAGGACTTCGGCGGCCAAGCGGCGAGAAAGCTCATCACCCGCCTGATCGGCTGAACACCACGTTCACTAGTATGAGAGCTAGGCCACTTTACTCAGCGGGCTAATATCATGACAGCTGCCTCGTCTCTTGTGCATCTGGAGAGGCCTGTTTTGGAAGTCAGGGGTGTGGACGAAGGCCAGATGGATATGAGAGCAATGACGCGGGCGGCAAAGCGGCGAGAAACTCAACACCATCCTCGCTATCACCAGATATGATTCTTCTCAACGCTGCCAGGGCCCGCGGACGGGCCATTAGGGATGGACGCCCCTATTACACCGCCTCCTACATCCCAGCCAGAGGAACAACACCACCCCCGCCAACACGAATGAGACATCACACCGAAAGGAGAGAGAAACCACGGTGCCTTACTCTACGTCGACCTAGACAGCCCGCATAGTAGCATTTCGCTGCCACAACCGAGCATACTAGCCGCCTGATCCCTACACCACCGCGATGCGGAGGCTCCTACGACGAAGGAGGACCCAGGAAAAGACGCCAAACTCGGCTTTCCACTACGATCTCCGAGACTTCAGATTCTCAAGCTCTCTTCGGCGGAATGAAAGAACAACTACATATTCACTGCTCTAGACACACCCGAGATCGCCGAAGACGTCAACAAACCCACTTTGGCACCCCTATGCCCCTACCAGAGACACGAGAAAAGCCCCGCCGAAGGCTCGGTGTGCGGAAGCTCCTACTACGAAGGCAGGCCGAAAAGGAGACGCCAACTCGAGCCTCCGCTACCATCCCAACCTCCCCGACTCCAAACTCGACAGCTTTCTTTAGCGGAAGCAAAATAATGCGACATATTCACTTCTCTCGACATGCACACCCAAAATCGCCGAACACACGAGAAACCCTTTGATAAAGTATCCGAGACCGCGCCGCCACCGACCAGATTCAAACGCCGAAGCATACGTGCCCGGATCGGCCCCCTCCGCGCTTCAAGGCCAGATCGATCAAAGCGAGGAGCACGCACACTCCTAGCGCAGGTACCGCGTTGGACGCCAATAAGTCCAGAACACGGTCAATGCGATCTAAACAGAATAGCAAGAAAGGTCTGCGGTGGAGTGGGACAGCTCGGGGGAGATGGGGAAGAAACCACCGAGGAGGGGGACACGGAAGACGGGGACTTCGTTACAACTGCGGGATAGGGAAATTGGGGGGGAGGAGATAGGGAATTGGAAAGGTAGACGTGTTCTGTGTACATACTTTGTAGAGGATCTTTTAAAGGCAGATGCAAGAAGCTCAGACATGTTAAAATGGAAAGAAAGGTGAAAGGATGGCAGCATGATGTGACGAGACGACCTCGATACTTCACCACCAGCCGCAAGCAAGTGCGCCAAGTCTACCATATTTTGAAACGCAAACCTGACCCCCTCTCGTCTGCGATCAGTTTCACCTCCTCGTATCCCATCCCTCCCCGCATTCAGATCAACATCACGTGATATACCCAAATCGAAAGCCAACATGAACACGGAAACCACATTGAACGAATGCTAATGCTATCCACCACGGGACCAAAAAACCAACCACACAAACCGGGAAGCTAATGAGCTGACTAGAAACACTTAAGACATCAACCGCTCCGCATCGCATACCTACAAGTTCTCCGCCCTTAGTCTTCCAACCATGCCTCTCTCTACTCCCCCGCTCGCGCACCTTTTCAGCCCATGAACCTCCATCATACTACTACACTTGCCCAAACCACCTCATAAAGCCACTCTATCTCCTAATTCTCCCCCGCCCACCCAACCCAACTCTTCCCCATAACCCTCCAAACCCTACACTCGCCACTCCGCAAATCCCCCAGCTTAAAGCTCTCCACCTTCACCTTCTTGCTCTCCCTGCCCTGCTCCCACGCCCGCACCTTCTTCTTCGTCCCATCCCAATCCACCACGACCCCCACATGGTCCGGCTTCCCCACCTCACTCGCGTACTTCGCGTGCATCGGCCCATGCTTCCCCTGGAACTTCGCATTGCGGAACGTCACGATATCCCCAGGCCGGATCTCGTCGTACTGCAGCGTGCTCGCATTCGCCAGGTTCGCGTAGACAAGTGCGCCGTACGCGCGCGTCGCGATTGGTTTGAGCGCTGTGGGGTACGGGCGCAGCAGCTCGAGAATGAGCGCATGGGGCGTGCCGTCGCCGACGGTCGTGTTTTGGATTTTGATGATGTTGGCAGCGATTTGGGAGCCGAAGCGGTCGTGGGCGGCCTCGAGCTGGTCCTGACGGAGGCGGGCAGGGGGCGGGTCGTGGCGCTGCTCGAGGGTGACGTCGGAGACGTTCTGGGTGTCGAAGCGCGCTGTGATGATGGTTTGGGAGTAGTCCATGTAGAGCACGAAGACGGCTTTTTCGACGACGGGGCCAGAGCGCGATTCGTCGATCTCGATGAGGACGTCTTTGCGGTTTTGGAGGGATGGTGGTGGCGCGTTTGGCTGCGTCCACCAGTGGCTGGAGGCGCCGAGGTCGAGGTCGCTTGCGATGAAGCCGTGGTCGCCGGATGGACGGGTCTGGTCCATTGAAGGGCGTCCCTGTTGCATCGATGGTCGAGGTACGTCGAGTGACTTTCGAGGTACATGCCGATTTGATGGCGCTGGCTCCCCGGGAGGAGGAGGAGGTACTGGGCGATCATGATGAGGCAATGTCCGTGGCTGATGCGGAGGTGCTTGTGGTGGAGGCGGCGGGGCCCTATCAGTCGATCTACGCGGCGGTGGAGCTGCGTATAGCTCGTCGTCCGAGGAATCCTTAGCCTGTTGCGGAGACATAGGTGCTGGTATCGCTGGCGGAGGAGGCATCCCTGGAGGCGGCGGAGGAGGAATGGCCCGCGAGGGCGGTGCATTCGAAGGTGGCGCGGTGTACCTATATGGGTCATAATCTTCGTCATTCTCGGCCAGCGGACCATCGCGTGGTGGTGGGATTGGTGGCGGCGCTGCTCTTGGAGCGTCGAGAGACTTGCGACTTGGGGCATCGAGAGACTTGCGACTTGGTGGGTGTTGTGCTGGAGGTGGCGGTGGGACGGCGCGGGGAGCTGCAGTTGGAGGGAGAGGCGGTGGCCCAGATAGAGACGGAGGTCGGATAGCAGGCGGAGTGTCATCTGCAGTTGTACTGTCATCCAAACTTGCTTCTCTAGCATGTGATTTTAGAGCTTCTTTGTGAGTTGCACCAGATGCAATGTCGGTGTCATAATCACCTTCGTACTCCGTCTCCCCTTCACTCCGGTCACCACCCGTAGGCCGTCTTGTGATGTTATCAAATGTTGACTGTCGAGATGGCGGTGCTCCAGGAGGGGGCGGTGGGGGAGGACGGGACTGTATAGGCGACGACATTGTCGGGCTAGACAGCGGAATTGGCGGCATTCGACTGGCCCTCTTCTCAGGTAGGGGTGTGGAAGATGAATCCTGCGACATCTCATCTGATGCGAAGTAGGAGTTTCGTTTCGAGGGCTGATGATGCGATGGAAGATGGGGACTTATCACAGAACCTGAAGGAGTGGCATCACTCCTGGGCATCTCATCGTCGGACTCAGACCCAGGACTTGCCGACAGGATCGGCGCGGGGGAAGGGACAGGTCGGGCTGACAACGGCACAGGAGGCGCGGAACGTTCTGTTGCTGAAGAAGGGTGAGGCACCGGACGTTCTGTTGAAATCAGCATACATTCTCAAGGTGAAATTTCCGAAACATATCAATAGCCAGTCTTCCCAAGAACCTACTAATCCATATCGTCATGATGAGCTCCGAAAATCCACGTGTCTGCGAGTATGACTTCGTGATAGATTTTTCGAGAGCCAAAGAACGATAGGACCCGCAAGGTTTGTCGGATTTACTACCAATAGGACGCCGAGGAATTGATAACTTACGTTGCGGTAGCGGTGGAGGAGCGCCGCGATCCCCAGTCTGGGTTCTCTGAAGAACAGGCTTCACGTCTTCAACATCTGGGACCTCATCTGATGCTCGGGCACCAGTGATCGGGTGCGAGCCCTCGTATTCTTTTCCAACAGCGATCTCGGTGTCCTCGGAATCTGGGGATCTCACTGCGGTCTTTCCTGGCAACGACATTCCAGGCACAGGAATCATCGGCATTCGTGGCGGTGGGCTGTAAGCTGGCTGGTCGTCTGTATCATCGGTGGACTTTCGTGGAGGAGCCGGAGCCTTCTTCTTCTTCGTTGAGCCACCACCAGCCATTGGCATACCTCCAGGAGGTCCAAACATGCCTGCCATGCCCATCCCACCGCTCATCTTTGCCATACGTTCCCGAAGTTCACGCTTGCGTCTATCCTCAGCATCCTCTTCCTCCTCTTCTTCCTCCTCGTCTTCGTTAGCTACGCCCTCCTCATCCCAGACTTCAGGCTCCTCTGCCGGTGCGGCCGGAGCCCTGATCGGTATTTGTGGAGCGTGCTGTCGCGGTTTCTCGTCTTCGTCCTCGACGCTCGTAGAGGTGGCTCCAGCATCCTCAGTATCACCTGCTCCAGATTGGTCTGCATCATTAGCATCGCTAAAGAGCTCTCGGTTCTGAGGTATGATGTCTGGTGACTTCATACCGTGTGATGACCTCCTGGGTTGGGGAGGACGAGCTTGCTCTCGTGAAATATCTGTTGACCCCCGTTCAGCCGTTTCACCGCTGTGCAATTTTTCGAGCTCTGCTCCTTCGCCCTCGACGGGAACGCTCCTCTCGTGTGACTCGGTCCGCTTCTTGGTGGGTGGCCGCCTCGGCTTTTCTTTCTGTGCAGCGCGCTGAGCTTGCTCCATCTGCTGTTTCTGTAGCAAGGCAATACGCTCCTTCAAGCTAGTCGGTTTCGGGATATCCTCACCCTCTGTGGGAATTGGAGGCGGGGCGCCTGATAGCCCGGCCTTCTCCGCATCCTCCTGGTTATGCGCAATTTCTTTCGCAATCTCAGGGTCCTCTTCTCGACGATATTGTTTCATGGGCGGCGGGTCATTGCGGACAGGCGGGACGTAGGCATTTCGACTCGGTGGAGGCGCAACGAATGGCTTCTTAATAAAAGAGCTTGGCGGACCTCCGCCCGGTTTGAAGGGAGCAATTGGAGGAGCGGCAGTTTTATTGAAAGCAGCGATGCGATCCCGGAACGAGCTTGGCTTCTCAGCAACAGGCGGCGGTGGAGACTTCGAGGAAGCTGGAGCTGCAGGAGCCGGCTTCGGGGCGGGTGGAGGTTTCTGTGAGACGGCCGGAGACTTCGGGCCTGTCTCAAAGGTGGCCGATGTTGGCGACACTGGAAACTTTGCAGCCGCGGGAGTCTCAATGCGCGGTGCTTGTGGTTTTGAAGGGGGCGGTTCCTCGATTTTCTCTTCCACCTCAACCGGCGCAACCCCCCGGGTAACCTCTGGAGGCGGAGGCTCCGTGTGAGCTGCGGGCGCCTCTAGCGGCCTGTGCCGTGAAGCTCTATTGGGTCGTGGAGGAGGCTCCGGCTCGTATTTTTCCACGAAGTTTTTAGGGAAAAGACCCTCTTGTTTTGCCCCAGCACCATCAGTGTATTCGCCAATGTACCATTCCTCATCTTCCTGCTCCGTGACGGTGATTATCTGTCCTTGAGAAAAGCTCAGGTCGTCCTCGTGCGGGGAGGAGTAATCATAGACGGCCTTGACCTTGAAATGCGGCATGGCGGCAATGGAGGAGGAGAGAGGGGGCTAGGAAGACAGAAGAGCTCGGCCTGCGTCCCTAGCCACGAAATCCAGCGACTCCAGGGCAACGGAGCTGGAGCCGGTGCCTCGGTGGTGAATGAAACAGTGCAGAGCGAAAAGTGGGTGGATTACGTAGGATCTGGAGGCTCGCGGTTGCGTCAGTCGGCGGCGCGGGGAGGGCGGCAGGAAGACGGGCGGACAGTACCTATTGCAAACAATCGCTATGCAAACTAGAACATGAGAGGAGCAGACGTGGCGGGCGGATGGGGGGGGTCGGTGAAAGGTCCTCGTCATCAACGCTTGGGCGAAACAACGACTTGCAGTTTAGCGGGGTGGGAGGGGACCGAGCCGCCTCGTCGTGGAAACCTCCGTCTGGCGCCTCACCTGCTCTCTCCACCATCACGGCACCGCGCTCTCGCTCGTTCACTTGCAGCTGCCATGGGCCCGAAGTCGATCTTGAAGAGCTCTGCGGTGCCGGCGGACGCGGTGGACGCGCGCAAGCCGCCGGTGAACGAGCAGCATCTGCAGGTGGCGCTACAGCACGCAAATATCATCCAGGACCAAAAGAACGTCGAGCAAGAGATACTAAATGCTACCCTAGAGCTCCTCGAGTTCCCGCCCGACTCAAAAGCAGATCCCGCGCGCCCCAGTCCCAGCGATGCGCATAAATTCAAGACCCTCGTCATGCCGTTCCAGCCCAATGACTACGATGCACTAATCGAGGAGCGAAACTGCGCCGACCTCTGTGGCTACGCTCTATGTCCACGCCCCCGAAAGAAAGTGCCCTCTGCCAGCAAGCTGCATTTTGTCGACTCCAGAGATCGTGGTGTACAAATCGTGCCGAAGAAAATGCTGGAGGTCTGGTGCTCGGACGACTGTGCGCGGCGTGCTCTCTACGTCAAGGTCCAGCTCAACGAGGAACCGGCGTGGATGCGGCGGACAGGCGGTGGGCAGGAGATCGAGATTCTGGTAGAAAACACCGAGGCTCTGGAATTCGCTCTCCCCCTTCGGCTGAAGTCAAAGAACAAAGTCCAAGGCGAGCTCAAGGACGAGGACGGGGAAGATATTGCGGCAGCCTGGGCTCTGGCAGATGAAGCGCTGGCAGAGCTTTCCCAGGAGCGCGGAGATAAAGACAGCATGCCCAGGACGGAACTCATCAAGGCCAAGATTGAGGAGAGGACGAATGTCAAGACGCCATCCGCACCCTCCGCTGAGACAACCGCCAGCTCCGCTCACATGGCAATAGAAGGGCATATCCCCAAATCTGATGCCAAGAAGACCAAAGATGCAGATGACGATGAAGAAGACAACGACTGGGATGACTGATCTGTCAATTGTGGGTCGCAATCGCCAACAACTCTTCATCAATGCAGCATTCAGAACCAGGCCGGATTCACCAACAGTATCCTCTACTAAAGTAGGACAGACCATGAACGTCTAGCTCCTAGCGGGTCTCACGACCATCTCGATGCAACATATCTTTCTCGGCGTATGGGTATTCACCAAAAGCGAAAGAAAGAGGCTCACAGGGCTGACTGCTTATTCATGCTTTGACTCTGGAATGGGTAGGGAGAAAGGGAAGTTTTTCTGGGGAGGCATGGGACATGGAGATTGGGGTACTAGGAAATACCTCATGTATCAATAAAGCTTCTTTCATTACGACGCAAACTCTTGTGACTTCGCAAGCCTTCTTTTTCCCCGCATACTTAGGCAAGCAGTTTTGATATCACGTGCTGATGCCAAGCCGGATCGGCGCAATTTGTCGCCGCACGATCACGAATCTTCAACAAACGACAACAATCTCTACCGGCATTGCAGCATCATCGTCACGTCGGCTGCTGACACGGCGGCTGTCGTGAACCCCAACCCGCCATCATGTCAATTCGAATGCGGCGGCAGCTCTCGCCGACTGCACAACTCCTCCGATCCTCGCGACTCTTCGCCGTCCCCAATGCACTCCCTACACCGAGCATGGACATCGCTGTCTCCGGCACGCTGAAGTCCTCCAAAACGGCCACAATCCCATACCCTACCCGTCAAGCCATCGCCACTCCCGCATCATCGCTAGGTCGAGGTGATTGGGGGCTGAAAAGGCCCCTTCCACTCAAATCGACAACACGAACCTCCCGGCCCGTCCTACGCCTTCTGAGCAACGACACCATCGAGCACATAACCGACTTCGACTCCGCGCAAGATCATGTTCAAACGCTGCAAAAATGGACGGAGATGGGCATAGCGCTGTCTTACGGCGGAAAGAGAGAGAGGGATCCGTCGAAAATGACCAATGGACAGAAGGGCGCCTTTGAGCGATCAATCGACTCCACAGACCCTGACGATGAACACATGGTGAAGAGATGGAAGTACAAAGGCCCTTGGCTCGCCTCCCTGGATGCCAAAAAGTTCCAAAAGTACATTACGCACAAGCTCTCAAAGCGCAAAGACGAGTTCCGCGCCCACCTGGCCGAATACATCCGCCTCAAAGTCGTCAAAGCCCGGCGCGATGAAGCGCAGCGCCACGGCCGGGACATTTCCCTCATCTCCGACGAGGTCTCCGCCGACGACCTGAAAGTGCACTACCGCCTCTTCCGGCAAGAGCTCCAAGAGGTCACCATCACGTCTGAGCTAGTGCAGCAAATCGTCATTCCGTTCCTCGATCTGCCCCCGGTCCAGGTTGAGCCATACAGCCAGTCCTTAGGGCCCTCCATGGACCAGTTCACCGTCAGCCACGACACCACGCCGCTGACCACCCACCCCTCCGCCGGCCTGTCCTACCTCCGCTCGAATACCTACATGTACAACCACCCCCTGCTCGGCCCGCAGCAGTACAAGCAGCCCACACCAGCGCGCGTGCTCATCCCCGCTAGGACGAGTACCGGTGGCCGCGGCCGCGCGATCCTAGGTGTGGCGGGTATTGCCGCCGACGACTCGGAGAGCGACTCGGTTAAGGGAGGTGGCAGCTTCAGTGCGAACAGCGGTGTCGCGTTCCTGGATACGGAGACGGAGGGCGGGAAGAAGATCTGGGTGAGTTCGAGTGGCGCAAATATCACTCCGGATGCGCGGATTATGCTTCATCTTGCAAGGGCGCCGAGGGAGGCTGTAGAGGTGGGGCTAGGGCGGCTTGAGGAGGCGCCGCCGCCGGGTGTTAAGAAGGCGCCGGTTGTGATGCCGTTTGGAGGCGCGAGGCTGGATGAGCCGTTGGCATAGGTTGGAAGCTTGGAAGGAATGCTGTGGAAAGATGTATATTTGCATGTAGCATACGCATTTGATGGGCTGTACAATATCAAAGGATTTCTTCGGCAATTTCATGATCTCAAGGGGTGTGTTAGGAGGCACTAAATGTAAAGCGAAAGCCGGCTGAAAGATAGTCTGATATGCTCAGCCTGGTTTGATACTCAAATTGTAAGTCGGCATTTTATGTTCATATTGGAGCAGCTTGTAGCTGACTATAGGAGCCAATTAGAGCCGTCTCCAATACCTATGATTTCGACAAAGGCTATGGCAATCTCTCCACACTCTAAAATTAACGTATGCTAGTAGTTCTTAGCTCTACCTCACACACGACTCCGTCCGAAGCGTCTCGGCGCTCTACCGCACCAACAAATGTGATTTCATTTCATCACATCGAAACATCATGCTGATCTAGATATTTAGACAGCCCCCATGCCCCACTGCCAGGGGCACCTCAATCTGGTCGCAACCGCGTACCCGTCCCGGAGCGTTCTGTCACATCAGACCTTTCGTGTTAACCTCTCATGCGTACGTTTACTTGCCACCGTCTAGAGTGCTTCAATATGTTATCCTAACTTCCTATACAACTCAGCAAGCATTTTGCTAAGTTAGACCCGCTCTCCAACCCTCTTACGTATACCCATTCACCGCCGCCAGGAGCGCCCTACTATACCGAAAGGCCAAGACACGACGAAACGTCTGCATGGGTGTAGCTTATGTAAAATACGTTTAGCGATAGAAAGGGAGCTCCGATAGGTTTTAGACAATCAGGGGTAGCATAGTATTTCCTATACTATCAATGAGCCTTCCCCTGGTATTATATTTCCGCATGTCGGACGATGGTAGGAGAACCCCACAGATCAGAAACTCAGAAACAGATGTTAGGTATCCTACGCCATGATCGAGACGCGATTCCTTAGTCTAGTCATTACAGGTGTTCAGCAACGGCAGGGGGGCCCCATGGGCTGAGAAAAATCAAGAGGCGATGTGAGATTGCTGAGCAGTGATTTGACTACGTGTCTTTAGCATCATGTTCACGCGCGCTCTTGTCATCATGCGTACATGCGTTTGACAGTAGAAGGGGCGCCTCAAGGAGGCGCAAAAATCAGGACTAGATGTCGTGTCGAAAAGCGTATGATTCACGTCGATATTGAGGCATGTTTTGACAACACATTTACCAAGTTGAGCTACCACAGGGTGTTGCTTCGATTCCGGGTAGAGAAGCGTTTTGACAACACGTTTACCGATCCGGGGCACCACAGGACCTTCTCTCATACTTATGTATAGATACGTTTTGACAGCACAGACACTAAGTCAGGACACTTCAGCCAGTGTCAAAAGGCCGTAAGCAGACTTCAAAGTCCGCGAAAAGCTCAGGAAGACCGCATGAAGGACTAAGTAGTCTGCGGGAAGGCACAGCGTCGGCGGTCCTTGGAGAGGGTCCCCCACCGGCCCGGCACCCGGGAGGCAATCGGGAGGACTCCACTAAGGCCACCCCGCGGTCGGAAAGTCTGCATGAAGGCTCAGAAAGACCGCAGGAAGGCATCACAGCGTCGACGACAGAACAGGCTCTCGGCAGCAATCTGGGACCTGTTGCAACAGCCGCACGTCGGATACCTCGTCGCATTGAAAGCTCTGGACGAGGCACACCTTCTAGCAGAACAGACATGATGTAGGATTGCTTGAGCCCAAGAGCAAACCGCGGTGACATCGGTAGGGTCTCACAATCCGGAGAGGGCCATGGACCGTCATTGACGTAGATTCCGCCTCTTCCCCCTGCGAACGGATCTGCACTTCATCGAAGCTCATTGAAAGTCAATCAATGGGCGAGTGCGGGGGTCTATTAACCGGTTACATCCACATACCGGCCAAGCTAAGACAGATCCAAGAAGTCAAATTCAAACTTTCACGATGTCAGCTCGATTCACCATTCTCCCAATCCGAGCGCGGCGAAACTGTTCGAGTTTATTACCATTGTTGACGTTCGGAACGACTGCAAATCACATCACCTCTGCAACTATTGTCGAAATTCGGAACGATCGCGAATCACTTCCTGTTTTCCAAGTTGCTATGCTCAACAATCAAGAAAAAGGCGTTGATGCTCACGCTACCACTAGCATTGTAAGTTCCTCTCATTCATCATGCGGCTGGAATTTAGATGCTGACTTTTGGTTAGCAGCCACTTGTGCAATCCCAGAACAGTCCGTCAAGAGGCTATCACGAGTCGAATATAGACGATGTTGCGACCTCAAAATTCAAACATCCGCTGCTCCTTACTTTACTCAGCGTGCGGCTCAATGCAGTTCCGAACAAGTCCAGGGGTCCTGATCAAATATTGCGAACGCCGATCCGTCTTCTCAAACTCGCCTGCTCGGCCTCATCCCCTCACCCCACTGCCTAAGTTGAGTCCGCTGCCCAAATCGATCCCTCTGCTCAACTCCAACTCGATCGGCCGCTCAAGTTCAACCCGCTGCTCAGTTTGATCCCGTTGGTCAACTCAATCCTGCTGCTCAACTCCAACTGATTCGCCGCTCAAATTCGTCCCGCTGCTCAACTCAATCCCGCTGCTCAACTCAATCCCGCTGCTCAACTCAATCCCGCTGCTCAACTCCAACTCGATCTGCCACTCAAATTCGTCCCGCTGTTCAGTTTGGTCCCGTTGCTCAACTCAATCCTGCTGCCCAACTCCAACTCGATTGGCCGCTCAAGTGCATCTCGCTGCTCAACTCGGTCCCGCCGCTCAACTCGTCCCTGCTGCTCAATTTCATCCTGCCGCTCAATCTGAGTCTGATGCTGATTTTCAATCCGATGCTCAACTCGATCCTGCCGTTCAATCGGACCCCGTTGCCCCCAGCCCACGAGTCAAATGATTCTAAACGTCCAATTTCCTGCTCAATTGGACTCAACTGCCACTAAGCTATCGATCATCTTTCTTTTGAAGTTCACAAATCAATTGGAACCAACTCTTAGCATGCCTCCAAGCCTGACTTCGCCGCTGCAGAACTAAAAACGGTTTCAATTTCGAGTTCGGCTGCTGACTTGATATCTACGCCACAAATCCAACTAGCTTTAGATTCTACAGAAGTCATCAGTCAAATTACTTTCGCAATCTGCTGCTTCGTTGGACTCGACTGCCGCGACACCGTCAACAAAGCCTTTCTGCAGCCTCTGATATTCATCCCGCTGCCGCTGCCAAACGCCTCAAAATGCACTTCCGGTTCCACCAATCTCTCTAGAGTTTACCGCCCGTTCAATGAGTCCGGATTCATACTTCTCCACAAAGAAATGCCAATTGCTCCGTATGCCGGATGGACAGCGATCCATGGATCGAGACGCTTGTAACCCGCTATCTCTTCATCTGCCAAGGTCCGATCTTGGAAACCTCAACCTTACCTTTGCTCGCTCAGTCCGGGGTTCCTCTTCAACTTGAATCACGTGACATTTATCTATGATTCCATTGCCATTGTCTAGGTCGCCGCTCATTGCATCGACTTTCAACCTAGTATCACCTTCTAAAGACTCCAGGCGCACAGAAGTAGATGCTACCTTGAACAGTATACACTTGAACAGTATACACTTCGTGCCGCGGCACGCCTACCAGCGCCAAGCTTGGTCACGCGATTTACAACTTTGCGTTCATTGGTCCATCTGCCCGGCTCACGTCTTCTTTACGTGGGCCCAAATATCTGAACCATGGAATCGTCCCACCACCGCCAGCGTCCTCAAGTCTCAAAATTCATACATCGGCGAACGATCTCCACATCAACTCGCTCATCTCTCAGCCTTAGCAACTGCACAGTATTCCTAGTCGCTACAAAGGTTTTATTGGAAAACAGCTGCTCCGCGTCTCAAGTTTGCTGTAACTATGTCTACTGCAACGGTACGTTGGCCTTGTTTCGTCAACGATTTGACATGTCGAATACACGCTTTGAATTTTCTTCGCCTTTGTCGCTAATTGTAGATCTACAGGAGACTTCCGACACTGAAGGACGTGTTTCAAACTTCCTGCAAGTTGCTCTCAAAAGCGCCTATCGCCTCCTTCTGCGTCTCATAAGGCAAGAATCTCACTGTGAGCGACAAACCTTAATGCCGACAACTGTCCATTCATTTCGCATAATTCCGCCCGAGGAGTCAGGCAACCGACCGAATTTACAACTCCCATCTGACGCCCCCTCGCGCATTGCAAGACAGTCCTCCTAGGTCGAATCGTATGACAATTGGGAAGCCTCGGAGCAAGGAATATTCCGCTCTTTCAGCATAACCAGGTCTGGAGAGACCAACGCGCAACAGGTCTCCCAGCTAATGCCAACTGGTGTCGCTCCTCATGAGACGCATTCCGAAGCGTGCCGCGGACAAGAGGCCTCTGAGCAAAGAAACGCCACATCTTCTAGCATAACCATGCCTAGGGACCCAAACGGTCAACAGGCTTGCAGTCAAGTACGAACTACTGTCGTTCATCGAGACATAAAATCAACCCTGAATCACAAACAACAGGCGGCCGCTATCCACAACGCCACCCAAGTTCCTATTCATCAACTACCTTATGAGCTCCTCCTGATGATCTCTGTCTACCTGTCTCCCGTTGCCAACATGGCGATGCACCAAACGTGCCAAAGAATGATGGATGTTTTCACGTTACTCCCTGGAACCTTCCCTCTCAACGATTTCGACCCAGAGAGTTTGTGGCTGGAAAACACACAGAGTGCCCGTATTTGGTGCAGCGTGTGCGAGAGGCGGCACGCATTCAACCTCTTCTTCGCCTCGCAAAGAACACGTCCGCCCTTCGAACGCTGCTGCGTAAAAATGGACGAAGCGGTCAGGATTTGCGAACACCAATGGTGTACTTTCTCCGAGATCTCGGAGTCCAGGTATGGTGAAGTTGTTGGTCCGATCCGGTGCGAAGACGCTAGCCATTGCTTCACACACTGGCCAGATCATTGGCGCCCAACCCTCACACTCGATGGTCAAAAGGCCAAGATCACGTCTTACATCTCGATCATCACCCTTCCTAAGGGCGACGCCATCTCCGACCACGACCTGAAGACGGCATTGAAAACATCCACCGAGCCAGTTTGTGTGCACTTGAGCCTTTACGACCCCGTTATCTTCAACCTTGTCAGCAAGCTCATTCACGCAAGACATGCAGACCACCTCAAATGGTATCGTTCTGAAGAAACCCCTTGTGTCCATGGCGGCTACGCTGAGATTGCGGCATGCAGTCAATGGCACGTATCGGAAGACGAAAGCGACTTCTTGGTATCTCAAGGCGCATGGATCTCGGACTGGTGGGAAATGGACTGCCGCAAACAACTTGCGATATTGCTGCATGGTGGGGGCGAAGCCGAATGGACTACCCAGTGGGGCTGCCCTTGTAACCTCAAGGTGTTTTTGCGTCGCCTGCCGGGCGCGGATGTTGAGGAGGTCATCATGGAAGTTTGTAGGGAGTGGACGCGTACGAGCATGGATCAGGATTGGTTGGAGACGATTGGGTACGGCCCCGGGGGTCTTACGGAAAGACCACGGAGCGGAGTGGATGGAATTGCCCCCTTCCCGTTTTCAGCAGAGCCGTGGCAAGTCCGCTGGGCTCGGACTTCCTAGGAGCTGCGAGCGATTAGAGCCACTGGTATAGGGGTCTTAACATGGAGAACATCAATATCACAGTGCTCGGGCTCTGCTCTTGCTCGTGCGACGCTATTGCAAGAGGTACCCTAGCTAGCAGGTATTGGGGTAGTCAAAATGTAACCAGATTTTCAATGCATGAACCTTAACATCGCGTTCCGAGTCTCAGAAATCCATTGATGCCAAATGGATTATGGATGGATTCAGGTTCCCATCTTACTCATAGGATTGCTCCCTTCCCGTTTTCGGCAGAGGCGTGGCAAGTCTGCTGGATGTGAGACTAGACTGAATTAGAGTAGTGGTGGAATACTGAAGCTTTCCAGTCCATGATTATCAAACTGTAGGAGGGAGCGGTACGGACGTGTATCACTCATGGAATAATGCTAGCAGCGTAGGGCTTCTCGCCTCAGGAATTACCAAGAGCAAATCAGTGGGTTCAAGTTCTTTCTTGATATACCGTATGGGATGCAGTCTCTATTCCGGGCTAGATGTTCTGGCGATAACTATAACTTAAGTTGTTGGCTGCTTAGTCAGCCACAGGTCCGTGCGCTGCTGGATCCTTATCTTGTCATCTCATACGCCAATACACACTACAATCAACTCCCACCTAAGCTCGCTGCATTCTGGCGCCCTGACGAGAGGCAGTGTTCAAATTCGCACCGGTCGAGATCGAAAAGCCTCACGGTCAACAGCAGTCGTATAGAATACCCGTCAGAAGTGAGAGATTTCTCACCTTCATAGAATACCGGAGTGCCGACCGACCATCCTGCTCAGCCCGCAGAGCCTCCATCTCACGGAGTCTCTCACGCATCCAACGGTGATCAGCAACCTGAGGAAGACCATTGGTCAACGGTCGACAGTCGAGAGCTTTCTCGACATAGTCACCAAAGAACGATCAGACGAATTTGCCACTGTTGCAATACTGGCAGCCAATAATGTCCTACTGGCTAATCCCGATTTCAACGCTCGAACCACGGCTTTCTCCATCACGGTCCACGGTTCGGCCAAGGCATACATCCTGACCATTTCCCACGTCGAAATTCGCTCCCAGACTTTGCACTCTTACTCTCTTCAAGACTCATCTGTTAGCTGATACGCCCAATTTTCTGGTGAGCAGTCTCTTTCCTCATCGTGTTGGTTTGCAAACTTACTGTATCAGCACTGCTCTCAGCGGTAGATTCAACCAGTCTCCTGTTCTTGCTTGAAGACAACTTATAGGCGCCACGTCTAGCGAAATGGTACGTTGACCTATGATTCCCTATCATTATACAGTCACAGACCACATGCAAAAGTCTATGCACACATCTTTGCCAGCAATTGGGGTGCCCCCAGGGGGTTTCATGAAGTCAGGTGCAATGTGAAGCCTCATGCAGCGAAACCTGAGCTACATTTGGGCTAGGCAGCTTCCCAGTAACGGGGCCGCTCATCAAAGCGGTGTCTAGCTTCCAAAGTAGCACTTGGTCAGTGGTGTATCCGTGTACCCAGTCATTTGATTTAGTACCATACGCTCGCTTTAGCTATGGGTGTCGCTTATTAGTCTTTACACTAATTCCATAGCAACAGGATTTTCTCGATGCTCAGGGAAAGACAAGATCCAACTTCTTGAAACGAATCTCAGCAAAGGTTCGCCGCCCTTGCCTTCGCCTTGCAAGGCCAGACACATACCTGGAACAAGGAGAATCAAACGCCGGTTTACCCGACATCGTCAGCCTGGGCACCCTAAAGAAACAATCAGCATGCCCTCCAAACCCAAGTCTACCTCAACTTATACCAAAGCCATCACGCTGCTCCAAGCGACAAGAAGCCGCACTCCACAACGCCAAAGCCCCACTCCTTCGACTCCCCGACGAGCTTCTAGTCATGATCGGCACCCACATTTCACCCATTTCTAAGCTCCTACTCCATCAAACATGCCAGAAAGCCTTTGACATCTTTACGCCCTCTCCCGGGGTCTTCCCCCTCAATGAATTTGACCCGGAAATCGCACTGCTAGAAATGGCTCATCTTCCTACTTCAATAACAGACACTCCGCCACCGAACGCCCGCCCCGGTATCCGCATCTGGTGCAGTGAATGCCAAACACGCCACGCCGACTCGTTCTTCTCTGCCTCCGAACGGGCGCTACCTCCCCCAACACGAGGATGTGCTGGCACACGAGACCGACTTAGGCTATGCGCGCACCATAGCTTTACGCTTGCGGAAATAACGGCAAAGATGCACAACGGCTCCGTGGACTTCAAGTGCAGCGATACTAGTCACCAAGTCCCACATTGGCCGTGGGGATTGCTAAGGCGGCCGCATATCAACGGTCCAGGCTCTCGTCGCATCAATTCAGAAGGTTACGTGTCCGTTCGATCTGCGTTCTCGATTATGACTGTATCGAGGAAGGCCGCCGTTCAGATATCCGAGTTGCAGAGAGAGCTAGAGACATCTAGAGAGACGATTTGCCCGCACCTGGACGTTCGCGATCCGGTGATCGCAAACTTTATCAGCAAGTTAGTTGCAGCGAGACAAGATGGTTCGCTGACGTGGCACCGGAGAGAGGAGTTTGCCTGCTCGCACGATGCTTTCCTCTCGGATGCGTGCGTCAGGTGGCACCGCCGGAGAGATTCGGTGGATTTCATAGCTGCGCAGGGGGCTTGGAGGTCGGACTCGTGGGAGATGAATTGCTGCTTGACCGACTTCCTGGAGGTGGATGGTAAGCGAAGTTTCCACACAGTCTGTGGCTGTACGTCGCTTCTTGAGGTGTATATGCGTCGGTTGCCAGGGGCGGATGCGGAGGAAATAATCATGGAGGTGGTGAGGCTTGCGAAGCTTGACGCGACGAGTCGGGAATGGTTGGCGGCGATTGGGCATGAGTGGCCAGCGGACCATCCTGTGAGACGACTTAGGCCAAGGGATGGGTGGGATGGGATCATTACTACACCTGCTGCGAAAGCGTGGGTTCACCGAGAAGACGGCGAGCGACCAGAAAGTAGTAGGCCGTAAAGCTGGGCACACGGATCTCACACTCCTTAGGCTCTGCTCTTGCTCGCTTGCCACTGCGAGAGGTACCCCAGCTAGCCGGTCTCAATGTATGAACCTCGACATTTTATCTAGAGTCTCAGAAATCCGTTAAGTGCAAATGGATGCGGTCCGGTTTCTATCTTGCTCAATTAACACCATTGTAAGGAGTACTCCAGCTACCGAGTTTCTAGTCAGCCAAAAGCCAAAAGGTAGACTAATCTCCACTACGTCAACTTTGACATCGTATTTCGATTTCAATAGCCTATAGAGGTACCATAAGCAGTGGGAAGTCGATATACCTGGGCTTTTGGCAAGAGAATGTATACAGCGACTGGCTTTGGGGCTTCAACGTGGTTAGTAGTCGTTTAGCATGATGCTCGACCAATATTGTTCACGAAATCTAGATATCGTGGACTTGTTTCGAATGCATCGGTTCACAGCGCGTGAGTAAAGCTGATTGCACGTGCACCAAATCCTCTTTCTCTCCTGCCTTTTAAAACTCTCTCTCAACTCCCCACTTGATATTTCCTCTTCCTAAGCGATGTCCTTTGAGCTCTCGAATTGATCACAGAGCTCGACCAAGGTCGATACGATCAACTGCCGAGGATGGGTGTGGACTATGAAAAAACCTTGTTGCCATCGACAAATGGGGTAGTCGGGCGTCGGTGGCAAATCTGGAAGAAGAACAACCTACGGAAAAAATGAAGCAGGCGTAGATGACGATGCTAACCTCTATCTCGCTCAGTAGATACTCATCACCACCGTTCTCGGGCTAACGCTGCATCTTCATGTACCTCCAATGCTCCAGACTCACTCCCACTCGCATGCGGCGATGATGCTCGCGTTGTCGATCCACAGTCATGAGGAATTGCTCTGCTCTAGTTCAAACACTCCATGCTGTGGCTTTCCAATGATAGTTTGAACGCCAATGCGAAAATCGTATCAAACTCTCTCTGGAGAACAGCAACTACTCTCCGAAGACTGGCTTTTCTACTCCTTGCGTGTCAGTGGAAGAGGTCGCTATAGTTGCACGTGCATACCACGTGATATACCCATTCGGTCTGAGAGCCCCGCTGCGGATGCCGCACGGACCACAGCCGCTGCGGCTCCCCCTTGTTCATCACATGCAAGCCGTCATCGCTCCTCGCAGCTCTGTGCACGTTTACCGTCGCTACAAAGGTAGCCTCGTCCGACTCTCTTGCAGCGCCTTCTTCCTTCTTCCGCGTCTTTCACTGCTATCGCGATGCCTTCTCCTCCCGCAACGCCCCCCGTCGAGCTCCCTCCAGGTCGCCAGTCTTGGAGATTCAAAACAACGGGTGCCTGTTGCGAGTGGGTGGAGCTCTATCGGCCTGGGGGCTTTCACCCAGTCGCTCTCGGAGACTCGTTCTGTGCCGGCAAGTACACGGTAATCCGGAAGCTCGGAGACGGTTCGTTCTCGACTGTATGGCTAGCCGTCAGCACGGGGTACGTTTATTCTTCTCCCTATCCCTACTTCTCTTTGTTCATGTGTGCTACTTGCATTTCGCGTTCTATAGTTGATAGGAACTGCCGCCATAGCACACCGCGGTATGTCGCTCTTAAAATCATGGTTGCCAAAGCCTCCACTACGCATACGGAGCTCAGTATTCTCAACCATCTCTCGAAAGCGGCTCCCGGACACCCCAACGCCCAACACGTCACTGTACTGCTGGACATCTTTTGGCATCAGGGCCCTAATGGCAAGCATCAGTGCTTGGTGTTCGAGCCTATGGGCGCAACAGCTGCTTCACTAGTGGAAAAACTGCCAGAGAATAAACCAGCTATGTTTGGAAAGCCGCAGAGGTATCCTAAATGGATGGCTAAAAAGATACTTCTCCATGCACTGCGCGGCCTTGCCTTCCTGCATGAAAATAGCGTAGTACACGGTGACGTCCAACCAGGCAATCTACTCTTCGCTATAAACGACATCAAGTCTGCAAAAGAAGGCAAGCTAAAGCAGGACGAGGCCACCGCGATACCCGTATACAGGGTCGATAGGAAGGACGATAGATGGGCGCCGAAGAATCTCTATCTCAAACAGCCGCTCTACGATTACGTGGATAGCGGTCCAAAGCTTCGCGTGAAGCTGTCGGATCTAGGGGCAGGTAAGTTGCTCTTGAACCCACATAGATATATTGTGTTCTGACGGCATGCCCACAGCTTTCTGGTTAGCTAACCCGCCAAGCAACACGATGACCCCTATCAGCCTCCGTGCTCCAGAGCTAATTCTACACCAGCCGTTTGGTTGCGGCATCGACATGTGGAGCTTTGGATGCCTAGTATTTGAGATTCTAACGGGCAGGTCGCTATTCGCGGTTATGATGCTCGGAAAAGACCAGGAAGAGCAAGATGATGCGGACGATGACCATCTTACCCAGCTTAACGACATTATTCAGCCACTGCCCGACCCTATCATGACGGCTTGGCCGCGCGCTAGCAAGTGGTATGGGCCAAACCGCCAGCCCCTAGCGCCCTACAGCGAAGGGGAACCTCCTTACATACACGATTCTCTTCAAGTACTGTTTCTAAAAAATAAGCCGGACGAAATTAATGATAAGGAGTCGGCAGTCCTGTGCTCCCTAATGAAGCAGATTTTGCAATATGGCCCGGCGAAGCGGCCTTCGGCGGTGGATCTACTTAAGCATCCGTGGTTCTCGGAATAGAAGCGCACTGCCTATAAGAGCGGATCTAAATTACTGACCATACCGTACAACCCTATCCCAGCATCATCAACCCAGCAGCATGGATGTGTGGGGTCAGCCGCATCCACAGTACTCTAAATTTCGAGCCGCTGTCGTGCAGTCTCTCTCTACGTTTGATCAACTAGGACAATGAGAGGTATTAACATTGCGGATCATGAGTCTGCCATTCCGTTCTCACCAACATAAAGTTCAAATGGCGACAAGCTAGCTGCTTCGGAGAGTGAGTGCAACCAAGTACCCGTAGAACATAGTAACCATCAGCACTTTATACGGCTAGTAAATCGTGGTTTGGTCCCTGCGCAAGTTTACGGGACGCAAAGGCGGGACTCAAAAAACCTTTCACCTTGTTTCAACTCGAAATTCTTACGAGGCCAAGAGATATATGAACCAGGTGTTCCTCGGATTCTTTTTCATCCAGCGACCTAATTGTACACTATCTTTCGGTTTCGTTGCCGTTCTTGTTTCTTTTACCACTTGTTACGTTCATTGGAACTAATCCCTGTCGCCTCTTGTGACCTCTCAAGATCGCGATTCTCAGCAAGGCCTCTCTCGTCCTCCCTTTCATTGCTTCTACTTTAGCCGTCCCCTTATTTGCCCGACAAGACGATGGGGGCGTAAACCAGACAGACGTCAACGTCATCTGGCCGATTTCCTACATTGCGCTCGGTGACTCTTTCGCCGCAGGCATCGGAGCCGGCCACTACACAAACGCCTCCAACACCCAAGTCAAACAGTGCAAACGCGTCGACGGCTCCTATTCCTCTCAGGTCAAGTCCCTACTCACCCAAGTCGAAGTCAAGAACTTCCAGTTCGAAGCCTGCTCCGGCAACGTCCTCGAAGACATCGACAACCAGATCCAAGACCTCGAAAAAGCAAAAGCGCAAGCCATCACCCTCTCCATCAGCGGCAACGACTTCAACTTCGGCGGCGTCGTCGAGAAGTGCATCTACAACATCGCCTTCCTCGACAAGACCAAAGACGCCGAGGGCCAAACCGCCCTCCAGCGCTCCTCCAACCTGATCAACGGCGATGGCGTATGGGCGAAGTACACCGAGAAAGTCAACAACGTCCTCGACAAAGTCGCGATCAAGGACCAGCTCGGCTACTCGTGGTCCACCCTCGTCATCACCGGCTACGCGCGATTCTTCGGCACCCCGCCGACGGCGACACTTGCTCCAAGACCCGCATCCCATCCGCGGCACCGCAGTACCGGTATACGGCAACCTGCTCCACACGGGCGTCCGCTCCAAGATGAACGGGCTGGTCATCGCCGTCAACCAGAAGATCCAGCAGAAGATCCTGCCCCTCAACACCGACAAGATCCGCTTCGTGGACATCGACCCGCCGTTCGAATCGCACCCCTTCTGCGAGCCGGACCGCACGAGCGACCCCGCGGGTGGCAACGACAACAACATACGGGTCATCTCGTTCGACACGACGCTGAGCGAGAGCGAGTTCGCGCCCAACGACAGCGCGGAGGACCAGATGTGGGTGGCGTAGAACAAGGGGTTCGAGAGCCAGTTTGGCGCCAGCGATCCGGATTCCGCCCAGGCGAGCTGCGCATTGCGGTCAACTTCCATCCGAAGACACAGGGGCATTCGAACACGGCGCTGGCGGTGCAGGCGGCGGTGGAGCAGTGGGGGAAGGACCACGAGCATAACCCCTCGGCGCCGCAGATGCAGTGCGAGGCGACGGATGCGGGGAGCATCCCGCAGGGGATTGTGATTCCGGCGCTGGTCGGAGATGCGGAGGTCGTGAATCCTAATGAGCTTTTGGCGAAGCTTCGAGCAGGTGTGTGCCTGAATATCTGGTGAGGGTAGTTGGGAAAGATAGGGGTTGCTAACACGTTTTGCCACAGTCCTCTGCGCTAACGACTGCAAAATCCCTGAGGACATCTAGGCCTAAGCCGGCGCTGTCGTAACCGGCAGCGGCGGCCGCTGCGAGATCTTCATCGCTGTCCAAGGAGGCAGCGAGGCGTATATGGAGCGCGACCGCTCCATCTCCGGCAATGACCAGACGCAGCATTGCTGGGACACGGCCTAGAAGGGTAAGCCAGCCACCCTCACCCCAATTGTCCCACTACCCCAGCTAACCAACCTAGTCGCAGTCCTAACTAGCTGCGTAAACAACAGCGCTAAAGAGGGCTGGCAAGTCGGCGTCCCCCCCTCCCTGCTTTCTACCAAGCCGGCTTCCGCCAGCTCAACGCGGGCATCCACGACACCATCGACTCCGACTTCGCGCTCGAAAAGGACCTATCTGGCTTCCAGTCTGTGTGCGGGGACGGCAAGGGCAACTGCACGAGCAGCGACTGCGTGGGGGAGTGGTGGATTTGCCCGACTGGCTCCCTGCCCTGCTAGGGTGCTATTGCGGGTATGGGTCGAAGGTTAGCCAGCTGGCGCAGCCGAAGGCGAATTTGAAGTGCAACCCTGACTGCTGCTTGACCGGGCCGAACAATAATGCGTGGTGGACGGCGGATTGGTGCGCGGCGAACTGTGGGGGGGTTGGCGAATCAGTATTGCTAGGTTTTGTCGTGGGGAAGTTGGAGGGAGGAGATGGGTAGGTCTTTGTTGATTTTTTGATAGATGTTATCTATATGCTTGTAATAGAATAACCGCGGGGTCCTTAGTAGCCCAGCCAAATAGCCCAGCGAAATAGCATGATGAAAATGGGAGATTGACCTTGTATTCAGATCCTGTTTTGAGCTCCATATTGGCGTCAGCGTTCGATTCGAGAGCCCGAACCTTCTCATTCCCCTCCGCTAGCTAACACTGCAGAGCACCCTCGTAGGTCTCGCCTGTGTTGCCAAAGTACTCGCAGTCCAGGCCGAATTCGAGTCTTTGGCGCATCCGGCGCGGGAAGGTCTCTCGCCGGAGCACTTTTGAGCGTGTTAGCGATGTCTTTTGGCAGGAGGTTCTGAATCAGACATACTTTTTGCCTTTGGATTGGCGGCAAGAGTTGTAGCGGGCTGATTGCAAATTCGAATTTCAAGACTTCGCTGTTTCACTCCTCAAACGTGAAGAAAACTGAGGGCAAAACGAGCATCCAACCTCCTCCTCAGACCAGCAGTAAAGCAACCAATCTCCCCCCACCCCCCCTCTACCTTTCCGTTCCACTTGGCACTCCACCTAGAACCGCACTCTCACCTGACTTAGTGCAACTCACGTGCCCCTTCGCTGGGCGAAATCTTTCGGGTATAAAACCAACGTCGAGATTTCAGAAGCCCTTTCTTCCTCATAGAGAGATCAGTTCCTAGGGTTGAGCAATCAACACCGCCGGTGATATGAGCGCATGGGGTGGGTCGATCAACTCAGCTTACCGCCCTCAGAAATGGCAGCCGGGTAGAGGAGAGCAAAAAGCAGATGATATTAGACCATGGTTGCTGGGGCAACAGCAATGAAAGAAAACCCCGATGGCTGGGTTGGAGGGACTGGTCGTGTCGCTGTGCAAATAGACAACACGATTCCGCGATGGGAGGTGGAGGAGAGCAACAGTTTGGCAGCGAATGATGAATGGTGTTGGATCAACTAAGAGGAAGAAAGGAAAGAATGGCCGGTGCGGGTGGAACTCGGCCCTCATACCGATCATGCTGCCCAGCGGCGTCAGGATGTGGTGTTCAGCGGCGTTCAGGACTGAAGGCGTTGTGCGAAATCGCTGATTAGCGCTGGTGTGCAGGAACGGCGCTGCACCCTACCTCAAGCTAGAAATGGGGGACTTTGGATGGTCTTCGGCCAATCACACGTACTGAACACATACTAGTGGCGGCATGTAGCAACATGTACCAGAAACGAGTACTAGAGGATGTTGAAGTAGAAGGGAGGCGCTGGAGCGAAGTTGCTCTCCGCCTCCTGTTCACGCAGGTGTCCAGCGCCGTAGAGCGAAGACGCTCATCGTCTCAACTGGCTCCTGGCGCTGAGCAAGCTCTCACAACGCTGCACACCAACGCTACACAACAGCAAACCCCACCAGCCATTGTTGTGTTCCCCATCCTTTGTTACAAGAACCCCTTCCACCAGCAAACCCCAACATAGGAAGCATGGGATGGCCGAGTTAACACCCAAACTCCACCAGCCATCAGAGCTATTCGACCTGGGCTTTGCTAGAAGCAACCCACCAGCCAACCCACAACATTCAGTGTCGCCTTCGCTGATTTGTACACCGCAGACTCCAACATACGAACAGGTTGTTATATAGTTGATGCCGCAGGACCACACCGTCCCCATGCACGGTTGTGGCTTGGAGATTTTGATCCTCCACCCAGCCCCATAGGGCTCTTAGGAGTGGAGTTTTACAATCCCGAAGGACGGGTCCAACTGCGTTTCCTACTCCTGTAGTACGACGAAGGGAGGCGAGAGTGGTTTTATAGGTAGCTTGAGAGGCCTGGGGCGTGACTTCGAGGTTCTCACGTGATGTCGGATTGAAAGCACGGGTTTACCTCTGCGTCTGGGCGTTGACAGAGCAGAGCTACGAGTTGTCTATGGTGGCTAGCAGGTAGTCGTCCGTAATCGTTCGTGTTTAGCTACCAAGCGTTCGCGTATCATTGGCAATCGTTCATGAACAACAAGTAGAAGCAGATTGCTTGCCAGGTGGTACTCTCGGCCCGTACCCATCTGTTGCCCTACCTTTGCGTTATGAAGGCGACAGTAAGGTCGCCAACGTCTGCCAACGAGGTCGCTTTGGACGAGAAGTGGGCGCTGACTGCTGCAGCCGTGGCTGGTCGACGGCGTAGCCCACAGGATCTAAATGCGCGCTACTCCGCGATTGAGGGTAGTTGGGCAAGTTCCATACCGGGAAGTCTAAATTGAACCAGGAAGATAGCGGTGCTGGCGGCACTCTTAAGATGTTGAGGGGGAGTTGGACGAACAAACGGATGGACACGCAGAGGGAAAGGTAATGTAGAATCGGTAGATCCAGACGTGAGGTTCTGGCGCTCTTCTCTTCTCCTCTTGCAACTTCCATTTGAGAACGACGGAACGACAATCATTGACCGATTTGTTGAGATACAGACTCATACTTACAATCCACGGTGTGCTACGAAAGCGTCAAATTCAACGCCTCAACGGGCTCCTCTACTTCTGCAAGAAAGCAACGCAATACCTGCCTACTTCGAGATGATGGAGGAGAAACGAAAGACCTGGAGAACACAACCGCATAACGCTCCAACCTACCTCCCCCCCCGCATCACCCCCCAGATCAGCAATCATCGCTTGACCCAACCAGTCCCCGAAATCCTCCCCAGAACCCACCCACGCCCTTCCGACAACGATCGTCCCTCCACCTTCCCGTTCCTATCCCCCCAACATGCGCGGCATCCTCCGGGTATCGCATGCATGTCAGACGATCCGGCGAGCTGGTGAGCTGGTGAGCTGGTGAGCTGTCCAACCCCCCTGTGCTAGATGCTAGTTGTCAGGTTAGGCTCCTCCCAACAATACTAGATCTGGCATTTTTCCGCTAGGGGGAGGCCTCGTCTACCACCCCCATCCTAGGTGATTCGCTACCATGCCCAAAGAAACCACGCTCGGCTACCTCGTCAAGCAGCATGCATGAGCCATTTTATTCTAGCGGGCTTCTAGCTCCGTTCTAGCTGCCGTGTCATCTGGGGTCTGGGGTCCGGGGGTTGGCATGGGGAGTGTGGTGGTGTGCTATGGATGGTAGCCAGCGGCAGGCATCCTCTAGGAGTGCGGCGTGCGTGCATGCAGGTGGTAGGAGGACGATCGAGCAATCCTTCATGTTGGTATCTTCCTAGAGTCGACATCGGATCGGCGACTTCGCTGTGGTTAGTAGCTGTGCTTGGACGGCTGGGAATCGTGGCAGCTTGGTTTGGGGGGTTGCGGGAGTTTTGCGGAATCCTCCAGGAACGCGTTGCGGGTGCGCGGGAATGCGAGAGAGGACGATCTTCTAAGCGTTCCTTTTGGATCGGCTTGGAGGTGTTGGTGTTGCGGTGGTTGGGAGGTGTCCTATGTATCTTTCCAAACGTCTATGAGGCTTGCGGGAGGTCGATCTGACACCTAGGTGATCGATTGTGTGTGCCCTCTTGCTGGATCCGACGTCGCCTATTGGATTCTCATAGCCCACTCACCACACCCATCAAGCATGCCAGACGTTGGCCACGCTCCGACCTCTCGCCGACATCGCCGCGTCAATAGCAGCAGCGAACGAGAAGCCAACCCAAAAGCAGGGCGCCCATCCTCGTCCTCGTCCTCGTCCTTCCAGCACCTCCCCCCTCTAGCTGGTTCCGAAGAGATGAACACCACACAACAACCCGACCACCCTACGCTACCTACCGCCGTAGCGTCCACGTGGCGCAACCATCAGTCCATCCCTTCGTCAACCTATAGCATCGACGATCTCAGGCAAACCTTCCATGCCTGTCGTGCATCATGCATCACGCATCACGCAAGTCTCAGCCGCGTACACACAGGGTGGGTGTATGTAGTGGTGCAAGGAGTAGTGCAACCAACGCTGCGTCTAGCGCCCCCACCACCGCATCAACCTTCACCGGATGGAAGGCAGACTCCAGCCTCGCGCGCCCCCCGATAGCCATAGCCGAGTTACGCAGGACGTGCGGACGGAGGCTGGGATGTGCATGAGCAGTGGCTGGCACGCCGACCGCTCTCGGCGGGATGGTGCGTGCGAAAAGCCGTCCGCCCGCTCAGGCGCACGCCCAACGAGTGGGCTCGGACTTCCGAAGCCAGTGCGCAGGCTTCTAGCGCCCTTCTCCCGCCCTTCCACACGTTCGTCCCAATCCTCCGCACGCACACTAACCGACACGTACTGGAAAAAGCGCGCACGCCGAACCGCCCGCAGCCACGACGTGAAACGTCCAGCCCCCAGCTCGACCTCCAGAACGCGCTAGGAACCGCGCGGTCCAAGCAGCGTGAGGTTGTTATTTAGAGGTGTTCTGGTTGCCGCGACCGCAAACCTTGCAACATGCGATGGTGGGGTGAGAGAGCGTGCGCAGGGGGGGAGTGGAGGAGGGTTGGTGTGGTGAGTGGAGACCCCACCGGCCCAGACTGCGTAGCTTGGGACAGGAATGGGAGAAGCGTGGAGTCCCCGGTCTCCCCTCCCCTTCCTTCCATCTTCACCGCCGAGATGCTGGGTGCTGGGGTGTAGCTGTCGCAGAGTCAGTGCGCCAACTATCGTGAGATGCCGAGTCAGGGGCGACGTTGGTGGAGTTAGAAACCGCGCACGTCGGGTTGCCGGATGCGGCAGGCCAAATCGTGGAGTGTGTAGGGCTGCATTGGGCTGGAGGGAGGCTGGATGAAAATGGCGCTTGAGGCTGAAGGCACGCATGCGGCGAGGATCTACAATATCTCGGAGGCCGCTAGACACGTTTGTGGCGTTGGCAGATACGAGATGCACGAGTAGTGGCTGGAAATATGCGCGAACTATCAGACTATAGACAGTAATAGTGAGGATGTTGTGCGTGCGCACCGCTGGAGAAATCACGCATGCGATGCGGGCAGACAGAGAAGGCAATCGGGAATGGATGGATGCTTAGGAAAGGCTGGATTGTTTCGCGGGCTACGGAGTCTTCAGTGGAGCGGGATTGGTGGGTTTTCGTGTCGTTTTCTCCATAGGGCCCCGTTGATGCTCGATGGATTTTTTCCATTTTTTTTTGCTCCACTAAAAATCTCGACTGTGGGTTTGGGGCGCGGAGGAAGGGGAGTCGAGACCTGGGGTTCGGGCCGATTTTCGCAACCTCCTCCCATGGTCCGTTTGAATTCACGATAGACCTCAACGCCTGCAGCGCTCACAAGCATTTGTAATTCTGCCAAGAGCCAGGGTTCAATCGCTTGCAGTCGATGACCAGCAGATGCCACCGCCGGCCCGAAGTCCGTGGCCGATTCGATCAGATGGCACAATGGCTCGGCACACGCTGGGCGAACGCCACAAACGCGGCAGCGACGCGCTAGGGAGGGCTGCAGGATGCGCCGAGGTTGAGCTCGAGCAAGGGTTGAAGCTGGGGTTAGAGGCGAGCTAGAAAGACACCGCAGATGCACCACCGCACGCAGCCGTCATCGAATCAGACCATGGACGGAGTGAGAATCACGCGCCCGACGCGCCACGGAGTCTGTGAGCCTGGCAGCTAAAGAAAGAGCGCCTGTTGATAATTGTCCCAAGAAAGTGCAATTTGCGATTGCGCCCTTGCTTCAGACCCGAGTACAGACCCGATTACCGTCCCGGGAAACTCGAGACAATGCGACAGAACACGGGAACTGTGCATGCTGAAAAACAGCCACTTCTTGGGCCCACGGACACGGAAAATTGCAATGCGCACGGATGATGAGGATATGCGCAGGATCGCGAGACCCTCGAGGAATCATCGAGCAGGCCCAACACTCGCGCCTGGAAGATCCCAGAGGCCGTCGCGGCTAGCGCTGCCACGGAAGGATTCCAGACGCTTGGTGTGCTGGGGACTGCTGGTGTTTTCCTGGTTCGAGCTGTCGGCTGGAGCTCCACCGAAGCCCCGGGACGGGAGCAGAGTCCTCCAATCACGCTTGCGAGAGCCAGCCCAGCGCGGCGTCGGTGCATGAGGCCGTGGTCGCACGACAGCAACATCCGTCGAATGGAACTGGTTCCGCGTCTGCATCGAGTCTGACGCCGAGAAAGGTCAGCACGCTCGCGCCATCATCGTCGTGAGAGGGGACCTGAGCGTGTGTCGCGCGGACAAGGCTCGCCATGGTGGTGGCGGGAGTGCATGAGTCGCGCGGCACCCCATTCACCAGGCTCCCGGGGCGTTTCAACGGCAGCGAGTGGACAGCGACCGGCATCGTCGTGTTGGTGGAGGATGGATCATTGTGGATGCATGACCTGGTGACTTTTTGCGAGCCAAAGCGGCAAAGCATCAAAGCATCTCAGCGAACGAGATTGCGGCTCAAACGCCTTCCCCACACGCCGCCGACTCCAGTGGCTCCCGCAGACGCCACGGCGTCATGGCCTTGAAAGCTTCCATGCCAGCACGAGGAGGCGGCCACGACAAAGTCCAAGCGAAGCGAGCGATGCTGGGAGCGAACTGGTATAGCGATCAGGACAATTGCGCAGACTGGGAGTGCTTGGGCGCTGCCCAGAATCGCCAGCCAGACAGGCTTGGGGCTTCGGAGGCATGCTGGAGAAACGAGGTCTGCGAGGTGTTGGCTCGACGCAGGGCAACTGGGACAGGGTGCGGTGAAGAGTGAGCGCTAGCCCTTTCACTCACGGACTCCCCGAGCAGGCCTCACGTGAGTATCGGCGCCGGGACTACCACTCCAGGCCAGACGCCGGGCTCGCTCCCGTGCGAGGCGCGCCGTGTTAGGCCGAGTGCAGGCTAGCATCCGCCGATCGCTGCCGATGCGGTCACACCGTTACACCCCGCGCGCAGGCGGTGGCTGCGGCGATCCTTTTAGGGCATGTCCCAGGCGGGTGAATGGGCCTTGGCAAATCACGGCGCGGCACGCCGCTGGGGATCGCAGCCCGAAGAGGTGCTGGCCTGTCTGGGGCCGGCCGTGCTAGACCGGCATCCGCCCTTGCGAGGCCGCCTGCTCAAAGCTCCATGGTGAATTGCGCGCAACGTGCGGGGAAGCCGTGCGTCGGGGTTGCAGCTCGCACAGCAGAGAGACGGGAGGAACAAGAAGTGATAAACCCGCCGTCGCCCCGGTTTTTGTTTTCTCCACGACTCGTCTCCCGTCAACGCCACACCCACCCCACAGCCAAGAAGCTCGACAAGCTCCCCGTCAGCTCCGCCATCATGTCTACCCATGATGCCGACAAGGTCAACATCGAGAAGAGCGAGCTGTAAGTGGCCGCCTGATTGCTTGTCGCACAGCTTGAAATTGCTTCATTGCGCGCGCCCTCGACAAAGAAGCTGACGGCAGATTGCAGGGCCACTGAGGAGCAGTATCACGACCATAGCCGGGAGGAGAAAATGGACATCAACAACAACATCACCGCCAAGTACGCCTGCCCCGCGGCTTTGTCGCGCCCCCATTCGCCGCCCGCCCTCTCTTTGTCGCGCTTCTAACCAATTGCACTAGGATCCAGAACCCCCTTGCCCACCTGAGCGTCGAGGAGGTTGTGTACCAGGTCAAGGAGTTCGCCGAGGCCAACGGCTTCGTCGAGGAGGTCGACTTGCTCATCAAGGGCGCCCTCGTCGCCAAGGACCCGCCCGCCTTCGAGTCCGTCCCCGGCATCACCGAGGAGGAGAAGCACGCGATCCGCAATGAGGTCTTGCACAAGTGGCGCCAGCCGCGTCTGCTCTACTTCACCATTATCCTGTGCTCCATTGGCGCCGCCGTCCAGGGATGGTGAGCGACCCCGAATCTTTCGTCTCTTGCAGAAACTGATCTAGCGAATAGGGATCAAACTGGTTCCAACGGTGCCAATCTGAGTTTTCCCGATGCGCTTGGTATCCCAGTCGGGGACTATTTAGACAAAGCAAACACAATCCCCAACCCGAATGCCTCACGAAACCAGTGGCTGCAGGGTCTGATCAACGCCGGTCCCTACATCGCCTCTGCCTTCATGTAAGCGTATCTGCGCCTACTACTCATTTGCCTGGCTAACCAAAACAGTGGATGCTGGTGCTCTGATCCCTTGAACAAATACTTCGGCCGCCGCGGCTGCATCTTCATCTCTGCCGTCTTCTGTGCCCTTTCTCCTGTTGGTGGCGCCGTGGCCCAGACATGGCCTCAACTCCTAGTCACTCGTCTACTTCTCGGAATTGGCATGGGCTGCAAAGGCTCCACTATCCCCATCTTCAGCGCTGAGAACTCGCCTGCCTCCATCCGTGGCGCCCTCGTCATGTCGTGGCAGATGTGGACTGCCTTCGGTATCTTCCTCGGCACCTGCGCCAACTTGGCCGTCAAGGATACCGGCAAGATCTCCTGGCGTCTACAATTGGGATCTGCTATGCTTCCAGCGATTCCCCTTCTAATCGGCATTTACTTTTGCCCTGGTATGCATTCATCCTCTCCATTCTTCTCTAGCCTCGTTGCTGACTCGCTCTAGAATCTCCCCGTTGGTACATCAAGAATGGCAGGTACAAGAATGCTTACCGCTCGCTGGTCAAGCTCCGCAACGACAAGCTCCAGGCTGCTCGTGATCTTTACTACATCCACGCCCAGCTAGCCATGGAAGCGTCCTTGATCGAGAAGCCAACCAACTATGTTACTCGCTTCATCCAGCTCTTTACCATCCCGCGTGTGCGTCGTGCGACCTTGGCCTCCTTCACCGTCATGTTGGCCCAGCAGCTTTGCGGTATCAATATCATCGCCTTCTACTCGTCCACCGTCTTCGAGAATGCCGGCGCCGGCGTCACCGAGTCTCTCCTCGCCTCCTGGGGCTTCGGTCTGGTCAACTTCGTCTTCGCGTGGCCCGCCATCTGGACGATTGACACCTTCGGCCGCCGCTCATTGCTCCTCTTCACGTTCCCGCAGATGTGCTGGACCCTGCTCGCCGCCGGTCTGTGCTTCCTGATCCCATCCTCGAGCAAGGCCCATCTCGGCCTCGTCGCACTGTTCATCTACCTCTTCGCAGCCTTCTACTCTCCTGGCGAGGGTCCTGTCCCCTTCACTTACTCCGCCGAGGTCTTCCCCCTCTCCCATCGCGAAGTCGGCATGTCCTGGGCCGTCGCCACCTGCCTCTTCTGGGCCGCCGTTCTCTCCATCACCTTCCCGCGCATGCTCGCCGCCATGACGCCCACCGGCGCCTTCGGCTTCTATGCCTTCCTTAACATCGTCGCTTTCGTGATGATCTTCCTCTTTGTCCCCGAGACGAAACAGCGCACGCTTGAGGAATTGGACTACATCTTCGCGATCCCTACTAGGCGCTTCATGAGCCACCAGTGCGGCACTGTGCTGCCGTGGTGGGTCAAGCGCTACGTCCTCCGCCGCAAAACCGGTCCCTGCCCCGCGCTCTGGAGCTTCGACGGACATCTGGCTGGGGGCGACAAGGACTTTGAGGAGGCGGTCAGGCGCGCAAGTGTTGCTGCCGGCGAGGAGCCGCCGCGGAGGAAGAGCATAGTGCGGAAGGTCACTGGTTAAGTTCTTGATACAGGATATCTCGAAGCTTTGGGAATGTTGCCGTGCGATGTGGTCGATATGATATCATTGGGAATCTCGCTCTGCATTCTCCGAGGATGGGATAGGATACCCCTAGACGTGGTGCTAGGGTGGATATGGTGCAAGCTGCGCCGATGCAGATCGTGCGGATACCCCCCTGATGGACCATTTGGTTTGCGTAACATTACGATTAGTTTCTTTTCTCTGTTAGCTTAGCTGTAGAGAAATCGATGATTACACCCGGTGTCTATGTTGTCTGCTTGCCGCGATTGTCTCACTGATTCTTCCCCTCTCGCTGCCTTGTCCGTTACTATCGAAACTCGCGGCTGCGATTGCTGTCATCAGCGTGCGCGAATCTCAACACACTCTGATCCTTCTTCCAACCTAACCTCCATCAAGCTCATACTCGTTTGAGACATCGCAACTGAATTCATCTTCCTCGTTAGTAAAGCTAGATAGAGAGGGACCGTCTTCCTCTCACTAATTCCCATTATCTGCTTCTCCTTGCCGGCTGGCGAACTTAGATATGCTTATTTTGCGTGCCCTCGGCGCTCTAGTTTTTCCGGGAGCTTGACACCTCGCGGGATATACATGTAGCTGGAATATGTGGAACATGTGAGCTACAATTACGTCCTCGGCTGCTTGACACCTCGCATGCAACCGCGATCTGGGGAACACGTGACCCTTTCACTCCCTTCATCTCTCCATTCCCTCACACTCCTAACTCATTTTACCTACATCCTCGACACGTTCTAGTTCATCTTCTGCTAACATTAGGCGAGGTAAAGATAGACCTTCTTTCCCTCGTTAACACCTACTACCTTCCTCCTCGCGGCCTGGCGAGCTCGGATATGCTTATTTTGCGTGCCCTCGGCCCTTCAATTCTTCCGGCTTGCCCGACACCTCTTGATCTTTGCATGTAGCTGGAATATGTGGAACACGTGAAGATGGAAAGCGCTTAGCTAATTGTACATCCCGAGGTCTGGTCGCCTCGGGAGTTTGGTTTTTCCGGGAGCTTGACACCTCACTGAACATACATGAGGACGGAATTTGGGGAACAACGTGCTTCTCGCCTTATTCTGTTCCCTTCTTACTTGTATCTCATCCTCGAGCCAGCTAATCGCTCACATAATCGTCCATCTCATCCGTTTTGCACGATATTGCCCCCCCTTCTACCTCATTGAGTATATATATGGGTGGGATTGGGGTACGTACTTCCCGCGTCTTAACCACGCCATGAAATTTGGCAAGAATTCAGACGGGGAAGAAATCGTCGTCGAAAGTTGCTACGTGGACGGGATAGCGGTGAGCACGTGACTCTCCACTTCAAACTTCATCCCGCTCCATTCCCGTCCGTCCTCAGCGTTCCTGTCTCGATCTTAACATTGCTTACATAACCATATGTTGCCACCTTCCCCGGCCCTCTGGTTATTCCGGGAACTCGACACCTCACTGAAGATACATGCAGCTGGAATATGAGGACCACGTGAGGTGATTATATATAAAGATTTCAACTTACCCCCTCGGCCCTTTTCATTGTTCCGGGAGCTCGAACACCTCTTGATCCTTTGCATGCGCATGGAATATGTGGAACACGTGACCCCCCTCGATCCCCCTCACTCCGTCCCTCCATTGCCTCGTTACTCCTCCTATATTGTCTCTGCAATCGGGCAAACAGACATCCATCTATCTGCTCGGAACTACACATTGAATTGGCCCTCCGCCTCTTCATCTTTTGCATGTGGATAGGAAATAGAAGGCACGTGACTTAGCCCAAAAAGCCGGGGGGGAAATCACCAAGTTACATCCTCACGCCTGGGGCATTCTTCTCACCGTACTATACGAATTTCCCCCTGTCGATCCTTCGCTGTCCCACTCTCGCTTTCTTTTCAAGTGACATTTTGCTGAACAGATCCTTCTTGAAAGATGGTGATTGCAGATATCTAGTGCAAACTAAGCGAAATTCCATGGGCCTAAATGCTAACATTCAAGTCAGGCAAAAGCGGGATATTCTCCCCGCTGATGAAGGTTAGAAAAAGACGAAGGAATTAAAAAAGATTGAAGCGGCTCAAAAAGGTGTGTTTTTTCATATTTCGGCCGAAAATCTCAACGATACAAAGAGGAGAAACTACAGGTTATATGGCGCTTTTGCTTTGTTTTGTATAACCGCCGCCCCGGATTCCGATTCTATGATAGTTCCCTCCCATGAGCAAAAAGAGAAATGGAACCAGAACCCCCACCGCCTCTAGGTATAGAACGCCAAGTGAGGAGAGACCCCTCGACCCAATATCAGAGTTCTCTACATCGATGCCCGACATCCAATATCCAATACCACGGAGTACAAAGTCCAAGAAAATACATGTCACCTTACAAGCCATGGAATACCCCTCCCTTCGTATAGGCAGGCCCGCTTCACCTTTCGCCTAGTTCCCGCCCCCCCTCCTCCTCCCCCCTCTCAGACTCGGCCCAAGGCCGTCTTCATCCTCACTCCCCTGCCCCCCCAACCCCTGCGCCGCCCTCAACGCCCTACTCCGCTCCCTCGCCCGCTCCTCCGCCGCCGCCTTGTCCTGCGCCTCGGCAATAACCCTGGCCCCACGCTGCCGCAACGACTCGCGCCGCGCCAGCCCCGGCGACGAGGGCGTTGGGGGCGGGAGTTGAGCGTACGCCGACCGCGACGGCGGCGGGCCGTGCGGCACTGGCTGGTTGGTGTCGATAGACAGATCTGGCGGCGCGGGTTGGTGGATCGACACTCTCCGGCTGCGGCTCGGTGGGCGCTGGGAAGAAACACTCCCCCGCCGGCCGCCCAGCCCCGGCCCAAACCCGCCATCCATCCCCTCCCGCGGCGGCAGCGGTGGCGCCGACGTGATACTCCCCCGCCGCCCCCGCATCCCACCGGACGGTGCATCCATGATCGGCGAGCTGGGCAGCGTGGGGTTGTTGTACACGTTCGCCTGGCGCATCTCGCCGCGCGGGTCCCAGTACTCCGGGCGTTGCTGGCGCGCCTTCAGCTGCTGTGCGCGCTCGTCGCGGTCGCGGGTCGCGGCGGCGAGGCGTTCGGATTCCATGATGACGGCGGTTTCGGCGAGGGCGAGTTCGTATTCTTTGGTTGCGAGGGCGGAGGAGCGCTTGCTTGTTTTCGGTTGCTGCGAGAACGACTCGGGGCGAGGTTTGGGTGGTTGTTGTTGGGAGAACGAGTCGGGGCGGGAGGGCTGGGAGATGGAGGGGCGCCGCGAGCGGGCGGTGGTGGAGGCGTCGAGGGCCGCTTGCGCGTCTTCCATTTGGCGCTTTCGACGCGCGATTTCGTCGTCGAGGCGGGAGGGTTTCTTGGTGGAGGGCCGGGTGGTGCGGGTTTCACGGTCGCGGTCGCGGTCGCGGTCGCGTTCTTTTTCTTTTTCTTTTTCTTTTTCTCTCCTGTCTTTTTCGCGCTCCTCGCGCTCGAGTGAGGCGGCGTACTCCGAGTCTTTTCGCTCTTGTTCTTTGCGTTTTAGATATCTAGCTGTTTCCCTCTCCTCCGCCCGTCGCTTCTCCGCCTCCGCGATCTTCTGCTCATTGCGTAACTTCTCCCTATCGGCGAATCGCGCACGCTCGAGGGTGGCCTGGCGCGCCTCTTCATTCTCCTTTGCTTGCAAAGATGCGGCGATGGCGGCGTCGGTGGCTTCTTGCAGTTTCTTGCTGTCGGTGGGGAGGTTGGGCGGATAGTTTGGATAAGATGAATACGTGGGTGAAGGCGAGCGGCGACCGGGGACGAATTGCGTGTAGTCAAGCGGGAAGGCGGAGGTCTCGGTGGAGAGCGATGTTGCGGTTGAGCCTGAAGTGCGTGGGGTGACGAGGGTGGTATGGTAGGGAGATGGGCTGGGGGGAGCGGTGCTGAAAGACGGAGATGGTGGAGCCTGCGTGATGGGTGGGAGTGGTTGGTGGAGGGAAACCGGGTTGCGGGTACTCCTGCGGCGGGTAGTAGGGCTGGACGGGGGGTCGGAGGGGGAGTATGGCGATTGATAATACCCTGAGCCACCGTACGAGGAGTTAGAGGAGCTGTGGCGGTGGTGCGAGGCGTGAGTGGTTGGGTAAGCTGGGATAGTGGAGTAGGGAGCTGTGGAGGCAGGGGGTGCGACGGGGGCTTCCGGGAAGCCGGTTCTAATCGGAGAGTAGGAAGCACGGTAGGTGGGGGAGTCGATGTTGACCTCGTTGGAGGAGCTTATGGAGACGGTGCCGAGGGATGAGCGTTTATATTTCTTCTCGCGGTTCTTCTTGGAGCTAAAGTCGAGGATGATTTCGGGCTTGATGTAGCGGGTGCGGCCGCGATCTTTGGTCGATGGGCGCCGCTCGATGCTTGTAGGTCGGCGTTCTTGGATCAGGATGGTGCCTCCTGGTGGGGGTGTCGGGGGATCCAGAGATGCTGGGGACGGCGCATCATCTCTGAGGGATGGCAGATGAGCCGGCGAAGAGAGATGGATCTCAGTCTTCTTGGTGGTCACTCTGTCACAGGTATGCGTCGACGAGGCGTATTTGCATGGATGCGGGACTTCGACAATGGTATCCCGCGATCCGTCCCCGTAGATGTACCGGCGCTGCTCGATGTGGCACATGGTCGCGATTTTGGCGACGAGATGACGGCAGTTCTCGGTCGAATGGGTGCTCGGTTGCCGGAGAGAGCACTCCGGACGGACCGTTAAGCTTTCGCAAGGAAGGGGTGGTTGTGTTAAGTACTAGGGTTGCGTGTGTTGACTGCGATATTTCCCGAAGCTCTTTTCCGACAGGAGTAAGATGAAGTTGAGAGGGAGGAATGTAGCAGAAGACAGGATAAAAGAGCCGGATGACAATGAATTTGGAACAAGAGCGACTAGCAATGGTCAAACAGGAGGGTCATAGAAGTGTTGCGCGTGCACTTACGGTGGTGATGTCGGTGGTTTGTGGTGGTGACGATATAAAGGTGCAGGTGACAAGCCAACTGAAACAACTCGCAAGCGTAGAATGGATAGAATAGCGCACCAAGAATCAGCAATGTCGAAGGCGAGGAAGCATGTCCACAATGGGTCGGACTGAACAGTGTCGTGCAGAAGGTTTATGCAGGAATGTGTAAGGCGCAGGAGGTGCAGTGCAAGGCGGGTGGCCCTGCGGCGGATGGGGGTATATATCGGGTTGGGGAGTGCAGCCTGGAGAGATCGGGCTTGGTCACCCTAGGTGCAGCAGCGGCCGGCTCGCGCTCCCTACATGACGGAGCAGCGTGCATTAAGTGACGGGCAATGGGGCCAGTGGCACGCTCGTCGGGCGTCGAGGGCGAGGGATGGGAGGCCTCTGCACTGCCTCAGGAGCGAACATGAGCCACAATCGGACCTCTCACGCTCGCTCTGGCCACCCTGCCCCGGCGTGTCTGGCTGCGGGCGTGCCTGGTGAGCAGCGGAGCATTTGAAACGGCAGGGAGGCCTCATCGAGTCCGACGCGCCCGAAACAGCGATGGAAGTGTGCCCGGGGCGTGTCCTGGCAGCAAAGTCTCCGCACTGACGACGCTCCACGCCCAGTGCGCCCGAGAACGAGACACCGTGGGCAGTCTCGAGCATGGCGGGCATCGAAATGGCCCCATCGTACAGATAGCGCTTGTCGGGTGACGGGGTGATCAGGCACTCTGCGGGCTCGTCGCAGCTGAGGGTGTGAGGGGAGTGGAATGGAGGTGAAGAGGCAGGGTGGGAGGGATGGCAGTGCAAGCCACACGCCAGGCACAAGGCCGCCGCGCGCGCAGTGCCCGTTCATTCGCAGGCGTGATGAGGCTGGAGGGCAGGGTGACCAACAATGGCCTCCGATGACGCTGCTGGGAAGAGCTTGCCACTGGCTGGCAACAGCGGGAGCTACGGCTGCAGCCCGCTGCTGGCCCTGTCCGATGCATCGTTCGCAGCACGGCGAGGGTTGAGTCGTGACCGGACGGCCTCGCCCTGCGCTCTCCACCACGAACTATCGCGACTTTCTGCTCCGACACCCTCCTCCTCAGTGCACCTATGGTCCCTCGGCGGTTAGCCACGATAGAGACTACGACAATTCGCGCGTCCCCGTGGGCAGCCCGAGGTGCCTTGCTGCCTTCAGCTGCGGGAGATACCGGAGTGGGAGCATACGTCGTCTTTTTCCTCGCCGCACAGCAATGCCCGTTTGACCCTCGTCTTGTCTGATGTACTTCGACAAGACGAGCCGAGCAGGTCTGAGAAAGAGGCCACTCATCCCATCATTCGCGCTCTTGCCGCCCGTTGAAAGACCGTTTATGCGGCCGTGACCCCAAGAGCAAACTCGCTTTAGCCTTCGTCTTCATCAAGACGCCGGCCTCAGCAACTCGGTTTGACGTCTCCATCTCGCTGCCCAACCTCTGGCTCAGCGATGCCCATCTCTTCAGCCTCGCCCACGCGCCACGGCGGTTACGTAGACTCCTGCAATCGATCCCCGCCAGGGTCACATCAATCAATACTTAACATTTGGGGGCCGCAAAACCCAGCTCTGGTCTTCTTTCCTTTTCTTCTGCTTTCTGAGAGGCAATCTTTTGTTCAATCCGTTCTATCGCAGTAGGGTGGTGAGATTGGCCACCTCCAGGCCGTGACTGCGCCTCATCTCGTATAAGCCACACGCCAGCAATCCAGATGTGGCACAGCTTGGTGTTGCAACACCGACTTTTGCTCCAGTCGTCGGCGGGACGTCATACATGAGGCTGGGCAGTCAAGGAGGAGGCCGAGAGTTTATTGATGAGCAAGCAAGTGTTTGCATGAGAAAGCAACGGAGACAGGAGGGCAGAGGGTTGCGATGTCTAAGGTTCCGGCCTAGAATGGCACAGCGTCCCAAAAATAGCCTCCTTGCTCTCTCATCCCGACTGCCGGCCCCCGACGTCCGCAACCCACTCTAACTCAGATTCCAATAATTCATCACAGAAGCACCAATTGCGAACGATGAACGGATTTCTACATTCCCATTCCCGTCCTGTCCGCAATGTGCACACCCCATCGTCAGCACTCTAACCCCGTCCCCGGCGTCGGTTTTCACACTATGGGTGGCACAGCACTCTGAAACCATCAAACTCCGCAGTGGCCGGTGGCCAACGCTACCCATCCATTGGAGTGTACCTAGAGTCCTATCACACGGCGCGATTCCAATCCCATTATCTCTCCGCACACCTAGCCCTGCGCTGGGCACTCTCACCTCTTTGCCTCTCCGTGAGATTATAGCGTAGGTAGCGGTTTCAACCCAACTGCTAACCTCGCCGACTCTCTCAATCTGGTCGCCACTCCGCAAATGCTACTCCTACTGCCTGCACCGATAGCATTGCAAAGTTTCGGCTATGGACAAGCTTCACGGCAGGATGAAGGATGCGTACCTTGTCGAGCTGAGCGCATGTACCACCTGTAGGCTTCAACCTCAGCCTCGCAGCCTCGCCGCATCAGCCCCGCGCTCTGCGTCACGGAGTCACGGTGTCACATGTACGGTAAGTTCTTTCTAGGTAAGCCAATATTGCACTCATTAATGGTCTCCGCTTTTACGTGCACCGCTTCTTTCTCGTTTGGAGTGCTAGTCATCACAGTCATGCCAAGCTCTCTCAATTCAGGCATCAGGCAGCTCTCGATCCGCCATCTCGCCACCTTTTCCTCAAGTCTCGTGAACAATGGTGGGCTTTAACTGGTTTTTAACCAGCTTATCTGATCACCCCACTGCAATACCCCTCCAGGGCTCATCTCCGCCAAGGCTACTCGGGTTATGTCTCAGTTGCCTACGAACCGTTGGGCCTTGAATGTCTCCCAACGGCTACGGATTGGAGGTGGCGACTCCCAACCACCTTGCATCGGTTCCCAGGGTGCAAAGTTCCCTCCTACGGCTCGAGCCGGCCGCATTGCGGGGAGGTGAGACAGTCACTTCGGCGGTTGAGGGGGGAGGACTTTAGGCTATGAGAGAGGGTTGTACGTTTAGTAAAAGGGGTCATACGAATAACGTAGTTGATCAGCCTACGGCCCACATCATCCTGCGGCCCACTACTCGGGCCCCGAGTAACCCCACTACTACGTACTAGAAATGCATATTGCTCAACAACGAACAATTGTATTGTATATAGCTATCTACTAGCCAGTTGCCTGCCGTCTAGGGCACGTAAGTGCGTGTTCTAGTGAACTGCACATGCTGCATTTGGGTGATGCTCGTTGCCGTGGCCCGACCGCTGCCTCTGCTGCCCCCTCTACTGCCTCCTCTTGAGCAGTAGATGCACGAGAGGCCCCTTCTAAGCCTGATAGCACCCCTCCCCTAGCTATATACGTGCGCTTCTATGCCTTCTTCCTTTTTCTAGCGCTGGTTCTCCATCCGTAGCTTCGCTTGCAAGCAGCACAGCGCTTGACATCACCATTCGGCACCCCTTGACAAGCTGGCCAAGAGCTTGTTCTGTTGGACTTGGTGGGCTATGCGTACAGCGCTTAAGATAGGCGATTGTTTGCAGGCGTATTGCGTCGTGGTGCAATTCAAGAAAGGTGACGCCTAGCTGTTGTACGAGGAGCATCGGACGTATCTGTGGCGCGCCGGAGGCTTTGGAACTGGCCCTGCGTGTAGGGTTAAGTAGCTAGGTCAACTCTGCCCTGTCGGTAAAGGGCTTCTTGCTGTTGTGGTGTAGCCATTGTGGTGGTAGTTGAGCAACGCGTCGCGTGTTAGGTTAATGGGCCGCAGGGTGATGTGGGCCGTAGGCTGATCAGTTAACATTTACCTTTGAAATATTGGCTCGTGCGTAGGAACACCAAAATTTGACAGGTTACCGTTATCTGGTGAGGTGGCAGAACTATCGATTTGGCCAATAGCACCAGGGCGGTAGTGGTTATGCACGGGCCATTTCAAATACCCCCCACCCCGTGCCCCCAGGCATGGAACAATATTAAGTGGGACACTCGAAAACGGGCACTTTAAGCCACTTTTCGTAGCTTTCCGCACTACAACGTAGGATGCATAACCTGAAATATCATAATAGGCTCTCTCTGCCTATTTTCAGAATTATTGATTACGTTGCAGTGTCAGAAAAATCACGTTGTTGATGGCCGGTTTAGTAAGCGAGTGTCCCAGTTCCATGCCTGCCCCTCAAATACTCTACCCCAAGGGGTACAGGTATCTAGGCTGGGCGCAGGAGAAAGTCGTGGGACACCTGATCGACTTGAAGTTGCCGACTTATGAACGGTATCAGAGAAAGATGTATGAGGCTATGGGTGTGGTTGCAGGGCGAGGAGGATCCTGGATTGGTGTGGTGATTAGAGATAGGGAGGGTTTGTGGTCAACAACAAGAGAATGGGGGACGAACACAGGACGCGCGATTTGTCATTGTCTCAAAATAGATCTCATTATCGTAGCAACGCCTTGTTTCTCATCGCATACCCATCCTATACTACTGTACGTCGATAATTGGTCGCTCGTGAGAGGCGTGCATAGTGGCGTTAATCCGGTTCGATCGCTGGAAACGGAAAGTGGTCCATGCAGCGAGCGGTGAATTAGTGTCGCAATTCTCGACTAAGTCTCCTCTCCTCTTCTGAACCTAGTTAAATGCCCAATGGCATAGTCCGGTTCTATGTATGTAGCGCCAGCTTCCTTTGTCACTCGATGCTTTAATTCCGTTCTTTTCGCTACTCTTGAACCCTAGTTTGTACTTTGACGGTGTTTGCGACCTCACGAAATGAGATATGAGAGACTAGAGTAGGTGTTAATTTAGAATGGCATGCCATGATAGGCTGGATGTTATTCTGTATCTTATTGGCTGATAGGCGAGCCACCGTTGCACAGCATCATCACATAATCACTACAGTCCGATCCTGCCCTATTTTTACTCTGTGGCTTTGAGAAGCAAGGAGCAGAATCTTGGTGCAACATAAAGCTCAGAGCTCGACTGGATCAGAATTGTCGAAGCCATCCGGTCACAAACATACTTTCGGCTCGCTTTTGGTCCCCGAAATGCTGACGAACCATACTTAAGCGTCTACCACACAAAGTCACCACAAACAGTCAAATACCGCCCCTCCCTCTTTTTATTGAAGTTCAAATCACACCTCAAGACATACTCTGTCTCTGGTATACTTCAAGATGGCATACTATCCTCCCTCAGCCCTGATACCCATCTACGCCCTGTTTCTCAGCATCGGCATCATTCTCACAACTCTCCGCATCTTCATCCGCTTCTACCACAACATTGCCCCCAATCAATACCGCAATTCCTTCTCCCTCGACGACTTCTTCATTCTCATTGGCCTCATCGTTGTATCAACGTGCACAGCTATCCAATTCTACAACATCACACACGGAACTGCTGGCGGTGCCGTCTCAAATGCTACGAAAAAAGAAGCAATCATTGTCGAATGGAAAGTCGAATATGCAATGATGGCGATTGAGAAAGTGGCTTTTGGCGCTATCAAGTTATCACTGCTATTCTACTACAACAGAATCTTCTGGTCGTACCAGAGTTTCAACAAGATCAACAATATGCTTATTAGCTTGGTGGCGTTATGGACTGTAGCATTTGTCTTGGCAGACCTGCTCCTTTGTGGAAAAGACATCGAGCTGAACTTCGCCTTGGACCAAACGGTATCGCAGGAGAAGTGCGGCGATAAGGGCATGGTACTTGTTATGTTCGCAGCAACAAGTGTGCTCACTGATGTTCTTGTTGTTGGACTCCCACTACCGTATATTCGAAAGTTGAAGCTGGAGAGGCGGAAGAAGAGGGCGGTGTATTTTGTGTTCTTGTTGGGTGGAATGTAAGTGGTCCTTGACCCCTCTCTTTCAAAATTGCCTCGGTAGGAGAACGCTGACACACACCCAGCTCTACACTTGCAGGCCTGCTCCGTCTCATCTTCCTCTGCGTGGCTTATCAGCTCGGCAGGCTCAAAAGGGACTACAGAGCGCCTCCGGAAGCGAAGACACCCCGTGTGCTTCAAGCCATCCAACCCACGTTCTGGGTAATGATGGAAATGCTGATCGGACTGTGGGCTGCGAACCTGCCTGTTCTTGCCCCACTGTTGCGCATTGCTCAAAAAGGGTACCAGAACAGTAGCTGGTATGGCAAATTCTCGTCATTTTCGAGATCCGGTAGCACGACGGATAGTGAGGGAAGGAAAGTTAAAGTGTATAGGGTGTTGAATAAGGAGGGGTCGTTGGTGTTAAGGGAATTACGGTTGGGTTCCGATGATAGAGAGGCGGTTTAGTCATCATTGGAAGTCGTTTCGCTTCGTTTTCAGATTCTATATGACGATCTATGGATTTTAGGGAAGCCTGATAGCTGAAACCTTTGTGGACCTCAGTCTTGTCGCCGTCGGCCTTTGGTACAGCCCCTCTCGTCCCGTCGCAGGGAAAAGAGATTCCTGGCATGTCGAGACATTTGGGCGTGCAGCCTGCATGAGCTGCTACATGTCGCTGATTCCGCCGCGCAGGAGGGCGTCGCCCCGTTTGCCGGCCGCACGCCTAGTAGAAGCGTAAACAGCTTATTTAGTAAGTAGAAAGATGTGAGGTGGTACCGGCATCGAAGAGTTATCCGGTAATAAAATGGTAAACTTTACATCCAATATTACGACATGTAGTCGCCTTTCCCAACGCAGAATAACCTCACCCTGCCACATCTCCCAGCGTCACCTTTTCACGGCCATCGTGTGTCGAAGATCAGCCTTCGAGCGTCATATCTTGTCTCCCAGCATCTGACTAGCTTCCGCCCGCGCACAAAGCTCATTCTCTTTTCGAACGAGCGACCACACTATTGTACAATCCCCCTCGCACCGCTAGAGCGCGCACACTGTGAGAGGGAAATTATGCTTTGGCAAGTAAAGCGTTAACTTTACCTCACTGATGCCGAACCCTTACCGCCTGGCCAGTATAACGGCCAACAAATACTATAACAACAATGGTTACTTCGATGCTATATGGGGTGGCTACGATGGCGATTATATTGACAGGGCGACCAGACGTGAACTGCGAGACGTAGTGTACGAGCAGGAAGAAGAAATCGAGAAGAAGGAGGATCGGATTGAGGAGCTGAAGGAGTCCCGCCACAATTTAGCCCAGAGCTTCAAGGAATTTGGTCAGGAAAAGAAGCGCGAAAACGACGATCACACGGCCCAATTGAAGCAGCAACACCCGAATGAAAAGCTCCAGTTGAACTCCCAAGTGAGCACGCTTCAGCAACTCCTTGGGGACGCACGATCCAGGCTAGCCGCGACGGATATCGGCTCAAGTCCATCCACAAGCACCGCAAAGCCCGCTTTATCTCGCGTTGCCATTGGTGGCGCCGCAACTTCCCGCCGCGAGCCAAACAATGGGACAATCACCACGCCGTTCAAACCTTTCGTCGAGAAAGGTGGTCTATTTGCATTCCAGCACTATCAATCCATCACTTTCCAGGACAAATATTGGTCCCACTCTTTCGAGGAGTTGAGACTTGTCGATTATGCCAGAGCAGACGTTACGCAGAAACCTTTGGCTCCAGCAGCGGATTCACTAAGTCGGCCTCGGAGGTTGAAGCTGAGCAGTTGCAGATAAAGGTTGGCGAAGTGCAGTCTGAGTTGAACCGAGTAGTCATCAGTCTTGGGGAACAAGTCGAGCAGAAAGAAATTGATCTCACGGAGACAAGGGCACAACTGGACACTCTCCAAGCTCAGTTCAACGGAATGGTGACCAGATATATCAAAGAGGTTGAACAGAAGGATTCGGATGCCGCAGCCCTCAAAGCCAAGTACAAAGACGCTCTGACTGACCTGAAGAAACTACGGGAGCGTGGCTCGGAAATGCGCGCCAACGCGGAAGCTCAGGGACTGTCGAGAAGGCAGTACGTGCGCAGCTGGAGAAGACGATGGAAATACTTGAGGAGTGCCGAGCGAGAGACGGCATGGCTTTGGGTAATGTCATGGTAAGTGAGGTGCTCATACGACGTCTATTAGTGTCGAAGTAATCGAGGTATAGAGCACTGATCAACTCCAGGAGCCATACGCAGCGATGCCTGCAGCAGTGGAGCATGCAAAAAAACACCTTCGACGCCACATGGTGAGTGAATGTAGCTTAACTTAACGGTGGGTGAGGTGATGCAGGCTGCCATAGTGACAAATGCACAAGTACCAGGCATGCGGTCCGACAAACTTCCGCTAGTGAAACGGAAAGCTTACCTCCAATGTTATCACCTCTTGTCTCGCGTGCATAGCCTTCCGTCCCGCACCTTTGCTCTAGCACTGCAGCTCCTACCGTTTAATCATCGTCATCTCACCATGGTTCAGCTCTACTATAAGTCCTATTCGAAGCCCGGTAATTGAACGCTGATAGGAAGGAAAAGATGGTGCGCTCATGCGATCCCGATTCGTACTGTTCCACAGCACGCTGGCCACCTGATTACCGTACACGTCCACTATCGAAGCTGCGCCTCAATAAGAATGCAGTGGAGGCATATATCACAGGAAGTCGCGGGCAAGAGGAACCACACACGCCACTTAAGCAAGCTTACATGAACCGAGCAACCAGACGCAGGCTCTATGACACCAGCAGAGAACTCGAGGAACGTCTCTATGAAAATGATGACAAGGATTTCGAACTCAAGGAGAAAGTTCAAGTGCTTACCGAAGCATTCACGGACAAGTTAGATGACATGTGGGACAAGATAGCCAATCTGGAAGAAGACCTTGAAGATGCGAAATATCTGGCGAAGGAGTACAAAGCTTCCTCAAAGACACTCGAAAGAGAGGTTCCTCAACTGCGCTCAAAAGCAGAGGTCAAAGCAGAGATTGATGAGGGACTTCTTCATACCCTCGAAAAGATTAAACTACGATTTGCTGATGAGAGTAGGAAGAACTCAGAGCCCTGGGACACAGACTACAGAGAAGCGATAGAGGAATGATGGCAATTCACGACTAATTACAACAGAAACATGATTGATAGTGCATACGTATCAGCCTTTCTTTCTGAACTTGTATATACAGCAAAAGACATAAGTTTAGGCACTTCTTGCAACTGCTTGGGCTACACCAATAGGCTTTTAACACTCCAAATACGGTGTAAAGGCCAACGTAATGGATATTAGACTACCTTTTGACGAAGCTAATAACTGCTAGCTGGGGAATTATTTACAGTGGCGTCGATGAAGCAAGAATGGAGTCGAAGCAGTAGTATACCTATGTGCCTAAAATTTTGAACTAGAAATGTATGTTCATCATGAGATAAGTTGACGGACCTGCCAATTTGGGGGTTTCTGGGAATAAATTGCACGATTTGCATTGGATGTATTGAACTATGCCTGACGGTATCATGACGATAGAGAACTAGCGTCGCGAGGGTTTCTCAATGGCAAGTCTACGCCTTTCATATTGCTCGAGCCGCAATCTTGGGAGAAAACCCTCTTCTGGCACTGTCTAAACACACAGATCTACCTTCTTGAAACCTAGGTATTCAGGTCCCCTCTCTTTCCACCACTTTTTCTCCTTACGGACCTCATGCTCATGCAAACGCACCCAGAGTGGCTTTTGCGAGCATATCGACCCCTCCCTACCATTCCGCGGTCTGGGTTTCCTCACCCTGTGGTTCTCTGGTCACTCATAGCTCACCACATCAACCCATTGCTTTATCTCCTCCACTTCCGTGCCCAGCACTCTACGCATAGAGACGTCGATCTGACTCTGACAGCCGCAGATTCGCACTCTCTTTGACCCAGCCCACTTCGTCTGCTCGCATGTCATGTGCGCCGCATCCGATATCCACCCCCCCTGCGTGGGCGTGAAGTCTCCCTCATCCGCTAACCGCAGGTGCCATCTCACACACGACGGGCCGCCAACCTCGCCGTGCGTGCAGCGGCCCTCCTCTGAGCGCCACCACTTCAGCGAGTCACTGTTCCTCGCTTCAGACAGCTTGCTGACGAGGTCCTGAATCTCAGGATCCTGCACGCTAAGGTGCGGACAGAGCGGCAGATGCTGCACCATATACGCATTCCACGTTTGATCAACTGCACCTTGTCCAACTGTGAAACCTCGGGGTCGAACTCATTCAGCGGGAAGAATCCAGCCCGCTGCGCGAAGACTTGGGAGAGGCGCTGGGATGTCTGGTGCAATAGGAGTTTGGTGTACGGCGAGAGATAGGCGCCGACCATTAGCAAGATTTCGTCCGGAAGTTGGTTAGCAGGTATCGCGGCGTTGTAAGTAGCTGCGTTTTGTTGGTCGAAATACCATGCTGGTTTTATTACACGCTGGAGGGGGCTTGGGCTTTTGGAGGCTGTGCGTTCTTGCGGCGATGTCTGCGGGGTGCGGTATGTGCCTGGTTTGATGCGATGAGAGACGAGCCGGCAGAGTCTTTGGAAGACGCGTCTTAGCATGTTGGGACGAGCTTTGGGCGGGGTATCAGGTCAGTCCTAGTGGTAGGAGTTAGGATTAGGAGGAATTGGCAGAATTGGAAGGCCTCAGTAGGCGCGAAATGGAGATGTGGGAGGTTTGACGTACTGACGTTGTATCGGACATAGCTACCACATGAACGCCTAGAATCTCGTGTTTGCTGATAAGTGTTAAAGCTCTAGGGTTGTAAGATCGAGTTTAGGGACGCAGTTAAAGAGGTGATGGTGTAGTTTTTAGTAGTTTGTGCGATGTCATATAATTTAGTTCATTGTGTGAAGCGTGACGTGTTGCCCAGCATCTCATCTAGGGTACCAATAATCATACCGTGGTAAAGATACTAGCATACCATGGGACGAATCAAGCCTTAGAGGAACTAGAAGTGGAAGTAGCTCACGGGACACGGTCGCGGTACGTAGCGCAAATATTAGACCGAATGGAACTATCACGTGCTATCCACGTGCATACACGACGAACGTCTTCCCTACCATGCACTCAGTACAAGAGCCAGGCCTCCAAGCAAAGTGTCTGCTCTCCAGAGATTCTTCGATCATAGAGGGTTTGAACTGGAGCAAAGCAAACCATCCATGGCTGTCGATCAACTCTACCAGAGCCCCTGCCCTATGGGACCTGGAATGAGTTTCTTGGAGCGCTGGAGCTGCGTGAAGATCACATCCCAAGCTCGAGAACGGTGGTGATTAGTACGTACTAGACGAGATAGAGGCCAGCATCGTCATCTGAGACTACGCGCTCACCCCATTCAAACCTTCGATACCTCCTTTTACACCCACAGCTAGCAATACAGCCATGACCCGCAGTAGCGATGCGTTTTGTACATCTAGCCATCACGCTGCTGAGCCTCCGAAGTTGCTCATTATGGTATTTCCTGAGCCGTTTGATCAAAAATCAAGCCTCCGAGGATGTCTCTGAGCGAGGGAGATATCGAGAGGTAGGCGAGAGGAGGATTTATACTTCAAAGGTAGAGAAAAGGATCTAAAGCACGTGGAATTTGCGTATTCACGTGCTTAGAAGTTATGCACTTGAAATTAGGGGACAGTCTATGAGCTAGCACCAGGGGCCAAAAGACCAAAATCACGGATATACCATTGCTTGAGTGCCACTTTTGAATGGTGGAAAATACTGCTAGGAGCAGCCCTGCTGCTTTAAAGCCCGCTATGTAAGAGTCAGCTTGGGAATTACGTTACGGAAGTTTCGCATCACTCGTTAGGTTTAGTAACCCCGCAGGAGCTCAGAGGAACCCAAGAATCGACAAATGAGTATACAAGGACTTTTAGTCAATCACTATAGCTGGAGTCTGCTATATAGATAAGTTTTCGTATAAATATTGAACAGGCTGAAGCATTGAAAGTTGTTATGGTGTACAGGCGTGCCAAATATGTATATATTCATTTACTACATAATAGAAAGAGCACAACATTTCAGATATTTAGGATCCTTGACAGGCATCATGTTGCCGCTTCGATCGGCCTGTGCGTCAAAGCATCAACCACTTGTCGCGTCTGCTACTTAGTGAAGCACGCCTCTTGAATTCAACCATCGACGATGGCGGTCGTCTCTCCACCTTGCTTGGAAACAGCGGCCTCTCCCTCTTGCTTGGAAACAGCCCCCTCTCGCCTTGCCAGCTCTGCACGAACTCGAGGAAGCACATAACGCCCATAATCAATGGCATCGTTCAGGTTGTCATAGCCGCGAATGGAGATGAGCTCACAGCCCAGATCAACATAGTCGAGAATCGAGTCCGCAACAGTCTGGTAGGAACCAACTAGCGCTGTCGACGCGCCGCGTGCACCAGTTGCTGTGACAGTCGGATACCAAAGCGCGCGGTCTTGCACCTCGCCGCGCTTCGCGATCTCGAGCAGACGCTGCGAGCCCACGTTCTGTGGCGCTGTACCAGTGGCAGCTAGAGGTATGATACTTTTTCCAGCTGCTTGGTTGCCCTTCAGAGCATCGAGCGTACGATGGGCCTTCTCCCACGCGAGATCATCCGTCTCCGCAGTGATGGGTCGGAACGTCACCCAGATCCGTGGGCGGTCAGATGCAGGACGGCCAGCCTTGTCGGCCGCGGCGTATATCTTGTCGATCTGGTCCTTGGTCTCCTTTAGCGGCTCGCCCCAGAGCCCGAAGATGTCGGCCAGGGCGCCACCGACTCGATACGCCTCGTCCGACGAACCGCCCACAGACACGGGGATGGTCCCATTGACTGGCCGCACGCGGTTGCTGTGCTGCTTGAACTGATAGTGCTTGCCATTCCAGTCGAATGGCTCTGCTGACTCCCACGCGCGGCGGAGAATACGGATGTATTCTTCCAGGCGCTCATAACGCTGCGCCTTGTCGAGGAAGTCGCCTTCTCTAGCCTGCTCAGCATCGCTGCCGCCGGCGATGAAGTGAACAACGGCACGGCCTTTGCTGAGCTGGTCGAGAGTTGCCAGCGCCTTCGCCGCAACGGTCGGGTACACGGTGTTTGGTCGAAGAGCAATGATAACCTTGAGCTTCTTGGTCGCCGCGGCAATGGTAGCACCCATCGTCCATGGATCGAATCCGCCGGAATCATACGGCTGCAGCGTGTAGTCGAAGTCGTAATCATCTAGTGCTCGAGCATACCGAACCAGGTAATCCGGATCCACGGACGGACTCGGAAGGGGACTGAGCTCCGTGGATGCGTTTGGGAACGCTAGACTAATGAATTCAGTAGGCATCGTAGACGATGTTTCGGGGTTTCTGAAGGAAGAAAGAAGAAGAGAGCCAGATAAGGCCGCGATATACTTAGGTAGTGTCATTGGGTTGGTAATCCCCTGCATTGCGACAAATGCTGCAGAATCACGTCTTCCCGATGTCGGCCCGAACGATAAGATCTACAGTTAGATGTTCAGACGGTAGATATATGATTTATCTATTCGTACGGCTACGAACTATCTATTTTTTAGTGTTGCGTCACTATCAAGGAAATATCTGTGTATCAATCCCTTCATACGCTGGCGTTCCCAGTGATTACATAAGCTATGCTGTGCCAGATGGCCAATTGCTAGGATAAACGGCTAGTCCCCATTTTGGCGCATCCTTATCGATAGCTGTGAGCGCAAATCAACGTGCGAAGGAATAGGTGAGGTGAAACGCGTGTGATAAACAGTGCAAAGTGATCAAACTTGAATCTGAACTGGGCCGGAGGTTATTTTGCTTACATACGTTTTGTTACGGTGCTAACTGAAAGGGGGCGTTTGGGCGTATTGGGTCGCGGTTACAGTACACTTATTTGCCACTACTTGTGGTACTCCCTCTGGGCTTTTGCGGCTCCGAACACAGTTTCACGTGTCATGTAGTGCAAATCTGACAGCATTTGGACCGAATAATTACCTGCTATGCTGAGCTAATCCTAAGAGCCGTATCGAGAGAACAGTATCAAAGCCCGAGCAGAGGTATCCCCGGGTGCTCAAACGTATGACCGTTAGAGCCAAGTCAGCTTGGCCTTGCTCTTCTTCTGTAACTGGGCTATTCCATCGCGGCTATTAATGTTATTGACTGGACGAAATATTAGCTTCGAGTTCGGCCAGGACTCATCACAAAGGAGAAGAAACTTACATATCATCCCTGCCGAAATACCACCCCAGCACCACAGCGACGCCCACAGGAACCGCGCGAGGGTGCTACAATTCAGAAGAACTCCCGGAACCCACGTCTTCACCCAGGACCATGGCATCACCCCGCGTGCCACACTGCAAAGTATCCACAACCAGACATGCGACGTGACAGCCCAGACGAGCAGCAGCGCCCCCATTAATGCGAGGTAGTGGTGCACACGGCGCCAACTGAAGCAGCCCAGGCGCAGCTGCGTGAACTCCCGCATCTCGCACATCGCGTCCACAAGATCTCCCATCCGCAGACCGTCGGGGGTTTCAAGCACCGCTTCCGTGTCCCAGCGGATAATGAACGGAGCGGTAGGGAGCCACCAGACGTCGAGGTCGCGCCGGCCTCGCATAGTAACCTTTGTGACTTCTGGGAGAGAAACGACTGTGTCGCGCCAGCTCGCGGTCGTCAGGTCCAGATCGCCTGCCAGCGTCGGGAGCGGTAGACGACCAAGGAATGAGAGCAAGAGCGAGCCGTCGTCTTGGAGGGACCAGCAAACATTGCTCCGCTCCACCGCCCCGACATAGCGCCTCGCGCGCCGCACAACCCAGGGTCGTCGCTGGCGGACTTCGGGGCGTGTCAGGATCGCGTTCAGGTTGTTCGGGGACGGGATCTGGTGGTTGGCCCAGACGCCGCAGATGCGGCACACGCCGTTGCGGAGGTCGGACGGCTGAGAGTCGTGGGTTGTGAACTCGGTGAGAGATTCACGGTAGCGGATGCGACGCTTCCAGAGATCGTGCTGGACTGTGGGGGAGGTTTCGATGGCATTGTTCCATTCTTTGCAGATGCGCTTGTATTGGAGGACTTGTGGGGTGCCTATTTGGCAGAGGATGAGATCGAAGAGCTCAGGGCTGTTGAGGACGGCGTCGCGTACTTCTGTTGATTCTTCGCGGTAGAAGAGTTTGGCGAGAAGTTGTCGTAGCGCGGTATAGGCGGCCGACCAAAAGACTTGGAGAGCATGTCGGACAATGATGTTGGCTTCATGGCTGGGTTCCGGCATTTGGAGGTGAGGAGGGGCCCGTGGAAATTCCATGGTGGTGGTTCGAGGTGTAGTGTGGTATGGCGGAAGTCGTTGAAGACTTTGAAGTCAGAAGGAGAAGGCGGACGGCTTTTGGGCAGCAAGCGCGTGTGAAACATGGTGATTCGCCGATCCAAACAAAGCGAACCATGGGTGAATGTGAGACACATCCGAAGGGGAGCAAGCAAACCGAGTGTCTTACATTGATTAAAAGGACCCCCCAATATATGCAAAGGCACGAAAGGGACGTATATTGATGAAATGCAAGATGAAAGCCTTTGGTGCGAGTCACGTGTTTGCGCGACCTCTTATCTGATGCCTGAAGGCACGATGACATTTACTGACTCGAGGTTTGACATTAGGATTTCCACGGTTCAGGAATGAGGCGGTGCTGCTGTGGCTGATGTCAGTGGTTGTGCATCGGATTTACCCCAGCTCAACCTGCAGGCGGGAAGCTCCCGAAAGTACGGAAAAAGCAATGCCTTCGCCAATTACACTGTGTAATAGGTTACCATACTGAATGTATAGAGTTAGCTCGAAATTTCTTATTATGCTGTCAAAAATCCTCGTCACACAAAAATAGCTGTGCTCAAAACCTCCCTCTGCGCTCTCCGATTCTGCCCTCGTTTGCTCTGGGTCGCACCAGCATCCATGCTGTTGATCCGGAGGTAGTTGGTCATGATGTAACCCCAGCTGAATTCGCCTTCTCCTGGCACTGCGATAATTATGTAATGTCCAGCCAGGATTGCGATGTCCCCGATTTGAACTTCATCGGCACGGCTGGCTTCGTCGACGCTGTTACTCATCAGTCAGCATCATAGAGATGAAAGGAGTATATCCATGCTCAAGGATTTTCTTACGGTTGAAGAGGCGCCACGAGGAATTTGGCAGGATGTTGGGAAAGGGTGACTTCAATCATTCTGAATGCTAGTTAGCGCTATACGATGCGAAGGTACGGCAATAAGAAGAAAACACACTCATTTGAAATCCAGTTGGCGCGGGTAACGGTGAATTGCTTCCCATCGACATGCAAGCGACCGTTGGTAATTCTCGCTTGGTAATCTTGCCAATTCGTGGGATCCGTAGGGCCGTTTGCGCCAGGGTAGATGACCTTGACGATAGGCTCATCCGAAAAGTCCTCATCCTCATCAATTCGATGCCGCATATTCTCCGAATGATCGATCTTGTTTCTCACTTTCTCCAACTCGCTGCGGATCTTTTTGCGCTCCGTGCTGTCGACTTTGTATTCGAAGTCATCCATGCCGCGCTCGAAGTGCCGGACCATAGCTTTGATCTTTCGGTTATGGGTGCCCATGATCCTGATCGCGTCTTTCTTAGTAATCTTCCGGCCTTCGAGTTTGTACGCTATGGCAAGCATATCTTGATTCAGGAGCGCACAATTCTTCGTCAGTCTTCCAGGGCCAAGTTGCTCCTCCGCTAGCGCCAGCTCAACGGTCTTTTCTTTTCTTGCTGTTTTACTCAATTTACGAGCTAGCGCGCCTACTGCTCCTTTGCCGTTCTTCGTCGACGTTAACCACCAGTTGATTCTCCGTATGACTGCATTGAGCATCGATATGGCCTCGTTCATCGAATCGTTTAGAACGACTTCCTCGATTTCAAGGTCGTATAGGCGGCCATTAAGGCGGGCCTGGCGGGTGTTGAAGATCCCGGCGTTCATGCAGGTGATGCGTTCGAGGTCACTGCTGTCGATGGTGTAGGTGTCGCCGTTGGTCATCTCAACGGTGACTTCTTTTAGGCTGGCTTCAGGGTGTAGATCGACCGGTGGAATTTCGTTAAATGTCCTGGATTTGGGTCCTGCGTATTGGAGACTGTTGAAGACACTGGAGGACCTGAAGCCATCTTCCGGCCACTTGACGACCCACGAAAACTGGCTACTTCCGAGGTCTCCTACGGTACCGGGAAGAAGATATCCTTGGCCTAGGATGCGGTGAACGAAAGTGTTCCAGTAATGGGCGTGCAGGTTCTCTTGAATGGGTTCGTTCAAACGGTACCCTTCGTAGGCAGGCACCATTGCCTTCAAGAAGACTTTCGAGTTGATGGACATGAGCGGCATGACCTTCATGAATAGAAGCTCCAGATGCTGGCGATTCGCCTTTAAACCATATGTAGACTCCAAGAACTCCGCAATCTCAGCCAAGTCATCGTCGTTGAGCAGCGACAGAAGAAGGACAATCATCTGAAGGAAACGAGGTTTGATGAAATTCTGGGCGGTTGTTGAGTCCGAAGAATTTCCAGGTTCCAGCGAGTTGTAGTACGCAGCACTGAGCGATATGGTCTCACTAATGCCTTTGCTTGTTGTAATTGTCTGGAAGTATGAGCCGTTGTTGATGCCGTACCTCGTGTTCTTGGAGTGTATAATGCTGGTTCTTGTCGACATGCGGAAGAGTATTGGGCTCCGGACGCAAAGACGGCGAGCGTCTTCGATCATCGTGTCAAGGAGCTTTCTGGTGTCGTCAAAAGACATGTCTGGTCCACCTCGATGGATTAAGTTTCGGTAATTTACGATGAGTCCGACCAGCGAGCTTCCATCGACCTCAATCAGTGTACTCTCGATGTCCCACTCTGCGCGTCGATCTCGGAGATCATTAACAATGTACACTTCGTTGCTGTCTATATTTACAGCCTCATAATCTCTTCCCCGGACCGTAAGGCTTTTCGTGGAGCTTACTAGCGGTCTGCTTCCATCCCTGGCCTTTTGTAGAACTCGTGTTCGGGCTCTCTCCGCGATCCGGGATGTTTGGTCCTTTTGCACGACAGCTAGATCCTGAAGGACTTCATATGTGGACAGGAGGAGTCCAGCTGTATGTACTCTCCAGTAAGAGTCCTTCTGATCAGGCTTCCGGCCAGTCATGTCTTGCTGTTCAAGACGATTGACCTGCGGTTTATCCGCTCCAGGCATGAAGGTCAGTCCTACTTTGAGAGTGATTGCTGCTTCATGAAATTCCGCTGTAGGCTGACCTTCGATCCAAGTCTGCACTATTCGTTTATCCGCTTTCTTCTCAAGGAGTCGTATCATCATGTCCGTCTCTTCAGGCGGCAGCTGTTTATTTGCAATTCCATCCCATACGAGATGTCTAGCAACTAAGGCATCTTGGTCTCTATGACGATCCACTCGCGATGCGCTGGATATTATTTCGCGGCCTCCAGTAGGCCTGACAATGACAGACTCGAGTCCGTTCATGGATGCCGGCCCGTGGGCTTCTGGGTCGCTGTCAGAAGACATATTGTCCCCGTCGTTGAAGGTGTTGCGAGGAGTCGAGCGAGTCGAGCCTTGCTCGGTTGAAGGAACTGGTGGTGGTGGTCGTGATGGAGGTAGTAAGGATCGCGGATGTGCCATCTGAACCTTGTAAGCAACGAAGAGAAGAGAGCGTGGTCTCTCTCTAACTTGCCCTACTATGAATATAACCGACCAAATAGCCTACAAATATAAAGGCAGCTGCTGTGAGGGAAGCGACCATAAAGACTATGGAGATCAGGCTATGAAATAGCAGACGGTAGGCATCGGGCTTTCATATGACCGGCCGCTGGGCTTGCTTGGGGGCCACGGGCCTTCTTGCCTGACCTCTGCCTGAGCACGCCGATTGGAGCGTCCGGTCCGAAAAGCGTGGCCATGCAACGCCGGGGAGACATGCAAGAGAGTGTGGTCAGTCTTCATTGGTCAGCCTCGTCGAAGGTGCATATGGAAGAGGTCGGATGATTTTGACTTCGCCATCATTCTGTGCATTCGGCAGCACATCAAGTCTGAGAAATCTGCCTCATCGCAGGAAGGTAAAGAGAAAGGATCAGATAGAGACTACGATGGAAAGAAGCGGGCATCTGTTCGTTTCACCAGGCTTTCGCATTGTCCAGCCTTGTCTTCGAGGAGTGTAGAACGGCCCATTTTCGGCTTCGACTCGCTCATGAAGCTCAGCATGGAGAGAACGCCGTCTCTGGATGACATATCTCTTGTTTGAGTGCGGGGAGTATGGCGGTTACCTGGACTGGTGGCCGCAGTGTTCAGCCTTGTTGATGTGAGGTTGAAAGTCGAGAGCGAGGAAGCGAGGCGAAGCAGGGGGCTTGGGCCTTGGCTGTAAAGGGGATAGCGGTATTGGTGGCTGTCTCAACACCATGCTGCCTTGCGCGGGGCATCCACTCACACAGCATCGCGAAAATGGCTGTCTGCAAGGCTGAGATTTCCATCCTCTTACTGGCCTCACCTTCCGCCGCCAGCCGTACGCGAGAAGAGATTGTCATTTGCCATGGACGCCACCAAAGTCGCAGTCTATTCGCCCTCATGGGGCCTGCCGCTCCATCGCATTCGCGCCTAGTACGCCTTGCTCAGCCTGCTCTTGCTTGGGAACCTTGAAAGAGCCGCCTAGCCATCCGCATTGCGTAAAACCCCGAGAAATGCAATAAAAGGCTGTGAAACTCTAGCTCGCGATGACAGTCACTTGCTCCGTAACCAAAAGAAATGCCGATGTCTCTTTCACTATTGCTATCGCTACTAGCCCTATCTAATGCCGTGCATTCTCAAGGCCAAGGTACCTGCTATACGCCGCAAGGAGTTCCAACCGACGGACAACAAGCTTGCAACCCCTACCAGCAAGTCTCCTCGTGCTGCCCCTCAGGCACGACGTGTTTCTCGAATCAACTATGTATTTTGACGGATCCAGAGGAGGTCAGCGACACCCTGCCTCTTGGGGCTGTTCTGCGCGGAAGTTGTACTAATCCACTATGGAGCAACTCGATCTGCGGAAGCTTTTGCCTAGGTAAGTACATTATGGGAGCTTATTGCATGGAAAGGCCGTCAGGCTGACTGAATTTCAAGGTAATGGGGACAATGGATCTATCACGTCTTGCGGGAATCAGCAATATTGTTGTCAATCGGGTATTAGTGACGGGTCCTGCGATTGCGATACTGGCAAAGGCATCTTCTCGTTAGCGGACGGGGTCGCGCAGACCATCATCGGCGTTAGCGGGCTCGAAGCTACGACAATACCACCGGTTTCGCGAGCGTCTAGTAAGGCTATCGCTTCCACTACCGCAAGCAGTGTTACCGCTACATCTTCCTCTAAAAGCCCGACCACTTTAGCTTCATCCACTCAACGCTCGTCCTCACATGCCTCTCCTACGGCTACGGCTACCGCTACCGAGAGCTCTCCGTCACAAACCTCCCCAGCCGCAGCTCCCTCACTAGTCCATACCACTCGCTTCAAGATAGGCCTTGGGGTCGGACTCGGTGTGGGGATTCCCATTCTCATATCAATTGGTATCTTGATCTGGTGGTGGCTTAGCCATCATAACAAACGCAACCCTCCGCCCAATCGTAGCCCATACGACACAAACTCCGATACCCACCCAGACGATCCTCGTTTGCCGAACGTTTCACAGCCAGACACCGCCCCAAATCCCAACCCGTATGACTTGGACGGCTCTGCGGTGGGTAGTTACCGATCTCCGGTCGCTACTCCACCTCCGCAAGCGCGTCCTGGGCAGTCCCGCGACGTGCTCGGTACAGCGCCTACTAACAACCCATACGAGAGCACCTACTCCCTGCGGTCACGTGCTGGTGATACTGCTGCCAATCCGTACCCGAATCTTTATGGGCCGCCTCAGCATTTAGAGAGGGTAGGAGAGACGTCGGTGCCGCAAGGAGGGATAGAGTTAAACCGATATGCATGATCTGGAATGCAAGGATCATATATGGCTTTTGATAAGGACATATCATGGTGTTTGACGTAGTGGGAATATTCAAGGGCTCCCGTTGCCCGTACTATTTCTTTCAATGTCAAATGAATGTCGCTTTTCTGGCCCTCGGGGATCACCTCACGCTTGCTTCACAGGGATGCATGTGGGCAAAATCAGTCTATCATATCAATATGAGAAGTCATTTTCGGAGTCGTCCTTACTGATTGGAACAAGGCTTCCACGAAAACAAAGCGGACGCAATCAATGCGAAAGACCGAAGTTCTTAGCGCTGGCGCTTAATAAGCCTCTTTTCCAGCTCGTTCCAGATTTCCAACTCTGACTCTGTTTCTGAGATTCTAGCTTTTTTGAAGAAATTAGTCCGCTTCTCTTCCTTCTAGTGTGCTATTTTTTGGGACGTCTTTTCAACCTCAGACTAAAGATTTAGCGCAGATCTGATATCTTCGTATTCCATCATCAAGGCAAGGATCGCGTCGGTAGCAGCATTCCCAAGCCAAAAATGTGGGGCGTGCTTGACAAGATCCACGCATCTCTGTCGGAGGTCGTATCCAAACCACTGATTTTTGACTGTCCCATCCACAATCTGATTGGCTAGGTCCGTAGAATTGTAAGTTCCGGTCTCCAGAGGGTGATTGTGCAGAGATTGCACCAAATTCCCGACTTTGACTTGTGGTGTCTTGTCCAGAAATATCGCGACATGACAATCCGGGTCTGAGCCTTTTGTCGGATTGTTGTATTCGTTTTTGATCAGGTCTTCAGCAGAGAGCCCTCGCTCTCGGACGCTCTTGGAGATATCGTCGTGCCTCTTCAGTCTTTCGTCCACATGTCCATATGTTTTAGCACGGATAGATCCTAGGCCTAACTCATTCTCCGCCACGGCCAAGGAGAAAATCTGGGCTAGCATATCTGCCAACTTCTCATTGTCAGGCTTGCTTGCGGGCTTTGCAGGACGTCGAGAGGGCTTCTGCTCCACGTATAACTCCGATGTACCGGATTTTGGCATTATTTTCATCTTTTGGTTTGAAGGCTGGCGGAATCTCTGCTCCAAATTCTTGTCCGGAAAGCCAGCGTTTTCACCTGGATCCCTATCATCTTCAGTCCCTTCCCCTTGCAAAGCTGCCACGCCATCATCTGTCCTGTAGGCTCCAGTGGCCTCCGCACCTGCTCCCTCGTTCCGGGCAATATGAGCGCTCTCGCCAGGCAGGGTATCCACGCCCACACCATCGTGTCGAGGATTATTAGCACTGTCACCCCGCGCAGCCTCCGCGCCCACTCTGGCATACCCAGAGTTGCGTGTCATTCCCTCCCTCAAACTCTAGTTTTTCCCGATCCGCATTCTAGCCTTGAAGAAGAGCGGTCCTATCCTGGTGGATATAAACTTGCGCAAATTTCAAGGCATTCTCAATGTTTCCGTTATGCTGATCGAGTGTATACGCTGTTTCGGTATCGATCTCCTTTACCAGTTGAAGTAAAAGGGCGACTATCCCACTGACCCCACTACCCAGGGCGTAGGTTCCGTCTGGCAATGACGGCACAATGGCCGGGGTGGTCTTGTTGACTTGCTTGCTCTGGGCGACGGCGGTGCTGCCGCTCGCTTCCGCATGCGCTGTCTGGTTGTCGGATTCCGGGTTTGGTCCTTTTGACCCGACATGTTGTGCTTTTGGGGATAGCTATGGAGTTGAGGGGTCTGGTGTGGATCCGTCGTCGTATTACTTCTGCTCTGGTTTTCGGGAATAAGTCGAGAGTCTGGAGGATGCTGATGAGATTTATAGCTAGGTTACTGAGACTATAAGTACAGGAAATTGTTTGGTTTGTTCGTATCGTACATGCTTCCGGGAGGCTCTAGACATAGCAATCTTATTGATTGCCCTCACGGCGGCGTTTTCCCTGGAGTGAACTAGATTCCTGGAGAGCTTGTGGTGCTCAAAGAAGCCACTCGCAGGAACTTCTAGTTTCAAAACTTAAGTCAGTACGCTAAATGGTGTTGGTCAGGGGTGGACGTCCCAATACTTGGAGAATGGAAGGTTTCGATCACGAAAGACGAGACGACATATACGCTGGATGCGCTATATCTGTTGCTGAGGACAATGAGCTCAACTCTTTAGTGTTTATGAATAACATCTCGACAGATCTCAAGAGCCTATGGCTCGAATATAATGAATTCGCTACTCATCTCCTTCCGTATCTTCAACGTTGACCCTCACTCCACTTCCGCGACCACGGACAAATTCTCTCTTCACATGCTCTCACGACAACCTAACACTCTGGTCTCGTTCCTGTTTGATCCTGGCATCTCGCCCTCGAGCATCTAAAGCGTCTTCATCCACATTTTCGCTGGCGGACTCCTCTGGCGGGTATCCCGACACCCTCCCATCCCTCCCCGGCATTCGAAACCCTCTCCGCTCATTCAATCACGACTCCGCCAGCATCTTTTTGTCCCACAGCGCATAATCCCTCTCCAGTAGTTGTATCCTCGCTAAGTTCTGGTGGCGCTGGAAGGGCGCATATTTCGCGTGTCGGTCGATCCTTCGAACTTCATCAAGTCGGTATCTGATCAAAGGATCGATAGGAAAGCCGTCGCCTCGGTATGGCGGTACTCTAGAGCATTTTTTATATCTTTTTTGAGATCACGGCGCTGGACGCCCCAGTCTCTATCATCTTCGGAGATTTCCTCGTCGATGGGAGGACCGTTGAAGAAGTTAAAGCTGCTAGAAGTTTGAGGCGATGGGCTGCTGGATCGGCTTTGATGGGCGGTCGCTTTGGGCCTGCTAGTAGAGTGCTTTAGTTTCGCAGGTGTGTTACCGTTCATTGTCGGTGTTTTGGAAGTCAAAGAGGTGCACACTAAACAGAATAATGTACTAATGCTATGCGAATGGACTCTATTTGCTTTATCAATGCTGTATTGGTTTGCTACACTAACCCCCGCAGGCTTCGCCCAGTTTCCCTCCGGTTAGAACTCTTACTTGTCGCCATATTCGAGTATTTACGAGAATAAAATGGATCTCAAGAGATACCGAAATATTCAAAGAGGCTCTTCCGCTATATAGAAAACATGTGACATGGTGTTCCACAAGGCTGAAGGAATCGGCCCCCATATGCAGCCAAGCAACTTGGGGTCAAGCTTCGTGTTCTCCGTCTCGACCGCGCGGGGTGTCTCTCCGAACCAGGCTTCTTATAGGGCAGCGATTACAACAGCTGCAGGACGTGCATGGTTCATCGACGCGTAATGCGCTTTTGGCACAAACGCCGACTTAGCTTCCTTCAGCCTTCTTAACCACGGAAGAGCCCCGCAACCTGCCGCAATTGCGCCCATGATTTCCTTTCGACCCGGCTGCGGTTCAGCCTGATCTTTTGCGACCGGCGACGATGGCTGGGTATAGCCCTCACCAGTATTCTCCACAGGAGTATGATCCCTTCGTGCCGGAGACTCAGCGGTTTCAGGATGCGGAATCGACGGCGACGATTGCGGCTGCGGGCGTCCGGGGAGCACCACTTCAACCACAGCCTTACCCGCACTCCGGTAGCCCTATTGCAGCGCCTAGATCTAACAATCCGTTCAATCCTTTCTTCCGCAGCGCTTCTGCTTCTCCTCAATCGGCTTACCAAGGCGCTGCTACCCCTTCACCAATATCGCCGTGGCCGTCAATGATGGCGAGCCCGCGAGTCGCTCCTTTAGAGCGCCAGAAATCACTGGGGAATTACTTTGCCATAGAAGAAGTGCCACGGACCATCTACACCGATCAGGAGTTTGCAGACATTGCGAGACTGCTTAAGGACACGGCCCGCGAGCCCTGGAGCCGGATACCTCGAATCTATACGGTGTTGAGGTTGATTGGACAGGTTCCTGCGATTGAGACCTTTTTGGACCTTGGAATGAATGATCTATGGCTTCCGTTTCATATATCGCAGTTGCCGAAGTCAATGCCGACATACCATCGCGAGAGGTTCATTCAGTCTCAGGCTATGGTTTTGTAAGCTTCATTTATTCTTGCTCTGACGAAATGGCCGCTCACGATTCATGCAGGACCAAAGCAGTCGATCTCGAGAACGGGAACCTGAAAAAGCACACTCATTTCCGGCAAGGCGAGCCCTTCCCCTTTGATGTCGGCGATAAGCTTGGAGAAGGCGGATATGCGTCCGTGGATAAAGTCTATAGCTCCCTTAGCGGCCGTACCTATGCCCGTAAGAGGTTCCGGAGAACTAAAGCGAATCCAAGCGAGGTTCAAAGCTTCATGACCGAGCTGCAGGTCTTGAAACGCATCAATCATCAACATTGCGTGGAGCTAGTTGCTAGCTACACTGACTCTAAGTACTTCGGACTCCTCATCTCTCCCGTGGCCGATTACAATTTGTCGGCATTCTACGGCGTTGTTGCGGGTAATGAAGAAAATCAGAAGATACTGCGTAGTTTCTTCGGTTGCCTGGCGCACTCATTGCACTTCCTGCACCAGAACAAGATACGGCATCGAGATATCAAGCCGGAGAACATTCTTGTTAAGGGGTCCGCGGTGTACCTCGCAGATTTTGGGATATCATTGGACTGGGAGAACCTTTCTCGCAGCACCACGACCGAAGACTCCGGCAAATCATGGACCTATTGTGCGCCCGAAGTCGCGCACTATGAGAAACGAAACTCATCCTCTGATATCTGGTCCCTGGGCTGCGTGTTCTTGGAGATGTTGACAATCCTCAAAGGCTTCACTGTCCATGACCTCCGAGACGTATTACGCAAACATTCCGGTCGGCCAAGGTTCTATGAGAATGTTGACGTCGCTATGGACTGGGCTGAGCAACTCAAGGGATATGGTGTTGAATCCGACAATGAGGCGGTACGTTGGATTCGCGAAATGGTCGTCATTGATCCTGAGAGGCGTGCCACGGCGGAGACATTGTCCGTGTTGATCGCAACGTTTGGAAGAACGATTAAGAGCAGGAAGGAACCGAACCGGTTTTGTGGCAATTGCTGCTCTCATGATCACGATATGGAATCCTCTTCAGAGGCGGCATCGGATGATGATGTGTGGGCGAGGGATTTTTCTGTGGATGATACTACGCCTGGTACATCGCCACCTGGAACGGATCCTTCGAAGGTGCAAGTTACGGCGGAGCAAAGCATAGTCGCTCAAGCGGGTTTGCAGGAGCCCCATCAATCGAGTGCGGTGCCTCATCTAGGGAGTTCGCAACTAGCTGATCCCATTGCAAACGAGGATAGGACAGCGGATTACTATCGTCAGTACCGCAACTTACAGCAACTACCGAGCTCCAAGCCTGAAGCTGCGGAACCCAAGCCTGAAGCAGGGGTTACTGACGATTCGCAACGATCCGAAGAATCTCAGCCGGATGGTCCTGTTGAGCAGACCCCACTCCCTCGACCGGGTAAGACCAAGTGGGAGTCCCGTCAGCGGGACTTGACGCCTGATATCGAGAATTTGCAACTTGCTGATTCCGACACGAACGAGTCCAGCAGACTCGATACAAACCATGGTCCCCATCAAACACTTGGAGCAGCCGATCCTAAGCACACAGAGGAGTTCTTCGCCGCAGCAGAAGCGGCGGCTGCAGCAATGGAGAAGGACCTGGAATCCGGTCTTGTCACTGAAGAAGATACACCATCAAACCAGTCTACAGCTAAACTTGTTACCCAGCAAACGCGAGAGAACAAAGAATCCGAGTCGGATACAGTGATGTCCAAAGCCTTGCTGGAACACAGAAATACCGTTCGCAGACAGCTCCTTGACGAGGTGACCAGCAGCCTCCAACAATGGCCATTCTCGGATTTCAAAAGCCGGCTCCCTGCCATATCGTATGAGAGCTGGCACAAACCCGCTGATTTCCTAGCATCCATCAAGTCGGACGTCGTATTCATGGAGTACCTCCGATCATCCGACACCTCCCAATTCGACCGATTCAAGTCCGCAGAGGTCAATGACCTAGCCTCTATCATGTACCTCCTCCTCCTCAACGGTATGGACGCCAACAACCCCTCCTTCAAGGAAACCGCCACCGACTACCGCGGCTGCATGCCCCTAATGTGGACCCTGCACCCGAAATGGTCCTCCCTCCCCTCCCGCAACTCCATCGCCAAACTCCTCATCGGCTTCGGCGCCGACCTGGACGCCAAGCTCGAAGACGGCCGCGACCCCCTCACCCGCACCTCGGGCGAGGGCAACATCGAGATGCTGAAGATCCTCCTCGACCTGGGCTGCCGCCCCGACCTGATCCACAGCACGGGCGTGCACGCCGTCTTCTTCGCCGCCACCAACGGCCAAGCCGCCGCCCTGCGCATCCTGCTCGACCACGGCGTGCCCATGAAAACCATCGACCACGAAAACAACCAGTTCATGACGCCCCTCGCCGCGGCCGCCGCGCAGGGCCACGTCGACGTCGTCAAGATCCTGCTCGCGCGCGGCGCCAATCACCGCCGCGGGCTGTTCACCAGCCCGCTGCTGAACGCGGCGAAAAACGGCCACGAGGACGTCGTGCGCTACCTCTTGCAGAACGGGTACTACGACGGGGCGATCGACGAGTGCCACAAGGGGCAGTTCAGGCTCATGACGGCGCTGCACATCGCCGCGCAGTTCGGGCACCATGGGGTCGCGAATCTGCTGCTGGATAAGGGCGCGAATCATCGGCTGGTGGATGGGGGCGGGTTCACGCCGCTGCATATTGCGGCGACGAAGGGGCATCATTTAGTCGTCGAGGTGCTGATTAACCACGGCGCGAGCTATAGGGTGACAACGACTGGGGGGTTCACGCCGAGTATTGATGCGGCGAGTAATGGGCATCTGAAGGTGATACAGGTGCTGTGTGAGAACGGGATGGGGGCGGATGAGGGGAAGTCGTTTCTGACGGGGGATTGGCGGCCGATTCATTGCGCGGCGATTGCGGGACATCCCGAGGTAGTGAAGTATTTGATCCGTAAGGGGGCGGATCCGACGAGGCGGATTGTGGGGGGGTTTTTTGGGAGTGGGATGATTCAGGGGGCGACGCCGTTGAATTTGGCGAAGAAGGGGGGGCACAGGGATATTTATAAGATACTGGAGAAGGCGATTAAGGAGAGGAAGAAGGGGAGGTAGGGGTGGGTATCACGGGCGTTTGTTTGGTTTTTTGGCTTCTACTGCGCGTATATCAGCTCTTCTAAGGCACCACTTGGAATAATGAATGTTAATTTCTCTAGCTACGGCTAATGCAAACTGAATCCGCTGAATCAGTGTGTTCTGTGTCGTGTTTTGGCGAAGTAGCAGAAATCTCATCTGCACTTCAGCTTCCTGTCCATCCACTTCAAATTAGTGCCCTCCAACCTGTTCGGAGAGAGAGCCTCTAAATCTGCAAGCTATCCATCCAGAGTTCTCCCTGCAACTTTCATTCGCTCAATCGTCCCTTACATTATTATCATGGCTGTCAGAGCAGTCATGCGGACCCCACAATATCGAATGCCTCGTCCACTGGAACCAACTATACAACCTGATTAGCGTTCGATAAAAACAAAGCGTAGCAAGTATATCACTTACTACTTCCTCCATGCTTCAAGCCACAATTAGTGCTCACTAGTATCCAGAAGTTCTACCACTAGAACCGCCGCTCTGTCCTGCTTCTTCTGTCTCGTTCTCAGGCGTCGTCACCGCCGCGAACGTCGCTCGAAGCTTCTGACAAGCCCTCACTTCTTCTTCGCTTGGTGGGCTGGAATCGCCGAGAGCGGAGGACGACCTAGCAGAAGACCTAGAAGCTGGCCCTGCACTTCCGGCTCCTAAGCTACGACGTGCTGGCTTGTGGGGACGCGTGGGTGCTTGATCGCGCCCCGCCGCCGTGAGAGCTCGCGGCGCACTCTCCGAACCTGCAAGACGGGGACGGGTAGGCAGTCGTTCATCTCTGGAGTGTGCGGGTGCTTTCCTTTTCGGCGACGTGTTCTGGGTAGTGCTGAGGGTGAGGACACTCTTTCTACCGCTACGAATGCTCATATGTTTCCTATCGGGGGAAAAGTGAGGCTGCGGGCGAGTCTTCCCGTTTGCGACGTCGTGTTGTGTTGGAAGAGCGCTGAGTGCGCTGTGAGTGCGCGGGGCCGGGGACGGGCCTCGAGAGAGTGGAGCTTGCAGAGAGTTTTGGTGGCTATCACGCCGTGCGAAGGAAGTGGGTGGCCGTGCAGGAATATCATTATCTTCATCATTGCTCTCATAGCTCTCGTCTTCGTCGTCTGGGTCTCCCCCGTATTGAGCAAACCAATCGTTGGCGATGCCCATGGCCCTACTGAGAGGCAAAGAAAGAAGCAGCTGCTGAGTTGCTTCAACCACCTCCTTACACTGCTGATTGATGTCATCTGGTAGAATTCCAAGAGGAGTTGGTACGCCGTGCCGGAAGTTGGAGAGGACGGCGCGGGCAACGTCCTCCGGCAGGCTCTCCAGAAGATTGTTGATGCCCAAGAACACGCGGCCCATCTTGGGTCCGCGCATCAAGGGCGGTGGAGCGGGTGTTGGAGTCGGCAGGTCGCTGGCTAGGAGGGGCGGGTTTGACAATGGCGATGGCACGATTGTGCGATGCTTCGACATTCGAATAGGGACCGCAGGAGGAGCCTCCATAACTGTCGCGGCGTGTAATGACAGAAGGTTGAGTGTTCTGGAAAGCGGCCGTTGTTGTTAGAAGCTGTAGATGTCTACCAAAGCGCAGGGAAGCGAAGTTCAGGGACGTTTGTGGATACTAGTGGGTCCCGTGACATCACACTGAAGCGGACATCATATTGTCAATGTCAATTAAGGGTGCACCAGCCGATAGCAGGCCAATACCGTCGCCCTCCTGGCTGTCTTTTATGAAGCCTTCTAAATCTATAACCCATCCGCTCAGAACTTCCCTTCGAATCTTCCAACCCCCTGTAGTCACGCGCACTGATATCACAGCTGTTAAAACGCTCACACTGAATCCATGATACTCATACCCTCGTTCAATCATTAACTTTCCACCAGTCGCCCTTCAGGACCCTCTCAACCTACCGTCCATCCACTCAAAATTTCTATCAGAATCTCGCAACCCGGCATAGTTCCTCGCATCTTTATCATAGCTGCCAGTACCGCCAAACCGAGCCCACGATACTCATGCCCTTGTTCGCCGGAACTCTCTAGTCAATTTAATTAGCTAGGCGTATACTGAATATAGGATCATACGTGCAACTTACGCTGACCACTCCGTCATCTTTGAAGTCCAAGTCGGCGGCGGTTGAGGGAATGGGAGGGAGCACTGGTGTCCACTGAAAGGTCAACAAGACGTAAAAAGGAATGCTAAGCGGACTGCGTGGGATACCTTTGGCCAGTAACCGACTGCTCTTGGAGGAGCTTGGAGGTCTACGAGGTGCCTCCGCGCTCTCTGCTTGACCTTGGGGTTCCTCAGCAGCGCCTTGCGTGCCCGCGCGAGTTTCGCGGCCGCGGCGGCCTTCTCCTCCTTGACGTATGTAGTTTGGACGAATTGGCCTTGCTCTGCCTCCATGGCTGCAATTGTGATGAGAATTTGGTGAGTTTTGTGGAATTTGGAGATTCGTCGCGATTGGTGTTGTGGAGCACAGTCTACAATTTGTTGAGGCAGGGAAGCTGAAGGAAGTCACTTCAAAACGAAACACCGAAAATTAGGATTGTCAAGCACGTGTCTCGCTCATAGGTACTTCTACACTCTCAAACAAGCACCTCATGATTTCTAGTACTGCTTCACCTCCAGCTTTATCGCAGTACGATCCCCTCAACCACCTGGTCTTCCGTCATCCACTCCCCATCCATAATCCCAAAAACATGGGCCTCTCCCACCAACCGCCACGCCCTATCTTCCCGCTTCCTAACTACGAACGGTACCTGCGCGCTCAGTATCACAACAATCACATCCTCCTTGTCCGCGTCCACAGGACAAAGTCCAACATACCCCTTCTTTGAAAGAAACGGCCGACTATCATATATCCTCTCCATGCGCCCCATATACGCGAGAAAGGCTGCATGAGATGAACCATGATCACGTCCTCGTAGTGCAGGATCATTAACGGCTTGTCGTATAGCATCGTATCCGTCCTTGGCCGTTGAGGTGGCTCTTTGAGGCCAGTTCACCACACCTCCAGATTCTAGGTCGCCGATTGGGATACGCCAAGGGCTTCCGCCTGTTGAGCCTCATCGTACCTCGAGCTCCGAGAGAGGAAGTTTGCAATGTCGTTGAACACTTTGCCGGCGGCGTCGTAGTCGAACGGTTCCGCTATACCACGGGACCATGTAGCGCCGAGGTCAGCAATTACATCCACAAAGCTCCCCCTAAGCTCAAGCCTATCACCTTCAAACCTCAGCTCTGGCTGCACTGATACCCTCCCACTCACTCTACCAGCGCTAAACCACTTCTTTTCCGAACTCCCGCCCGACGGCTCCCGATTGTCCGCCGTCCAATCCGGGACCCACGACGGGAGCCCTTGGAACTCCTTCCTCTTCCTACACAGCGCGAGAATGTCTATGTTTCCATGCCTCAGCAACGCCTTCGCAGTGTCAACATACGCCTCCTCAACTGAATACGCCTCGCTATAATCCGGCACGATATCCTGCGCCACCAACTCATTCGCAATACCCAACAGCGCGTACACCCTTTCTTTCGGATACGTAGCCCTAATCTGCGTTCCCTTCGAATCGAACATTTTCACCGTATTGACCCGCACCAGGAGGTTCTTCAGCCTGAGTTCCGGGTGCGTGGGGTCTTTCAACCTCTTCCTCCTCAACCCGATCGATACCGTCGGCATATCCACCGCATCCTCGAGAATCCGCGCACTGCGCACATCTATCGCTTGATTGCCAGTGCGCAGATGCCGCGCAGCCCACGTACTAAAGATGTTGCAGAAATACATCGTCGCCCAAAGTCTGGTATACTCAACTTCTCGCTCCCCGCAGCGCAAGATGGCCACGCACGCGTTGGCGAGCTCTTGCAGGCACCAGGCGCGCGTGAACCATGCGCGCTGCTTGAGATCTGTGGGGAAAAGAACGGCGAAGACGTATCTGCCTTCTTGGAGCCACTGCCTAAACGTCTGCATCCAGCCAGCCACCTCGCGTTTTACTTCGGCTATTCTAGGGTCGAGTTCGGTGGAGCAGTCGACGCCGTCCCACCCTCGAAGCTCGTCTTGGCCGAGTTCCCATAGTCCGATATCTAGCAATGCGCCGCCGATTTTGTCAATCCATTCCAAGGCGGTGTCGGTTGCGGGGGTCGAGGGACCGAGCCAGATGATGACTGCTGACGCTTTTCTGTAGATGTGGCGCATGAGCTGCACTTGAGATGTCTTTTCTTCCGCATCGGACTGGTTGATGCAGATTGCGTCGATCCAGAGGTCGCGCCTGTCGTTTGCCTTACGGAGGTGGAGCAGGGCGTCGTGCAGGTTCTCAGTTACTGGGAAGGGCTGGCCATTGAGGGTGACGCTCCTAGTTTGAGAGTCGGGCGGACCCCATACGTAGGAGAGCGCAACGTACTCAGCAGCGTCTTCTAGGGAGAGGCGTCTCAAGAAACAAATGATGCGGTCCGCGTTGGCTGCATCATCGGACGGCGGCTGGAGGAGCAGTTGTCTGATCTCTGCTCGCTCTTTTGACAGTGGGAGGGTGCTGAAAACACTTTGTTGAGGCTCCATGGGAACTGAAGCGGTCATTGCTGTTGATGTGGTTGAATTTAGCTCAGGAATACGAGTTTCTGAATTAGGCTAAACGATCGGACACCACTATCTCGAAATCGGCAAGTGGTAATCCGAAATACGAGATTCGTTTACGAAGGTAGTACTAAACTGCTCTAATCTCGCAGTCTAATTGCGCTTCTGTTGAATCAACCTATTGTGATGGAAAAAAGGGTTTTCTCATGCGATGACCCACTGCCATGTTTTAGCTCCTGATTGAGGGTAATTGCAAGCGCTTGGAGGGGCAATCTCTCTTTCTCCTCGAAGTAGGTCTTGGTTATAGAGAAGAACAATAGCTAGATGGGTTGATTATTTTGATTTCGTGAGACTTGAGAGGTGGGGATAACTCATAAACGCTTGGGTGGCCCGAGAGCCACTCATGCTTCAAAATCACGTGCTCCTTACTAAGCCTCCCAAATCTTGCAAACACAAGGGTATAAAACTTCGATCCCCCGCTTTCTATCTTGCTTTTAAGGTTCATGGAGAAGATTTATATATCTTCAATTAGCTGGATACCCTCTGTACATGGATTGGGCGTCTGTGGTGCAACAGCAGCAACGTAAACACCTCATGATCGGAGTGGGAGCGGAGTTTTCAACTAAGCTACCAATGTCCGTTTATGGAGTGTTCGATTGTTTTCGGGTGCATTATCTGTAGAACAATGATGCTCACCACCACAAGCCTCCACTAAATTACCCAAGGAGCGCCGCTTGACCTGGCGTATCAACACTCCCTCAGGCCAAGACACTGCACTACTGGTCCTGGACCCTACTCCGCATCTGTAGTAGAACTTAGTGGCCGCCATCAAGCTGCGTACTCCACACCCACCAACCATCAATTTGTACTTCCGCGCATTTGCAGTCCACAGCTCTTCTGTTTTTTGCAAAGCAATCACAACCTCCCCACCATGTCCAGTGACACTTTGATCCTCCAAACATGGCGTGCTTGCGTTTCCGGTTTGCTGCGTCCTCCACACACCATTCCACATTCTCATCGCCAGTGTTGTACACACCGCACGACCATGGGCGTCGATGATATCGGTGTTGCTACACGCAGCCAACTCCGAGCCCATAGCTTTCTGAAGCGCTCTGAGTTGATCCATCCGCAAGATCGCCTCATCCATGGAAGAGAGAAATGAGCTTGAGCGTGTTCGAGGGTAGTTTTTATAGTCGCGAAAGGATGGCCAAAATGACAGTCACGTGGAAACGTCGTGCCTGAGCGCATCTGGAGGTTCGAGGAGGAGGGAGGTGGGAAGGTCACGTGCAGCGTCTTTGTAGGACTTGTGCTCTCCAAAAACGCGAGCTCTTCGTAGCCCTTCTCCACGCGGCTTCTGTGCAAGGGCCTGCAAGGCCGTTGCACGTGAACCACGCAATTCTCGGCTTCGGTTCTAATTCTATCTATCTTCCCTATAGTTCCTCATCCGCGCTAAACCGCCGGACCGCCTACACGCTCTAGTCGACCTTCCACCAATCCACGCTTTGTAGCAGTAGCACTGACAACAAAACACCTGAGTACATGTGCCCTAGCCCCAAACCGCTTTCTACGAACTATAAAACCGCACCCCCTCAGGTTCCTGTAGATTTCTTTCCTCCATAGATAGAGTAGGCTCGGCGAAGCAACTTCAGGAGTAGAAGAGGCCATGGGTGGAGTGGTGGTGGGGGGTTTTGCAAAGTACCGGATTCGATCCAGCAATGGGTGGTGGGTGTGTAGATTCAAAGGCTCACGATGAAGAGCACTATATCCTCTTAACGGCGCGGAGTGTGCGCTAGGAGTAGTGGTGGAGCGCAGCGTACTGCTGTTCTGCATCTTACCTTTTCATGAATCTGATACTTGACTTGCAAACTGCATCAAGTTCAAGAGACTTAGACCTGCACACTCAGATTGATTGCCAAACCTCATGTTCTTGTTACATTGATATGAAACTGACGCCAATTATTTCTTTGAAGCATCCGCAGGCAGCCCGATACCAGTCCCTCACTGGTTTGAAGGTCAGCGACACCCGATGTAGCATTACTGGGCTCTCTCAAACGTGACCTCCTGCTCCTTCTCTGCATAGCCTCCGCTTAGCCATTTTGATTCATATATTGAGGAGCCTTCGAAGGAACAGAGGAACCTGCCACCGGAAGGGCCTTTAAGGTGCCAGTACTTCGTTTCAGTGAGTACTTTTGAACCGATGAGTCCTATCCTGAAAGAGATTTGATCTACCAAATCTCTAGAGGCAGCTGCACCTCACTGCTCTTCCTAGCGTGTACTCCGTACCTCCAAGAGGATATAGTGCTCTTCATCGTCGTACATTTGAAAGGACCAACCAGAAGCACCGCATGATGGGAGTGCCCCTCCGATTTTGCTCATCCCTCCACAACTCCACCCATTGTAACCTTTCCTCTTCCAGTTTGCTGCGCCCACTCATCGACTGGTACTTCTCCTTGTTTGCTCCGCCCAGCCCACCGACAGCCATGAGCTGTTGTGCGGCCACATACTTAATCCACCCCCTAACCGCCTTGCCCATGAGAGAAGTCGATTCGAGTCTGAGGGGCGGTGGTTTTATAGTTCGTAGAAATCTATGTAGGGCTGGGGCACGTGAGGTCAGGTGCTTTACTACCGAGACTAGTACTACCAAGCGTTGAGCTGCGGAACTTCCAAGATTGAGTAGCTCACGTGCTATAGCCGTGTTACCAACGCTCTAACCACGCACAGGAGTCATACGAGATGTCACGTTTCTAGAGAGCTCACTAAACGCGCTTAAGATACTATTGGGCTTCAGAATCACCGAAGGGACTTGTAGCTGGCGGGGGGGAGAGCCTCAAGAGTCTATATCCCGCCGACTTCTAGGAGGGGTGAGAAATCGTAGAATCGAGGAAAGACGAAAAGTCTTGGTACCCCATTTTAACGCGCATATTTGGCGCTCTTAAGATCAATCTGGTCCTTAAATTGGCCTATAGATACATAAAGATAGAAGTCGAAGATTAGTGGAGCTCTCACAAGAAGCTATGCCCCATTACCGCCCCTAGCGCTCACTCTGCACCTTTGGTAAGACGTAGTGCTCTTCATCGCCGTACAATGAAGACTACACCCCCACCCATGAGGTTCTTCCGCTGGTGGATTTTGCTCCGTCCAGCGCACTCAGCGCGACCATCAGCACGAGTCGTCATGCCTGTTGCTCCAACAGACATGAGTTGTTCCTGGGCATCATGCTTGATCCATCCCCCCGAACCACTGTGTCCATGAAAGAACTTGACTAGAGTCCCAGGGACGGTGGTTATATAGTTCGTGGAAATTGTCCAAGAGGCGCTCGGGCCAAGGACACGTGAGGTCAGGTGCTTTACTCTGGGGACTACTACCCCAAAGCATGGCCCCAGAGGGAGGGGAGTTTTATTGGCTCACGTGCTACAGCAGTGCTGTACCCACGCGACAGTTACACGGAGAAGTCATACGAGGCCATCATGTTCCTACAGAGCTCAGTAACTACCATCTGGACACTTTTGGGCTTGAGAATCACTGAAGGGACTTATGGCGGGGCAGGACTGTCAATCGTCCGCACCGCCCCCAACTACGGCGAAACCTCATGCCAAAACGCGCAGGACGCAGAACAGCAGCGCCTCCTACAACGCACGTCCGTCCGTCACGCCCCAGACCCCAATGTGCCTCCATTACTCCTGCGCGCCCGAGCCGCTTATCCCAACACCTCCAACCCTTATCCGTCGGTGCAAACACGTCGGTTTGGAACCCCTAATCTCGTGCTCTGCTGACTCGTCGTAGACGGCCTGCTCGGATTGCGTGCCTATAACCCCGAACGGTATCAGCAAAGACGCGCCTTGCAGTGCGCCAGTTAGAGCAGCCATGTGCGCCAATCCCACCCTCTTGGTGCCGATGTATAGCGACAAGCCCGTAGAGACGCTCGCCAACCCACTTCCCGCGCCGCGGTTTCCGGCCGTTGTGGGATTAAGACTAGACCGATGATCCGGTAACCACGCGACTAACGCGCGTTCGCGGCCGGTATCTTCGCTATCCGCTTGCAGGCAGGAATGGCCTTGTTACACGCCCTCGAGGTGGATTACGGGCTGTGATGGGAGGAACTGGGCGTCAGTGAAGGAGAGGAAAGAAGGCACTGGATCCATAAAAGCGGCAATACAAGCGCCAAGCGGGCCCGGGTTTGACGTACGAGGTCGACAACTCTAGATAGGTACTGGGCGCGAGAATCGGACTTCGAAGGCGGAGATGTGGAGCATTCTGCGAGCAGTGGCCACCGCGATTCCTCTCGTGATTGGAAGCGCCGGCTTGGGTAGCCGTCGGCAGCTGGCCCAGCCACCGCGATAGAGTGTCCGCCAAGCAGTTTCTACCCGGTTCCACGCTTTGTGGGAGGAGCCCGGCGTGATTCGCACGTGTTCTAACTTCTAGCCTCAAACGGATTTCGAGGGGGTATATAAACCCCTCCCCCCTCAGGCTCGAGTTGGCTTTTCCTCATGGACGAGTGGATCGAGGGGGGAGGGCAAACTGGGATGAGTGGGAGAGTGATGGCTGCGTGGTGTGCAAAATCCGACACATCACAGGTTCATGGGAGTGGAAGAGGCGATCTGGCTGGCGGATGGGCGGGTGTGCAAAAGACGCCAATCAAGAGCGTCATGGGCGGAGTGGCGGAGGAGGGGGGGAGGAGCAAAAACGAGAAGGCAACGAGGCCATGGCTGCAAAATCCTGAGATCCAGCCTGTAATGGCTGGTGGGCCTTGGGTGTGTAGATCTAATTCTTCGGCGATGAAGACCACTGCATCCTACCAAAGCTGCTGAGCGCGTTCTACGTGTAGTCATAGCGCCCATCTTGGTGCCTAGGTTCCGCTGTTACGCATCTAGCGCGGACTCGCACCGTTAGGTAGATATAGTGCTCTTCATCGTGAACATTCCGCGCTACACCCATAACGTCGTCGTCTTCAACTGTTGCACACCCTCCCGCCCCCCAACACAACCATTGGCGACCTCGTCTAGACAGTTGCTTCACTCCGCCATAGTCGTGACAGCATCCCTCTGTTGAACGCCTCCACAACCATTTGCGAACAAGCTTCCTGTTGTTGATCCACCGCAAGATCACCAGTCCCATGATGGGACTAGGTGTCTCGAAGTTGATCAACTACCGCCCCGCCCCGCCCTATTGCTGGAGAGGAATCGACTCGAACCCGAGGAGGAGTTTATATAGCTCGTCGAAATCTATCCGGGGCCAGGGCACGTGAGTCGCTCGGGACTCTGGCTACAAAGCGAGGAGCTGGATCCCGGTTGACAACGGCTACACTGACGCCCGCCCCCCTCCGTTGGCGAGCGGGCTCGCAGTGCGTCATTTTGCAGATTGCCGCCTTGCGGCGCCTTTGGGAGTTGAGGTTGTGCGTTTCACTCTATTTCCAGAGCTCGTAACTGACCTCGAGATTGTACCACTAAGGCTGAGACTGCCCCGCGGTCAGGTGCAGCAGACAGCTAGCCAAAGCCAGCAGTCGAACCTGATTAATTAGCTTCGAAGACGCACATAACCATCCCAGTGCCCGAAAACAAGCGACTGTATAGCTTCGCGGTGCCATGCTACCGACTCGCAAGGGGTGCTCCCACCAGACGCCTCAGAACAGAATATTCAGTCCATTTTTGTTGCGATTTGAGGGATGCGAGACCCTTGTATTGCGGAGCGAGCAGATCGCGGGCGGCGGGGCGAGGAATTGCTCCGCATGTCGACGAGGCCTACGAGAACGAGGGCTGGAGGCGCTGTGATGGGCGCTTTGGGCCTGCAGGGTTGATGGCATGTTGTTGAGATACGACAGGCTGCGAGCACTTTAGGAGCCACGAGGCAAAGGACGGCTCCGTTTCGAACGGTTGGGCAAAGATGACATCTCGATATCAAAGAGGGTGCAGGTGCACACTTGTGCATTAAAAACGCGACTCTGGAAGTTTCTGGTGGTTGTGCTGTGTCCGGAACTTCGATCTAGGTTTCTGCAGGTCTGAAGGGAGACTGATATGAGAACGAGAGAGCTCTTTGCGATCGAGCAGAACCAGCTTCGCGTTTGCTGCGGCTTGCGAGGGCAATCAAGATCGATGATAAGAACTAGCACAGTTCGAGCTTCGTTTCGAGGAATTAGGTGCATCGATATTAACTGAAAACAATGAAACAAGAAACACTTTTCTAGATGCAAAACTCTACCCATGCTTTATAAAACGCTGAAAAAACACACCCAAACCATTACTCAACCCTCAAACCTACCATGTCTTTACCCAGTCGGCGTAAACCGACTCATCCCCCGAATCTTCGCCCCATACACATAGAACAACACCGGCACCGGAATAAACGCAACACACAAAAACGCGAGCAAACTCATCGCCCAATCCACGCCCAACTTATGGTACATCGGCGTTGCAAACAGCGGGAACCCCGCACCCGCGATACTCCTCAACACCGTATTAATTGCAATCGCGCTATTCGAGTAGAACCCGTAGCAATCGATGATGTACGACATGCCCTGCCAGAAAGTAACGAGGCAGCCCATGCCGATGAAGGCGGTGGCGAAGACGGACGGCACCCAGGAGATGCTGGGGTTGCTGGTCCACGCGAACCAGAACATGCCGATGGGCAGGATGACGGCGCCGATGATCATGGGCGGCAGGCGCTCTTCGGGGATGGTGCGGCCGTGCTTGACGAAGGCGCGCGTGAAGTTGGTCGCGGTGGAGTAGGCGATTAGGCCGGAGCCCATGGCGATGCCGACGATGAAGGCGACGAAGGGGAGGGAGGAAACGCCGAGAGACCAGCCGCGTTGTTCGCGGAAGCTGACGGGGTACTGGAATTGCGGTTAGGATGAGTGCTGGTGATGATACAGTCGTGAAGGGGTGTACTTACGGCCTCGAACAGCAGATAGAGGATACCGTAGATGAAGCTCATATATGCTGTAATGAGAGCTAGAATTGGCTCTTGGAAGAACATCTTGAATGGTCGGATCAGATACACCGTCATGATCTGCCTCGCATCGATCCGGTTCTCGTCAGCCTTCGCGTGCAGCGCCCAGTTCTGCGTCTCAAACCGCAGCCTCCTGGCCTTGGTTTGCAAGATCCTCGGTGCTGATGTCTCGGGTATCATGAAAAGCGCAATCGTTCCGAACAGCGCCGCCATAATGAGGGTGATCCAGGAAGTCCATCGCCAGCCAAGATAAGACTGAGTGATGAAACCGCCGACAGGTGGTCCCACGACGGGTCCAGCGAATCCACCCGCTGCGAAGACGCATATAGCGTAGGCCCGATCGATGGGGTCCCACATATCGGCCAACCCTCCTCCTACAACGGCAAGCGGCGCAGAGGCAAAAAAGCCGCCCAGGAAGCGCCCCAGCATGACGGTTTCGATATTCTGCGCCACGGCGACGGGGATTTGGAAGATGGCGAAGACGATGTAGCCAGAGAAGAGGGGGATGCGGCGGCCGAAGACCTCGGACATGGGGCCGAACATGATGGGGCCAAAGACGAAGCCCTAAATGATAATCAGCTACTATAGATGAGTCATGTGAGGGACGTACTCACCAGTACGAATAATGTCACACCCAGCGTCGCGACGATCTCGCTGACATGGTACTCCTCGGCCACAACGCCAATCGCAACGCTGAAGATGGAGCTGGAGAAGGTCACTGTGAAGACTAGCGATGCCATTGACAGTGTCACGCCCCATTTTCGCCGCTTGGTCCAGTTCTTGGGGTTTGCAGGGTCGTTGGGGCCGTCGAAGTCGACGAGATCGGTCCTCGTCTGGCCGTCTTGAGGCACAGCGGGTATTGGTTGTTGCGCGTCCGCTTTTTCTAGATCCACATCTTCCGGCATTTCGATGTCGTCCTTGCTCTTCGAGAGCTCGGCGCCCAGTCCGTTTCGTGAGGAGTTGTCGATAGAGGATCGCGCAGTCGCGCTTTCCAGTGGCAGAGCCGGCGCGTCAAGGGGGTTTGTAGCCATTGCGATGGCGTAGAGGCGTAGAGGGGAGTTGTCGTAGTGTGAGGAGCTCAGCAGCGGCAGCCATGGTGTATTATAAATACTGGGCGAGCTGATAGTGCTGCATGTTATTCCCGTGAGGTGGACTTAAGGGTGGGATCGGAGCTAGCGAACAGCCTCGGGGATGACTCCATCATCGACTAGCCGCAAAAGGAACCTTGCAAGCCGATATCCGACGGGGAGTTGTACGACGAACAAGGCATAAAAGCAGGACGATGGAACGCGAACAACTTCGAATCTCGCGATGACTTCTCAATGAGTGCTGTGACTGATGCTGAGGCGTGGCAATGGGGATGACAGCGTAGTATCGGAGAAAATTGAAGCTGCATGGGGCAATCTGGCGATTGGACGCCTAGCTGTCCTCGCACATGATTCGGCACGCGCCTGAGGCCGAAGGGCGAGGAGCGAAGAGCGAGAATTTGCAGCCAATGGGACGCCTGAGATTTCGACTCCTACACGACGATTGTACGATCTTATCCAGAGTGACTCATTTGATCTTGGCCCGCGGTGGGAGGCTTTCATCAACCGGATTGGCAATGTGTCACTGAAAACGAAGATTCTTCGAAGCGGAACTCCACAAACAGATCTCAAGGATACGTAAGCCAGAGAAGGGCATTGTCGTATTGCACTTCATTCCGCTAATGTCTATTGTAGCATCAAATCCGAACATTTGAGCTCTCAACTGCTCCTTGTCTGCAATAGCTTCACATCTGTATCCTCGTAGCTATGGCAGAAAGGTAGGAAGGACATCAACTTAAGCGTTCGCCGAGACATGATCCGCTGCAGGCTAGCTCCCGAGCGCTCCCGAGCGCTCCCTCCATCTGGGAATACGCTAGCCCGCACTCGTATTTATCGTACAGCGAGGTCCTAGCACTGGATTAGTGTGGCCTTGTCTGTGGCCTGAGGCGAATCATGATGCAGTGTGAGCGTCGACAGGCACGAGTCTCAAGCTTCGGACTTATTGCTACCTTAATCCCATCCACTGTAGACCGCTTGGGATAAGGGTCTTCGTCGTCGAGCTGTGTGAAGAAATGGTGCTGATATACGGACGTGGTACATCTTTCCCTAGTCGTACTCAGCGTTCGTACGAATGAGAGAAAAAAAGAGAAATCCCATTCCGCGGCCAATGAGCGTTGGCAGAAATCGTAAATAGAGCGAGAAATAAACTCTCGCATCCATCCAGTTGCCCCAGAAAGAAGACCCTCTTTACCTCCCCCACACCCCATAAACTTACCCCCCCTCTCAAGTGAGGTCCTCGTCCCCCTCCCACCCCATCACCCAGGCAACCCTCTCCCACCCGCCCGCCCCACTCTTTCCACAAAGCTCCGCGCCTCACGTAACCCATATATACCGGCCTATTCCTTCGGTTCCTCAGGAAAGTTTGCTGCCACGACATTGTACAACAGTCAATGTTCGAGTACTGTATTTACGTCTTCGGACCCTTTCCTTTTGCCCTTTTTTTTAAATTTTTTTTTCTTTGGCACATAGCATTGAGATAACAGGGGGAGGAGCGGGTTCGAGACGCTGGGGTGGCCACGATCTTTTTGTTCTTTGGTAGTTTAGGTGATCCGCATTCTTTTCGCGTTCTTAGGCTCCTTCTGCGCTTTGCGCTCGGGATAGCGATTAGGCTCTTTACACTGTAGTACCACGCTATTAGTGTGGGCATATAGACACACCACTGCTCTTGTGCTCGAGGAGCTAGACGCCACTGCTAGGACTAGATGTCATATTATTACTATATCAAGACTACTGGTGCTGGGGGATCCAAGCAGCCGCAAACGAGTGTGTATGTACATCTATCCCGCCTTTCTTTTTGATAGTTTGTAGAGCAGCTCGATACGCGGCAATCCACGCACCTCCGCACCCCAAAGCGCGCCAGAGAGCAGTGGATTGAAGGTAGAGCTCCTCTTGGGGCAGCAGCCAACCCCCAACAATAACAACGCAGTCGCATAAACAATTCGCATAAACCCCACCAAGAATTCCAGCCCGCGCACGCATAGTTCTACTTTGAGAACTTACTTCGGGAGCTGCATCCACCATGATTAAAAATCCATCCTCTCTAGCCCACCAGCCGGCCGCTCCTCCATGGCATCTGGCGTCTGCATCCCCTGCTGCAGCAGCAGGAATTCATCCCCCTCTTGCTCTTGGCCCGAACCCACGTCGAGAAAAAACGGGTCATTCTCCCACGTCGAATTCGAATTACTCGCTTGCAAGCTCCGCCCGTACGCAGAGTCGTTGAACGAGCCCTCGCTAGCAGCATCAGTTGCCGGGGCCGGGGCGGGGGCCGGGTTTGTCTGCATCGACGCTTCCGCACCCTGGTGGCCGTTGAACTGGCCAAGCGCCCCCTGCAATATCGCCTCCGCTTCTCTTTGCGCATCAGCATCCGCGTTCTCGGGGTAGGTTCCGTAGAAACCGTCAAGAGGCGCCTGCGATCCTGCCTCCGCGTCGTTTTGAGCAGGAGCGGCAATGTCGTCGAGGAGTTTGTTGAAGAGAGCTTCAGACTGCGCCTGCGCCTGCGCTTCGCTTTGCGCGCGCTGGGCATCGACGTGGTAGAACGCTTCGGGAGCTGTCTGCGCCTGCGCTTCTCGTTGCGGGTGCTGCGTATAGGGGTCGAAGGGAGCCGGGGCGCTGGGCCTAGCCTCCGCTTCTCGTTGCCCCTGACCGTCAGTGTTCTGGGCAGCGTACGGGTTGTAGAACGCCTCCGCTTCTCTTTGAGCATGAGCTTCCGTGTTCTGGGCGTAGGAGCTGTATAAAGCTTCAGGAGCGGCCTGCGCGCCGGCTTCTCTTTGAGCATGCGGCCCCGTATTCTGGGCCTGGGGGCTGTAGAAACCGGCAGAGTTAGGGCCCGCCTCTGCTCCTCTTTGCCCCTGACCCTCCGTGTTCTGCGCGAAGGGGTTGTTGGGGTTGAGGTTGGGGATGGAGACAGTTGGATACCCCGGCGCTCTGTGTCGCCCGACGAGGTAGAACGGAAAAGGGTTGGGATGCCTGGGTGTCCTCGCCGTGAGCAGCGGGACGAGGGTTGGGAAAATAGGCACGGGACCCGGGGGCCGGGTGAGCTGCCTTTCCTGTGGCTGTGGCATGGGGCGTGGGCGCTGTGTGCCGAAGCCGGCGAAGGTGCCGTGATGGAAGTTCGACCCGGTGGGCATGGTGTCCATGGGGGAATCGAAGGGGTGCGGTCCGTTGTCCCTGAGGCTGGGGTCGAGGTTCTGCATGTCCATGTCTGGGTAGGGCGACCGCGTCTCCTGGGGCCATTGGGCGGATGGGGAGCGGTGCTGCGACCCGAAGGTAGCGGGAGGTGAGAAGCTCTGCGTAGCGTCGAAGTCAGTTTGCTGGTCTTCGACTTGGTAGTGGTTGCCCGGGTAGCTAGGCTGCCTTTGTTGGGGCTGGGGTGGAGGGCTCAGTAGGTTGTAGGGGGCTCCCTGGGCCCCGTCGTGCACGCTGCTGTAGGCCTGATGGGAGGTAGGGCGTTGGGAATGCGAGGTCTGGGTTCGAGAATCTTGTGGGAATGAGAGCGAGGCGAGATCATGCTGCCCTTCAGAGTAGCAGCGAGATGCGCGAACTGGATTCGACGAGCTGGGAGCCCAATTCTTATCAGTGTGTGTTGCAGGTTCCGAACTCGGGGAGCATAGCTGATCGGAGGCTTCCAGAGCGCTCGTGGGCATATTTGGCCTCGAAGCGTTCCCTTGCGTGCCGGAGAACACCCCATCCTCCGGGGCTATTCGTAGCCCCGGGAAGCTCAGGCACTGTGGCTGCTCAATGACATTCTGCCCGTCAGTATAACTGTTTTGGCTCTCAGAGCCATTGTACATGTGGGGGATGTGAGCGTTGCTCAGCGACCCGTGTAAGTGCAGGGTTCGGCCCTGCCTCTGTTCGACGCCACCAGGTTGTTCCTTCGCATTACCGCGAATCGCGAGAGTAGTTGTTTGCGAGTCCGAAGGCTGGACATGCGAGGTCCTGCGTTGTAGTCCCTCGGAGCGCAGATTCTGACGACGGTGCCGGTCGAGCAACCTCCTACGCTGCCGCTCTTGCCTGTACGCAATGTCAAGCTCCTCCGGATTCATGCGCTGGATGCGTGGCTGTATCTCACTTGGCGAACAACTTCCATTAGGCGCAAGCCTGTTGACGGAGGGGGCTATCGCGGGAGATCCTCCGCCACGACCCGCCTCCGGGGCAATGCTACGAGAAGCGATATCTCTTGGCGTGTTGCCGAAGACGACTTGGTTGTGAGCCAATGGCGCGGTGTAGCCATAGTTCAATTGTGCTCCATGAGAGTGCCATTGGGTTGGGTCGGTGGGAAAATTCGACATTTTGAGAGTGTCGTGATGCGGTTTGCGCTGTGTGATGCGTATGGTGAGGTAGTTGTGACAAGATAAAAGAGCGAGGAGCTGCGTGCATGGGCGAGCCGCCCGCTCTGGTGTGCTCACAAGGGGGAGTGGGCCGGTACCGTGGTTTTATACACTTGACAGGTGACGCCGCTGCTGCGCTGCTGTGTGCCGCCTGTGAGGGGTAGTGTTCGCGTCTGTTCAATGGGGAAGAATGGGTCCGGTCAACGGCGAAGAATGGAGGCAGTTGGGGTCTACCAGAGATGGTCGACTGAGCGTGGGCCGAGAGCCAAAAGAGAGCGAGTCGGAGTGCAAAGGGCTCGCTCCTGCCTTGTCTTTGGGTGCAGCATGGAGGGAAACGTCCACTTGAAGCCTCTCTTAGGAAAGGCTAGTCCAAACAGCATCTGGGAAGTGACATCCATTCGTGCTGATTAGAGCATCCTTGACTTGACCCGCCAGTTATTCTTGGTTCTACCAACCGGCCCTGGACGCTTTGAGGAGGTCCCCATAGCCCAGACGTTTCGCCTCGCCCTCCTTCTGCGGGGCTACCACTGTTGCATGCGTGGTAAAGGCCCCTTCGTACGTTCGCCGATCTGACAGCAGCTCGTCTCGCTACCTTTCAAGGGCAAGCTCGCTGTCAGGGCCCGCCCATATCCGGGCTAGTCGTCGCGTAACCTACAGCCGTGTGGTCACAGGTCATGCACCCGATTCGGACCTTGCGTTCTTTCTCGTTTCGTAGCTCTTCGGCGCCGTTCTCTATACACGATCGATTTTGCCCTCGTAATAGGGTCAGAATTGGTGTCGTTCTACGCATTTCCGAGTTGCTTCAAAGGACTGCTTCTTTCGTGCGTCTGCGGCGGCATTACCCTCTGGATACGGGGAATGATATCGTAGAAGGCACGTCATTAAGACTTGGGATCCGATCTGACCATCTTAATGCCCCGGTCTAACCCGCTGGTTGAGGAGTTGTCGCTGATCTGGTCGTGAGATGGCACCCTAAGCTACTTAGGTTTTATTGGGCGTGGAGATTGCTATTTCGACACGCTGGTGACTTTTTGCAGGGCGGTCGTGTGGGTTTGAAGGAATTGTTAAATTAGGGGCGCCGATCTGCGTACGCCCCAGGTCTCGACTATAAAAGACGTAAGCGTAAGCGTGCTTATCACGTGCACGTCGAGAGTACTCGTTGTCAATGTTATCGAAATTGAAGTTAAGAGTCCTCTCGACGTGCGAGTGCTACGTGAAGCACTTGGCAGTTGAGCCGAGTTGATATGTCTGGGGCTCCGCGAAACGCCTTAAGAGTGGTGTTTGGTGTTCTCTTTGTTCAAAAGGGCAAGGTAGCTGGGTGACATCGAAGTGGGCCGAATTTAAATTCCGTGGTTGAGTTGACAAAAAGACCACGAAACAGGGTGGAGTGTACCGGCGCGCAGTGCAGGATTTACTCAATGCTCGTTCAACCATTCGTGGAGTTTCTCAAGACGTGGGTATAGCTCCCAACATCTTTCAATGTCGTGCCAGGTCATCCGTCGGCAATGTGAGCACCTGACTTCCGGCTCCTGTGGCCCGCGCTTTCGTTTCCTCGTATGTGTGGACTGCGCTCTTAAAGCGAAAGTGTCCCCTCTCCAGTATCTTCGGTTCTCGAGAGTAACTTCCCATCCTTCTGCGAGTTTTACGACCTCCCGCCACGAGACTGCGTTCCTGTTGACGACGCCATTGGCATCATGTTCCCTAAAGGAGAATGCCGACGATTAAAATTTGGTTGAAACATAAGATAGTTGGGCATTGTGCGTAGTCCTCTCAGGAGCTGTACCACTAACCAGAGCTCGGATACATGACTTTCTTCGCCTAGGCTGTTCAGGTTGCGATAGACTTGGCCTAGTTTTCCGAAGTATTCGGTAACATTTTTGCAGTCGGCGAGCGCGAGAGTGTCGAATTTCTTCGCTTGGTCCATGAACACGGCATTACATGGGTTCTCTATAATGACCGTTCCGAATGACGGAATGTGTCACGTGATATTTTCTGGACGAAATGACGTTCGAGGAGAGGAAGAAAGAAGGCAGCGGGGAAAGAGGAAAAAAGTTTCATATAGGAGAAAGCGAGCCAGAAGATTGGGACCTAGGAAATGTCGTCATTACTGTACCCCAGCCTCCTCCTTCATTATTATAAACGTGGTACTAGAAATAATCATGGTTCGTGGTTCTGGAGCCGGCCGTCAACCTATCGAACAGCGTTGCTCTCCATAAATTTATTCTATTAGCGCAGTCGGTCCGAGCGAGTATTTCCAATTGAGTAGGACATGCTCTCTTTCATGACATCTTTCGACCACCTTTTTCCTTTCCATGATGGCAACATTTACCACGACGGCTCGCGATTCGTGAGGAGCACTGATTGAAGTAAAGAAAGGGCCCTGACACAGTTTTACTATGGTCGTGCGAGCGGAGGTTGGGGTGATGCAAGGAGGCTGGAGTTTCACTAGGCGCCAGCCACACGTCCGCGTCAGTCACTATGCCACAGTCTCGCATTTCAATCTCCTCGAGGAGCTGCAATTGGCAAGGCTTTGCAGTGTTTCATCGGCGGGGAAGAGTCTGGACTTAGTATCTGGCTATAGTTGCTCCATGGCGAGCATGGTCGATGCTGGGCCAGATGGATGCATGCTCACCGCTCTTCAACGACGAAAAGGGGGAATGCGCTCGTGGCGACGAAAGCCTTGTACCACAGTTGCTGATAGCAAATGACTGCATATCCGAATTCTCGAGGCCCCTGAGCAACAGTGAACGAAGCCGTCTGATGTCACCGACGGGAGTGTCTTCAGGAGGGACGCGGAGAGAGCTAATGCGGCCAAGATATGCCAAGAAGAGACGACCAGAACCAAGACACCAACAGCCTTGGAAGACGGCCGATGGAAGCGTCAATTCACCAAGCAAACCAAGCTATTCATTCTCAGCTTCCTGGAATAGAAACGTCGCTTTGCAACAACACCATCAGGGCGATTTCGAGACGGATGGTAACCACGGGACCAGTGCCCGCGATCTCACGATGCCACGACTGCACCACCCCGACCGCCTCGCCTCACCCTCAACTCTCGATCCGCGCTGATCTGTGGCTGCGGCCGCGGCTCGGCACGCTTGGCGCATGCATGGCGCCCATGTCAGCGTTTGGACCACTCCCTGCATCGCGACCGGAATCATGTTTCTGCTGGCGGAGGCCCGTTCGTTGCTTTTGCTGGTAGCTGGCATCCTCACGCCGCCCCTTCCATTCCTTCCCCAACACCTCAACAACCTCGTTTCATAGCATACCTATCCCTCATTCACCGTCCTGTAGCCGCTGCTGCGCGCCTCCTCCCTGCATAGTCCCGGGAGCAGTGCGTTGGAGCAAGCTGAAACACCTCACAGCTCTCTTGGCGCCCGAGATTCATGCCCTGACCTCCACGACAACATATCCAACTCTTCTCGACCTGCATATCCTACAAACCCATCCTAGACCGCGTCCCTCGCACACCTACGCACCATGGCTCGCGGCTCCCGACAGTTCGTGGGCGAAGAACCTAAGGGCGAAGCCTCCGCTATCCCTCCACACTCCTCCTCGGGCAACGCTCCCCACAACCGCTTTCTCCCCCGCTTCAACCACAACGGACACGAAGTTACAAAGGGCATAGAGCCAGAGGGCGAGAGCGGAAGGAGGGGATTCCACCCCATCAAGTTCCTGCGCATTTGCTTCAGGAGTACCAGCCGGGTCTCCAAAGCGGTCAACATCCTGTGGCCGGTCGTCCCTGCTGCGATTGCAGTGGTATGTCCGCACTCCATATAGTCTTTGACACGGCGAAAATTGACCGACGATAATAGCATTTCGCGCGCCCCGACTGGCATCTCGCCATCTTCATCCTCAACTATATCGCCATGGTCCCTGCCGCTAATTTGATCGGCTTCGCAGGCCAAGAGCTTGCGCGCAAGGTCCCTAAGGTTCTTGGCGTTATCATGGAAACCACTCTTGGTTCTGTTGTTGAAATCGTGCTCTTCATGGTTTTGATCAAGAAGGGAGAAAGCTCCGTTCCTGTTATCAAAGCTGCTATCCTTGGATCAATTCTTGCCAATCTTCTCCTCTGTCTGGGCACCTGCTTCATCGCTGGAGGCTTGCAGCATGACGAACAGACGTTTCATGAAGTGGTCAGCGAGGTTGGCAGCGGATTGATGCTGGTCGCTGGAAGTAAGTGCATATTCCCAAGACACGTGAACCTAGAATCAGGAATCGCCGAGTTGACTTGTTGCAGTGGGTCTTGTGGCCCCCGCCGTGTTCTCGAAAGCGGTCACTAGCAGCGATCTCAACACCTCTGGCTTGACAACAACCTTCGACGCCCAAACTCTCAAGATCAGCCGCGCCACTGCTGTCATCCTCCTCTTCTCATACATGGTCTTTATCTTCTTCCAGACCAAGACCCACGATGGCCTATACGGCGAAGTCTTGGAAGCCGACGAGCAAAAAGACCGCGATCGCGAAAAGGATCTTGCCAAGGACAAGCTCACCTTTACTGAGTGCATCGTGGCCCTGCTAATCGCTATCGCCTGCGTCTCCCTCATAGCCATCTTCCTCGTCGAGCAAATCCACTTCCTCGTCGAAGAACGGCATGTAAGCGACGCCTTTGTCGGCCTCATCCTCCTTCCCCTGGTCGAGAAAGCTGCAGGTCCGTACTCCCCTCCCTCTTAGATAAGCCACCCACATCCACTAACACAGAACAGAGCATCTCACCGCTATCGACGAAGCCTATGACAACCAAATGAACTTCGCCCTTGCGCACGTCCTCGGCGCCTCTGTACAAACCGCTCTCTTCAATACGCCCCTCGTCATCATTGTCGGGTGGGGTCTCAATGTCCACATGGACCTCAACTTCGAGATCTTCGACGCCGTGATGCTGATCCTCGCGATCCTTGTCGTCGGGAGTTTCTTAAGGGATGGCAAAAGCAATTATCTCGAGGGCGTGCTGTGCGTGCTAGTGTACATGATCATCGCGATTTGCGCGTTCTATTACCCAAATCCGGCCCTAGAGGGGCCAGAGGGAGAGACGCCCGAGGGGGGCGAGGCTGTTGCGAGGATGTTGATGAGGAGCTTGGGCGGTTGAGATGGAAAGAGGTTCGACTTGAAGGGACCAGGACATATCTTCTCTGCTATTCTCCGGATGATGGATCTCTCTTTCGAATTCGATTCCTGCGAGTTGCATATGATCATAGCGGGGAGTTTTGCATGGGCTCAAATTGGCTTTAGCGTTGGGAGTACGGGCTGTCTTTGATACTATCCCAAAAATAAGAACTTTAATCACGCAATACCTTTCATCCCTGCAACGCCTATCACTCCAAATAACTGCAAGCCAAATTTGAGACGTCAACGATCCGTTCAAAACCGATCACGTGCTCCTCGGCCAAACAAATCCCCGCTCCGCATCGTCCGTGCGCCCACCTCGCTTAGCGCCAATTCGCAAATCCCAAACTCTGCCGCCAAAATCGTCAACCTCACCCATTCAACCGACGCCAAACTCACCCCCGACAATTCATCTCTCAATACCGCAGTCATGGGTCGCGTCCGCACGAAGACGGTCAAGAAGTCCGCTAAAGTCATCATCGAGCGCTACTACCCGAAGCTGTCCCAGGACTTCGAGGTCAACAAGCGCATCTGCGATGAGATTGCCATCATTGCGTCCAAGAGGCTGAGGAACAAGATTGCGGGATATACTACGCAGTAAGTTGAACTCCACGCGCGATCGAAGGTCGGGCTGGTTGCTCAGCTGCGGCTTTGGAGCCGTGGGTCTTGGGATTGGAACACCTCCCTTCGGTCGGGTCTCGCTGCGCTCAACGACTAACGTGAGCTCTAGTCTGATGCGCCGTATCCAACGCGGCCCGGTCCGTGGTATCTCCTTCAAGCTGCAGGAAGAAGAGCGTGAGCGCAAGGATCAGTACGTGCCTGAGGTGTCGGCGCTGGATATCGGTGCGATGGAGGCGGGTGCGCTGGACATTGATCAGGAGACGAAGGATCTGCTGAAGAGTTTGGGCGTGAGTAACACCGTTCCCCAGATTGAGGTGTGTTTCGGGAGGTGTATGCTAATATGCGATTCCCTGCAGTTCGACTCCATCAACGTCAACGTCGTCCCTGTCGCCCAGCAGCAGGTTGCTGAGCGTGGTGGCCCGCGCCGCTTCAACGATCGGAGGCCTGGACAGTAGAGCCCGAGAGCTCTCTTTCACCACTTCAACCTTTAACTCTACTCGAACGGACGGTCCTCGATGAGATGAGATGATGAATAGAAGGCTTTGGGGATGGAATGGAGTATGGGTGAAGCTGCGGCGGATGCCCGGCCGTTAGGAAAATAAAAGGTTCTACTTCCCCCCACTAGGTGTCGCTGAATCTGATTCGTCGGATGATGCTTGATTGCCAATCCCCCTCGGTGTCGCTGAGTCTGAGGACGAGGCTCGATGCCAAGCCCTCGCTGCCCGATGTGTCTATGTGATGGTGACGGCGTGTATGCTAACTCTAGGGATGATGTTGCTACTTGTATGCGTAGGTGCTTCAGTAGCATACTAAACCTGCTCGCTGGAATTCTGTTACGGTGAGAAAGCCAGCAATGATGTGGGATATTTCGTAGTTCACGAGGTAAGTCGTCGATTATAGTGACCATCGCTTCTTATCGATCGTTCGTACCCTTCAATTCAAATCTTATCATTTGGGATAATCCTCTCTATGCTTCGAGCTTGTCATGTGACATGCCGTAGCCACTATGTTATTCTCGCCGTTCTAAACGAGATCTGTTGATGGCGATTTGAACGTCCCATTCCCAAGTTTGATAACTCAGGTCGACCTATTTTACAGTTACATGGAAACATCCAGCTGAAGGCACTTGCGAAAGTAAATCACGGAATACTCCCACGACGCCAGGCCTCTTCGAATGCCTTGCGCCGTAATCGGAGAGTTGAGGGCGGGCGTATGATAATTTACCGTTGGTCAATCATCGCCAAGTTCCAAATCGTGTTTACAACGCGGACTCATCAGCATCCGCGAGCCGAGGCAAGACCCTTGATATACTTTTGGTGGCTGATATTGGGGAGTCTTAACGTTTTCCGAACCCTTTAAAGGCGTTGCTGCGGGCGCCGTCTTCTTCTCCGAAGACGGCCCGGTAGCCACTGGTTCCGATGATGGCATTTGATCCATGGCGTCTCGCCTCCGGTTGTTTGGAGACGGCTTGTCTGATCGCTATGCAGTGCAGGGTTCTGAAGACGATGACTCGCATCAAACTAACTCAAGATCCTCCAAACCCAATCAATCAATTTCCTGTCTGCTAGAATACCACACTCACATTAGGGAACACACGGCACTTTTACCAAGCCACAAAATGGCGGGGATGCCCGCGGTTCCGCATTCTGCACGCGAGCGACGCGGTGTCAGCACACGACTCATCGTGGGAAACCGTTTTCCGACTCCACACCAATGGACCCCAGATTCCTCTCCACACCAACCCCAAACAACAGGGGATCATCAACCGACTCCACAATTTGAGACTGTCGCGTGGACTCCACCCGAGCACCGGACTCGTAATTTTACGCAGGTTTGCCGAGTCTCCCCATACATTTGTAGAGCATACTGCTGTGCCACAGCTCAGGGCTCTAGAACATGGAGCCGGTTATCAGAGGATGGGAATCCGAGCGCTCCGTGCTTGAAAATCCTGGGGAGCGTGCCACTGCGTGGGGAGTGCATATAAGGGCCTGCTGATCCCTTGAAACATTTCCTGGAGTCTTCACGTTGATTGGAATTCGAATCTTTTTACCCTTTCTTGGCGGGTCGGCAATACACTAGGAGAGACTATCATGACACAAGAAGAGAAGCGCTCTAGTCTCGAGCTGGCGGCTGAGAAAGCAGATAATGTCTATGTTGAGGATGTTGGCAGCGATCGTCAGCAAGTCGAGCCTGCTGAGATGGAGGCGAAGATGAATTGGCAGACTATCATTGCATACCTTGTAAGTGTCGTTCATCTAAAACTATAAGATTGGAAATTAACATACCCAGGCCTTAGCATCCCAGTTCAACGCCTACATCCTGACTCTCTTAATCCCGTCCACCATACTCCCCTACATCAACGCCGATTTGGGTCCCGACCCCAATTATCCATGGATCACCATCAGCTAGACGCTCTGCGCCTCCATTATTGTATCCGTTGGTGGGCGTTTGGCTGATATCTTCGGTCGACGCTACTTCATGCTTACCGGTGCATTCATCTCTTTCATCGGCACGATCGTAGGCGCCACAGGCCAGAGCATTCCCCAGATGATTGCATCTGGAGTGATTTTCGGCATTGGGAGCGGATTTCAGGAGATGGCGTATGCCTGTATTCAAGAAATCGTGCCCAACAAATGGAGAGTCTATGCTGTTGGTAAGTAACTCCCCAACTACAGATATCTGAATCTGGAGAGCAATAAAATTAATGGCATTATGATACACAGGCGGCTTCGAACTCATGGCCATAACCTCCTTCCTTGGACCCCTCTGCGCCTTCGCCTTCATCTCAAAGACCGCGCTAGGCTGGCGTGCCGCGTACTGGTACATGTGTGGCTTCCATGGGTTCTTCGGCATCTTCCTCGCGCTCACGTATTTCCCGCCTTCCTTCAAGACTAAGCATCGCACCGACGGCAAGACAAAGTGGCAGCTAGTCAAAGAGCTCGACTTCGTAAGCCTCTTCCTCTTCAGCTTAGGGTGTCTTCTTTTCTTGCTCGGCATCAACTATGGCGGGAAGCAATACCCTTGGAAGTCCGGTCACGTCATCGGCCCCATAGTCGTTGGGCTGCTCTCTTTGATCGCACTGGGGTTCTGGTCCGCGTACGCCGATCTCAAGTACCCGCTCATGCCACGCCGGCTGTTTAAGAAGGTCAGACGGTTCACGATGGTGTTAGGCGTGTGTTTCTGCGGTGGCATGTTGTATTGTGAGCTCCCATCCCCCTCCTGAATATCTCCCTCATCCGTCTAACCATAACCAACCCCAGACTCAATGAACGTCCTCGGGCCCCGCCAATCCCAACTTCTCTTCACCGGCTCCGACCCCATCACCAAAGGCCTCTATGCCGAGCAGATCCCCCTCGGCACCATCATCGCCGGCCTGATCGTGGTCTTCATCTGTTCGCACCTCGGGCACGAGCGATGGCAGCTCGTCTTCTTCGAAGTCTGCCAGACAGCGCTGATCGGCTCGCTTGCGAGCATTGGGTTAGATGATAAGATCCAGGCGATATGTACGGTCGTGGCGCTGAGTTCGATGGTGACGCCTCCGCAGTTGCTGAGCTTTACGATGCTGAGTCTCGGGATTGATGATCAGGTTGATATGTGAGTGCCTAGCCCCTGATCCGATCTAAATTGGAGCCCCGCCGGTTTTTGGATGATAGATGCTGATGAAAAAAATAGCGGTCTCGCTGTCGGCCTAGCTTCGACATTCCGTCTCCTCGGCGGAGCCGTCGCTACCGCCATCTACACCGCTATTACGAACAATGGTTTCGCATCACACATCGCTAGCACCGTCACTGATAACGTCGCACCTATTTACTCTTTTCCGTCCTCGTCCCTGCCCGCGTTGATCAAAGCCGCGGCTCTTAACACCGCCGCTGCGTATAAGCTAGTCCCGGGTATCAACCCGCAGGTTATTGCGGCAGCGCAGTCGGCGGTCAAGCAGGCGTATGTGTCTGCGTTCCATACGACGTATTTGTCCGCGATTGCATTTGGGGGCTTGGCTATTGTTAGTGCCATTTTAACGAAGGATACGGATGTGAGGATGAAGACGGGGAATAGGGCTGTGCAGTTGGAGAATGAGAAGGGGAGGAAAGAGGAGGATGTTGAGGTTGCGGAGACTAAGGAGGTGGAGTCGTAGAGGAGGGCGGATAGACGGGGCGAGATATGAGAGGGCTTCGGAGAGGCTAGATAGGGATACCAGCTGGAATAAGCGAAGATGTTCGATCATTGCCAGTGCTCCTGCCAGTGAGTGACGCGGATTGAAGACCTCTTTCTCTGTAAGCCCCCAGCGTTCTTACTAGGTTCACTTAAAAACCCCTGAATTTCAATCGACGACTCATATCTCCCTTTGACTTTCCAACATGCCCGAAAGCCCACTTCATCAGGGTAGCCTTAGGCCGCTATCTATACTCCTATCCGGACTCTAGATCTACGGTAGATAAACTTCGTCTAAAAAATGGTTACTTTGACGTCCGAATACACTATTCCAATCTCTGGGCGGCTACTGTAAGCCTTACAGCAACCACCCAATCACGACCATTCCTCACCACAAGCCCTCCGAGGGAGGCCCGAACCATGACGTACTTTACCACAACAACAACCAAAAGCTCAAACGTCATGAAAAAGGAAACAATACTCCCTCCAAACTATCTATCCTGAAACAATCCCCCTCATCCAACCCCCAGCCCCCAAAGCCAACACTTCATCAAACCATGCCTCCCCAACCCTCCAACCTCTCCTTCCAAACCGTCCTCATAACCGGTGGCGCCGGCGGCATCGGCCGCGCCCTCGCCTCCCACTTCATCGCCTCCGGCAAAAAAGTAATCATCGCAGGCCGCACCGCCTCCACGCTCAAAACAACCGCAGAAGAGATCGGCGCAGCAGCCTGCTACGTCCTCGACACCGGCGCCACCGCCTCCATCCCGCCCTTCATCGCCAAACTCGTCCAGGAGCACCCGGATCTCGACTGCCTGATCAACAACGCCGGCGTGCAGCGCCCGCTCAGCGTCCTCGACGACCCCCCCGCCGAGTTCCTGGCGAAGGCAGACCAGGAGCTCGACATCAACGTCCGCGGCCCGCTGCATCTCGAGCTGGGGCTGCTGCCGCACTTCCGCGCGAAGGGCGCCGCGACCATCGTGAACGTGTCGTCGGTGCTGGGTTCGTGCCGTTCAGCGTGATTAACCCCGTGTATAACGGCACGAAGGCGTGGGTGCATTTCTGGAGCGTGAATTTGAGGACCCAGCTGGCGGGGACGGGGGTGCGGGTGGTGGAGGTGGCACCGCCGATGGTGGCGACGGATTTGCATCGGGAGCGGGCGGATCCGGATGATAATAAGAAGTGGAAGAATGAGAGTACGCTGGGGGTGGAGGAGTTTGTGAGGGAAGTCATGGAGCAGTGGGAGGGGGGGAAGGAGACGATTAGTGCGGGCATGGGGGTGGGGATTGTGGGGGAGTGGGAGGAGGTGTTTGGGGGGAGGTATCGGGAGATGGTGAAGTAAGAGGGTTTTGGGGGATGAGGGATGGCGAGGTGGCTCTGCTCTTGAGATGGTCATCGGATTTCGATATGGCGGAGGATCAGGGGCGTGATTCGTTGTTCTGGATTGGCTGATTATGTATGTTGTTTGTGCAGCATCAAATGTGCTTTGTTCAAGGCCTGCGCAAAGGGCAGTTCGCCCTGCTTCTATTGAGCATTGGCGTCTTTGACATCCGCTTAGTCCAAAGATGATATCCTATATCCTTGGTAGTGCTTCAGATAGGTATCCGAGTTCGCAGAGCCTTGATCTCAAGCTAGCTAAATTGAAGGTCCAAGCACTTGATGTCTTTCTGAGAGATGTTCCCTCTGGAAGTACGATTGATACGTTGACGGCCGCTACATGCCGTGTTGTTAGGAAGCTTAGAGAGTACACCAAGAGGTCCTTCGGAAGGTTATCGTTGTTGGCGAAACATGAATTCTCAATAGTCGTTTGGAGGATCATGAATTCTACACACTCCGAGAGGATATCAACGACTGGCAAACTTGAATACAGGTCTGGACGCCCAATTAGTAGATAGTAGACTTTGAAACTTCAGTCGGCATGCTAGTAGTTCATCCCGGATTATATCAGGGGTATATGCTGTTGGTCAAGGAGCAAGAGCGCATATGATATTCTACAGGTAGACAGCAAGTCGATTTGGACTACGCAAAGCCAGGAAGATGTTGAGGGTGCCTGAATCGCATACGGTAGTACTCGGGTTGCAGCACTACAACCTAGGGTCAGCAACTCATATGCAGTAACGTATCAGGATAACATGCTGATACAGGAGGAAGTAACAGGTAGTGCAACAGCAGTGCTGCAGCACGGTATCAGTACTGTATCAGGAAACAGGATGAATCAAGTAACGCGTCAGGAAGAGATACCACGTTATGCCCCCGGGGCTGGCCCCCCTCCTTCCCCTAGTATATAAACAACGAGCTAGACACCCATAGAAATCAGAGTTCACATCAATTTCAACCTGAGTGTAGTCGTCAAAACATCAGTGCTGTCTTGATGTTTGGCAAGCTTCACGCCAAAGTGGATGGATTTTGAATAATTTGGGTAACACTGCCTAGATGAATCTATTGTGAAGACAGTTGAGCCACGATCTCTCCGCTTGTATCCCAAAGTGTATTATATTTCGAATCCGTGAACAAAAACCACCTGGTAGCCCCTCAAACCGCCTCCTACTCGTCCACTTCTTCAATGACTTCGTTGTAACGGAGCCACTCAGCATGGTCCACCACGAAAGCTTCGTTCGTACCCTTACCGCAAACTATGTACTCCGTCACATAGTCTGCGTATCTCTGGTCATCACAGTTCCAAACAAGAGTGCGGTGAACCAGTCCGTCAGGCGTCATGCGCGGTACAGGATCCATTTCGCGCAGGTCCTTGAGTTCCACTGTTTTCAACGTGAGCAAGGCACTCATCTTGGCGATTGTAGTGGCCCAAGTTCCGCCATCTCGTGGCTGCAGGTAACAATCACGGAGCTTCAGCGACTTGAGTGTTCCGGCCAGCGGCTCCAGAAGGCCAAGGAGGGTCTTTTCGCTCGTGTAGACCTCCAGGCTGAGCTTGCGCAAGCGCTTCCAAGGACACTTAAAGGCAAGGAAGATATCGTTGTCGCTTGCAAGCCGGTGTCCAGTTCGAACAACCAGACACAACTCCTCCAATGCCTCCGTCCAGCCCAAGTACTGCTGTAGGTATTTGATCGGATGGCGATAGTCGTTGGTCGGGTCGTCGTAATCCTTCGAGCTTAGATCCACAGTTTTTAGTTGCTGGAATATAGGTTTAAATTGCTCCGAGCAGTGACTGTCCGCATCCCAGAAATCGTCAGGTCGGCCCCAAGAGAACTCGTCTCCACTCTTTCCAAGGCTTAGCCGTAGGTGTCGTAACTGGGCTGGCGCCACCACGAGGGCGTGGAGGAGGGCGGAGAGTGGTACTGTGCCATGCTGTACGTAGCGAGTGGACTGCAGGAAATTGGTCGCAGGTTCTATGCCTTGGGGGTTCCTTGGGTCCCGGTAGGCTCGCCAGAAGCCGTCTTCTTGGTCCGGTGTTGTAGAGGGCGCTGCGACAACGACGCGCTCGAGATTCACGAGCTTTGCAATAGCATCAGAGAAGTCGCTGGCAACGCGTGTGATGGGGTTCTCCGCCACCGCGCTGTTGGTCCACGAGTTGACTTGAGAATGGTTTCTGTGGTTGTGGAGGAGATATTTCTTCCACCAGATAAGCACTTCGGGTGCTGCTAGCACTGTCAGTTAAAGTCGCTTAGGTGCACAGTTGGAGTGACCTGGAGACTTGCATACCTTTTAAAGGAGTGTCATCCTGGCCTACGACCCGAGAATTCTTGACTAGTGACTGCAAGTCTTCTGCGACCGGATCGTGGAAGACCAAAGTCTTCACAGTGGGCGCGAGGTAGGCATCCTTTGCTACTTCAATGAGCTTGTTTATGGAATTCTCCGCCACTGCCACATGTAGCTCTTTGAAGATGCCCGGCTCCAGGAAGTCTGCCCACTTGTGGCAGGTTGCGCGGAGGGCTTTGACGGCGGTGAAGTCATCATCTAGATAGCTAATGATCTCGAGAGCTATCTCATCCGGACAGCGGTTCAGAGACACCTTCTTAGACGCCATTTTGCTGTAAAGAGGTCGATGGTGGGGTTGTTGCGAGTTTGGAGGTCCAGCTCTATGAGGTTGACGGCAAAGGTGACCCGTTTGACGTCACTGTCGCCATGTCCCGTCCTGTGCACTAGATTTCATGGATTTTTCTGTCCATATCGAATTACTTTGATATAGTTTTGGAAGTGCTGAGAATGGGCTGTCGGAGTTGCTTCGACTGACGATCCACAAAATCAAAAAAGGAGTCGCTGCTTTTCTTATTGCGCCTTGACATCTTTGACATTTCCCTCACGCCAAAGTGGAAATGGCTTGAGGCGTTTTGATGGAAGATAGGCTTGTGCAACGCAGTCGCCTCTAGATGGTCATTTCGAAGCCTAGGTATCCTAAGATTGCTGCAGGTTGGGAAGTGATATGATCTAGATTGCCTCGATCAAGTTCCAAGTTGCGCAAAAGAGACATTGCTGGTGTGTCTCTTGAATGTGTGCGCTTTTTACATTCGCCAGATGCCAGAAAGGATTGCCCAGGAGTGGTACGAGTACTTTTCCATTCCCAACAAAAGAGAAGTCGACCCAGCTCCTCTTAAACATATGCATTTCTAACGTCCGTCTAGTGTAAAGAACAAGACTGCCAGTAGTGCCTTGAGGCTGTGTCTGAGTCTGAAAAGCCGTAATCTCATGATGGTTGAACTAAGGGCTCGAGACTTTGATATGTTCATAACGTATGTAGTTTCCGGAAGTACAATTGATGAGGTCCCAGCCGTTGCATGTCTTTCCGGTAAATATGATACACCAAGACATGCTTCGAGCGGTTTTCGATTTCCTCAAAAGTGTGATGTTGAGATAGTCGATTGGGGAGTGATCGCTTTCATCGATTCCAGAGAAGACGCGATTTCCAGACGTCTGAATGATACCATCGTCGCCGTTACATGTCGTCATGGTAAAGATGATATATCAAGACGTGCTTCGTAATGGTATCGATGTCCGCAAAAGTTTGATCTCCAGATAGTCTTGCTTTGAAGTGTTATGACTTTGACATCATCCAGATTTGAAGATTGATAGTCGTGGATGTCGTCGAAGTCATGAAAAGGTTTGCAGTGCTAGTCTCCTCGCAACTTGATTTGAGATTCGTTGCTTGAGTGGAAGTGACGGGGTTTCGGACGTGGGGGTAATGTCAACGAAATTGAGGCCTCCGAGCCTTCGAGGACCATCACGAGGATAGTCTCTCGATGGCCCGTAGGCCCCCCGTTTTGCACCCAGGGGAGGAGGGTAGCTTAACCTTCTTCAACTACCGAGACGGGGGAGGACGGCCCCGTTGAGAAAAAGCGTTATGGCGGAAGTTGTGTGGCGAAGAATCGTGACTAGAAGGTGCGTAACGCAGACGACGAGAGAGAGTGGGGTTTCCTTGCAGTTGGGCCCGTCCAAGACCACCCCGAGCCTTCGGCATTACGCCTACTTGGCACCTGGGGGGCGAGGTTGAAGCTTACCTACGAAGTACTCGCCCACTCTCTCTCGCCGACTTGTGTTGACGCAACAACTTCTCTACATCTACGGAAAACTGGTACATGACGTCCTCTAGATTGACTTCAAAATCAACCAGAGAAAGCAAGTCCCAGGGCTTTTCGCAGAAGTAGTCAACGATGAAGCCCACAAAGAGGTCCTTGACGTCGTGAATCCATTTGTGGCCATCGTCCTTGAGAGTGCTCCCGACATCGCGAACTTCCAGAATGTCGAATCCGCACCGTTCAAAGAACATCTTCGTCATTAAAGTCTGCGAGCGTCCGAATTGATAGCAAGAATAGTCCAGATAGTAGACTTCGCCATTCTTGTCCGTAACTCGCAGTACTTTATGAAACGTCGACTCCTGGTCACAGGTGGTATCGTCGTACGTCCAAGCATCTCCCGGAATCCACTTTTCATCCCCCTTTACCAGCACTTCTTTGACGTCCACCAGGTCGTCGCCGAGCAAGGAGGTCACAGAAGGTCCCAAGAGTGCGACGGCATGGTCGCATTGCCAGGCGCAGAGCGCAGCCCTTCTCTCGAGTACGTAGTCCGGCTCTTCAAAACCTTTCGGCAGGGGGTACGTGTCTACGCCAAGTTCCGTTGGATATCCAGCGAGGAGCATCGATATCGCAAATGTCTTTCCTCTCGCATCTTCCCTCATCCACAGCGTTCCCGCGAGATTTCTCTCGAAAGTCACCTCTCGGTACAAGAGGAAGGTCTCTCTCAAGATTGCGTCGGCGAAGAGCAGCCGCTTCCGGAATGAGTCGTTCCAGCAAGCGCAGGCTAGGGGCGAGGCGGAGGAGCAGAGAGGGCAGGCGGACTCCACAGAATCGTAAACTTGGGAGGGCATTGTGAAGAACTGAAGCGCGAAGTTTGCGAGCGCGTATACAATCTCGAAAAGAAGGAGGAGATTGAGAGAGTTCTGACGGCGAGGAGCAAGTAGGATTCGACAAAGAAGAAACTCAATCGGGCACTCAGCATAGGAAAACGCTGGAATTATCCGAGGCCCACTCATACTAACTACATTAAGCTTTTTGCACAATTCTCGGTGAAGACACACGGACCACGGCCAATATAACCGGCTGTAATTATCATGCTGCTGGTAATATTACCGATTCTTGTGATTTTGACTCGCATTAAACGCTCGTTTTCACTCAAGATCTCAGTTCAGAGCATTGTGTCTAGTTCATCTACCCGATAGAAGACCGCTAGCTCCCGGCCGGTCTACGAACCAAAAGAAAGGAGTAGAGTGTTGTTCAATGCCTCTTCGACCAGCACGAAATCTGTCCCGTTCTCCTTGTAGATCTCCTTGCTTACCAGCAGTCTGATGACGCCGGCTTACAACTCGATCTCCTTGTCCCCTTCAACATTGTTCACTTCCACAATCTCCTGCCACTCCCTTGCCTCGGCCCTCTTCTTGACTGCATCTCTCTCCTTAGCCTCCTCTGCTTCCGCAAGCATCCCTTTCTCTGTGTCCATCTCTTTGTATTTCCAAGAGCTCAGTAACTCTTCCTGAACAGCAATGAAGTCCTCGTGAAGAACCTACTGCCTGATGGCGGGACACGGTCTAAATGAACATCTTCAAAGAGGGCGCTGTCGCCAACCTCGTGCGACCTCTTACAGGACTGGCGGAGATTCCTCAAGGCGGTGGGCTCGTCCTGCAGGTACTTTGCGATTTCCAGGAGGGTCTTGTTCGAACAGCCGAGAAGGGAGGGGTCCGGTTCGGTCATTGCGGATGTAGCTGGATGGCGAGTTCGCGTTTGTGTCGTGATAGGTCTTGTACGTCGACGAACGCGGTGAGCGCTTGGTTGTGCTCGGTGAATACATTGTTCCGGTTCCGCTGTTGAGGCGCTCCAAACGGCGGCGCATAGGTGCCAAAATACATGACGAAACACTTCAGTCCCCATTGTCTCGGCAACCGCAGGAGCTAGCTAGATATCCACTCTATCAAACCTTACATCTTATACTCAGTTTTGAAACGCTGTTGAAGCATGCCAAACGGCGGCGGGGCAGTTCTAGAATAGATTGCAGAAGACCCACCAGATATTGGCTCTATTGAACCTTGCATCCCATAGTTAGTTCAGCAACGCCGTTGAGGCACACTAAACGGTGGCGGAGGAGCACCAAAATAGATCACAAAAGACCAGCTAAATATCCACTCTATGAAACCCTACATTCCATGTTCTGTTTTGAAACGCTGTTGAAGTATGCCAAACGGCGGCGAAAGAGCATCGATATAGATTACGCAAGACTAGCTAGATATCTAGTCTATCAACCAACATTCACATCATATATGCACTTTCGATACTGCGTTGAGGCTCCCTAAAGGGCGGTGAAGCACTGCCAAACCAGATCACGGAAGACCACCCTGATACCCGCTCTGTTGAACTGTACATACTACATACAGGTTTGAAACAGTGTTGAGGCTCTCCAAACGGCTTCCAAACAATGCGGAAAGAGATCATAGAAAACCAGCCAGATATTTGCTCTATAAACGTTACATCATATATAGACTTTTGAAACCGTCTTGACGGCGGCAAAATAAGGCTAAAAGAGATCATAGACGACCAGCCAGATATCTACTCTATTAGACTTTGCATCCTAAATGCACTTTCGAAGCCGTGTTGAGGCTCTCTAAACGGCGGCGAAGCAGTGTCAAGATGGGTTAGAGAAGACTTCGGAGTTCAGGCTGAGGATCTCCAGACAACGGCAAGAAGGAGGCAGAAGTCGAAGACCCGGGTCTAGATTTGAGCAAGTCCGTAATTCCTAGTCTCCTTAGCTAGTCCAAATTCCAAAGGCTCATCCAACCTCTTCAGGGCTTAGCTTGCAGGGTATATGCTAAAATTCTGGCTGGGGCCCTCTAGACGATGGTAACAAGGGCGCAGAAGTCAAACAACGAGGCCTAAATTTGAGTGTATGCGTGATTCCTGGTCTCTTTGGTTAGTCCATTGTCAAAAGGCCCATCTAACCTCTTCCGGACTTGACTTGCTGGGTATATGCCAAATCTTTGGCTGAGGCCTCCCAGACGACGGTAACAAGAGCGCAGAAGTCAAAGATCCCGGCCTAAATTTCGGCATAAATGTGATTCCTGATCTCCTCAGTTAGTTCAACGTCCACATTCTCATGTAGCTCTTCCGGAATTGACTTACAGGGTATGTACCAAAGTCCTAGCTGAGGCCTCTCAGGCGATGGTAGCAAGATCCCAGTGGTTGAAGAAACTAGCATCGATTCGTGAGGGCTGACCAAAAATAATGTACGTCTCTGCACTTAGCCACTCCTGTTGAGTGTTTCCAGGCTGCGCCACGAGGAGGCGACAGAGTCCGATTTCGCACGCCCGCCTACGAATAGGCCCCTGGTTTTCGCAGCAGGGAGCGGGTAGTTCATAACCCTCCTACTACCAAGGTGTAAAGTTGAGGGGGACGGCTCAACCGGGAAAAGCTGTGACGAGAGAGGGAGAGAAGAGGAGAGACTAGGACGGACGAGGAGGGCGGGATTTAGTGAGTCTGGCGCCACTCCATCAAGAGCTCCGGGATTGCTCTTGTCGAAAGATCGTCCAAAAGGGCAGCAAGACGGGCCTCGAAGACAGCATCTGAGAGGTCGTCCAGAGGCGAAGCGTAACCTGGATACCGTGGGCTAAAACCAAAAGGTCCGGAAAAAACGACGGAGTGTACCACGAGTTCGATAGATCGGGCTCACGGCCAACAGCGGTGAGCGTAAGGCGGCGTAGACGGCCAGGCGAATCGGCGAGAGCTTTTAGAAGGCTAGTTAAGAAGGCAAACCCTTCTAATCGTCCTTTGTCCTCTCTGAAAGCGTCGTCGTTGATCGCGTCCATACCGGTCGGAAAGCGACGTGGCGGTCGCCAATTCGCAGGAGTGAAGGCTATCTTGTCGCTGTACTTGCGCCAGAAGTTCGAGAGGTTATCGCGATCGTCATATGCTACGACACGCACTTGGGTGAGGCTGACGAGCTTTGCGATGGCAGCCTCGAAACTGTGTCGCGCTTTTAGGGCCCTAGCATTCGTAGCGTTGAGCGCGCCGAATTTCAGACTGTCGATAAACTGAGACTGCATGGCCAAGTAGGAGGTATATTTGGAGTACAGATCTAGCATGCTAGACTCTGTAGTCACTCATCAGCGCCATCTTGATCAAGGTAATACACTGCGCGCACCTTGAATGGGTATTTGGACTCTCTGGACCGCCCTCGACCAATTCTCCAGTGTTTGGTACTCGTGTAGCATCTGCCCATGGAGGACGATACGCTTGACCATTCGGGAACATCTCTGTTCGAAGCGACCTCATTCAAGCGCTTCAAAGAGGGCGGCAGCAAAGCCACGTGAATCTCCTCAAAAAGAGTTGTCGTGGCAACCGCAGCGAGTGTTAGGTGGGTCAGACGCAAATGTTTGAGGGCCGCGACATCACCTAGAAGATGGTTGGCAATCTCGAGTATCATATCTCGGGGAATGCAGACCAGGTTCGGCTCTGCGGGCTTCGAGTCGAGTACTGGGAGACCTAAGTCCATATTGTGAGTTGTGGTGGAGAGGTGTTGCGATTTGGTAGGGTGGTGGGGTGGTGGCTCATGGACGATCTCGATGAACACATTGTTCCGTTACCGCTCCATATTAGGACGGTAGCCTCTAACATACTAGTATGCCATTCTAGCTCACAGGGCCTCTTGAGTCGATTCTACTTTGTAATGATTCAACGTTTCCTATTCTATTTTTCCTATGCTGCGAATGGAACAAATCGTGGAGCAAAGTGAAACCTCCCAGTCCATGTACAACATTTCACGGCGGTTTGGGGTGGACTGGTATGGCTTCCACTTACTAAGGACAATCGGCTTATCCAGTGGGGAAAAATAGCATGGAACGGTATTTGAATTGACTGATGCATTTTTGAGAAATGTCCTGTATCACTCGTAGCCCACGTATAACTTGTCTATAGAACCAGCTTTATAGGATTAAACTGTTCGTATGTATCCTGACAGCGATGATGAGTTACACATATGACCGACTGAGAGCTTTCATAGTGCTCCTGCCTACTACTTTACCCTCAGACTTGCCAGTCCTTTTAGAAGCTGGCAGCTGGTGAAAAGTGGTGAGAACTCTTGTGTATTGCTATGTAGGAGGATAGGAATATATAGGCCCAGGAGACGTAGGCAGCTACTGTGGCGTAGGCAGCACAGTAGGCAGCAGAGCTGGCTGTCAGAAGCTATCCCTAACGCTGATTGTTCTTCTCAGCTCCTATCCAGTGGCAGCGGCTATCTCTCTAGCTTACAGCTCATCATTCTCCTCGTCCAAGTATATATGGAATGCTTCAGTAGCATCAATCCCCTCCGCCTCCTCGACATCCGAAGATTCGTCGCCTTCTGGGTCTTCGATTATCACCGACCACCCAAAAGCGTCTCCAGGAAATTATCCTGGTCTGCGTTGAACCAATCGGTGTCGCCTTTCCTTCCAAGTACGTACTGATTCATGTATTCAACATACTCGCGGTTCGTGAAAACACGAAACACCGTCGCCGTAGGGTCAGACATGCTGATTTCGCCAAGGTCGCTGAATTCGACTCCCTTGAGTGACTTGATTCTACTCAGTTGCCGGATGGTGGATCCCCAGCAGCCCACTTCCTGAGCTTGGCTCGGTAACCTGCACCGATCACACAATAGCTCCCACTCCTCCCGAGCTGCAGTCGGCAGTAGGCGAACATTGTGAAGTCTTAAGGTGTCCAGAAAACCTGCGAGCTTATTGAAACAGTCAATAAGGGAGGGCTGGGTGGCATCAATCTCGAGGCTGAGCTTTCGGATTCTTGGCCATTTTCCCACGCACGCGAGGATGTCGCCGCGAGGCCATTCGCCTTCCACCGTGTCGTTTACGATGTTGAGCGCAAGCTTAACGTGCAAGTTGAGTTTCTTGAGCGCTGTGCATGCTGCGATGCACTCACCAATCTGTGAAGCCTATTCGTCGCCCCTCCACACCTTAAGGTCCAGCACGGTTAGGAAGACGAAGACGGGATAGAGTGTTGGGATAAGGGGTGGACCTTGAGGCCAGTTATTTCCGTTGACTCGCTGGCACCAGAATTCGCCTCCGGTCGTCGTCATTTGCAGTCGACGTAGCTCGGTCGAACAAGTTGTCAGAGCTCGAAAAGTTGCCGTGAGCAGAACAGATCCTTCCGTAAGCGCAGCGAAAAGGTCAGGGTAAAATGTCTTCGCGTCATACCGTATCGCACACAGCATTCGACCCTCTGGGGTATTTTCGTCAAGGTCGTCAAGTATGCGTCGTCGCCAAGTTGTAGGTGTTAGGAGGATGTTCTCTCTAACCTTATCCCAAAAGGCAGACCTATCGTCGGCTTCATCGTAAGCCGTCACAACAACGTCTTGCAACTTGGTAAATCAGGCCATGGTGGCATCAAACCTTTGGTAAACCTTCGCGCCCGCCAAGTCGATGCCCTTGGACATGCTCTCTTGGGCCGTGAGGGACCTGTCCTCGGCGTCTGCGTAAGAAATGTATGTTTCATAGTAATCATCTCGCTTCCATCCTAAAACATTTAGTCGTTACGCTCAGAATCTCATAGACGAATACCTCATCTAGCTTACTTGGAACCTGTCCCCCAGCTCTCCCAACAGCGATTGCCCATCCCTTTATCGTCTCGTAACCGAAGGGCACTTGGCCATGAAACACAACCCGCTGTACCGATGTAGCAAGGTTGTGTCGGGATGCGATGTTCGTGAGCCGCAGTATCGATTCTAGATACAGAGCAACGTGTAACTCTTTGAAAAGTACTCTCGCACCAACTTCAGCGAAGCGTTTAGAGCAACAACGAAAGCTTCTCAGATTCTCGAGATAATCCTGGAAATCCTCGAGATTGTCCTGGAGAAATTCGATAATGTCGATCAGGAGCTCGATTGGAAGGTTGAGCAGAGCTGGTTTTGGGGGGGGGCTGGAAGGAGTTGGAGCTCGTTCTGAAGGGCAAATAGAGCGGGGATCGAGGAAGCCATGAATGGAGTGTCCAAACGTGGGGAATTGAGGTGGTGTGGTTGATGGGAGGTCTGGAGGTGTGTGGTGGTCGGATTCGGATTGCAGGTCAAAGCTAAGACTGGGAGTGTGTCAACGAACTTGGATGGGCCTCAAAGCGCTGTTCCTGACCGGGAATTCACATGTATGAGAATGAGGAGACCGCAGAGTTGATTTCTTTGCCACTGGGAATTCACTTGATTCTTCAAGTCTCAAGGGACGGGCCACTGCCGCCGGAGTCCTGAGATAGGCCTCAACGCATCTAAGGGCCTCTTACAGCAGCTAGTTCTCCTCCAACGCATTCTTAATCATAGCTACCATACTCCCCGTATGAACCTCGAATCTCTCGTCCGTCATGGTCTCCATCCGATCAAAATTATTCTCAGATGCAGAACCTGCCGACCGCGCCGTCCACGATTCGATGAACCAAACAAGTTTGTTGTGCCACGATAATGCCACGGCTCGCTTCTCCTTCTCTTGCTCTTGGACCACCCAGGACACTCCATTCTTGCGCCTCATTCCAATTTGCTGCTTCTCGAGTCTCTCCTTTTCCAGTTGTTCGTCTTGCTCAGCCAACAAGTATTTCAGTCAGATAGGTGTCCAGTGTTGCTCGTACCACGATTCCAGGTCCATGGTTTTCGGTTCCTGGACTGTCTTCGAAACTATCCTCATGAAGTCGAGCCATCGGAAGATGGCGGGGAGGCCAAGATGTGTTGCGAGAGGGGCAAACACAACGGTGCTCATGTCGCTGTTGTTGAACGTGACTAGGATGACAGGAATAATCACCTCTCTATCCTCTGGAAATCCTTCAAGGATACTGGATTTTTTCTTATTTGTGATCGCAGTTGAGCTGGGGAGCTTTACGGCTTCGACAACATAAGCCGCTTCCTCTATCTTGGCGACTGGAACTATATCTTATATCAGTGCATGCTCAATGAATGGATCCTTATGCGTCTTACCATCCAATTCGCGATTGAGGAATATCTTGCACAAGAGACCGCGCAACAAAGTCGCCGCTGGTCCACAGCGTTCATGCTTCTGCACCGCGCGCCAAACATCCAATCCGGAGAAGGAGGCTTCCTTGAGACAAGGCTCTGCAGGTCGCTTCGTGAGTAGCGTGAGGAAGATGTGGTAAATTCTGTATCCCTGCGGCCCCGAGAGCTCCAGATGGATGGTACTCGACTCGCATGCTTGCCAGAGACCTAGCACGGGGCCGTTGAGCCATCGGAAGGCGGATTTGATATGACAAACGCAGGGAGAGGACGTCGGCGTACGCCCGTTGGTGACGTCGTGAACTGGACATACGATGGCAGCTTCGGCATAAGGCGCGCCGGTAGAATTGGTGTTTGATAGCGCTGGCATGGTGATCTCTGGATACTGTTCGGCGCTGTGGTGGAATTGAAGGCCGGGCAGTATAGTGTGCGTCAGTAGATGTAGCAGTAAACAAGTCAGCTATGGCAAAGCACTGGGTAGTCAACACGAGCGTTATTCACCGACGCTACTGCAAATTGCAAGAATTGCAGCATTTTCCTGGCTTCGAGCTGATTGGCCAGAAGGTGCAGTGACCACATCTCTTGGCATCTTTTGAATATATTCACTCCACTCACGTTTCGCTACCTCTTCTCTTCAGCCTGCATAGCCCGTCTCTCTGTACGCACTACCCAAGCCTACTCCTGACTAGCCTTTTTGCTAATAGCCCAGCCAACAGTCACACGCGCATTCACAACCACAAGAATGCGATTCACCGCCATCACCAACGTCCTCACCGCCGTCGTCGAAACCGTCACGGAGTGGCTAGATCCAGCCCCCAAAGAGGGAGAGACAGGAGGAGGAGAAAGCGCCGCGAAGATCGAGAAGAAGCCGTTCTGGGGTACGCCTCCCGCCAAATTATCAGTATAATAACTACTAACAACACATCCGGAACCGTCCGACCACATCACCTTCTTCGTCGGCCGCGCCCCGCATCGAAGCATGGCCACACGACCGCTACGAGTGGAAGTCCTACTCCCTCCCCCGCGCCCACTTTGCCGCCCTCCGCATGTCGTCGCCCGTGCTGCCTGGTGCGGATGTTCACAACCTTCCGGGCATAGGGGCCCCCGCCTTCGAAACTTTTGTAGCTTAGATGGACCAAGCAGACCCCCGCCGCTTGCCTGTTGTTGCCGGCATGTCAAAGAAGAAGAAGGTGGTAGAGGAGGTGAAAGATTTTGCTGTGCGGCTCGGTGTGGAGGAGCTGAGGGAGGCGGTAGAGGAGGCGTTGAAGGAGGTGTGGAGAGAGAGAGGGGCCTAAGGGTAGAGGGGAAGGGGGAGGGCTTGGGGTGTTTGTAGGATTACGCAGTGCTGCCATTAGATGAATCGGAAGTATATTCTTTGTGCTGCCTGAAACTTCAACTTCTGCGTACGCCTGAATCAATGTTATTTGCCTTGCCTACTGCGCAGTCTATGATATCCTTGGAGCCTCTCCTGTCCTATTAACAATATCAGCGGGCATATGTCAATTCTCAAAAGCTGAACTTTAGATGGGCGAATCTTTAGCAGAAGACTGGCTCGTTTGAAGCTGCAGGAGGACCTCCAATGCTGGTAGCGTCACAGAAATAATATGTTTTATCAACAGATATCGAAACCAGGCCATCCACCTATCGATATTGATGCACGTCTAAGAGCTCTGAAGCATGTCTTGATATATCAAACCGAAGAGAGTCATCATGTCATCTTTAGAACGGTTGAAATCAGGCCTGCTCAACATCGACACCTTTTCCCCTATCCAACATTGTGAAGATACCTCCGATGGGATGAGTTTTGGCTAGGCGGCATGTTTACTCAGCTCATCAACAATTTGAACACTAATCGTTCCGTATTGCTCGTCGCGCTTGGGGGTTTGAGGCATCATTCGATGAATTCTTCTGAAAACAATCGAATGTCATATTGGACCCACTTCGATTCGGACAGTGTGTTTTCTAGAAGCATTCCCCGTACTTAACGGTGTAGGGGGTGCTCTAACAAAGTAAGATTTGAGAAGTAAGATGTCATTGCTTGAGGACATCAAATCTACAATAGGACACTCCCCGCGACTGATTGTAGATGCAATATACCGAGAGATATCTCCTTCCACTAGGAGGTACTTCAAGTCAAATTCAACACCTCCGCAGAAGCTTCAGCTCTACACCACCTGCGTCAAAGTATGGGTACGCGGATATCCGGCTGCTCGAACTCCACTGCTTCTCGCTGGTCGCCACTGCCAGGAGTGGCCCAGATAGCACGTATCCGTCCAGTCCAGAGGAAGCCTAATTCCCACCGTATCGCCTCTACATCGCGCTCAGAATTTGCAAAGCCATTTGGGGTACTTCCTCCCGCTATGCGCAGATTATGGGGTTTTCAGGGGTCATGCTTGAGGCTCCCGACGAGACCTGGACTTCGGCTGGACTTCGGCCATCAGCTCCCGTGACTTCCCGTGATGACTAACTGCTAGCGGCTTGGCACACAAACTTCTTTAAAAGCTGAACGAGCCTGGCTCTTGACCTTCTTCTTTTCATGCCACCTTGAGAATTGAGGTAGTCCTAGTATTAATCGGTATGCTAGGGCCCTCTCCTATTCTCGAGGAAATTAGATCAAAGTGCATCGCTCATACTTGTTCGTCAATCCGAGACACCTCGCTGGGGAATGTTGAGATATGCCAACATCTTTTTTCATTGATTCTCTCAGCTTGTCTGGGATTTCGAAGAAGAAAATATCGTGCTTCCTCATCATGTTGTAGTTGATGGAAGCTCAGGCTGCCGTAACGAAGTTTGTTCTTGCTTTTCGAGGACTGCCGCCACGCCAACAGGCCTCCCCCAATGGCCCTGCTGTGCCGTCTCTCTCGCGACTTAGCTGTTGAGAGTATGTTGTAGCGCTGTTCTTGCGATTCTCGACGGCGTGCTGCTGATCCGCGGCGGCGGGCTGGTGCTGCTGGCCGCGCCCGGGGAGAGGCTGCAATATAGCGCCATCGCAGAGGGCTTGACGCATCAAAGCAGTCCGAGTCGCGATATTTGGACTCATAGCTGCTCTTCAATGCGCTTGCCTGATGCTGTGTCCCGTAGTTGCCGTGCTTGAGGCGGCTGGCGTCCTGGATGGTCGGCGGGCGCGGCCAAAACGCGTCTGCCAGTGAGCAGCGACACAACGAAAACGCACTGCTATGGATAGCAAAATACTTAAATATACGCCTCAATTGATGTCTTCGCACCGCCAGGTATCTATATAGCTCTCTGACGAGGCTTGCTTCTGGTATCGCCACCCGTGTGCATTGCCTGGCCTGCACCATCCGCCAAAGGCCGTGAGAGAGGCTACGCCTTTGCGGTCGATCTCCTCGAGCCCTAACTTGGCCTAGGGCTTCGAGTAGCATACATTTAGATATAATAGAGTAGGATCACTTCAATTAAGAGCTAGTCGAATATTGCACCCTGTTTTGGCCGTCAAGCGGCTACTCGCGCACCACAAACGGCTCTTTGAACTTGCCAGTGCTAGATCCATATATTCAAACAATAGACTTAGTAGGAGCGTTAAATGTTAACCGATCTTGACTAGCCTGTCCTGCAGGGTGAAGGTACATGGTGGAGGGTGCAGAGGGTGAAGGCCGGATCACCTCAACTCCTCTGCCACCGCATTGAGATCTTTCGCCAGCCTCAAACGCCGTCCTACCTCACAGCGATCATCACGCGAAAAGCCACTCCTCTCACCCCTCTCCGCCCACAGTCATGCCCGTCCCCGACCACATCCTCAATGCCATCGACTCCTTCTTCGACGACCTGTGGCGCGAAATGCTGCCAAACCTCCAGTCCGACGACCCGCCGTTCGCTATCGAGATCATCAAGGGCTTCAAAGTCTCCAAGATCCTCCGATACGGCTACACGCGGCTTGCTGAAGGAGACGAAAACTTATGGGCCTACAAGAACTGGGACGAGTGCGACCAGGCGGCGCACTTGCTGTGCCCGATAGTTGTGAAGGTTCTCGGAGGTATATTGCACCTTTAGCCAACATTCTGCGCTAGAAAAACTAGTACTAATCGCTGCGCGCGCAGAGGAAGGAGACAAAGTGGAGATCGCCCACCTCTGGGTCGAACCAGAGCGTCTCGTCAAGGACCGGACCGACGACCGCAAGCAGCGCATGCGTGGACACACCGTGATTGTCTACACACTGAAAGACGGCCGACAGCGTGTCATTGACCCAACGAGGTCCCAATTTGGTTTCCAAAACGTCGAAAAGTCGTACCGCGAGTACTGGGAAGCTCACGCCCCCGTCATACCCCCACAACCGCCGCAATTGATGACATTTGGAGGACACATATTGATGATGCGTCGTCTAGCTGCAAGATATCGTTCTTTGCAACAGATTGTGTTCTTTTACCACCTTTTCGCCGCCAATGCTACCCTTACGTACAACAAGTGGGCGAAAGGGAGGATTCAGGGGGGAACGAGGGCCCTAGATGTGCTGGGAGGGGGGGGGACTGTGGCGAAAGGAGAGTTGTTGAAGGCAATGCGGGGGTCTACGCTGCGTGTGAAAGAGATGATAGATGCGTGGGAAGCGACGAAGAAGAAGTAAAAATCGGTAGAGTAGAATCAAGCTTGGCCTGAGTACTCATTTGGAAGTACTGTAAACGATTTGAAGGACTCCTACGCATTACAAGTGAGATCTACGTGATGTCAAAGGCGGCACGCCATGAACCGGATCGAAGGTCTAACAATATGATTAACAGCTTCAGAACTCAACGTATGGAAGGCAGCTTGATTTCCACTGCGTAGGCCTTTACAACTCGTTTCGATATCAAAAAGCTACCCGGGACACCCCAAGCGGTGTTAAGGAGTAGGGAAAAGGAATCCAGAATCAGTTTGGAAGTACTGCAAACAATCTGAAGAACCCCTGCACGTTACAAAATAAAATGTGTGTGATGTCAAAAGTCCCACCTCACGAATCAGATCGAGTGTTCTATATCCAGATTAACAGCTTCAGAACTCAAACTGTTGTAGAAGGCTCAATTCATATAGCGTAAACCTGTACATTTCGTCTCGATATTGAAAAACCAATTGGGACACCCCAAACAACGGCAAGGTGTCGGAAGAAAGAATAGCTTTTCTAGTGATCTGAAGTCTCCCGCTCTTCCGCTCGTTCAACGCACTCTATCCAGCCGAAGGTCCGCCAGGCCTGTGTAGAACGCCCCTCATCATGTGCTCTCCCCAACGGGCACAGAAATCTCTCACCTCCTCCCGGACCATTTCTAACATGTCCGATATGTCCTTACTCTCCTCTTTGGGCAGCTCGATCGCCTCGTCGAAGACCTTCCGACGCATCAGATCAACAGCTTCGACCATAACCTTGCGAAGCTGCGCCGCATAGCTGTACTCTTGGTGCTCTTGGTCATCCGCAGGTACTTCCCACGACTCCGTACCCTCCTCGCAGCGCTCCTGATAGTATTCCTCCGCCTCCACCACTTCGAATGGCCAGCCATGCTGATAGCCCGTAAAATCTGGTATAAGGACCGTCCCGTCGACGAGCTGGACGCGGAGGTGGCTGTGGTCGTAGAGCTCCTCTTCCTCGTCGTCCTCCATGCCAATCCACACTTTGCGCGATTGTTTGGGGCGGATGCGCCACCAAGAGATAGACTCTATGTCTTCTACACGCATTGTTAGCACTCGTTCCGTCTTTTAACGCGCCTTGGAGCGCTTACCGCCCAGCAGGTGCTTCAAGAGCTCAAGGAATATATATGACACCTCGTCGCAAGTGCTGTATGATATGAACGCAAGTTGGTCTTCTCGCGACAGTTCCTCAGGTAGTGGGCACCCATATTGACCCTCAGCTACTGCCCAGACAGCTCGCAGCTCCTCCGGCGTTGTGGTTTCGACCTGGACTATGCGCTGTCCGAAGGACGCCCGCGCAACGACCTCCCAAATCTGGTGAGCGATGTGCAGCTTTGGCGTGACTCGATCGCGTACAAGGGTGGCTTTGGACTGGTTCGCCATAGTTCAAAGCTATGGGTAGTCGGGTGCGGATTGGGGTGTCAAGTGGAAGGGAGAGAAAATGAAGCTGGTCGCGATTGTTGTGATAGCGGGGTAGAAGATAAGAGGTGAATGTAGCTTCAGCGATTAGCACAGATCCGATTAGGATATAGTGTCGAGGAGTGCTGTGGCTCGGGTTGAGTACTCTTGTTACGGCACCTCTGGCAACGTTATTGTGCTATAGAAACAATACGATACTCTTTCCGATTTGAAGCCTCGCTGTTAGTACATACGACCATAAATCCTTCCAAGGAATTCGAGTCTCCCAAATAATCGTATTGTGCTGGAAAACCTGTACAATGCCACGTGGTTCAATATGCAGCCTTCAAACTATTACATCGTCCCGAAGGATTGTCACAGGGTTAGAGCATCTCGTACGACGACATCATGCTAGAAAAGTAGTAGATTACTGCTCAGTTCAATATGAATCCTCAGGCTACTACATCGTCCCGGAGGATTCTCATAGGGTTAGGGCATCTTAAACGACGGCATCATGCTAGAAAAGTAGTAAGATATTGTTCAGTTCAATATGAAGTCTGCGGGACATTTCATTATTCTACAGAATTTTCATGGTGATGAAGGCCCTCAAACAACGGTTTGATGCTAACAGAGTAAGTAATAAGATACCGACGATCAGGAGAACTCACCAAAGACTGGGCCCGTCTTAGTTTCACCTCCGCAGAGGCTAATTATCCCCAACACTGCGTAAAAGTGCGGGCCCGGCGCTGAGGTTCCCCCATCTTGCCAGAGCCACCTAGCCTCCTTATAGTGCAATAAGGAGGCCTCCTCTGCTTTTTCCCATCTCTGACTGCGCCCTCATCCGAAGTTGCACTCCGGGTACTTCTTCTTCCACTCTTCCTTGCACTCCACGGCGGCAGTCTTCGCGCAGAGACGTAGCGCTTCGATCAGCTCTTTTCTCTTATGTGCCTTGGATAGTACTTGTTTCATTGATAGCCCCTCTTTCTCTAGCCATGCCTTGTACGTAGCAAATAGTCTTTCTCGCAGAAGAGTGACGATGGCATTAAGATAGTCTCGGCCAACATTCTTAGGCATATTTTGCCACTTTTCGTCTAGGCTCATTTGCTGGAAGAGGTACGGATGGTCGGGGTCTTGCGTGTACGCTTGGAGATAGTCGGCCAAAGGTCCCCAAGGCTTGGTATGGAGAAATTGGGAGCCGGTTAAGTCTAGTACCATTTGTCCCACTCTAACGATTGTGTGGCTTCTCGTTATATCGCCCAGACGCGGGCTTACTAACTCTCCGTGCCTCAGTAGCCAGAGGTTGGGAATGACACGAAGGGTAACCACTGCGATAGTCTCGTCTACATTTACACTTTAGTATAACTATAAACACAATGACCTAAAGGTTTAATATACACACGTCCGAAGAGATCATTGAGGATCAGAGCCAAAACCACGGGGGCATCGTCGCACATAGTAAAGCACAGCAACGCTTTCGCTATCTGCGGGTCGAGATTTTGCGGTACTGTCCACTGGCCGGCCTGCTGACAACGATATCTGACAATTCGGCAATCGCCGACTGCGCGCTCGCAGTATATGGCGCTCCAGAAGAAGGGGAAGAATTCAGGGCGGATCGTGAGAAAAAGCTCGAGGAGGAAGTAGGCCGCGAACTGCATGAACTCGGCGTCGGCGGAAGGAGGGGAAGCGAGGGAAGGCATCGTGATTATGAGAGATGATTGTGAGAAGTTATAGCGCTATGCTGAAGCTGAATCGAGAGTTGTAACGGTAATGTCTGTGGCTGCTGCTGAGGTTGAGCTAACTGTTTGCCACAACAAATGAGTGAAGCTGGCGCACAGGCCTCCTTCATCCGACTGCGAGTCCAACACCACCACAAAACCTCGAACCGTAGCCCTCAACCACCTCAGAGCACCGCAAATCAGTATCATCACTTCCGGTATCGTCAGAATGCCGTGCCTCCGCCGCCTCCTCGACCTCATCGGCATCACACATCTGCGCGCGAAGATATCTGAACGTACAGCAAAGCAACCCCCCTGAAAGGAGAGTGCTCGAACCGTAGGGTTGCTTGAAAGAGTCTCGAGACCAGCCCGCTGCAGGCCCTATTACCTCACAAAATGCTAGCTGCAGACAATATTTCCCACTCAATGCTTCGCCGCAACCGCCATTCCCCACCCCATAAGACGCGCCGAGAAGGATACGATCTCGCGTGGCCCTGGAACTCGCAGCTACATTGTCCGAAGCGCTGCTAGAGGAGACATGGACGGAAAGGATGAAATGGCACCATTGCGATTGAAGCATGGGGAGAAGCAGGGGTAGACGCCTAGTGGAAGAGTTCCGGAGAGTAGTCAAGGAAATTCTACATGCGGCAATTCTGCTCACCGTATTTTGCGCTTTTCCTACGTCTTGAGAGCTTTGGAGCTCACCAGGTACTCTCAATTTGGCGCAACCCCTTATGCCATTTCCCCAACGATCTGTATCTAATCCTGGAAATCCAGGTACTTATTTTGGAGTCATAGTGGAAGAGAGTGAGATGTAGAACAGGCTTTCGGATGCTTTTCCAGCACGCTAATGGTGCATGAGGTGTTGTAACAGGGCAAGTAGGTCCGATGCAAGATGCAGCAGACTACATGGTGTATATTAGACTGCGCGAAATTCAGACAGTTTTCTAGCCAGGTCATGTTGTCACAGATGCTTTAGATGCTTAAGAATGATTGAAAAGGATATGCTAGAAGACCCCTGGCGGATGAGGCATCTCTCCACGAGTATTCGCTGTAGAGCCGATATTGTAGCTGACGAACGCGAATGACTCCAAATCGATACTTGCGCATGGGCCCTCTGGGCGTGCGAATCATCTCTCATGGTGCCTCAGGCAGCGTCTGAGTATGTGCTAGTCTATCAAAGTGTGTACAAATTTCTACTACATAACTACAAAGTCATCGTAGGAAGTCTCTGATGCTCGACAGTCTAGTGCATTCGAAAGGATTCTGTCCAGCATGACTCCATGGTCCGTACCAGTTCTCAAACCAGCATCACAATGCTCCCGCTATGTACTCTCCCCGACAAGATCGTCGCTCTTCTTCTTAGGAAAGCGGCACACCTTTTTTCCCTTCTCCTTAAGCACATCATCTACCACCTTCGTTACAGCTTCTCTAAAGCTTTCCCTACTTTCTCTTGCTCTGCTGAGTACCTCCACAGCATTCAACTCATCACCGAGGCGGAGACGCCAGGCATCGTATGCCTCGCCCAAGCGCTCACCAAGGCATTGGCTGAATCTGAGATCGTATTCGCCTTCAACAGCAAGACCGTCGGCGAGCATTGCGATCGATTCCCATTCCTTCTGGTGCTCTTCCCACGTAAAGGTGCGAGGATTGGTGTTTTCGTGGTGTACACCGTAACTCTTCAGGAATTCGCGCAGCCACAACCCGCACTCTTGGAATCCGAACTGCGCCTTGGTTGGGTCGATAACCAGCTGTTCCTTGCCGATCATAATCTGAATAAACGTGTGGGATCGAGCACGACTGTCGTTGATTCGATAGAACTCTATGCATGCTCGTTTAGGCGTGACATCGACTCGTGAAACTCGGACTCGTTTGCCTCTGTCTATAATCGATCTGTTAGTGGAGGACCTTTGTAATAGGCTGCGTTACGAGTATTTTTTGCACGTACCTCCGAACATCTTCCTTACGATCGGAAGCAGAACGTGAGCAGCTTTGTCGCACTGGTTGGCCATGGTGAAGGTCAGGAGGTCTTCCTCATTCGTGAGTAACTCGTATCCTGGCCCCGCTATCTCGGAGACCAGGAACCCGCCTTTGGTCTCTTTTGCGTACGGAACACAGTTCTCAAATATGCTTTCGAGGATAAAATGCCAGACGCGAGCCAGCTCAGCGTCGAACTCCCGAAGCACATCGCGGTCGAAAGGCATGATCGTTGCAACAATAGGCTATAGTAGGTGGATGGTTCTGGATAAATGATATGGGTTCTTTGCGGGTGGATTTGAGTGCTGGCAGTGGTAGATGTCTGTGGAGAAGAACGAAGTGAATAGTCCTGGTCTATATATTGAGGCATGGAATGACTTCGATGGCAAGGACGATTCACCATCGACCTTGCCTGGGACTACAAGTCATGAAGAGTCATTTTGCGGTCGTACTAATCTGAAGTCCGTGTCGTCGTGTACGTTACACTCATTTTCTTGACTGTTCGAGTTACCTCTGCCAACGTCAGCTTCGTGGAAATGACCAGCGTCGTGACGCATTATATGCATACGTTTCCATTGTGACATCCTTTTCGAGTATCCGATCAGAATGGATTGAACTTCAACGAGAATCGCAACCATGGGCACTGAGCATTTCTTCAAATGACTCACACCATGCTGAGGCTGCGCAGACAGCGGTAAGATAAGAGAAATTTGAGCATTCGAGGCCTCTGATCTACGCTGTCGAGTCTTGTAGCAAGCAGAGGACATCGATCCGCATTTCCACGGCCTCTACAACATGATCCCACGCTTCCTGTCTCTCTACCTTGCTCAGCCTACGTAATCTTCCGAATGTGAAATTTTCCCCTTTTGCGCAGTCTTTCAACGCGCTCCACGTGCAGTCTAGGAGCTTCGCGTAGAAGCTGCCTGCTGGGAACTGTGCCCGCTCTTGGGCAACGTTGACCGGTTTGGGCTCTTTGCTGTCTTTACTTCGTGACTCAACGCACTCGGACCACAAATACAGGAAGTGCGACTAGCCAAACTGCTCGTATGTAGGGTCATATATCGGATCAAGGGCGCCAATTCGTATACGGAAAACGACATGTCGAAAGGGGGTGTATTCGCGGGTACCGGAGTCGTTGCGCCAGACTTTGAGAGATGGAATGGGGTGGAAGGCGCACCAAGTGACCTCTGCTTTTCCTGGAGCCTCGACCGTCAGCCCTATTCACCACGTAATTGGAGGAGGCATACTCACCGTCCAAGACACGCTGTAGCAGATCGAAGAACAAAAACACGGCGAGGTCGCACTTTCGATATGCTGATAGCGCCGCCTTATGCTGCTCCGTCGCGTCTTCTGGGCACGGCCGTCCGAACGCAGCGGGCGTGTCTCTCATGATCCCGAGCACATGGTCGTTCCAGAGGAGAATCTGCTTCATGTCGGCGGTGCAGATCTTCGGCGCAATCATCTTCCACAGCAGCTGCACAGTGTAGAGTATACAGAATGTGTATTTGTACTTCTTTCGGTATCCGGTAGCATTTCTTCCTCCTCCTCTTTCCCCTCCAGCATCTTGATGTACCTTTCGAGGGTCTCTTGCGGGCTGGCTTCATCGTTCTGGCGGGGACACTCCATGGTGATGGTCGTCGGCGGACCTCAAAACAAGAGTTGAAGGGAGGATGTATAGGACGGAAAGGGGCCGTCAGGTGGCAGACAAGGAGAGAGCCTGTGATGAGCCGTGGAGAGGCATTGGAGGATTTTGGCTGTGCCTGCTGTCTGCTGTGCGTGCGGCTGCAAGAGCTCGTTCACGAATGGGGACTCTTTGTGCACGTGACCTAGCAATGCATCTCTGCGTGCGCGGCCTCATCTGACTACGCGCTCACCAGTCAACATGCCGACAGCCTAATTTCGGAGAGATAAAGATTGGTTTTGCGAAGCCTTACTAATATCTAAGCTACCCCAGCACAAACTGAGGCTACCGAAGTAGGATGTTCATGCTCTAGACAATGTATATCTCCTCCCTAGATGAGCATATACTCCCCAGACCTATTATTAGATCTTAGATATGCCCTGGAGAGGAATGCAGCGTCTCGATTGTTACATTCCACACCGATAATCGCAGTTGGTCCTGAGGGAGCTGAATTGTTCGGTCTCGTTGCCAAAGCTATGCGGACATTTCCGCGTTCGATGACTTAAGCAATTCGATAGCAGATCGAAGCGTGTATGTCCACGAGTGAGGTCTGCGACGCGTCGAATTTGACATCCTATGTCACTCAAGTTAATAGGTCCTGGGGTATCTGAGCATTTAAAACATGTGGAAAGATTGTGGTAAACTTCACTGAATTTAGCTACTTGGGATTTTGGATCGTATCGAAATATTTGATTCTTTGATACTGGAGATATCCGCATTACTTTTGTACCCCTCTACTACCTGTCGTGCCACCCCAGCGTCAATAGCTGCTACAGGGGTAGGATGTAAAGCTCGAGACGCTGCAAATTAGATTAGGGATGTCCACATCGCTGCTAAAAAGTTTGAAAATCGCCAGGGCCCCCCTGAAAGCGGTAAAACAGCAACAGAGTGACCATCTTGTGTTGGTTCTGATATGGCTTACCTAGATATTGCAGTTGACCTTGAAAATATGAAAGGAGCCAGGGCCATCTTGACAGTGTTATGACATAAAGAAAAGGGTTCTCTTGCAGCGGTGTTGATGTGACTTACCTGGACATTAACATTGCTGCTAGAAAACGACAACATGATAAGGCCCTTTTCACATTGGCAAGATATTATCAAATCGATGACGAACAAGCTTCAATTCCAATCCAGTCCCTTATTCTTACACTTATCTTACAATCTAACTACCCAGCGTCCCTCCTCCCCCTATCACCACAGTCCCCTCTCTTCCCACACTCCCTCCGCACAAACCCGAAGTTTCTCCAACAGATCTTCTCTCTTGTCTTCATCTTCCCCCATTATAACCCCCTCCAACGTCTCCCCGTTCGCCTTCAGCCATCTATCTTGTCCTACTTTGAGCGTAAACCTCAAAAAAGCGTACATAACATTCATCCTTGGACGATCTTCCGCCATATCGGTCCACAGCTTCGGAAGAGAAACGCACACTTCCAGCCCTCCCGGTGCCTCAAACTGTTCGCGGTAGTCACGCTCTGAGCCCCACAACCACTTGAAGCCGAACTGTCCCCCCGTGAGGTCGAGAATATTGGTGCCAATTCGGAGCACAGTGTGCAGCCGCTTGGGGCTCGGAGGAACGCCAGCGCGGAGGGCGTACAGGCGTGGGTAGACCCAGAGGGTCAGGACTTCGACGGTGTCCTCTGCCTGATGTTAACAGATTACCCCAAAACGGACTATAAATGTACATACCTCCGTAGACATCCTCCAGAATTGAGCCCAAGATCACGGGCGCGTCGTCACAGGTGTTGTTTTCTAGGATCGCGCGCGCGGCCTCGGCATCGATGTCTTTGGGCATCTGCCACGCTTCCGCCTGCTCCGCGCGGAATCTGACGACGTTGAGGGTGCGGTAGTGGCCATTCTGCAGGACGCGGTGCCTCTCCCCCCAGGCGGTGGCGATCTTCTGTGGCGAGTCTTCGAGCAGGACGAGGTGGAGGAGGCGGAGGAGGTAGCGGGCAGCTTCTGTGCCGAAGTTTTTCGAATGAGACATTGTGATTTGTAGGAGCGTATGTGTGTGTCTGGATGAGGTTTAACTTGCGCGCGCTGCTGCTGTGATCGATCGACGCTGTGGCGGTTGCTGCGGAGGTGAAGGTAGCTAGCGAGATGCGGTCAAAACACGACAGTGAGAGGCCAAGACGCCGCACGGGCCCGCCCACAGATCAGAAAAGTTCAATCATATCTCGAACACCAAATTGATCTTTTTGCACACAAGGACAAGCCTGCGTAGGGTTACTTGCTGTCTAGATAACGAGCCGTGAGAGGCTAGCATGCGACAAATGGAGAGGCTCACTGAGCAGGTGTACAACGATTGGGTACTTCGCCGTCATCACACGCAGCATGTGGCTCGCGGAGTGCCTCTACGTCTTCGTTGAGGAGGTCCGGAGTCTTTCGGGCAACCTTGAAGTTCTAGATGAAGCTGCCAGGGAGATGAAGCTTTGCGCACGCTGCCGCCGCCCACAATCCCTGATTTCCACCCTGGGAAGCTGAGAATATAGCTTCCGTTAAAGCAGTACAGTATAGCGGATACTAGTGCCTGTGTTTTCCAAGTTCCCCGCACGTCCGGAGCTGTACCATGTCGCTGAGTGCTGCTACACAACTGTCACACATCTCGGGCAGTTTCGGCGATGGCAGAGTCACATCGACATGCAGAAGCAGACTCAAGAGTAAATAATAGTATTGCTCGCGTCACATGCCAAATTGCCTCATACTATAATCTATATGCTGATCTAAAGGCTCCGGGGAGCTTACTTAAGAGATTGTGAACCTCCACCGCCAGTGCTCATTCCCATGCTCGCATTGAGGCGCTGTCTAATTGAATCAGCATAACGAGGAGCATTCCCAACCAATCGCTTGGTGCTATGCGTTTCTAACGGAAAACAGCGCTTCTTGCACGTGTAGATTAATGGCCGTCGGACTCCAGACAGCGCCTCGAACGTTGTAGAGTCGACATATATTTGGCGCTGATTCAAGCAGCACCTTCGAATACGGACTCATTCTGAACGCATGTATTCTCGAAGAGCTAATTTGAGTGCCCTCTCGAGGAGTGCTTTTCATCGGGCTGATTCAGGGGAGTGCTGCTTTATACCACACGGCAGAGAAATCAGAGACTATGTCAAGAGCCACCTCACGACATCGAGACCTAGCAAACAGCAAAGATGTGTGATCTGATTTCCACTCTCCCCTAGTCGTCCAATGTATTCACCCAGATTCAAGCGGTCGAAATGTATCATACCCTCTCACAGCCGAGATTCAGGCGAGGGTCCTCCTTCCAGTGTTAAGAGAGAGACACATAGCACGAATATAAGCTACGATTTGAGGATTTCAGATATTTCATTGTCTCATTAGAGTTGCTGAATCTCTCCGAGACTTTCGTCGGGCAGCCTGATGCCGACAGCCAAATGTACACCCTCCAACACTTGACATCGAGCGTAGACACAAAAGTTCAAGTTGAGGATCTTCGGAGGAAGGCAAGAAGAAGGCAGAATGAAGAGATCTAGGCCCATGATTTACGTATATGAGTGATTCCTCGTCTCCCCGGTCAGCACAATATTCAAAGACAGATCCAAGCTCTTCCGGACGTGGCTTGGAGGGCATAGGCTAAAATGCTCGCTGAGGACCTTCAAACGAGTGCGAGAAGAGTGAAAACGCCAAAGATATCAGCAACGACTTGGGATTAGGTGTAATTATGACTGCGGCTGAGAGATTCATTGTCCACAGCCTGATTCCGGCTCTCCATCACTTGACCTCGGGCGTCTGAGTTAGGCGTCTGATTGAGACCGTTTACATAGGGGGGAAATGGAAGCAAGACTCAAAGAAGGTAGCTCTGATTTGAGTTGTCATATCGTTCTAAGGCTTTCCGCAACCCCCGGAAGTTCTTCTGGGCGCTTTCTAGGCAGTCTATTGGTCGCGGGTAGACTTGGCGTCTGGAGAACTTAACATCATCCATCCGATTAAATTTTCCAGTTAAGGATCTTCAGACGATATTATGAAGAAGGTGTGTACGATCACACGCTGCTTCTCCGTTTCGACACGCCTCTCTATGTATCTTCTGAGCATCTCATTGTTAGCGGATAGATTTGAGATGTTGAGAACTTGACATCGTTTCGCCGAATGAAGTCTCCAGTTGAGAATCCTCAAACGACGTCCGGGGACATCATATAGGATTCCTTGATTTCTTTGGATTCCTCCCGTCTGGAGAAGCTCCCCTGGGTGCGTTTTGCGTATTCTGTTGGTAGTGGATGAATTCGTGCTCTGCGGAATATAACATCGTTTGTATTTATGCTTTTTCCTGCTGAAGGCCTCCAAACGGCGCCAATACGAGGCCTGATACGAAGAATACAAGAGTTGATTCAAGGGAGCGTGTCATCACCTAGTCTGCTCCCGCTTGAGGAAGCTCCCCTGCGCCCTTTTTGACAAGTTCATTGGCAGCGGAGAGATTTGGGCTCGGGTCGCCATGACATTATTGGCAGATGTGATCCTGCCAATTGAAGGCAGCCATGCAGTGCTAAAAAGGGAGCAACTAACACGACTGGAAGACCTGAACTGAGAACTCGGGCAATACATGGAGTCGAGAAACTGCAGGAAGCTCTCCTAGGCCAATTTTGAACATTCTACTAGCAGCGGAGAGATGTAGGCTCCGGTGGCCATGACATCGTCAGCGGATACAATCCTTCCACTTTAGAACCTTCGTGCAGTGCCAAATTGGGCCAAATACCAAGGATTGAGGACTTGAAATGAGAATGTGGGTAGTTCAACGGAGTTGTGAAATCTTAGGAAGCTCTCCTCGGTCCCCTTTGAAAAATCTTTTGGGATCGGAGTGATCTGGGCTGTTGTCACTTTTACATAGCGTATCGAGTCTAGAAATCAAGTTGAGGTTCTCCAAACGGCGCTAGGGAGAGAGAAATATACCTAGAGTATGATTTCAATTCGTGAGATGTGAGAAAAATCCATGTTTTCACCCACTCTCGGGACTGTCTTCAGGCCCATTATCGGAGTCTATTATCAACGCTTAGAATAGCACCTGTCAAAACTCTACTTCAGCTATTCGAGGTAAGGCATAGCGGCAGGGGTGTCTCGAAGGTATAAACCATGCCGCAGGACGAACGCAAGAATTGGCAGGAATGAGCGGGGTAGATATAGTCACGGAAAGGGGAGACTTCATAGGCAAAACGACCTCAGACTCTCGTAAACTTCAGTAACATTACTGTCACGCCGCATCTTCTAAACCCTCTCTCCGCGTAGCCCCTTCCGGCCCCATTTCTCCAAAGTTGGAGCCCAAGCGTCCTTCAGAGCCACCACTGCCGCCCCAACATTCTCCGTCAACGCCTTCTGCATAGCGTGTCTCTCCTCTGGCGCCATCTTCTTCATCTTGCGGAACATCTTCTTCTCTCCGTAACACTCTACCACGCCACGTGCCATAACTTCTCTCACTTCCGCCCAAAACCCCGAGAAAATCTGCATTTCCGTCTCTTTATCCGCCGCATTGAGGTAGCATTCGTGCGCGTTTTCGAAGTCTACTTCCGGAAGGACTGACACAGTGCAGCCCAGTTGCTCGTACGTCGGGTCCGCTATCATGCAAAGCTTGCCCCCACGAAACATGATGACGCTGTGTCGGAATATATGATAGTCTGGGAAGTCTTTGTCACTAATCCAAATTTTCTTGATCTTCTTCTCTTGCGGCGTGAACGTGCACCAGTCCACCAGCACCTCGCCTATAGCCACTACCGTTAGCCCTTGTCACTGAATGATACAATGATGATTTATCGACGTACCCCCCAGGATCTCCTGCAGGAGCTCCACACACAACGACACCGACAGGTCGCACTGCCTGTATGCCACTAGGGCCATCTTCTGCTCCTCCGGGGTCCCAGGGGGGAACGAGCCGCCTGTGAACGCAACCTTTGCGTCCCTTGCCACGCCCAGAATGTTGCCGGCAGGCTCATCGTTGATGATGTCCTCGACGTTGGCGAAGGAGACGCGGCGCACGACGTCCTTGCAGAGTCGGATCACGGACTCGGCGGTCATGCGTACCGTGTTGTAGTCTTTCGGGTCAAGATTTGGGACTTTCGGCTCTATGTCAAGCTGCTCGAGGCCTTTGAGGGCTTCGGCGAAGGCTTTGGTGCGCTCGGCGTCTCCGGAGGTCTCGGTTTTGGCCATATCTGGTGGTGCGGGGGTGGAGGGGAGGGAGGAGAGAGAAGGAAAGAGGGTAGACAGGCGGTGGAGAGGCGGCGGATGAGGAGGAGATGGAGACGGTGGCAGCGGCACGTCGTGGGTGCAAGAAGATGTCGGTTTAGGCAGGGTCGTGATGCGATGAGCGAGGTGTTGCTGCTGAAAAGCTTGCAGTGGGTGAGAGTGGAGTTTATGGATGGCCGCCCCGTGCACAGACCCCTATATCACAGTGAAGGTACAATGGCTTATCAATGCATGCACGCGCGGCTGAGAATTTGCTAGACTATTCTCAGGGTGGGCAGTTCTATCATCTATGTAATAGTAGGAGAGGGTGGACGGGGAGCTATAGTTACCCTATCTAACAGGAGTTGGACATCATGCCTCACAACGACGGTTCACAGAAGCAGAATAGGCAGTACAGCTTCAGGAGCTGCTTTCAGGAGGTTATGGAAGAACCTACCAGCTTGACGCCTAGTCTCGGGGTGCCAATGGTCCATCGTCTCAGTCCATTGTCCCTCCATTGTAGCTATGGAACGTGTTCCTCCGTGGGTAGCTGCTTCAAATCCTCGGCCCATGCTTCAGACCACGTTTGCCTTTCTCCCTCAATGTGCGCTCCCAGCTGTCGCGGGCTGCATGGACCCTTGCCGCAACATGTAGCCATAGTTTTGTATACTCTGCGGCCCGGTCATCTGGTGACAGGGCTACTAATTTGTCAATCAACACTGTTTCGTCAACTTGATAATCCATGAATGCCTCCCTGATGACGGCGCGCATTTCGATGCCGAAACAACCAGCAGGATACTGCTTCTGCTCTTCTATGACGTTGGCGGGTATCAAGTCTTCGCCGTTTTGGCTGTGACGGGCCACATAGCCCTCCAAGTCAGAGACAAGCTCCCACCAACCCATCTGGCAGCCGGTAGGATCCAGAATATAGCTTCGGCCGCCAATGTCTACTCGAATAACGCTGTGGCTATACATTTTCTGCTCCGTTGTCTTCTTGTTCTTGACCCAGATCTTCTTCCCAATTTTTGGACAATCAACAATCCACCAGGTGGCTTTCCCTTTCTCTATGTCTCAGCGTTAGTTCTCTGTAGACCTGCGGCTCTTATTTCAATTCCAGGGGAACAGCTTACCTCCGATGAGTTCTCCGAGCACGTCCACAAACATGAACACAGTCAAATCACATTCTCGAAACGCAGTCAGCGACCACTGCTCGTCCAACGGCGTTCCTGCGGGGAAGGATCCTTCTTTGAAGGCGAGCTCTGCCTGCATCGCTATCAGCTCTTTCTCCGACGACGCCACCGGCTCCACCGCTGTGAGAGTTGACATAACTCTCATCGTCAGCATGCACAGCATGACGAACTCTTGGAGCATTGCACGGGTCGAGCCGTCGTCTTCCTCGGCCCCAGCCTCCAACTTTTGTTTTCCTCCAACCAGTTCTCTTAATTCCTTGCTGGCTTGTATGAGGCGTTTGTGAATATCGGTCAATTCGGTCTGGTCCAGGGCGGGATCCATGTGGGTTAGGTAGGTAGGGTATTTTGGATGGCGGGGAGGTAGCGAGAAGAGGAAGTGACCGTAATGGCTGGTTCAGGAGGCGGAGGCATGCAATTTGTCGTTCGGTAGCGGAGGAGGATATTCGTGGTCGGATGTTCTGTGGAGGTTGGGCGTTGAGCTTCTCCGAATTAGGGCATGCATAAGTGTTGACGCACGGGCCATAACAACCACGATTCCCAGCGCAGAAGTAATGATATTTCACGCATCGTATAGAGCATAGTAAAGTACCAAGCCATAAGTATGGGCACTCCTCGCATCTGCTTGGGGTATTCCCATAGGCTCTCTGAGTCTTAAGTAGGATGTAGAACTCGTCACAGTGGAAAATAGGCTACCGTTTGACTGACCGAAGGCATGCTAGCTAGGGTACTCCATATAGTGGCGTAGAGCGTGCAAAAGAGAAGAGCACAACGTAAAGGTTATACGGCAAGAATTGGACTACCTCTTGACTGATCGGCTACCTATTAGTTAGACTACTCCGTACGATGCTATCAAACGTGCATAAGCCGAAATTACGATGCAAAGGTCAAAACAATAGAAATTAGCCTACCGTTTGCCTGACCGAAGATGTGCTTGCTAGGGTAGTCCTTAATGTGATATCGAGCGATCAAAATTGGAGCGCGAGCAGTGAGATGTCCGTGTGCCCAGACTCATCGCGTAATACTGTATGCTGTTTCCGCATTCTTCTTGTGCACTATTTCCATATTCTTTGATGGCGACGAAGGGATTTTACAAGCTGCTGCCCAAACTCGAACAGCGGGCAAACTTCTGGGGAATTGTAGCTCTATGACATAAGTTTGGACACTCCTTGTATCTGCTGGGGGTGTCTGGACTGACTTTCAAAATTGCATATACAATAAAAACCTCCATGCAGTGAAAGTAGGGCTACCGTTTGGCAGGCTAGAGACGTGCTAGCTAGGGCACCCCTTCCAGTGGTGTCGAGCTAGCAAGCGTGGTTCCCGAGGAGTGAGATTTACGTGTGCCTAGACTTATGACCTAGTACTGTAGCTGATCACCTTAAACTTTCCGCATGGATAACTGTGTGAACAAAGTAGTATTACAATCGCTCTATATACCCGCATAGTCTGCCTCCATATCGCAGAACTCTCCAAACCTCTCCATCTCCTCTTGTAAGCACTCCATCAGCTTGGCCTCTGCCGCTTCTCGCTCTGTCCCCTTCTTCTCGACAATATCCTCCATCATTTCCGCAGTGTTTTCGGTGTACGCCGCGATGCTTCTCTTTAGGGTCTTTTGATATAGTACCGGGAATGAACCTGGCCCTGCCTCTTTGGCCCACTCCGCCACGTCGACCTCCACTGGTGCTTTGGCGCGATCACAGTAATCGTCATAGTATTTCTCGAGCCCTGTGATAGCGAACGGCCAGCCGAATTGCCCCCCGGTGAAATCCACGGCCAGAACTACCTCACCGACCTTGACCTGAATGTGACTGTGGTCGAAATGGACGTAGGGATTGTCTTCGTTTTCGGGGGTGATCCAAATCTTGCGGTGCGGGCGAGGACGGAATCTCCAACAGGCGATCGAGTCTATGTCGTCTATGATAATACTAGTTAGCAACCCCCGCGTCAATGAGCGTTCTGCAAGAACGTACCACCTAGGTGCTCCTTCAGGAGGTCGAAAAAAGCAAAGGCCGTCACATCGCAATCGCACCACTCCAACAGCGCCAGCTCGTCTTCTGCGCTTGTGCCTTGGGGGAATGGGCGCCCAGGCACCAGGCTCGAGGTGACCCTCTTGATGCCTCGAAGCTCGCCAGGCCGGGACTTATCCACTCTGATGATGTGATGAGGGTGACTTGCTTTCCGTCCGGCTTTGTACATCTCGTAGAAGATTTTGATCTTCTCTGTGACGCGGTAGAATGCGGAGGGGTACGTCGATTTGCTTGCCATTCTCGCAGAAGGTTCGAAGGATGATGCTGATTGACAATGTGCTGTGGAAGGTGTTCAGATCTGAGACTGGCCGCATGGTCTGTGCGGCCTTGGCCCTTCACTATTTTCGCCAAAGTCACGCGAGCTGCCTCGACTAGAACTTCTGCAGCGAACCACAGACTCAACGCATCCATCGTGACTCCAGCTTAGCAGCAAACTTCAGCCTACACACAGCGTCTTCAAATTATCCTTAAACATCACCATGGCCTCCTCAAACACCTCTTCCCCTGACTACGACGAGAGCGCCGCCTCGCTGATCTTCGAGATCTTCTTGGCAATCCGGCCTCAGTACGCGCCGTTCCGCCTCACACTGGGCACCTGGGAGAACGACATCGTGCCGGCCGAAGACAACGCCTCCCAAACAGTCCCTTATTATCACTACGAGGCAGAGTGGACCGCCGAGTGGACACCGCCAGACCTCGACCTCAAGATCCTCAACACAATCTTTTGTCACAATCAGTGTGACGACGTGCCCGTCGTCCTAGGGCCGATCATCAGCGACCTCCTTGGCCGTAAGTCTACTCAATTGCGCGAAAAGACGCTAATGCTAACGTATATGTACAGACAATGGCTCGCCCGAAGTGCTCTCGCTGCACATGCTGCCAAAGTCCTGGCTGGTCACGGGGGGGCAGCCCTTGTTGCAGGCGGATGGACTCCGAAGGGCACACACGGTGGTGAAGGTTGGGGCGATTTTCTACGACATAACGGGAGGGCAATTCGGGGTCACCAAGCTTCGAGTGCCGGAAGAGGAGTACCGCCGGGAGTACGTGGTGTCTGAGTACGGAGACGGCGCCAGCATGACGCTGGAGGAGGCAGCGTCGTTGTTGCTGGCCTCGGACCGCCCAAACCGCGCGTACTGGAACCCGCTGTTCCTCAAGCTCCGAGGCAATCTGGACACTGCCTTCAAGGCGTGGATGACAGAGCGTGACCTCACGAAGGAACAAGTGGTTCTTGACCCCGTTCGCCGACGAGAAGTAGTGGAACTTTTCCGCGCCGCTACCACGACGACTAGGGTGGAGTTCAACGTGGAGTGGTACCTCGGGGGGCTTGGTGGGTAGTTGTTGGAGCGGGAGAGAGGGCGACAGTGGGAGAGTAGGAGTGGAAGAAGGGAGAAGTTTGGGAGAAGAGGGGGACCCCAGCGCCGAGTCCGCACTTTTACGCAGTGTTGGGGATAAGGAACCTGCTTGCAGGCCAAACTAAGACGGACTCAATTCGTATAGTAAGTGCTTCTGTCTCACCGTCGTCTGGCTGACTTCAAGGTGTATATATTATCCGCAGCGATGTTGTTCTCTGTGCAGTTTAAATCGAAAAGGGTTCAAAAACAGCATTTTCTCATCATCATAGCTCCATCTGACTGGCCTCAAGAGTGCATATTCTATCAGTAGCAATGTCGTCCGCCGGACATTTCAGATTGCTAGGGGTTCAAAAGCGGGGTTTTCCCTCCATAATAGCGTCGCTTGGCTAGCCTCAAAGTTATGTAATTCATGGAAGGCAATGTTGTTATCGATGCAGTTCGAATTGGTAGTCATTCAGAACCATTGTTTTGCCATCCTCATACCGCCGCCTAACCGGATCCAACGGTAGGTATATTGTTAGCAGTGCTATTGTTCTCCAGGCAGTTCAAATTGATGCGGTTTCAAAACCACGTTTCCCGTCTTCTTGGCACCGGCTGGCCAGCTTCAAAGCTCTGTAAATTTTGAAAGCCAGTGTTATTCTCCGTAGAGTTCAAATTTGTAGTCGTTCAAAACTAGCGTTTTCCCATCGTTATGGTGCCGCCTGACTGACTTCAAGGCTGTCTAAATTATGCAACGCAATGGTATTCGACATGCAGCTCAAATTGGGTTTCACTCAAAACCGGCGATTTTCCCGTCCTTATACCGCCACCTGACTAGCGCCGCGAGGTTGTAAATCTTCAGCGGAAACATCATTCTCAGAACACTTCACATTGGTAGGGCTTCAAAAATGGCATTTCTCTGTTATCTTAGCGCTGTTTGACTGCCCCTGCACACTCTTTACAATGCAGAAGCCCATGATATGCTCTGAGCGTCGCCAAACGACTGGCTCCCAAAGGTGTTGTTCCTCCAAGCTCTTACCGTCGTCAGACTGCCTTTGAGGACGTGTACTTCATTACTAGCGATGACATTTTCCGGGCAGCCCAGATCAAGAGCTTCATGGATCTCCGCTGCCAATCAACCAAAAACCAGGTCGCAGGTGGTCTTCCACAGGCTGCTCCGCTACGGTAAGTCCAGGGGCGTCTCTACTGGCTCGAAGTATCAGCAAAGAAACAGAAACTGATACTATCTGACAATACCAAATCAAAAGGAGTTCCGGAACTCCTTTGTCACGGCCTCCACAGTAGTCTGTAGGGTCTCCCGCAAGGATTTGATCTTCATCAAAGCTTTCTCCTTTTGTTCCTGATTGCAAACGTCTACATAAACGTCTATGGCGTCTTTCACAAGCTGGTGAATACTTGAGTCTTGTTCGACGTGCCACAAGTACAACCAGTAGTCCTCGAACACCATCTCCCGCACATAATCGTACAATTCATCTGCTTCTTTGCGTTCTTCGTACAGCTCCCTCATGGAGCGATGCTGGTCGAGCTCCGCATCTTTCTCATTCTGCCACAAGCGTCGATAGTCACTTTCGCGCATCCAGCATCGGACCCCAAACTGCGCCGCGGTCATATCCAAAATCCAACGTTCACCATCATGGAAGGTGACTAAGACTACCGTGTGGCCATAACGAGGCTTGTCGCCTTGCGTATTGTAGAGGACTGCAAATGGCGGGCGGATTCGGAGGAAAAGGATCCCGATGTCTGCATGGCCTGCGAAGATGTCCTCCAAGATCAGTCCCATAACGCGGGGCGCCTCTTCGCAGGCATTCCAATTCAGGATCGCTTTCGCATCTTCCAGTTCAAGCTCTGGAGGCAGAAATCCTAGGCCGAAATCTTCAACTCCCACGTGCTGCCCCTTGACTCGGATATTGTGTCGCCATGAGGACTTTTCGAACCTGCACGACGTGATCTTTAGAGCAAAGAGAGACTTCAAGATGCCCTGCCAGGTAGGTTCAACGAAGAGCATGACCACGCAGGCCCAGTGAGAGGCATCGAATTGTGGAGACATATTGATTGGTTGACTGAAGCTGGTCTAACTTTGCCGGTGGTGGTATGGCGCTGCTGTTGAGGTTACTTCTTGAAAAATGCTCCGCTGGGAGCCCATCCCCGATGGATTGTTCATGAGCGTTCCAGTACAAGGTGAATGTAGTGCCGCTTTCGCCGGAACGCCACCTATGTGGAATTTGCCACTCGCAGAAAAGGGGTGAATATGCGCCTCAAAAACCATAATCTTCCCAGACCGCTAATTGAGGCTCTGGGGACATTGAAATACCCGGTCTCAATTTTTGGGCGTGTGAGAGGACATCATGCGGTTGCGCGTATACGATGAGGCGACACCCACTGCGGAGGGCAATCTGAACTGTGTTGAGCTTTACATTGTGCTAAAGATTTTTGGACCTATTGAAGGACTGATCGCGGTGATACATACTTGGAAAAGGGAAGGGCAATACAATGAGCAATTTGGGCCCTATGAATCTAAACATTCTTCTACACATTTTGCCAGGCATCTACAGCCGCTAGAAGGCCTCTAATAGACCTAGAATTTGGCGGTACGATGTCAAGATCAATGCGTCCGAACTTGCACTTCCGTATTACCTGTCGATTTGGCATGCGCTTGGAGTCCTCCGTCTAGCTCATACTCTCACAATTACATGGATGGACAATATAGGGTCTGTAGAACTTGAAATCGCCCATCAAGATTTTAGGTATGTTAAGAGACATATCGCGGCGGCAACCATATAGCAAAAGATGAAGCGATTGGCTGGGGTTTGGGAGCTCGCTAAAATCCCTGCATGGTATCACGTGACCTCGACTTGATGATTCCCAACCCTCCGTCAGTTCGCGACACCAAAGACATCATTTTGCTACCATGCTGCCGCCGACTGGGGTACCTTGAAGCGTCATAATCCCTAGGGACGGATGTCACTCTCTCGGAAGGACAGATCAGACGCGAGTAGATATCAAAGCGTGGTAGCTATCTTACCGTGGCCAGGGGACCCATGGAGCACTATCTCATCTCTAGCTGACAAGCTTTTCATTTGAAGTCTGTGGAACTTGACATCCGTACCTACGATTTTTGGATAATCAAAGGACTCCTTACGATGACAGCCACATGGCAAGTATGTTGATGAGCAGGGAGTGTAATTTGAAACGCATTGATCTTGACATTCACCTTTGAAATTTATGGGTAATCAGAGGGCTCCATACGGTGACAACCGCATGGCAAAGGCGTGGATAAGAAGGGTGTACAATCTGAACCGCATTGATTGTGACATGGCCTCTGCCACTCTTGACTCTGTTAAAGGACTCCCTGCAGTGACAGACCTGCAGCAATCAAAAGGCTACACTCACCTGATATCAGTGCATCCTCCGTGGTTCTTTCATATTCAGGCAACGTCTAGTGGTTTATGATACTACATGAAGTAGTAATTCCAACAAAAGAGACTTCAGTCTCCGGCATAAAGCCAGAAAACCAATGCCCCCTTCTTGCAAGCGACACCGGCCACCGGTACGCCCCCTAGTCTGCGTGGCCTGGTTAGCCCGTGTACCCGTCAGACTTCCGCCCCTCTATCCGCCTCTTCTGCTCAAACGACTTAATGGCCAAACACCAGCTGCCCGTCCGCCGACGCCTTCAGATACGCCTTGCCCCCGTTACCCACCCCCAACGTGATCCCCCGTCAACATCACGCATCTAGGACACACCACTCAGGTTAGAAGCGCGGGGGGCGAAGGTTGAGTATCAGAGCGTCGGCGTAGTGGCATACTGGGCTCACCCTGCGTGAGCTCCACCCCCATCCCTCATACCCGCCACTCCGCCGCCGTGTCCTCCGTGCACGCTCGGAGGGCCTCCACCAGCACGTCGGCCTTCTCTCGGGCGTCCTCTGGGTGGAGAATCACCAGATCCTGGATGCTGTGCAGGCCTTGCTCACGCAGCGTTGTGCAAAACGTGGCAAACAGTCTGTCGCGGAGCGCTTCGAAGAATGGGTCTTTACGCGCGCGGCCTCCTGACGACACAATGAGGGGTACCCACGAGGCGATCAGGGATCCAGGGTCTTTATATCGTTGGCAGTATGTGTCCAAAAGCATCCAGACGTGACCGTAGCCGAACTGGCTTCTGGTCAAATCAAGGACCCACCAGCGCGGGATAGGGCCGGGGAACTTGACTGTGACGACGGTGTGTATGTATGCGTCCTGCTGGCAGAGCACGTCCTTCTTGAAGAGGGGGATCGCTTTCTCAGGCCGGACGGCAAGCGTGAGGAGTTTGAACTGAGCGCCTACGTAGATTTGTTAGTATTAGCACGTACAGAGCATCGCATGGGCTGTGTTAGAAGTGCATACCTTTGAATGCTTCTAGCAGAATTCTTGCCATAATCTGCGGTGCATGGTCGCATTGCTCGCGGTTCAAGATCGCCCGAATGTTCTCAGCGGCCAAGTCAAGGCCTGGAGGGACAAAAGGAACAATTCCTAGACCCCAGGGTGCCTTTCCCGAGCTTTCGACTGCTGGTTCCTCTATATCTGGCTTCTCTATATCCAGGCCCCATTCCTTGATAGTGCGTAGATTGTGTCCCTCAAGGACGACATCCCACGCGACGCCGAGGATTTCCGCAACTTTGTCCAAGTGGTCGTCGAGGTGGTCAGACATATTGCTAGTTATGGCGCGAAGATGTCGAGAAGTGTGTGCTTTAGGTCGTCGTGATGCTGGGTGTTTTGATTGAGTTTGTTTTTGGAGTTGGCCGCTAGAAAAGGTTGTGGGGAACACAGGCCACCACGAGTCCCGCCAATAGTGAAGGGACGCGTCTCAACATTGAACTTCACGGTCCTGCCAGGCAGAGAATCATGAAAATTGCCTTATTGGCTTGTTTGTCAATGATACTGTTATTAGTGAAGCTCTATTGAATGCCACCAACTGCAACAAAGGCGAGTACAATACAAGCCACACCTTGTAAAATCTGACCATACCAAGAATAATTCTACACTGGTACAGTAGGTGCCCAAAGAATCTGTTCAGATGCGTCTCTAGTTTGCCAACACGTCTTCGACGACGAGTCTAAATCGAGGTCATGAGCCGGCCACTTGTGACTCTACACTTCTTGAAAACGTCCTTGATTAGCCGATATCGCTGTCTGGAGAAACTCTAGCATGCAGCCCGCTCCTAGTCAAACTCTCATCCAAGTTCCAGTCCTGCAAACGCTACGTCTGGTTTAGATCCTGGAAACCCGGTAGAGGCATCTCGAGTAGCGGCAGCGCACGGGCAAGAGGTTCATGAGGCCGCCTCGTTGGCGAAACCTTGGTCTGCTTGGAGAATTTAGCAATCGTGTACGGAGAAGACCGTTTCTTGCATCCTGAGAATAGACTATGTATGCAGTCCGTCGTGGTAGTGGTTGGTGTTGGGATGACGCGAGCGTCAGTGATGTGATTCGCGCGTCTCGCTGGTGGAATCGATCTAGTATTGCCTCCAGGCGTTAGAACACGTGAATAAGGTGTTCCTCGAAGTTGAGACGAAAGAGTTGAGATGAGACCCCTCATTGTGGCCGTCAAAATTGGATTGTCTTGGCGCTCTGGAGTTTCCTCAAAACAGAGCCCACACGCCGTAGCCCAGCAAGCAGCATCACACACAGCGCCAGACCGCACATTCACACATCCACGCCATAATTCTTCAATATGCCGTCTTTCATCTTCCCCCCAAGCTTCACCGCCGCCCACTTCGAACGTGTCGTCAAGCAGTTCGTCGAGCCGGCCTGGCAGGAAGTCGCCGAGGCCATCTACCCCGTCATCATCACGTCCTGTCGAGAGTTGCCAGAGGCCGAGTGCAAAATGCCGATAGGAGCGGGACGCCAACGCCTGGAGTCGCGCCGAGTGCTGCAAGTCGACGGCCAGTGGGCGGGTCCTGGGCGTGGGATGGCCACCGTGCTACTCAACCCCGAGGTGACCAGGGCCATTTTGAACCGGAACGCATGCGAAGCCGCCCCAAAGATCATGGGACCGATCGTGGAGAAGGTCTTCCGGGGTATGCAATCAGTCCTGCTGGGCGTGTTGTTGATTGGACCAATAATGCTGACTATTATTCGTAGACTACGCCAACGTCGAAGTCCTCACGATGCCTGTGCGCCCGCGCCTCGTCGTCCAGTTCCCTCACGACAAGGACCAGGGTTCATACCTCCATTGTGTCTTCAAGGTCACGTTCCGAAACAGCGAGGTCTGGTTTTTGGACCTGACGTATACCCAGTTTGGGTTCGAATCCTGCTGGGCACCGCAGAGGGAGTACCGCGGCCTGTATCAAAACTGGGTTTTCGACAAGGATCAAGACTTTTGCCGCCCGTTAGACGCGAACTACAAGATGTATGGCAATTTGCCTGCCGACGACCGCCAGCTCAACGACCTTTTGCGAGAGTCCTTACGCGCGGAGTTCTCGCGGTTTCGTCGAGAACGCGGCAAGAACATCCACCAAATGGTCGACAATGGCCAAGAACTTCGGGCCTTGTTTCGCGAGCTGAGACGTTGTGCAGATGAGGTGGTGGCGGATCTCGCGCATGGTTGACCCTTCAGGCCGCCCCCATAGCTGGTCACCAATGCTCTTCGTGTCTGTTCTTGCTTCAAACTCGCTTTGGTCGGTTGCTAGTAGGTGTATGCTGAACGCAAGCCAAATGTCTTGTGCGGGCACCAGCGCAAGGCTTGGTTGACATAGACATGTTGCTCGGTGGAAGTTGGTGTTTATCCTGTAAGACGCTCAAGAGGAGGACGAGGTGGGGTGAGGAGATGGGGGTTTTTGGATAGTCTGATGGGTACACGGGTTCACCAGGCCGCACGGACTGAAGAGGAGGGCATTGGTCATCTGGCTTTACGCTGGAGACTGAAGCCTTCCAAGTGCTGCTTTGCGTACTTGTCGCTACCGTCTAGAGTCTCTTGACATGCTTCTACAAATCCAAATAGGATGACAAGTTCTGCAGTACGTCTATCTAGCCCCAGCTCTTTGCACACGGTTGACACCTCCGTATAGCAACCATTTGGGCTCACAGTGAGTACTGAAGCCCTCTCTGCATGTTATTGCGCGCTTCTTATCACCGTCTAGAGGCCGTCAACATGGTGAAAGCTATGCGGGTGGAAGTCAAGGTCCCGAGCACGACTATCAAACCGCACCTCATTACACCTTTTCTAGGCCTAATTTCCGCTATCTCCTACGTTCACAATAGAATTGAAGCCGCTTTTACATGCATTTGCACGCTACTTATTGCTGTCTAGAGATCCTTAACATACTACATGTTATGCGAGTTGGATATCGACGTCCTGAGCATGCATATCAAACCGCAGCTCGCTACGCCTCTTCTACGCCTAATTTCCGCTATTTTCTGGGTTCACATCGAGAATTGAAGCCTGCTCTAGGTGCGTTTGCCCGCTAGTTGTCGCCGTCTAGTACGCCTCCATATGCTGCCAGCGATGCGAGTAAATTGTCAAGTTCTAGAGTCCGCGCATCAAGTCGCAGTTTCTAACAACTCTTCCACGCCTGCATTCTACAATCTCCTGGCTCTACCCCGAGAACTGCATCCTATTCTATATCGCTTTACTTCTCACTAGTCGCCGTTTAGAGTCCTTCAGTATACCAACAGCTATGCGTGTAGGATGTCAAAACCCGGAGCACAAACATCAGACCGCAGCCATCTACTCTTCTTCTACGCCTATTTTCTGCAACTTCCTGGCTATACGCCGCGAATTGAATGGATTTATGCATGCAATTGCATGCGTCTCGTCGCCGTCTAGTATCCCTCAACATGCTACTAGCCCGCGGATAGAATGTCAAGCTTTGAAGCACGTGTTTCAAGCCGTAGTTTCCTACATCTCTCTGGGACGTTAGCACAGCAGTCTTTTGGCCGTATGTCAGAGATGGAAGCTTCGTATGTATGCATTTACCTACCGCTGGCCATCGGTTGGCTGTGCTCAACATACTATCGGCTATTCAGATACAAGTCACGTTCTAGAGCACGTGTTTCAAGCAGTAATTTAACACATCTCATCAACACGCTAGCACAGCAGTCATTTGACAGCATACCGGAAATGAAAGCTTCCTAAGCACGCTATTGCTTACTACTAGCAATCGTTTGGCTTGCCTCGGCCTGTTCGAACGCATTCAAGTGCGACGTCACGTTCCGGAGCACGTGTTTCGAGCCGTAGCTTTACTCATCCCCTCGACACGTCACCACAGCAGTCGTTTGACTGCGTGCTGGAGATGGGAGCTTCCTAAGTAAGTTTCGCTTACTGTTAGCAATCGTTTGGCATGTCTCGACATGTTACCATGCATTCGAGTACAATGTCACGTTCTAGAGCACGTGTTTTAAGCCGCAGCTTTACGCATCTCCTCCACACGTGACTATAGCAGTCGTTTAACTGCATGCTCAAAATAGAAGCTTCCTATACACACAACTGCTTACAGCTAGCCATCGTTTGTCTGCCCTCAACAAGCTCGTAGACATCTAAATACGATGTCACGTTCCAGAGCGGCTACATCAAGCAGCTACTTCCTTCACCTCTTTCAGAACAGCTTTTAGCCATCTTCCAACCTCACGCTGTAAACGGAAACCGCTCATTCATGGTTTTGCATGCTGCTAGCCGCCGCTTGGCCTGCCTCAACTTACTACTGAATTGTGAGCAGGATGTCAAGCTCCCGAGCCCTTATTTTGAACTACAGGTTTTCGGACCCTTTTGATAGTCTTTAGCGTCGTCTGAATGCCTCTGGCTCTATATTCTAATATCAATTAACATGTCAAGATTTCGGGCATGTATTATGAAACGTAGCGTTCTGCAACTGTTTGAAGCATGGTTGCCACCGTCCGAGTGCCCTTGGCTTACGAGTGAATGTGAGGAGGATGTCAAAGCCTCGAGTCCGCATATTACACCACAGCGCTCTGCATCGCTTTGACAGCTGCTTGCTGCTGCACGAGTGCCCTCGGCTAACAAGTGAATGTTCAGGTAGGATGTCAAAGTCTCGAGCTCCTATATCGAATCGCATCTTTGGCAACTGTTCGGCACCGTCTGAATGCCTTTGACGAATGATTAGAAGGCTAATTACGATCTTAAAGCCTCCGGTATTCATATTTCACCCCGCTTTTCTGAATTTCTTTGACACTTGCTTACGACCGCCAGGAATCATCCGACGAACAGATTGAGGACCGACCAAGAGGTATAACTCTTAGAAGCGTATATCAGATCGCATCCTTGTTAATATTTTTGACGTCCTTTGCCTTCGCCAGACTTCCTCTGACTAGCGATTGAATAACAAGACACGATGTAAGAGCATCGACTCCGTGAATTAGAACGCAGCCAGGAATATGAGTTTGACACCTGCTTGCCGCCGCCAGGCATCCTCCGGTGACTGATTGGTGAATTAACTACGATGTCAAAGTTTCGAGCCATCAAATTAGATCGCGGCCACGAAGAGTGTTTGGTACCCGCTCGCCGCCGCCAGGTATCCTCCGGCTACAGATTGACGAACGAACTACAATGTCAAAGTTTCAAGCCCTCAAATTAGATCGCAGCCACGAATAGCGTTTTTACAGCCGCTTGGCGCCGTTGGACATCATCTGGTGACTGATTAGTGAATCAACTACAATGTCAAAGTGTCAAGTCTTCAGATCATATCACAGCTTCGCCCCGCCGTTTCACTCCTTCAAAACGCTGGATGGACCCCCCAGGCGTACGAAAGTGAAGCCGGACGTGATGTAAATAGCTAAAGCACGCATATAGAGTCTAGCGTTTGTGTGGAGTATAGATCACAGCGTCGGATCTCTTGCATAGTGTTCATGTGTATGATTGTGAGCCAGCGGACCTCTAACGACGAGAAGGAGAAGTCAAAGAGTTGTTAGACATTTGTTGATTTGGAGGCAGCAAGGGACAGATTGAATACTTTAAGATTCAGGCGTAGCGGCGTACGCAATTGCGCATGGCTATGTACGCTTGAGACCCCCCGGCGGTGTCGCGATTAAGATAGCCCGGATGTAGGAAGCAAGAGCTGGTGGATTAAGAAGGCGTTACAGACCAAGGAAATCAAGTGTATTTGGAAGCCTATCACTATTTGAGCGCTGGGAGGTACGGAATTGCACATCACGATGCACCCTCGAGACACTCCTAGAGGAATCATGAACGGTGTAAGACTGAGAGGTCTTGAACCGTCGTCAAAGCGGTTTTCGATTGTGGAGGTTGTTTTATAAGCGATCTGAGAGGCTTCGCAATCTGTTCGGCCTTCGAATTTTTTGCTGGAGGACACTCAGTGCTGTCACACTTCGCGCGCCTGAGAGGCTTCCAATGCTGCAGATTGAAGACGTGCTGAATCGCAAGACCAACCTAACAGTCGCCATCACTGCGTGAATGTTAGATCCCTGGGGGGGTCACAGCGCAAGCCGTCGGGCTACATGATGGACGCGGGGCACGGCAAGCCGAACGGCTTCCGTGGTGCAGATTGACGAGCCGATGACATCTCCTCTTGGCCCGGGCGGCTGAACTGCTGCAGGCCGACACTGAGATCGCAGCGGAGACTGGAGTGCACGTGCCGCCTACAATGCTACGTGGGCGCTCCTTGGACATCGACATAGGAGTAACAGAAGCAATTGACAGTGGTGACAGTCCTGAGCGTCCTTCAGTCATGCTCCTTGCGTCCCAAAACGGGTGCAGGAAAGCCCCAAGAAGCTGTGCATGTGCGCGCGGTCCGCCTCAAACAATCTCGCCAGCCTGCTGCCTCGGACATCTATGTGCCCATCCGCAGGAGCATCGGAAACTTCCGCTGCCACACTGTACAGGCCAGGCAACCACTGCCTACCACCCCTGTCGGTCCATTAGCGTCGATTACTAATCACTCACTTAATTTTCTTCCAGATCCTATATAAGCCTCCTACCCAGCTCCAACCTTCTGTCTTCAACAAGCTTTTGCACTTCTGTGCATGAGCAGCTCGGGCGACGACGCACTTTCTGCTAAGCCTTGGGTTATGTTCCTCCCTTTCGAGGACTCGCCCTTAGAGCGCTGGCTTTTTGGCCAGCTCCGCGACGAGTCTCGTGGAAACTCTCCGCATGATGTGGAGTGGATGGCCCAACATGTCTACCAATGACATGTGGGAAACCCTTCTCCATCCTCCCTCCATGTCTGCGGGGAACAGTTTTTGGAACACACACACATTTTTCATTGACTCACTTGCCTTGTGCAGGTGCTCGAAGAAGAATTCGCTCTACTCCTCACTCAGGTTGAAATTGATGTGAACTCTGATTTCTATAGACGTCTAGCTAGTT